CCATGAATTATATTAGTATTATTATGACTTTTTTGCCTGTGCGTATGTATCCACAAAATTGACACTAGTGAAGAATCCTTATTCTTGATATGTTTATTTTTAAAGTCAGACTCGCTCTTTTATTTCTAAACAAAGAGAATTTTTAACTTCACCTACCTTTTGTTCTTTTTATTCGCCACGGTAATACATAATTTGGAATAAATTCAGTACAACGTTACACTCGAAGGCTTTTCCTTTGGAAAAGAGTGCATGCCAGAGAAAGTAAAAGGAGGCGAGAAGAATGGTGATAAACCGACGCATCATCATCACCATCACGCCATGCCATGGGGAAGCAGGAATTGTTGTAGAATCGGAATCGGGCCTGGTCTTCGTCATGAAACGCTCGAAACACCACCACAAGCAAAACCCACATGAGACGAGTAAATAGGAAGAATGGGCACGGTTGAATAATCTGTACTGCTGCTGAGATTACACATTATTCATTATTTGATACAACGTGTGCCAATTGATGAAGATTGCTGGTTTATTTCGCCGGAATTTACTTACGTAACAAGGGTGAAGAAGAAGACGAGGTTATAAATTTGGCTGGCCCCACTTCTTCCTCGTCGACCTCTCACTAATTTATCATGTTTTTATCAGAATACATACATAATACACGGCCTTAGGGAAGAGTTCGTTATCAGTTTTTTAATATGATGAAAGATCCAATTTCAACTTCCTTTCTTGGACCCTATTTCTGCAGTGGGAAGTAAAATAGTGTATTTTTTGTACCAGACTGCATGCTGCCTGCGAAGTAAGATGCACTTACTTGGCGTATCCATTGTCTTGGTTTAAATGCCCTATGTGCTCTCTGTTCACCACGAGAGTCATGACTTGTGGAAAATTGTTTGAAAATTAGCTCAACTCATTTCTCCGGGATAACAAAAGCTTTTCGGAAAGATTTTGAATTCAGATTCGAGCAAAAACATTAGTCAAAGGATTCCTTCTTTTTTTGAACCCATGGAGAGGTTGTTGCCGGATGAAGTTGTCTGCAAGAAATTGATGCAACTTTTAAAACCAATTGTTTAAATTCATCCTCCTCTTTTTTTTAATTTGCGGAGGACGTTGATGTTTTTCCTAAATTTTAAACCTGTTTGATTAAACAAGTAAATTTTAGGAGAAGGAGGTTCGTCCCAGAGCGAGACAAAGGAGGTTGAATAATTTTGTATAAACATGTGAAAAGACCTTGTGGTCTTGAAATTAACGGAGATTTTTGTTTGAACGATGACAAGAAGGGTCTGCTGCGATTTTTTTATGATGGTGAAAAAAAAGTGGCAAAGTCTTTTGTTTGTTTGTAACAAGTCGTCGCCGCGTTTGCTTCTTGACCATATTAATCTTTTCCAAGTTGTTGCATAACATATGAAATGAAATGAGATGGGAAATGGAGGGGATGCACGATGTGGGAATTGTGTACCGGAGGTCTCGGTCATCATCATGCATCACTTATTACACGACGACCATCCCCCAATAATGTATCAATTCATAACAAACCAGAATGATCAGAGGATTGATTAACGCATTATTATGTGCCAATCATCTCATAAATGACGATGATTCAATATTGATTGATCTAACGTTTCTCAAGCAAACAGTAAAAGCTCCACATTTCAAGTGCCACACGACATAAAAGGAAAAATCTTTCCACCATCGTGGGATTTGATTGACAACTTACTGTATTTTTTCCATACAATGGTCGTGCGAGGGGTGAAGATGTGTTCTAGATTGGACGGCTGATAAATCATGGTGAAGAAGTGGGTGGCAATAATAATTAATTGAGTGTACATTGTCGATTTGAGAAATTAAGGTGAATTAAATTAAATTTTTTCAAGTTTGGAATTTTTCAAAAAAATATTTTTCAAAAGTCATAAATTTATTCTATTTATAATTTTTATTTTCTTTCCCTTTCTACTACATAATATTAACCTTCAGGTTTTACACTCGTTATGCATGTGGTCAATAATTTATGATGCCAGAATTGTCCACATTTCCACTGGGAAGTGGGAGGGGTGGTCCTTGATAAAATATACGTCGCATAGTTCTACCGGTAATAAAATGGAAATCAAGCTCTGTTTTGACAATGATGTAACCTCATGTTTTTTAACTTAATTACTTCAATTACGACCCTATTTTGGCTAGGCAAGTTGCATGTCGAGGTTATCTTGTCAAAATAAAATCGAAATGTTGATTTCAAGTGCATGCATGAAAAATGAATCATAAAATGCACTTTGCAAACAGATCATTTTTACAAATATGTACGTGCATTTTTATTCACTCCCGGTGCAGTTTGGCAGTGCAGCAAATCGTACATATGAAAACTGTGCCGATCTGTTTGTGCCCTAATCATAATAAAATTAGCTTGTAAATTCCACCCAACTTCCTCGTGCTAAAAGCCATTTAATCTCCGTTATGTTATATGACCAATGCGAAAGAGAGATGAATTACACAAAAGTCTTGTGTCGTCGTTGTGCCGGTGTGTCTGTAATATTTTAAATTCTACCCACAATGAATGAACACATTATTTGATCCCAAACCAACCCGCAAAATTGCTCCAAATTCATTTTTAACCCGTGTATCTGCCCAATAAACACGCGTTTTGTTCTTATTCTAACCGGCAGAACGACCGGCATTCCTGATTGATTATCCTGAGCTATGCATTTTCTTCTTTCCCCCGCAGCCAAATCGAATTATGTAGTGCTACCTACTTACTTAATGTCATACCGTTGCTAATGAAATAGAAAAAAGTGTCCCAGTAACACACTCATTTGAGTCCAACAACGGGAAGTCAAGATTCAAAGGGTGGTGGCAAGTAGCAAAAAAAAACGTGCTAAATATTATTATTAGTGGTAGTGCTTCGATTAATGGGTCATGGATATTTTGGGCTGCCGGTTTTATTATTATTTGTTCAAGAATTTGCATAAAAAAAGTACCCCCGTGGAGGGATCCGGTATTTATCGGAGTGAAGGTGTTAGGAGGAAGAAGAGATTCATGACATTATTGAGTCCGAGATGGCAAAAAAGTGGTGGATTGGATAAGATGCTGCTGGTGATAAATGTTGATGCAGTCCATCCATCCATCTATCACTCCTGATGCACAATGGGGTCCGGTGAGAATGGGACGACGGTCGAAGAGAAATTACCGTTGCACACGAGATACAACATACCTCGATCTTATTAAAATATACGCCTCCTCCTCCTCTCGTACAATGAATGACGGAAGTGAGCATGAGAAAGTTCACTGCTTTTACCACGTTCATTGTCACTGTCATCCATCTATCCATCCGAAGAAGAAGAAGAAGGGTTGCATGCACTTACTTATCTCAAATCAATGGCAACTTTGTGTTGCAATCAATGCAGGCGGAGACGACCTTTGCTTTTTTGCCGAATTCCTGACTGCTGCACTAACCGTGCAATAACAAGTTGCAAAAGTTGGACTTATTGGATCACACTCGATGATGACATGACGATAATGCTGAGACCTGTCAAAGTTGCTGAACAGCAATAATGAATTAGGTCAAACGACATGACATGCGAAAACATGCTGAAAAACTGGCCTTTTTACAGTACTAATTTACCTCGGGAGGATGAGTTTCAAGACAATGTGTATTACGAGATTACATGGTTTTAGGGGTGGATGGACCAGTTATATTAGATTTAGATTAAATAGTAATCATAACATTGACAATCATCTCTCCTCGGAATATGTACCTGCATGTCAATAATTGACATTCTGATGCATCACATGTCACAAAAGTGTAGCAGATATACTCGAGGTTGCAGTTTATTTGCCAATGGCAGGGCAATTGAAATACTTGTCCGCATTCCTTTCCTAGTAGATTAAATCATGAATCATCCGATTTTTTTCGACCACCACACAAAATTTTAATGGCACAAAAACAATTCCCAGAGCAGGAATGAGACGCAATTCCTGAATTATTTACTTGGAACGTATGCACTTACCTGGCAGTATGGTCGTATAAGCGTTTTTAAGAAAAATCAAATTGCGTTGACGTACATACGTAAAACGAAAAGCCTTTGATTGGGTGCGGTTGGACGCCAATCAAATTTTTATATCTGCATAATAATAATGTAACCAATACACAAGCAAAGTTGTTGAAGGATGAACACTACTAATAAATAAAATAAAGGTGAATTCATTACTTGTTCAGTGTACATCTATTATTTACACATGTAAAAAAACGTGATCTATAATATGCATGACCACCGCATGTAAATTGTGGATGCTGACAGTAAGGTGGGACCTTATACTAATTGGTATTTCGTCGAGGATTGCATGTCATGTCGTCCCCCTCGCTTTTTCTCATTTTATCCCCAACCCACCACCACCTCTGGAAGAGAAGATGACACCCAGCTTACTTCGTCATCCTGGACTGAATTTTGAAGTGGAGGAGAGAGGGTGAAATCTGGTGCAAAAAATTAGCAGCGGATGTCACGATGGTTCAGATTTGATGGTCAGCAGCATCCCTATCTGTCCAGCAATCGCAGGTGCATACATATCCCTGTTTTGCATGGGGCCCTGTTCGGAAATACCATCACGAGGTAGCTATTAGCTGCATGGCGTGGGAAATGTGGTGTGGTTCACCTGCATAGGAAGGAAGAAGAAGAGCTGCTGCGTCGTGAATTTTGTTAATTGGAAGGATTTAAGTAAGTAAATATGGAACTCCACCAAACCAACTCAGAGAGGATATGGTTAAAGGAGCTGGTGTGCGATTTGCAAGAACACCGCACGGGTAGTAGTGGCACCCCCGGTTCTACATACTTCTGGTGGTCCAACTAACTAACTCTCTGTGCAAATTTCGACTGACTTTACGACTCAGGAGACGAGAGGCATCCTCACACTGCCTGGGAACACTTCCTTCATTTGTACATATCCTCGGATTATTTCACCACCAATCCATTCCCTACCTCCACACAGGCATAAGAGCAGCATTGCATTGCATTGCGAAGAAGCAGCAGCGAGCCTACCTTCGTCGTCGTCTTCTTCATTCCTTAGCACGATTCGCACCCTGCAAATGCAAGCCAATACCAACTTGCACCTCGCAGCGGTAGGATAGCACACAAAAGTTGCCCAAAAACCATTGTCCACTTGATACTGTTGCTCAATTCAGGCCCACCTGTCATACGGTGACCATCACGCCATAGGACCAGAGAGAGACCATCAGCAGCAGCAACATTCAACTCCCTGATACTACACCTCCTTGACCTGTCCACCTTTCTAGCAGTGCAATACCGCATCATCTCGTCAAAAAGAAGTTGCTATATCTGGGCACTCTCAATTTTTGTGACAATTTATTTTGGGGTCGGACAATTTGAGACGACGCCGACGAACGGAGAATTTGAGACAGTTTTGAGTTTTTATCTTGTGATTATGATCACCTCGCCAGGAGGATGAGACTCTTTTCCCGAGTTAAGTGATTATCAAACGTCGGGACGATATTATAGTGTGGATATTTTTTTTTGGCGTGTTCAGTTCCTTATTAGAGGACCACGACTCAAGGGAAGAGTCGGAACGCGAAGACTACTTCCGACTTCAAAAAGGGAGATTTTTAACTGTAAGTCAAACCCCCGTTATTTATCTATTTCCGGTAATTGGTTCAGATGCGTACGTGTTTTGGGGCAAGTTGGCCAGAAAAAAAACTGGACAAATGGTGAGCTTCGTACATATGCGGAGAGATTATTGATGACATTGATTAGCTCCGGCATAACGACTCCAGGCCAAGGATTTTATACCAAATTTTTCCTCTACGCTCCGTTATTAAGCCCGATTTCGGAGAACAAGGCAGAAGAAATCGGCGATAGAGATAGACCTACCGAAAAACCCCAATTGATTCTTACCCACCGATTAGTCCCCAGCCATGGACGACACAGAACTATCATTTTATTGCTCATTGATCAAACTCGGGTGACAGATTTTCATACCATGGAGAATTTACTGGTTTGGTTTTACGTGGAGCGTTCGTTCGTTGCACGATGCATGCAGTTTACTCACCTCTTCCCATTCATACAAAAGAGCAGCCCGTGTGTTTCTCGTAGATACTCCTCCACTCCACTTTTTTGGCCTTAAATCCGATCACAATTTACACAATGTCGCATAAGATTGCATGATGACGATGGCCAAAGGGAGGGAGTCGATAATGCGTGTTCTCTCTCTCCTTTTCATACCAAGAACAAAAACACAACTCGGAAATTTTACCCATTAATTTGTCTCCTGGTTGGAGTTGGACATTTCTTTTGGCTTTTTTGGAGGGTGAAAACGCGAGGCAGGAGACATTATTAAAGTCGTTTTGGCATTGCTTGAATGCTAGACTGCCTAAATTTGGTTGTACCAAATAAATAAATAAATAACTAAATACATAAAAAGATGCATGCATGCATAATGCATTACATGACTGGTTCAATGTAAACCAATACAATACGTACGTGCATAGTTGCAATGCAACGAGCCTATTTTCATGACCAAGTCCTCAAAAGATAGGCCAGAAGAGGTAGGTATGCAAAAAGGAATAAAAGTGCTGGGTGCAATTCCATTTCATTATTAATGATCATATTTACTTACTTATCAGAACATATCACACATTGTTTCTCTGACGCTGCTGCTGCGTTGTTGCAACAAAAATCAGAAATTGGAAGGCGATGAGTTGAAGGTCGTTGCGATCTGACTTAATTAGTGGCTTGCAGTTATTTGACATTTTGCCTGAATGAAGGGAGAGTGAGACGACTTGAAATATGAGACGTTTACCATAATACAAACTGCACTCGTAGTAACAAGCAGTTTCATTGGGCATGCACTTTATATTCATTGAGAAGTCTATTTGTATATCATAAATCTGCCAAGCAGAAAAAGTTGTAAGTATGCGACGAGAACCACCAAGACGACCAAGACGACACAGGCATAAACTCCTTTTACTTTCAGCAAATCTATGCACATATCAACCAGCATATTGATCACACGAACTGACCAACTAACCACCAACGATGACTACCTCTGGACTTTTGCCACTTTTATTATTAGCAGAGTAGCCTCCACGACTGAATTCTCATCCCTTTATGACGTATTCTATACGTACGTAGTGCTTGTCCATAAGACTAATAACGAGTCGAAATCCCCTCCTGCAAACCTTATTTATTACGTAAAATCCTTACGTAAGGTTGGACTCTTGGGTGGAAGCGGATGATGCGGTAGCCAGAAAAATTATTATTAAATACACAAAGTGAATGAGTGAGTGAGGACTTGACCATGCAATTATTGAAAACATGAACGAAAGGCCATGTAGTGATCAAGTCATCATTTAATTCACCAATCATTGATTCGTCGGCGATAGGAGAGTAATCGTAAAGTCAATCTTGGCTGAGGGAAGGTGTGCAGAAGAGTGCAGTGCACAGGCCAGGAGGCATTACGTATCTCTCACCAGTTACGTAGATACACTTTTTAGCACGTATGAACACTCATAACAATAACACCAAGTTGTATTCATGGGGCTGTATTCATGTGTATGTGGATCCTGCTTGCCTTAAGAGTGTTGAATAATAGGAGGTCAAGGAAACTGAGGCAAATCTGTACGTACTGCACTCCACATCCATCCATCCATCCATCCACAAACAACTCTGCCAAAAAGGTGGAAGTTAACATTTTAACGTTTCATCCTTCCTGGGAAATAGCAACGATTGCATCCTACAACACGATACACATGTGTACCCAAATTTTGTACTTTGTATTATGATGTAATTAGCCGTGTGGTATCAAAATTGCCCCAACAACAAGTCGATTCATTCCTCCAGTCGGGAAGGAGGGGCTGCAGGCTTAGTAATGATACCTTATCACAGCCACTCTCTGACATCCCAGCCAACAATCAGCCAGCCAGCAGACCTTGCATCGAACATCTCGAAAATTTGCATCTCAAATTCTGTCTGCAAAATAAATAGTGCATCAAAAATTTGTGAGGGAAGGATTCAATTATTCAATAAATATGTTATGACAGGCAAAACCACCACAAACCGTCTCAAGTGGTGAGTGAGATTCCCACCAGATAAAATCTCTCCCAAATTCCAGGTAGACAAATGAGAACCGAAGATTAGCAGATTGTTCTTGTTGCTTAAAAAAATACGAAAAACTAAATTATTGCGACATCCCTGTGCAAAAATTTGCTTTTTGTCAATCAGGATCTTAATTAGCAGCACAAAAAATATTGGCTGAGGAATTCGCACAGCCACAAATGAACTCACGACTAGTACCAACCCAGCTCATCCATCGTTGACTTATTTTTTCTGCATATCCTTCGCATTCAACCCTCCGCATGCCATCCAAGAAAAAGCGTGTGGTCCGTTGATTTGCTAATTTTGTGGAGACCTTTAAAAACAAGCAGATAATAATATCTTTCTTTCCGCAATTGGTGGTGGTGAAGATGAGCCAGCCACATATTTGCATAAGGGACACCGATCATGATTCTGGTGGTGGTGATACGTACGTACCGAGGAGAGATGAGATTTATGTTGTTCTCAAGAACGACAAGACTTGCCATCATTGATTACTTTAAACATGATCATGAAAATGATTCGACTTTTATCCCATTTCATTGCCTATAAAAGTCCAACACTAATTTTGCTCACTTTTTGCGTCCTTTCCAATTACACCACCAGTCTTGTCTTGATTCCTTCTCTGCGTTGAAAGAAATTAGTGTGGAAACAAGAAAAATTACTTCCAGATGATCTCATCTATTTATTTACTTATTCATCATTCTTGTCCATGATAAGTGACTAAAGAGTTCCTGTGTACTTGACTAAATGCATAGGCGACTAACCCCACGTGCACGTGAATGGATGGATGGATGGCATTCCTTCTCCTTTTATAAAACTCCCCAAAATTAGGAAAATAATAAGTGGTGAAATTAACCCATCTTCATATGCAGAGCCATTTATAGAAAAATTTAATTGCCAATTTTATACCCATTTTATATCAAATTTCTGACGTACCTAACATGGCTGCCTACTGGCATTAAATTAAATATGTATAAAAATAAATTAGCAGTGGTGCAGTGGGCAGATTTTTTACGGACAGATTAAAATGTAAATTCCTCCACATACTTACTTTGCAACCTTCAACATATTATTAGTTATTGGACCGTTTCTTGTTCTTGTTTAGCATGCAATGCAGCAGGACACGTTTGTATCGATTGATTTTGATTGCACTTCTCGTCTCACTTCTTTTGTGGCACTTTTGCTTGACGAGTGATCAAGCTAAGAAAATGCGCATCTTCTCAGTTACATACATGTAAATATGTAGATGCGTGCTTAGGATTAGCTTAATTCCCCGTCCGTCCTGCTTATCTAGGAATTGTTTGTATACAAAGGAAACTCGTCATCCAATCCATCATCATCATCATAATCTTCATCAGCAAATCGAAAATTCAAGTTTATAAGATCCATCATCCATCCGTGGTGGTGGTGGATTAATAAGAATCGAGTATTTACATTTTTCCGCTTGACTGGTTTGATTTGCTGACTAGATGACAGGATACTATTTGATGAAATTTCGCCATTAACAATTTAAGTCGAATAATTGTTTTCTATTAATTTTTGCCTGCCTTCCTTCATTATTTATCCATTTCCTCGTTTAATTAGTAAAATGAATATTAAGTCTGGAACACAGACAGACAGATCATGCAAACACTCCTACTTTCAAGAAAAACGCAAAATTTTAATTATTTTTTTCTTCTCCTGATTAGTTGGACGAAGAATATGCATATTTACAAACAAATTATTATAATATGCAATAATTCCACTGTAACACGAAATGGAAATAGTTCTTCTTTTTAAGCATTGTCTAAATACCGTTGTTTCGCATCGGGCAGGGTCGTTGCGGTAAACCGGAAGCTGAAAAGTACCAGTAACGAGAAGAGGAGACGACTGTACATGGTCTGTCAAGTGGTAGTTATTTATGATAAATTGAATATTTTCCACTTTAAAATGTCCACCACCACGCCTGTCAGAAGATCGGGGGAGTGAATTAAGTGGGTTGAATCGCGTGCAATTTTATTTTGGACCTTGCAATTATTTATTTGCATCACATCTTTTTTTCTCTTCTGGTATAAAATCACAGGCAAAAGAGTAACATTTATTAAAATAAGTACCCTTGTTTAGAAAAGATTTATATTTCTACTTTATAAAAATAGTGTTGCAAAATCGGTAGTTAGTCAGTTGAACACCAGCCAACATGATTTAGCACAAATGATGAGCTTACATATCCATTGTTGTGACAATACATTGTCCTCTGATGAGATGGTGATACCAACAAAGATGCGATATTAAGATGGCAAGGTGAGCTAGCAAATTAGTGGTGTCCGTCTTCAAGTTCAGGGCTGTTCAATGTCAAGGAATTTGCCGTTTTCTGTGATGATGATGATGCATGATGATTCGAAGCAGACTACAAGTGCATGCATACAGCAGCACCTAATCGTACCTAGAAGGAAATGCAGAATATTCTACGGAAAACATTTGTCTGTTGGGCATAGATCGATGTCAATTAGTTTGCTTCGTCTGAATAATTATTGGCTTCAGGACTTTTGCTTCAGAAATATGTGTTGCTTGGTCTTTTTAAAAAGTTGAGTGTAAACGCGGTCTGGTCCGAGCGAGCAGGTAGTGTGGACTGTGGAGTGCTAGGCGTTGTGGTCTGGTCATTTGCCGAATCTAAAGATGATTAACGGTTGCACGTTCCTTCAAGCTACAGCACAACCTACAAAGTTACATCCGAATTCCAAAGAGAAACAAAAAGGAGAGTGTTCGCATATTCTGTGGTGGTTTTATGGCGTAGAAATTGGCACAAGATTTGTCAGATTGAGCTATTTATGGGCACGGATGTGTTTTTTGGTCCGGTGTGACCACTACTACGGCTCCTGTGCTGACGACGCTGACGACACGTGACACCACGAGTGAGTTACATAGTGAGGTTCTGGTTGCACACACTCTTTGTTGCGCTGATGATGAAGAGGGTGGTGGTAGATGAACGGACGGACGGACGGGCGGATGGATGATAAGTTTGGTTGCGTTGAGCAGAGCAAGAAAAGAAGATGCGATTTTTTTGTAGGAAGGAACTGAATAGTGGTAATGACGGTCAGTCGAATATTACAGTGAAATCTAATGATAATTGTGAGGATTCACACGGTCTAAAGAGAGATAAGTTCATTGAACTAGTGGTGCCAACATCAACACAAGTTTTTTAGCTCGATAACAACAAAAAATTGCACAAGCAGACCAGGCTAAAGCGTAAGCGAAACAGCATTATTGGATTGGATTGCTTTATTGCCAAATAAACCTTCAAAGTCCTTCAAACCTGTTTCCTTCAGTCTCATCCACGAACGAACGAACGACCACGGATCAGTGGTTGGATATAGATACATACGTGCGGATTTATGGGGAGCGTGCGTCGGCAAGAATACCGCACTTCCGGTTACTTGAAAACATCATCCCGCGGAGACCCTGGTGATCTGGGATGGTTAATTCCTTCGAAAATCTGGACCCTGCTGTTGGTGTTAGCACCATGCATAATTAGCATAATCCTATATATAGATAAGCGATATATGCACATGGATGAAGTTGAGTTGACCCCGACAACACCTTCTAGATTTTTATGTATTTTTAATTAACTGCGTACTAGGTCATCGACTCTGACAAACCATAATTTCCAGAAATCCACCAATTAGTTGCAGGTATTCCAACCCCTTCGTGCAACCTCATCCGACTTTTGAGGTGGATATGTAGTCGTCCCGTAATTTCTTGACTTTCTCACATCAATAATAACTGGCTTGTGTTGGCTCTGCGAATGAGCTGAGACGCCATGCACTTCTCACCATCAAGGTCAAATCACATCCCTTCGTCCGTCCGTCCGTCCATCGCAGGATTACAGATTTGATGCGAATTTATTTAATGATTTGCCCTCAAGTTCAACCAAACCAACTTTTCTACTTCTCTCTCCCTCTCTTCAAATATACAGGAATCAGACAAATTTAAAATTTAAAATCAAGGTAAATAATTCATACGATTTTTTGAAGCGTGTAATCAAGCTGGATTTTTTGCATAAAAAATCAGAGAGGATGATGAGATGAGGAACGATGTGGGTGGAATGATGCAACACTTTCCATTCAAGTGTGCACAGACTTCTTCCAAGTTTTTGAACTCTTTCTTCCTCATCCTTTTGCACTTGAGACGACGATGGTGGTGTGAATTTCGGATGTTTCTCCAAGCTTACTTATTTGGGCACATCACCCAGTTCTTCGAGGTGCTTGAGGTTTTTGGTTGGGCCCTCTAAAAAAACATCTCGCGATTTTGTTGGATAATGCATTGTGCTTGACCCTTCAGCGTCAATTCTAATACGACTACGGTACGATCCCACTCGGCGCAGAAGGCATGAATGCACGATAAGAAAGAACCTGGCGAAAATCTAGTCAGCAATGTCATTGAAAGCTTCGACTTGCGTTTTATTTGGACAAAACCCTGGCAGACTAGCTTTTTGGATTTTCACAGAATTAGCACAATGCCCACGTTGAGATTATTTCTAACCAGTGAGGAAAAAGTTAGACAAAAGATATAACCAAACCACTGGAACCATGTATAATCATATCATCATCCAAGATTATGAAGTCATCTTTTTATAATTTTTTTTACAAATCCTCACTGTAATCCCATCTTGACAGTTTTTTATTCCCCACCGTTAACGGCATTTTCACTTAGTAAACCAGGTTATTTATCGATCATTACTGTCATCTCGCGTCCTTACATAATCAGCAAGTATTATCTGAATGTCTCCACAACAGAAGGGATGAATCGGGACATACTGTTATTAGTGGTGGGACTTCCCCTGGCTGGCACCAGTCAGTAGCAGTAGTGTTAGTTCCGTTGATCCTCTTCATTCAACCGCAAATGCAAATCCGGACAATATGACCAAGTAAATATAAAACCATCCATGATGCAGCATTATTTATTGGGAATTACATCAATGTCTAATTACCCCACTTCACGCCATGCTAAATTTGTACATGCATACATATCTATACGGATAAGGATAGTTCATAGGAAGCCGTGAGAATGAACGAGAAGATTTCCATAATTGGGATTCAAGTGCCATTCAAGAGTCTCAATCCCCTTTCAGAGACTTGTCTGCCAAGTGTCTGACTCAAAGGAATGAACATTATTGTTGGAGTTAAAAAACCGTAAAGTTCAAAGTAACTTTATCACAGTAAAAATAATAAATAAATAAATGTGCCGGTAATAAGAGTAACAAAGGCAGGATTTTTTTCTTCAAGTGTCTCTGTCTGGTCCGCGTCTATGTGTCCAACCAACTAAATAAATAAGGTGTCGATGATGTTGGCAACTAACTATAATGTCTCGGACTTTTCACGATTTTTGCCAATGAGTTAATGGAAGAGCAAAAAATTTTATGGTAATTTGACATCTCAGAAGAATGAGATGACCACGACCAAACGTGGGAGTTATGTTCGTATTCTTAGCGAGGCAAGTTGATACACATCGACGAGACGATCCAATCGAACGAGATGGTGCAAAGATGAGACAACTTTTAGATAGCCAAACAATAGAATACGTAAGGCTGGCAAAATGAGGTTGTTGTTTTGGTTCTCGACTATTTATGTGGTGCATACTGATTAAATTACATACGTCTGTTTATTTATTTTCATTGGTTTTTACATAACTTTGATGACTTTGGGTAAAAATAAAATACCTGTTTTTCAGGAATCTTGTGAAATCATGAGATGCTCATTACAATTCATTAAATACCAATATCCGTCATCCCGCAAGTTTAACGAGGGCTGATTTATATAAGCGTAGGAACGAACGATTTTTCAAAATCTAGACAAATGAGAAACTAAAAGTAAACAGCAACGTTCTCTGTTTACTTTCTTTGGAAAGAAAGACAAATAATTAATTAGAAGTGTGACGGCACGGAGGACACAGTTATGCAAGTAGACTTAAGCCCGTCGTCAATTGACCAGTCCGAAGAAGATCTGTGTGTGACATCTTCAAGGACACTTGTCGTCGTCGGACTGTGCAATTAACACCGAGCAAAGTAAACACGCGTCACTTTTCATGTCGCGCGAGCCAACAAAAGCGATATGAAAACTAGCTTGTTAAAACTTTCGCTATTACCTGAAACCTGCAATTGTCTTGGTTTTAAGGATCATCATCATCATCAAATTTACTCACTCATTAACAAAGAGTGAAGATAAGCAGAGTCATTATCACAAGTAACCTACCCATGTGTGTGTTGGATGGATGGCGTAATTTGTTAAAATTAGGACATCGTTTGTTACAACGTTGTGACACTAATGTTTATTAATATGTCGGGTAGTAGCTATACGAGACTTAAGGATTTATTTCACCCCATATCGCCACCTGCAATGTCGTACTGGTCAGTCAGTAGCAAGTTTTGGGCAAATTTTTATTGCCATAATAAAGGGGCGAGTATTTAATAATACGTACAATGTATTTATGCAAATGCATGATGCCATTTCATTTTTATGTAAGAAGTAAATAACCAAGTGTGGTTGGTGACACCGCTTAATTTGATACGTATGATATCACTGCTCTCTTCGTAAACAATGATGAATGGAGGAACTTGTGCACACAGTTTTGTAGTTGCGGTTGTAGTAATGATTATTATGTAACAAGAATAATCAGATCTGCCAACCGGTTGGTGTTGAACATTCACATCATCGTCACCCCATCGAATCATCATCCAAGTTGACTATTTTTCATCAAAGTAAAAATAAAACTAAGTAAAGTAATCTCCCCGCAATCTTCTAACTGTAGATCAAATATTGAAAGATAAAACACTCACTTACATATTTGCTTTCATGATGAGGAGAATGAAGTGGCGATACTCTGACTTTTGTGAAGAACAAGCCGGTTCCCGTGATGAATGTGGGACGGATTGGTTTTCACTTGGTGGAGATATACTGATACTTATTCAAAAATGCCAACACCAGTTTTTCCTAGACATATACACTCTCATCTCATCTGCCCTCGCCACTATCCTATTAATCAGGAGAAGGGCAATAAAAATCTCTAATGGGCTGACTAAAACAGTTCACATATTTTAAGTGTCAGAGTGAGAAAACGGTAAACCCAACCAAGTTATTCGGGAGAGGAGATGCCATTTACTTAGCTGACTGACACCCATCTCGAAGACGGAGAAGGACGAAAGGGTTGAGGAAGACCTGATAAGTGGTCTTATGCACATTCATAATATGCAATTTGACAACCTGAACACACATATTGATAGACAGAAGATGTTTAGCAGTTAGTATGTATTTAGTAGGGATGAAAAAATGTTGTTGTCTGTGCAAAAAGAATGCGTCTTCAACCCGTATTCAAATAATATGTAAATACATAAATAATACCGATATGCATTTATTAAAGTGGTCAGTTTTCAAGTTATTTTGCATGCTTTAATCTGTATTTCCTTTTGTGTGTCCCACAGGAACTGGAGGAAATCAAACGAGCGACAAAATCATGAAGAACTTATTATTATCAAGGGTGGATTCTCATTCGATGCATATTTTAATTTTCTTGATACCGTTTCTATTGTTGGACCGGACTCTGGGTGGTAATTACTTTTTTTTTCTTTATTGTGTTTATGATTCCATTCCTCTTCTTGTTATGCCGCTATTTTATGAACTGCATTTCCCTCTCTGACTGAATTAATTGGTCCCACATATCTTCTTTATTGTGTGCACAGTATAAACGCGTTTTTTCTGTCTCTTTATAATAATCCCTTCTTCTTCCCGTTGAAATGGCAACAATGACAATGCAACAACCTCGGGATGTGACCTTTGCACAATGCACTGCACTCTCTCCGTTTGGCGACGTTTGAAGTAAATAGTGCAACCGCGATCGTAATTATCAAATGTTGATTGTAGATTTTATCTATCTTTTTTCTCATCAAGTCGACAATTTTCCGACAATAACAAGCATCAAAAACAATGCACGGGTCGGGTACATGTGCCAATTGGTCGGTTCCAGGTTCGGAACGACATTCATAAATTTTTTAACTTTGGTTTTGGTCATTATATTATTATTAATACTCGTCCATCGAGTTTCTCAAGTCTTCAAGGAATTTCTACAACTGCCAAGAATGTTTGCAAATAAATATTTGCATACAATATTTTTGCTTAATTTCGGATACATCATTAGAAAAGACAAATAACTCGTGGTTGTGATCTTCTTGGCTGCAGAAGTAGTAAATATTTTAGCAGAAAAAAATAAGAAGATGGTTATGTCAGCAGAAAGGAATTATTAAGTCGATTACTTAAATATCCAAACCATCCATACATTTGTTCACCTTCCAAAATTCCCCAACTGATTACGCGTCCAATTTATTCGAAGGGTTTGCTAAATTGTTTCTCCACCAACCACGCCATTCAAGAAGCACTCAACTCAATGTACGTACCCCTTCTGCTTCATGTTCTTCTGAAAATTACTACTTATTTACACGTAGTTTGTATGACTAGTTTATTGTACAACATATTTAGAGAGATGACACATGATCGTACACAGAATAAGTTATCAAGAAGCGTCGACAATCCTAAATATCGATGATTCTTGGAGATTGACTACAGGTTCTTTCTTCACTATTCTGTTCGACGGTGGTTTTTCACAGTAGTTAAGAGTTGGTTAGTTAGTGATATGTATCGGGCAGCCACGAGGGGATGATGTACTACATACGTACATATGCAAAATAATAGAGTCAAAGTTTGTTGAAAACATGAATCATCGCACAGTCAGACCATTAAAGAATCTTGTTTATTTTCCTCTCGAAAGCAATAGGTTTGATGGCAAGGACACAATGGTAAAATTTATGAGAGTCAAGTAGTGACCATCGTTTTGCGAGTATGGGCAGTTTATCATGTTTTGGTGGACGGGTAGAAATATGCAGGAGGCAGTGGTCAAGTCGTGGTCATCGTCGTGGTCGTCGTCGTAGGCGATTAGAAGATTCCAAAAACTAAATGGGCAGTGATTAACATCGGAAAGTGGCTCAACAAGTTCCACAAAATTAACGTATTGGTATAAATTCTTGGCTAAATGACGACAACATTTTTGTCAATCTTGTCGAATCTTGTCGGTGAAGTCAAGTGCTTAAAAACCTCAATGATTTCCTTGTTGTCGGTCCCTGAATGTAATCGCCTTTATAATCACCGAAATTCGACTTGACTAGTGTTTCCCTGGATCATGGCAGCGATTGCTGTTATAAAGTCATAAAAGTGGATATCGTAAAAAAATGACAACAAGTTTGATTGCTGGAAACAAGGCTTGCATATTAATGTCTCCTTTTTAATGGCAATAATCGCTTACGTATCTACAAGAGTCATCAGTCGTTTTGGGTTCGTTTCACGTCTCGAACTCTCTTAATTTTTATGTACCTTAACCATTATGCAGATAGGTTGCATAGGTAATTACTTAATTATAAGGGACTCAATGTCATTCATTAGTTAATTAACAGAAGTATGTAGTTAGTAATCACAATTTTTATTAACTCTCTTCCAATGATGGATGACAAATGCAGGGATACATACGCAACGATTATTATCCAATAATCACAATTCATACTAAATATTTATACGGCAGGATCACGTTCTAGGAAAAAATGACCGTCTCAATTTCAAGATCAATCCTCCTCGTCTCGTCATCTCATTCATTAAGGTATAAAAGTAGCCAAGTACATAAACGGTCTCAGTCGCAGGACCGCATTGCAGACCGTGTCTGCAAACTTGTTAATTAATTCATTTCAAGAAGTTCAATTTAATCGGGATGATAATGATGAGATTAAATTAATCTCAAGTCTTGAGTTTCTGTCTCGCATCTACCCAACTGTTCCTCGCAGTGTAAAAGGTCAAGGAATTGGTAACGCATAATTTCTCATATGACAACGACCAGTCTACGACCGCCTAATCCTGTTTGACTTGAGTTAATGAGCAGTAAATTCTTATTTAGACGATGCGTATCATCGTTTAGTCGATTCAATTATGCAAATTGATTCCAGATCTAGTTCCATTTCTAAATGTCATTACTTTTATTTTCCTACTTATCTCTTGCTCTCTCTTTCTGTCATAACTGGAATTTTTACTTGTGTGGGTTCACTCACGGGAAAGAAACCCGGAAGTGCACATGGCATCATACGTACAAAAGATGACGACCGAGTATTTTTGACATGTGCAAATATTTTATGCCAGTTTCATTTCAACCAAGGTGGATTTGATGCCCCATTACAAATGAGATTATAAACTGATTTGGGTCCTTCTTCTTACGCGATAAATAATGCGGAGACCACCAGAACGATTTTCTTGGAGTAATTGTGCTTCGTATCTTTTGTGTAATTTTTATCCACACGAGGAGAGGTTGCAGGTTTGTGACATCTCTTCAGCAGTAAGTAATTGTTGTAACGATATTAAATACTTATTACTGGTTGGTTGGTTGGTTGGTTGGCACTGCGGTGCACAACATTATCTCGTGTGAGGTGTGAGGCATAAGAGGGACGCGTTCTTTAAGATGCCAACAACCAGGCGGACCATTAATATTAATTTCTTCTTCTTCTGCTTCTGCGTGGGGGAAAGGCATTTACGGTTCTTCTTCTTCTTGGAGAGTTCATTACGTTTTCACTCGTGTGGGAAAAACGATGACATATAATCAGAATTCATCGGAATGTTGTAGCTCCACCAGAAAAAAATGCATGACTCTTCAAACCCATGTAGTAGCAGCAATATTAATGCGAGTTGTTGTTAGTTAGGGAGCATTGATTTGCTAGCTACAAGTCTGTAAAATTTTTAGCAACCTGGTAAAGGTCCGTCCGTCCGTTGTGCATGTGTACTTGTTGTGAATGCATATAGAAGAAGGAGAAGAAAAGTCGTTATTTTATGGCATTCGATTAGAGGATTACATTTTCAGAAGACGCGCAGGCAAAGTCATATCATATTTCCTTCCTCTCATAAACAACGAGAAATACAATGCAGTGTTGTGCTTTTAACAAAAAGTTGAAATTCTTCATTCTTCACTGGGATTTTAGTGCTGCTGAGATGAATACAGGCGTAGCTCTAATTAGTTGTTGTTCCAATAAGTAACCATTGCAAACACGCAGATCATCTCGGAATTATTATGTATTATTATTGAGTGTAAGCCAAAGAGAGAGAGATGAAGGTGCGATTTACTTAGAGCCGAAGCGAGACATCATTGCCAAATTTTGACGGAATTCACCTGTCAGAAGAATGATATATTGCGGAGATGACGAGCTGCTGTAATGATGAGCATGTTGTTTCACGGGATGACCAACAACCGACCCTTAGCACTTGGGTACCGCTCATTCGTAGACAGGTTCGTTGACTTTGTGGCGACAAATGAAGTTGAGTTGACCACCAGTAAAATAAATATGTATGCGATGATGATTTAGGCGTTTATCCGGTTGCACTACTACATAAATCCTCCTCCTCCCATTGTGTAAAAAGTGCAGTAGTAGTACTTCGATAGTAAATCATAAGTGCAGAAGTTAGGGTTTGACGCATCCATTCAACCAATGACCTTGCCGCTGGACAACCCAATTTCCCTTATATGTAATATCTACTAGCAGATAGACGACGTTCGCTGAGCTGGCATACATTCTGATTTGCATAATTTGCCATGTTTATTATCCGCATCTCATCATCATCAACTTGTTGTTTAGACGTGCAGACAGGGGCAGACTGCCGGATTCCTTTGGCATTTTGTGTGTCGATATTATTTGCACAGAAAATAAAAATGCTCCATTTTGGCGTGAGATTTGGGCTTGATCAAGTCTTCCTTGAACACGGAATGCTGCAGCAGCTTCTGGGCAATTCTGGTCGCATGGGAATCATCATTTTTATCCATACAAAATTTTATCTTTTTCATACACAAAGAAATTGAAATGATGGAGATCGTCTCCTCTCGGAATAATCTCTTCTTGTAAACGAATACGCCCCCCAATATGAGATAAGTAGCTGCTTGGATAATTTCATATTGTAATCAATAAGGTACATACATATCTATTCCAGATAAATAAATTACATCTTCTGGTGACTTCCAAAAAAAACTTAAACTGCATCCATCCACTCCTGGGCGGATTGTTTGCCGATACATGCAGATTTATTGTGATTGGCGAGGACTGAAGGTATCATTATTGGCAATTAGTGCACCTTTACATAATAATGATGCCACATTCTTCATTCATTCGTACGACATTCATATCTCATTACTGCCAATTTTTATACGACAAATAATAATTGAACTTGAAACAACTCAAGGCCTTGCTCCATCCTACTAAATTACGCACAACAATGCAATGAATCAATAATATCGGCGACTAGTATGTCATCCATCCATCCACCGAGAAGAGGTCAGGAGGGTTGAGTAACAGAATTGTATATTACGGAATGAAATTCCGCAATAATTATACCCCTCTTAATGCATTCATTGTGAAAAAACGGAAAATCCACCATAACGAGATTGATATTTTAAAAAACAAAACGAACACAGTGAAAATATACGTAAACCCATCCATCACCCAGTATCGCAAAAGATGATAAAAGTAGATACAACTTATGTACAAGCCTCCCATCTTAATTTAGAATCAAGAATAATTAATAGCGTAAACACTTTGAGGCGTATGAGCGTTTTGCTATACTTTCTTGTAAATATATTTATTTATTACCACCCCTGCTTTCCTACCAACCACAAAACGATGTAATAATAATGGAATAAAAATAATTAGCGCTTTGCTTCACATGCTTTGTGCATGTGCGTTCAACTTTGAAGATCAAACATCCGTTCTTGAACCATTTCCTGGCCCCCTTCTTTCTGCACAAACACAAGGCGTCAATGTATTATGCAAATGACTTGAAGAATGAGAAACACTTGCACTTGTTGTTGTTACGCTTTTGTTGTGTGTAGCTGGTTGGTTGGTTGGGTTAAAATGCCCGTAAAAGTGAGGAAAAAGAAGTTTTATTTTTATTAAATTAAATTCATACCGCATTCCCCACACTTCCTCCAAGCTTGAGGAATTCAGTAAGTGCATTGCACTTATTTATATCCAACAACTTGTTACGAGTTCATCTTACGACTTTGTATTCAAGGTAGCCCCATTATTTCCGGGAACAGAAAGCGAAAGTTGCTTCTGCTTCTTTTCACTCGTGTATGTACATATCTTTTACATCACGCATATCATCCAATCTGCTTCTTCAACTTTTTACTTCCAAACACGTTCAAGGACGCGGCTAACGAACACGTTACTTAACTTTTAACGCAATTTTTCCTTGATACTGTCACCGGCATGTACTAATTGCGATGCTGCAATTTCCTCTCGCTGTAAAAATACTTCCCCTTTTTTATCAAGTCATTTTTGCTCCATCACATAAATCAAGGTGTGTTTACGCTTCGCTGGGCAGGATCATCTTCACGTTTCAGCTTGCACTTTTCGCCAAAAGAATCGGAATTTCCGTGTGTTCCACTTGAATTAAAGGAGAATTTAAGATGGAATGGAACCGTGAAGGGAAAGGGAGGTAAATATGTTGGAAAAAGAAGAAGCAGAGTAAATAAATCGTAACTTGCTTTAGTACAGTTTGCGAATAAGAGTTGTTTTATGAATGCAAAATGTAATTGGAGTCGGACTGTGCATGAGTGAGTAAATAAATAAATAAATAAACGGTGGCAATGACGAGGATGATGAGGTAGAAATGAAAATTGTTGATGATGCCCATGTCAAAGCAGAACTTCTTGAGCATTTGGACAGTTATGCAGAGAGGGCAACAATGCGGCACCGTTAAACCGAGTCGACTTTGATCCTGGTCAGTCAGTCTCAAAATGTAAGAAAAGATGGATTATATTCAGCAACGTTTGTTTGTTGAGCAATCAGAGGAAAAAAACGTTACGCTGCATGCATGCTGCTCAAGAAGACGAAGAATACTTTTTGATTTGGTTGTTGCAACAAGCTCCATTAAATAAAATGTGCACATGCATATTTCCCGTGGAATTAAACCCACCACATCAACAAACAAACCGTAGTGCTGGCTGCTAACTGCCCTAGGAAATGATGTTACGACTTTGTTGCTGCATTTCTGTGTAGAAAAATTGCAGTTTTTTTGCCCCTGCGGAACTGATGATGGCCAACGCCAAGACTTCTTCTCTTCTCCTCTGTTGTGGCGTTATTATTAAGAGGAAGGAAATTGTACATCCACCACGATCTTTTTCATCATCATTATCATGATCACTTCTTCACTTGTTCTCCTCCCAATAAAAACCGGACTTTTGTCTTATTAGTCGAGTCGAGAAGGAAGAAGAAGGGAGTTGGACGTGATTGAATTACACGGATTAAAAGTGCCCAAAAACCCGAAAGATTATGCAAAAGATTACGTACGTAGTATGAATGACGAGACTTTAATATTGGGTTTCGCTGACCAGAACTTGAGACAGATCGTGGAATCGTGGCTTGCTTTTCCCACTGCAAAAGAAAAGAGGTAGATGGATGGATGGATGGATGCAAATTGCTGCATCACACACACTGCGAGAACGGTGATATAAAATATATTCTCCAAACGACACAGATTTGTTGCCCTTTGGGAAGAAGTAGACAGAGGCAACAAGTGCATGCATGGTGTGGCTTTAATAAGATTGGTCGTGTTTCGTGTTGAATTTCCTCGAGGTGCTTGTGGCTGAACTAATGGGGTGCTGTGTTGTTGTGGGTAGCTGACCCTTGGTTTTACTTGTTGCAGAATTGACGACCAAGTTGTTGGACATTCGGTTTCCTTTTGGCTCATGTGCATCCACAAATCTCTCTCGGCCATTGAATTCTGCTTCCTGTCCGTTTTTCAGAGCTACTACTTGTAGTAGTACCAAACATATTTAGAAACTCCTCCTCCTACCACCAGAATATGTAGCATAATGCGAGTGGGCTGTGGGGTGTGGAGGAGATGATGAGATGATAGCACTTAACACACCGAATCTCTCGCAAAAAAAGAAGCAAAACTATTCTTCCTTCCTGTTTTCCACCACTAATGAATAGCTGCAAGCCGAATTCCTCTATACAATTCATCCTCCTCATTAAACTAAGCCAAGAAGTAGAAGAACTTGCACTTGTTCCTCCTCGTTCTCGTTCTGATGCTTTATCCCCAAATCCATGTACTGTTACTCTCTCCTTTGTTATGCCCACCTGATTATTTCAGGTAATCAAATTGAAATGCATTCTCTCAGACAATTTTCTACAATTCTTCTCCATTTCAACCGCATAGAGTGTGACACAACTTATTACTTGCTTACTACCGATAAAAACGCAAATCCTCTCCACTGCACGTATGTATCTTGTACCCTATGATACGCGTTTTTGCCCTCATGGTTTCCCACACCCTCCTAAAAAACGAAACATAATCACAGTTAGGCATCTATTAAAATGCAACATTGTATTAATGTGCAAGAAATTGATCAAAATTCATGTTTTCCTCAGATTTCTCATGATTTTTTCTTCTTTTTTTCTCCACAGCACCAGCCGTAGAAGGGGACGATGTGGACGGTAAGTCTTTTCTTTAATAGCGAATCAATTATTAATCTCGGGTGATTTTTTTTTCCACGACACGCATTTACATACTCTGCATTCCTTCAGTTACAGTAAAGTGTACGAATTATCCACCTTTTATCGAGACACGCAGTTTTATTGTACTTTCCAAGCTTTTAATCACGCAACTTTTATGTCGTCGTTCGTTCGTATTAGTTGAAATCACCGTATATTGTTTGCATGCAGGCAAAAAAATGCTTCCTTAACATGGACAACAAATTGATATCAAATTGAATTAAATTATAATAATTGAGACGATCCAAGAAATAAATGCGCATACCTGAAAAATAAATTAATAGCAGAGTTGAATGAGCCAAACTGAACCACGCCATCACCACCACAAAACAAAGTGCACTGCGAAACAACGTACTTGGTGAAGGACGCGCATGCATAACAAACAACAAAACAAAAAACAATTTTCGATCCTGCTAAACGATAAGAAATGTGAGATTGCTAAAATATGATTTGTTTGTACTCTGAACGCACGCAGGGGGAGGATGCTACTACATGTTCAACCATTACGGCGAAGGAGATCGAATCTTCACAAATGAGCCTTGTCTCAATTGTACGTGTCACAATTCCATGTTGATGTGCTACCTGCGGGTGTGCCCATTCACGAAACCGATAGGTCAAGATTGCACCATTGAGAAGAAGCCGGATCAATGCTGTCCAGTCATCAGTTGTCCAGAAGGTAACTGCGATAAGATCAATGATAAGCAACTATTTGGTGGAGATATGCACACTCTTGAACTTGAGACGAGGTGTTGCATGTTGCCATTATTATGTAACAGACAGGATTTTAGTTCAGGCTAATTTTTGATAGTAAACATTTCATTTGAATGCAAAGGATAAATAACGGAATAGTTTACGAGTATTTTTTAGTGCCTCGCAACATAAACCGACATACAAACCGACACATACAGTTGTGTATCATCCTTGTTTAGTTTGTCTCTTATGGAATTAAGGCTATACATTTCCAAATTCGATACACATTGAGATTTTTGTCCCACTACCCCCCGCCATGCAGGTTTTGGCTGCTTCTTTAATAAACTTTTTCACATTTATGTATCCCATTCTCACCACGGCACGACGACGCGACGCGACGGTGCAAAATATTGTGATGAGATGAGTGATGATCTAATGGGCGAAGTCCCACATCCTGTGTAGTTAACCTCCATTTATTCATCTGATTATCATCATTCATGATTTACAAATCTGTGATGGGACAACAACCACGTTTTGTTGTTTGGGTTCAAGTTCGTATTTACTACTTTTTTTAGAGATGCAGTCAGTTAGGGAATGTCAGGGAGAGAATTACGTGATAAATGTGTACGTAGTGGGACAATATTCAGAATGATTCAGAGGAAGCTTAACTGTTATTATTATTATGTTATTAACAACAAACTTAGATGATACGAATGGGGTTAAATGTCAGGCGCATGTTTGGTATCTTGTCGAGAATATCAGTATGCTTACCAATAATGCGACTTATTTCGAAATGCAGTACCTGTATCATTGGTCACGCCGAGTACCTTGACCACAACCACGGTGTCTACCACTAGTCTCGCCACTGTGTCCGAATCCACTGAGCTAGCCCATTACGAGCGTGGGTGCAATATTGAGGACAAATTCTATCCGGACGGGGCACAAGTGGAAGGTGATCCTACCAAGCCTTGCGAACTCTGCTACTGCATCCGGAACAAGACGGCGTGTGTGATGCAAGAATGTATTTTGCACGTGGAGGGATGTCAACCCGTCTTCCAACCCGGGGTCTGTTGTCCAGTCAGGTATCAATGTGACTACCCGCTCGGACTTCCGGATGAAACTACGACCTCAGTCACCGGACTTATCACAACCACGCTCAAGTCAATCTTTACCTCGACCCCAGTCCCGGGAGGGTGCATTCGTGAAGGAGAGTACTACACGGACGGGTCACAAATCCCTGGAGCTACGGGACCATGTGAACATTGTTACTGTATGAGAGGAGAAGTAAGTGCTATTTTTGCGTATAATTTAGTATATGAGGGGACAAATTTAAATTTTTAACGCTAATTACAGATTGTTTGTGCCGTACAAGAATGTGGAGCACCATTGGAGAATGAAGGTGGAAACTGTACCGCGATTGCCCCACCACCAGGAATGTGTTGTCCTGAAAAGTATTCTTGCGGTACGTCGAACATAATTACATATTTAAGTCATGAAATATATATTTAGTAACTGCTTTGGCTTTTGTATTGACTTTGATTTTTCAAATTTAAAATATTCCCATGTTTAGACGGAGATAAGGAACCCGAGGATGAATCTTCCGGCACCACAGTTTCATCTCAACAAGACGAAACTGCTGGTGAAGTAACTCAACCCAGTGCCATTTCTGAACCTCATCCATCCTCTACCACCCAAGAACCCGGAGGAGTGGACTCTGATGCCACCACAGTTCAAAGTACAAGTGACGAAAATGAAATTTCTCAGAAACTCGGAACCTCTCCATCAACACAGCAAGTTGATCAGGCCACCACGATTTCTCCAGCCGTGTCTGATGACCAAGATGTTGCGGCCGTGTCTTCTACGGAAGTGGCCCCCAAACCATCGCAAGAGCCAGGAGTGGACTCAACTGTATCGTCATTACCGGACGTAGAATCTTCACCTGTCCCCACTGAACAACCATCTCTGCAAGATGAACCTGCCACTAGCGATGTGCCCACCACACAGGGTTCCGTAGATGTCACTCAACCACCCAAGGAACCCCAAGACATTGAAGTCCCTTCACAAGGAGCTCCAATTCCTGACGGAGGTCAAGAACAGGCAACAACAAGTGCACCATCTGAAAGTGACATCCCAATTGTCACTTCAACAAGTGCCCCAGCAGAAGTGGATTCCTCAATTGCTGACGACCAGGATAAGCACGCCGACTCAACCGAAGGTCCACAATCCGTCCCCACTGATGTGGAAGCTGGCACCACCACCCGACCAGAATCATCGTCAGAGGCTGACAATTTATTGACAAGTGCGACTGAAAATATTTTAGGAGTTTCTCAACTTCCCTCTCACTCCACGGAACGACCTTCATCCGAGTCAGAAGGATCCACGGAAAAAACCGTGAGTGAAAGCACCGAATCTGCCTCCTCCTCGACCTCCTCAGAAAGACCGGAAGTGACAACGTTGGCTGAAAGTAGCGAATCTGGAGAGGGTTCTGGCGGAGATAGCGGTGCAACTGGAGAAGTCGAGAGTAGCACAGAATCTGGTAAACCATCAGGAGACGGAGACCAAGCCATCACGACGGGGGCACCGATAATCACACCCACGGAACAGCCATCTCAAATCTCTGGGGTGGATGAACCCTCCAGCGCCGTTTCCAAAGAACCCACGACTGACGCTCCGGTAACTGAAGCTGTCCCCTCCGCAGTTCATGATGAGAGTGGAATTAAGGATCACGTCGTTGAGACCGGCGATGAGGAAACCACTGTTAAACCAGACTCACAAACGACGGAAGGCTCGGTTCCAGTAGTATCAGCAGGCCCAACCACGAAGCCAGAAGGTGAGGTTGATAAGGTAGACGAAGAGACTAGAACAACAACAAAACCAGACGCAGCAGTTGGATCACAAGAGACGATCGATACCAGTGATAAGGAAGAACCAATTAGAACCACGGTTAGTCCCGCTTCTCAAGAAGACTCCGAGAAACAACAAGTCTCATCGTCAACCACCAAGGGTCCAGAAGTTGCTGGTGAAAGTAGCCCCACCACCTCCAGCCCATTGTCCGACGATACGGAGGAGGAGAGCAAGGTACCAGAAGATGAGACTCCACAGACCACGGTTGCAAGTATTATTCCAGCCGAACAAGCTGAAAGTTCGCCATCTCCAGTGGCTCCAGTCTCAGACACGTCTTCTGAAACGCCCACCACCACACGTCCAGTCAGCGGTGGCGATGATGACACCTCCGTCGCTGGCACCACCGTAGCTCCGGATGCAGAAGCTGTTGCCGGCGTTACACAGACCGTCCCACTTGTTCCCGAGAAAGTCGAAGCTGATGGCGAAGAGGTTGGTGGCGTATCACCTTCTTCTTCCACAAGCGCACCCGAATCTGTCACGGAAGTTGCTGCGGACGAGGATCAGAAGTCAACCTCAGCTTCACCAAGTTTGGGAGAAGTTGTTGGAGAAATGCACGTAAGCAGTACACCAGACCCAGCAGAGTCGCTTTCAATGCACTCTTCCACCACTACGACCACGGTGTCCCCACTTCCTGAGGGTTCAGAGGCTGACAATGAAATTGGAGATGCTCAAGATAAAATCTCGGCCGATGAAGGATCTGCTTCCTCCACGCCAGAAACTGATACTTCTTCCTCCTCGTCAGCCCACCCCACAACTGAATCATCGAGTGGTCTCCCCACCAGCACGCAAGAATCCGTCACAGTGCAGCCTCCAGTAGTAGGAGAAAGTGGAGAAAAGGATGTCGAAAAGGAAGCTCAAGCTGTAGAGAAAGTTACGGAACAGCCCGTCGCAGTTGCCGCGCCAGGAGATCACATTAGCGCTGATGAGCCAGAAGCGACCACGGATGCACCATCGGGAACAACTTCGTCTCCTCAATCGGTTGTCCCAGAAGACAGCGTCGCCCCCACAGAAACTGCTCCAACGGATGCCGTATCTGAAGGAGAAAAAGTAACTGAAATTCCTGTCGCAGGAGTGACGGACGGACCTATCTCGGTGTCAAGTGAAGCACCAACCGGTACTGAAATCCCATCAGAAAGTTCATCTGCCTCACCAACTGAAACTCCTGATACGGTCGGAGGCGAAGCCCCATCAGCAACAGAAGGTCCATCTGCACCATCAACTGAAGGACCTGTTGGTGTGCAAACTGAAATTCCATCCGCTGGATCTAGTGAAACTCCATCCGATGGACCCACTGAGATCCCATCCGCTGGATCTACTGAAACCCCATCCGCTGGACCCACTGAAATTCCATCCGCTGGACCCACTGAAATTCCATCCGCTGGACCCACTGAAATTCCATCCGCTGGACCCACTGAAATTCCAACCGCTGGATCTAGTGAAGCTCCATCCGATGGACCCACTGAAATCCCATCCGCTGGACCTACTGAAATTCCCTCTTCTGTTTCTGACTCAAGCACTGTTATTCCGCCCTCATCCTCCTCGTCTGAACCCTCCGGAACTGAATCTCCAATAGGCGAGGACGCTGCTGTCATTCCCACCGACAGTCCTACTCACCCTGCTTCGGATGAAGGGGAAACCGGTTCGGATGATGGCACTGTGACGACCACCACTGCCGCTCCCTCCGTTCCAGCTGAAGGCGTTAGTACAGATGTCAAAATTCCTGCCGTAGTAGAAGAAGTAGACAGAACAACGGTACCAACAATTGTTGACGAACAGCAGCCAACCACCACAAGTCCGGAAGTTGTTAAACCTGACGATGAATCCCCAGCAGTGACCACGGAATCTCCAGTTGTACCTCAACAACCTTCCGGAGAAGACGACTCTACATCAAAACCTGTCTCAGATGAGACGGTCACTCATGCTCCTCTTGCTGCAGTGGAAGAGATCCCAACAACACAAAAAGTCGACACTGTCAGTGACGAATCTTCCCCCACCACACCACAACCATCCTCAGTTTCCGACCAACCAGAAATCTCTCCCACTCCAGCGCAACCTTCTCAACAGGAAGACGACGACACAACGGTTCCTCCTTCAAGCTCTGTAACTGAAGGTGCTCCCGAATCTCACGTCGTAATTGGAAGCACTGAACAACCCGAGTCCAGCACCAGCATTCCTCCAATCGTGCCACAGGAACCCACGGACGACGAGAAAGAAGCTGTTCCAGTATCTGAACAGGAGACTCCAGTCATAACCACCACGTCCAAAACTACAGATGAAGATAAACCACCACAAGAAGGACAGGCTGACCAACAAGGAGGAGAAGATGACGGAGAAAGTGTGACCACCACTCCAGCATCAGCACCTTCATCTGTCGATTCATCCTCCCCATCCGTCGTTGATGTTGCTGAGGACGAGACTAAAATAACGGTTGCTCCAGAACCAGCCATCACCCCGGAAGAACAAGTCACAACCAGCAGACCGGAAAGTTCTTCTGTCTCACATGACGATAACGTTGTCCCAACAACCGGTTCACCAAGCGTTGTCGTTGGCGGCGATACTGACGAAGCTACCACCGTATCTCCTCCTACCGATGCCCCCAAGACACCTGCCGTTTCTGGAGTTCTGACCCCAGATGAAGCTCCAATGCCCGTACAAGATCACGATGAGGCGGTGACCACTCTATCTCCTCCTTCTTCTCAAGATAGCGATGATGGTACTGCTGCTGTGACGACTGCATCTCCCAGCGGCCAAAATGAACCCGCAGCCACTACAACCGCTCCCATCCAAGATTCCGAAATCCAACCAGCCCAAGATTCTCCCAAGACTCCTGAAGAACCATCCTCGTCCTCAACATCCTCACCAGATTCTGAGAGTCCAACGACGGAAGTTGTTCAGACCACGGTCCGCCCAGAAACCATTTCATCATCCGATGACAAAGAGGACGAAGTCAAACCACAAGACACGGAACCCCACCAAGTTGACGATTCCGACTCTCCAACCACCATTCCAACCGTTTCTTCATCATCCGAGGGAGGAGAAAGCGTTACTAGCACGGAGCCTGCCAAAAAAGATGAGGATTCCAACGTGACTGGAACCACCCCTTCACCCATCAGTAGCTCCACCACGACAGAATCTTCCTCCTCCTCTGAAACTTCTGGTCAAACCACGACAACCTCGAAACCATCAGTTTCAGACTCTGACCTGGGAGTGACCATCCATCCAACCTCAGTTCCTGAAGTATCGGACATGAAGGATGTCGACATGGAAGAGAAAATTGGCGGTGGTGGTCAAGACTTGGCGATTGCCGTACCAACAACCACTTCTGCTCCTTCCTCCTCACACGAAGCTGCCGACGAGGGCGAAGACGGTCCCCAGGTTCCAGGAGAAGGGCACTGCTTCGTCGAGGGCAAAACTTACAAGAACGGCTCCTCCATCCCACCCACGACTCCGTGCCACATTGTCTGCGCCTGCCAAAACAGCATCGTTCACTGTCTCCTCGTCCACTGCAACCCACCTCCAAGTGACACTGGCGACTGCAAACCCATCTACAGACAGGGCGTGTGCTGTCCAATGTATGACTGCGGTAGGTCAACTTGCTTTACTTACTACATAAAAATAGGCTACCCTAAAAATGTACAAGTTTTTATTGTCCTGTTCTTATCATAAATTTCAGAGGACACTCGAGGCCAACCTGTCACCGTTACACCAGGTCCAGCTTTCGTCAATGAGACCAATATCGTCACCGTGACGCCAGAAACACCCTCCGAAGAGACAAGCGGAGGAGCATCTGACGATGTTTCTGATGACCACACCACCGTCATCCCTGTCGTAGGAGGAGGCTCAACATCTGAGGAGACAAGTAGCGAAACCAGTTCCGCCGCCCCCTCGCAAGAGGACAGTCAAGGAGAGAAGACGACCGATGTCGACGTTGCCAAACCAATTCATGACGAGACTGATGATTCCACAGATGACAGTGTGTCCCCACTAAATTCCACAACAACGGCCCCCTCACAGCCCCACGACGACGTATCCTCTTCCACCTCACCCGCTTCCATAGAATCGACAGATGGACCCCTTAGCTCCGTGAATGGAACTGGGGATGGCGCCACGGCCGTCGACACGTCCTCGTCAGAAGCTCCACTCTCTGAAATTTCATCATCTACAGGAACTCCAGACGTGGACGACATTTTGGGCGAACATCACGTCGACGAAGATGAGCATAATGTTACCTCCTCTGCTGAAGATTCGTCACCCATCCAGCCGGGAAGCTTGTACCCTGTCACAACAACGACCACAGTGACTCCGTCTACCGCTCCTTGGCCTTATCCAACCTCCACAACGGCCCCCTCCGTCATGACTGCGGGAGCTTGTAAGGAATTTCGCTTGCGAATTTGAAAATATTTCCTTTGCAGTAAATATTTATTCATGCTTTTTATTGCTTCCAGGTCTCTTCGACAGTCGGGTGTACATGTCTGCACAACAAATTCCACGCGATGATCCTTGCGACTTCTGCTTCTGCTTCCGCGGGGACATCATTTGTCTCCAGCAGAGCTGTCCACCTCCAATTCCGGGCTGTTATGAGGAACCAATCCCTGGATTCTGTTGTCCTCGGTATGAGTGCCCTGTTGGGAATGGGAACGTGACCACGCAGCCCCCCATTTTCCCACCGTCCTACTACCACAACCAAATTTTGAATGGTGTGGGAGCCGGAGGAAGTTCGGGAGGAGGAGGACTTATCGCCCCCATCAATGTGCCTTCCGGTCCGGGATGCGAGGTTCAAGGGGAGTATTATGAAAGTGGCCAAATAATCACGTCCACGTCGGGACCATGTCTTGAGTGCAGGTTCGTACATTAATCCCAGAATTGTGCATGACGTATTTACAAAAAAGGAATTAATTTTCATCCTTTTCTTTCTTTGCAGATGTGGAATGACAGGAATGATGGAATGCGACCCACGCGAATGCCAACCGGAACCCATGCTCAGAAAAATGATCGCCGCAATAACAACAACGTCCAGATGAAACTCTTAGCATCATTATGTTATCTTCAACTATAAAAAATTCAAATTTCATAACTTTTACACACACACACTTTGAACAGTGTTTTACAGACTGTGTCAGAAACTATCGATCAATTATCAATTACTTAATTAGTTAGTTAATTAGTTCATTAATTATTATCGTGCACACAAACTATTCACAATTTCACAATATGCCAATTTTTTTGAAAGTGCACAACTTTTTCAAGACTGTTGTAGTGATCAATAAGTAGGAAAGAGAAAGATGCTGGTTGTGGGTGGGGTTGGACTGGAGAGGGTTATCATAATGTGGTTAAAGTGGGTGGTCCGGGGGGGTTGTCTTATGGTGCATCGCTCAACAAACAAACGAAACAATACTACTATAAGCTACATATGTTCATTAAATAACTTTATGATTTATTATACGTCATAATAATCCACTGCAAACGAGCCTTGCGCAAAACTCTCCAACAATTACTGCTGCTGCTACTACTACTACTCAACTCTTCTCTACATTCCTGTCAAAGGGTGCCATTATTAAGAAAAAACTGTGTGCTACTGAATACCTTATCACTTAGTTAAGTCACCACCTACATAAATAAGTAATGCATAAGTTAAGTAAGGTTAACCTACCTGTAAGTTGTAAATAGTTGAGGAATATAGTTCGTAAGACGGGGTATATTTATTGTAATTTTTAGAAATAGCGGTACAATAGTTAATCATGGATGGATTTCTGGTTGTGGGGTCTTCCTCGTGTAGAATGCGTGAGCAATTGGAGGTGGTTCTTCATATCGGGACATGGGTAAAATTTTGGGTGAATGTGATAGTCAATTTATCCAATTGACCATTGTTGTTGTTGGTACTTATGGATGATGATGTAATTTGAATAATCCAATTTTTTAGCAAGTATATATATGATAATCATATGGAAAAACCTGGTGCCTGATAATAAGAGACGAGTATATAAACTCTGGTTAAGGTCAGTGCATGAGTTTTTTTTAAGTTTTACATTCGCCATCATTTTTGCAAACCCATTTTATTAAGTGAAACACAACAATATGAAATAAGTCATCTCACAGCTTAGACGACTTAGTCAGTCTTCAGGTGTGTGATGATGATACGTATAAAATAACCAAAAAGTATTCTGCATTCGGTCAGAAGACTACGAATTAGATCACCATCCAAAATAGCTCATTGTTAATTTAGATTAAGTAATTAGTTAATGTTTTGTCCATGTTATCATTGTTTTTTGTTTGGTTATTTTGTTGCATGGAAGGAAGGAAAAAAAGTGAATCAGTTGTAAAAGCAAGACTGTAAATAAGAATCTGAACAATATTTGACAAGACATTCTAATAAATAATCCGTGTTGACATTTCTGCAAACGAGAAACACCTCACAGGATGACGATGATGTCGAAAGGAAGAATTATGACTAATAAATATGTAAGACGTCGGACAGAGTTTTGGGATTCCTCACCTGCTCTTTCATAATAAGTTTCATTCTATTAATGAGAGTTTGGTTTATGAAATCAGTTTACCAGAACGGAAGGGTTGTTGATCAGTAAATAAGTAAAGTACATATGCACATCCGTAAGCGCATAAGTATTTGCCAGAGAGTTACTCATATCCCTTTTACAATATTGAGCAATTGCATCTTAATTGTATTAGATGGGGCGAACCTTATTGTCTTGTTATATAATATTGCAAAATCCATCCAATCCACATTATTGTATTCTTGCATTATATTGTTGATAAAAATAATAAAAACGACGAATACATTTTGTAGTTTTTCCATATAATACGATCCGATGAGCTATGCACTTATTTTCATATGCAAAAAATAACCCATCCACTCATTACAAATATGTAATAGTGACACATTTATAATTACATGAGTCAGTACTAAACGCTGGCAGGGACATTATATTATTTTCATCCTCGATCCATACCTCCTCGGGGTTTGTGCATTTTAATTGTTGTCCAAACTGTGCTTTTTTTGCATGTACATTTGTACTTCTGTCTGGGTGACACCGCGTGTGTGCGGCGGTACTGAATAAGGCAACGTTTCAATAATGTAACAATTTTATCTAATCTTCTGACCAACAGAAAACTTTATGCAATCCGTATGCTATCACACACATGCCACTGCTGCTGCTGCCACTGCATTGATTATCATGCTTCCTGGTCAGCACTTTCCATTTCCTCTCATCCGTTGAGTTTGAGCCCAAGTTTGAGTAAACTGTTTGCATTGTTAAGTTGTTGGCATTAATAAGATTTTTCTTCTATGCATAGTACTCCCAGCAGTTAAATAAAGTGCATTAATAAATAAATGTGTATATACGGCAAATGCATAATAAATATCTACTTCTTCGTCCGTCATCTCTCTCTCCTAGGCACACACGAAGTGCAGCGTCTAAGAATACTTGAAAGTGCCACTGACTGACTGCGACTATTTACATATATGTACGAAAGGGTTTCTCAGTCTTAATCTTGGCAATGTACATACTCACTCAGTCACTTTTAGCTACTTATGTATTTCGTTAGTTAGTTGGACACCAAGATTTAATCCTGTTTTAAAATTATTTTTAGCGAATTATTCACTTTTTCATGATTTTATCAGTCTCACTCGCGTTCAATGCAGTGACTGAATTTCAGTCTCACCCATTTGTAAATATGATGTTCAGGACAGATATGTTTCTTTTTTTCTTTCTGGTTTTGGACAGATGGGCTGATTTGCCACTCCAAATAATAAAATAGAATGACATAACATAACATGTGACATAGCAGTTCTATTGAAATTTCCAAAGACGAAGTTAATCAAAAGTGGTAGAAAAGGGGGTACATACATAAGACAAATAACTAACTGTATGGGCTTCCATCCACATATGCACATACATCATCATCAAATTGATGTTTAATTCGTAACGTTCATTCCTCGCCCTACAACCAATTCCACTGTCGGCAAATTATCACTTGGTCAACACCAAGCATTAGCGAGTAATCAAATTTGTGTGCTATAAACGAAACGAAAAAGTCCTATCTGCACAACGAACTCTTGATTGATTTGTGGTAATACTCTCAATTTCATTGCAACGTCGAGAACCAGTTAAAATAAGTAAGTAGACCTGACGCTGTATAAAAATTGGTGTAAAATTCCTCTCCGATGATAACTCTGCAGGCGGAGAAGAACTTCGTCTATTTCTTGAAGGAGATCAACGAAAGGGAATCGTGAAGGAAGGCGGAAAAAGAGGTCTACCGAGCAATAATAATATTATGGTCAAGAATCAGTCAGGTAGTCGTCGTCCCAGGCCATATAATAAATTATTTCATGATATAATAAGAAGAACAAGTTGATCTCATTTCCACTCATGCAACTCGTTGCACCCTTTCATCCATGAGGGTGATGGTTGCACACGTACTACAACTAACAAGGATAAGAACACAGCCGTAATATGTACGTATGCAAAATGTAATGCAATTTCATTTTTCATCAACTACGTACGTATGTACCTGCACTCCAATAATATGATAATTATTGCAACCCAACTCTTCTGATTCGATTCGCCTTTACACAAACTGCGAAGATAAAGGGCGAAATAAATGGGTTTTTATTCATTTGATTAAACATCACCACTACGAGATGGATGTGTGTACATGCAGATATTTCACTACAATTCACCACCACGACCAATGTTCATACGTTAAATTTCAAAGCCAACATTATGCTAAAAAGAGGGGTTTTTCTCGATTGAAGATGTAATTATTTAGGATTTAGTAGCAGTAGATTCATCCTCAGGTTGGAATAATGCATGCAAAAATATGCAGAAAAGTGTCACTAAATGATTGGTAATGTGTGTAACTCAAATGCACAAGAGACACGAGAAGGACTTGTAAAAATCTTTAATCTCTGATTCAGTATTGCACGACGTCTTCTCCACTCGTAAAATATACACAAATATAAACTTTCACAAGTGCAGGTTGCTTGCAGCTTGATTAAATCATGATTCAGCTCGTAAGAAATGTTGCAGTGACAATATTTGCACAACATTTTCTTTACGATTTTGTCCACCTCCACCTCCAATCTATCGATCCAATCACTAATTTAATATGTATCACACACCAGGACAAACGTGTAAATTAATAATAATAATTATTAATTATGCATGAGTAATTAAAACAAATCTTATTAATTATTGGAGCAAACAAATATTTATATTAACAACAAATACAAATCTCATTTTCCCGTTTTGTCGGTTGGTCATCATTTTTTAATGGTTTTTCATTTTATTTTTTTCTTATTTCTACATTGAAAATTTAAGAACAACTAGAAACGAGCTGCTCCCAATTATGTATGACGTATTTATCTTTATGTTTAACTACTTGATTAGTTTCTTCTCCTCCCTACACAACTATTTATTTGGATATGTACGTACGTATATCTTTAATAAATCTAATTAACACTGTATAAACTTTCAAAAATAAACAATAAGGTGATGATGATGGGTAAATGAGTAGTATTTAAATGTATGTATATAAAAAACCAGACTTGACCATAGGAAAATAAATTTTCTCATTATATAAAATATATTCTCTGCTAAAATCCGGAGAAATGGATAACATGAGACAACATCACAGTGTTGGATGAAAGGAGTAGTCTTATCAAATCCAAACTGCTGTAAAATCTGCATATGTAACCTGCCATACATACGATATTCATTCCATCACGCCCAAACAAACAATCTATATTATACGTTCTTTGCTGACGTGTTTTGACCACAAAGTAGGGACGACGACGATGAGGAGAAAAAAGGTGAAGAAGTCAGAATGAAAATTAAGGGTTAATGAAAACTTAACGTTTCCAACCATGTTCTTGAGCTGGAGGTGTTTCATCATTGACGCCGTATTTGATCCCTTCGAGAAGTCCGGTTCCAAACCCTTTGGTCCCCTCGACGAGGCCGGAGAAGAGATTTCCCTTCGTTTTGGCAGCTTGAACGACACCCGAGGCCAAGATCTCCTTCGTTCCGGCCACCCAGTCCACGGCTGTTCCGACCGTTTGCGACACACGCCCGCTAACGTCGCCCAGAATGTCGAATGCGAACGGTAACGTTCCCGAGAGACTGGTTTTCGCCGCGGCGAGAGAAGCCACAAGGTTGGAGAGGACGTGAAGCAATCCTCCAGTCACGTCGCCGACAGTTTCGAGAAGTTTTTTCAGTACGAGAGCACCCGATCGGACGGCCTACACGAGGAAGAATACATCACAAAGAAATCATTGAAGCTCAGGAAATCATGAAATCAATTATGATTCTTTAAAGAAAAGTTATCGCCTTAAATTTATCATGGGTTGGAAAATAAATCAATTATTTAAATCCTGTGTAGCATATTAATTAGGCAAGACAACGCCTTTTGGGAAATGGGGTGGAAAACTCTGTTTACACACGAGTTGTACAGATCTACACACTTATGCAAATCATGTCTGGCTGATAAGTAAGATGAACTCGTATATCAATATGCATAAAAAATAGGTGCGTTTCCGGTTAAAATTATAAAATAAAATCTCTACTTACAACTGGGACGCTCTTTGCTGCTTGTTGCGTAACTCCTGCTGCGGCGTCCGTCGTCTGCGCCAAGGTATCCGCCGCCCCTACGACTAAAGGCTTCAGAAGCGACAAGGCTAAATTTGGCAGACCCAAAATGAGACGGATCAACTGTCCAAAAACGTTCCCCGTCGTTCCTCCCACAGACTTTAGATTGGTCGCGATAACGTCTCCAGGTCCAAGGGCGTCCGGACCGTATGGTGGATCTCGATAAATGGCAGGGTCTGGCTGATTACTCCACGCGACTCCTTTCACCCCCACCGATTCGAGCTGATCCTTCTGACATGGACAGTTCATGATCTTGTCCAGCATTGCATTTCCCGTCATAAAATATTGTCGTGCCACTCGAGCCTGACCCTCCGACGTGACGGAAGACGCAGACGACGCAGCCGCCAAAAGTGTTGGGGACGTGGGGTTGGTGGCGGATCTCGTTTTCGACGAGGCGGAAGTGGGCGCCGAGACTTCATTGGATTTGGAGGATGACGCGTCGGCAAAGTCATCTGGGAGATTCAAAGCTCGCAAGACGTCTACGATATCGTCCTAAATATTGCATCAAAATCGAATTACGGTCAAGTATCTCACTACTATTTTATGCTGTACTGAGCCGCGTGAGGAGGAAATAGGGGAGCCTTCTTTAACTCTTCTCATCACCATTTGTCTGTTGTGCATGATGTAATCTTTTAACTTCTTAAATAGTTGTAGTGTAGTGAGTGACAGAAAAATCTGAGCATAATTCTTTTAAAAAATCCTTCCAAACTGAGCAGGATCTTAGTGAATATTCGCATGCATGCACATTCATAAGAAGTAACATGATTTGATCATCATCGTCACCATCATGCTTCCTACTTTGTTACTCTGCCTGCTGCCTGCCTGCCTGCCTCTTGAAAAACATGGCAAATTACACTTTCGATCGTTAAGGTGATTGAATTAAGTTGGAAACACCTTTGGTCCCCATTTACCCCTTGTCCGACGACTCGTTATGGATGCGTCCATTTCCTTCGATACAACTTGTTACAAGGGATGTCGGATGTGCATCTCCTTCTTCTCAACTAACTTGAGAGGAATAATAAATAATTGCACGAATGGTAAAAAAACGCAAATTTGCGAAAATCCCTTGGGTCATGTGGTAGATCTACTGTTTTGAAAAATATGTACTTCATGTAACACTAAGTTATGCAACAGGTATGCAACTTCTTGTACGACAAGCCGTGTACATTACGAGTAACGCCACAAACAACCGGATTCACTTTTGCTGAGCCCTTATTGCTTTGTGTCCATTTCATTTTCATCATTAATTAGCTACATACAGAGCTGTTTTCTATACCTACGCAGCCAACCAATATTTATATGTGAACGATTATACGTACACCACTCTATGAAATCTCTGCAGCTAAATACTTACATACGAAATTGCAAATACTTGCAAAATTTGTAGTCCCTGTTTGCCTGCCTGTAATAGTTTTATTTATGCTCAGAGAACAATAATAATAATCAAACTCGAATTTGTCACCATTCTTCCTAATCGATCAATTGAAGAATGGACACACAACAAGTAAATACCAAAATGCCAGATGGTTATTCTCTCCAAAAGTCTTATGCATTGCACATAAAAATATTGAGGCTATCATGCTCTTCTCGTTGTATATAAGAAAAAATGAGAAAATTAACAGAGAGAAATTTGAGTTAAAAAAGATGCCTACATTGTATTTACGTATTACTCCTGCTGCTCTGCTATATTTGCTTTATAATTAACTGAAGCAGCGAATTGTGCTTAATAACAATATATAAAAAACACGATCTGCTTGTGTGTGTGTGGCATTACAAGTTTTGAATGGTTTTTCGTAAAGACTTCTGCAAGTAGATAAACTAACCTGGGAAGGATTATGACACAGGACAAAGTCAAGTAAACTGGGTAAAGGCCAAGAAAATGCAGTGTAAGAATGTCACTTCCATGGGTGTAAATAATTATGGGGATGAACCCTGCGTAATGTCGCCGTGGTAGAAAAATGGCTAGTTTCTAAGTCACATTCGACACGGCGGTTATGTTGTGGGCACATTTTTTTATAGTTGAGTGAGCATAATTTTAACGTTACAATACTGCCGACAAATTTGCTGCATTTGAAATTGTTGTTACCTGTCTGTCTTGAGCGGTATTTTTGCTGGATGACTTTTCGCTTGTAGATTTGACTGCGACAGCGTCTTCCGCTCCGCGACGAAGTCTTGTCCCAAAGTCGGACTCGGACTGAGATAAAAGGTCACTCCCGTCATCCGCGCTCTCCGTGTCGAAAGAGACCGGGATGGCGTGTGAGGTTAAGCAACTAATGACTACGAGGAAGCCTATGTGTAGGGCAGGAAACCGCATCTTGTGGCGAGGGTTGGCTGCTCTTGGGGGATCACTGGAAGGAGGAAAAGATGTCGAATTACGAAACATGTAACTCAACAAATTGGTGATTCCTTGTTTCAAATATAGTTTCCTTGATGTATTATTTTGGTGACGTGTTGAAAGAGTTGCTGCTGAATTGCAAATTGCATACACACGAAATCTGGGACAAATAGTGCATAATTTTCCTAAATTTGTCCAGACCAAGAAACCAAGTTTTTTCTCAAATTTTCGTAAATATGTACCACAACCAAAGATTCAATGTAATTTTCAAGTAAGGTCTAAATTGCGTTCTCATGAGAGAAGTTGCTTTGCTACAGGTAAACTCTGCTGGTTAGAAGGAATTGGATTTGTGATCTTATTTTATTGGGCTGCATGTACGTATGTATACGCATTCTTTGTGATCTAATCTATTCACTTTGGTGAAACAAGAGCGAAAGTGAACACTGTTGTTGATTTAATTGTAATATCTCCTTCAATTCAGTTTCGTGGGGTCTTTTAATTGAAGAAACGTCAGACAACAACAGTTTGTCACATAATGTACGTATGTAAATACATGCAATATTATGAATGTTGCCCATTTTAGTTGGAATTAGCTCAAAAAACTACTGAATGATAAGTAAACCAGAGATAGTATACACGTACAATAATTGTGTGAGCTGTTTCTTAACGTTTCTTCACATTTCGCAGGCATAATTATTAAAACATCCTTCATGTTGGGAGTTGTGTGGGTTTAACCATTTTCGTTACATGAATGACGATTATATGCGACTGAATCAATATTACGATAATTAAATTTCAATGTGTAACACTTGACATTGAAGTATCTGACTCAATCCCAGTGTAGATTCTGGAAATTATTTGAACTAATTGTTCACGATTTGATTAATTGGTATGCATTTTACTTAAAAAACACGGGTTCGCTTCGTATTAAAATTAGTTTTTACTTCTTACAGCACATCAAACTATAAAACGACATGCTCAATTATGTTACGTGATCTCCCAATATTCATTCTTCTTCAATTTGTGTATGTAACCAATACAATTTACGACGACGTATGAACCACTTGCTCTGACGCATCTGCCAAGTAGCATGCAACGTACTTACATTCTGCATTGTTTGACGTGCATATATTGCACTGCATTTCAGTTTACATACATGCAACACGAGTGTGAAACTTTGCAAGTCAACCCACGCAACCAACTTTTGAGATTTGTCTACAATGACGTTATTTCCAATTCAATTAAAAAAGGTGGTGTGGTCTATTTATGTGCGAATTCGAATATTACCACCATTGTCGCACTTGCATAATAATTTGAGTCCTTATAAAGAAGACGACGACATTAATTTGTCAAGGGATTCGTCGTAATTTAACTCGTGTGTGGAACTAATTTCAAAATTTGATTGTTTCAATATATATTCCCGAGCAGTAATTTTCATTATTGGCCACTCGTAATTTAAGGTTACAGAGCATGCCAACACTGCCAGAAACGCGTGAGAAGAACGCAAGTCAAACAATGTAAAAGGTAAACACAATCGACACAAATTATGTATTTTTGAAACCCATGTAATCCTCCATCGACCACATGCACCCATCAATCGTCGTCGTCGCCCCATTACTAATATCTTAATTTAATGCGAGGAAATTATTACACAAGTCAAGTCACAAATTATTACCTACCTACGAAAATTGATTTGTGTGTGCCAAGCAAGAGACACTCCTCTACATATTATCCCACTTGTGCGCACTTCGTCTTGTTCCCGTCACGTTTTTTTTAAAACTGCATTGCCTCAACAAAAACTGTGTCAAATTATCCGATTTTGATTCTCTGACACTCTTCACACCAAATTTTGACACTCAACACTGGGGAACAAAGTTAGTTATCAATTTTTGTTTTCCAAGCCAGGCTAGCACGGCACCACGAAAGCACAGAGCGAACCGTTTCCGCTATGGTCACCTCGACAGGGTTTTCTCAACTAAGAGGAGACGAAGGGTGCTTTCCGCATTATAAGAGGTGAGGGTGGCCTTCAGGTCTCTACTGCTTGTGCTGGGGGTCTGCTTGTACTTCTACCTCTGCATTTTTCAACGAAAGTGAAACGGCTCTCTCTCTCTCATTCCCAATTCCACTCTTGCTCCCATTTTTGCAACGCCACTCAGCTCGTCACTGACTGACTCACTGCACGCCACCACAATTCGTAATAATTATTATGAAATTGATGTAATCCGCTGTAAAATCAAAAAATGTACTCGGCTTCGTCAATCTGTTTTGGGGACAAAGATAACCCGGAACGGTTGCACGCATGTGTAAAACGGGAAAAAGAAGTGTTTGGTAAATGGATGTCAATATAAGTTCAAAAAGATTCAAGAGATTTCAAAACTCTTCTCAAAAATAAAGCTAAGTATTACCAATGGATTAGTATGATTAAATTCTTAAATATCATTCATTATTTGGGAGATTCCTATTTTGAATTGCATACAAAATTTCCCATCTTGTTTATTTCAGCGTTATGTTACACGTTATGTTACAAGAATCCTCGTTACATAATGAGGATTCTTTTTCTTGTAAAATAGGTCAAAAACTACACGGTCCCGACAAAAAAGATTGCGTTGCGACTCCAGGCGCCAGGCGTACTTTCTCCAGCGCGACATTATTTTTAGTTAGCATTATTGTAAGCACGCTACTTCCGCAATATTGCATGTTTACATACTACTAATCTAATTCTCAATTCCTAGCATTTTTCAAATTACGAAAAAAATATGTAAAAAAACATCTAACTTTACCTGTCATTTTAAATACTTTCATTTTCAAACATGCGACAAAGACGTAATCTCAACATTTCTGTAAAAAAAATCATAAATATCAACACGTGTAGATCCTTCAAGATGAGAATTTTATTTCTGTCATTCATTCATACTCGCTAATCTTGGAAACGTCACGTAATAAAATTCTAAAAATGTGACCGCAAAGGAAAGATAAGTTCTGACGACGAGAAGCCGAACACATGCAAATTTATTGAGCAGCTTTGAAAATTAAATTAGTTAAGTAGGCGCTTATGTGCAGGCGATGACAAAGGTTTTCCAAAAGAAAATCAGCACATTTTATTACAAGTTGAAGTTCACAAGACGGAAATCACGCCCTTTGGGTGAGTGAGTGAACTGATGTTATCAGGAGAATAAGTTGAGCTTATCTCTGTTACTCGTTCATTGTTGCTGTTATGCATATGTACATTCTGCTGTAACTGCATGTTACATATGCGTTATTACGTGTCGTTACTGTTACACTAGTGCAATGCTTCCCTTATTGTGTACATACATAAGAATGCTTATGCATACTCGCATTTAAACAGTACAATTAACAAAGTTGCGAGAAAACTTGCCAAAAATCAAAATTGTGCATTGAACTATTAAGAACATTGAAGGAATAACTGATCAGCAGCAAATTAATTGGTGTGCAGTGCACTCATCACTTGTTTTCTTACACTCAAGTTCTGCATAGTTTCAATTTCTTTCAAAGCGTAGAAACATGTAACAAAATATGTACTTGTTTAGCAAGAAGGAAGAATATAACGCTGTACTTTAGGCATAAATAAATACATTGTTAGCCCAATTGTTGCCGAATGATGTATGAAGTAAATAGTTTAATTCTTGGACAATTGGATTTGGAAACAAATCCACGTTTTGCAAATGAAAAATTTGAACTATTCGACGATTCATTCATTTAATCAACATACATATTTATTACGCATTTGAAAAAAAATGTACCAATATTTTGTACTTATTATCTGATAAGCACATACATATTTAGCACCACTACCAGTACCATCAAGGAAATCAGCATTTGCGAATTTTTGTGTATCCTTTATTGATCTACATGCATAAATATTTGCACTACTATTTGGAGGTTCAATACCATTTCGTAATCATAGATATTATTCTGATACGACAACTAAGGATATGCACCTTCGTAGTCATGCTTCTGTCTGGATTTGTGACAAAAAGATAAAATGCCGACAAGACACGACATCGGATAACCTGTTTAGCCAGCAAGACAGACGTCAAGTCGTGGTAAAATTTTTGAGTCAAATTACCTCCCTCGATTTTGAATGCGACTAGTGAGTGACTGTTATTACATGTAATTAGACGCATTTTGAACTTTTCCCCATTGACCGATATTTCTATTTATCATTCGTCATGATGATGCTGGCGATATGTGATGGTCAGATACAGAGACGTGAAACGAGCGATTTCGCAATATTTAAATAATCAAATAATTTTTTAATTCAACTACATAATAGGAAAAGTGCAACTGCAAACTGGTCGTCAAATAAATAATGAATCTTGCCAATTCGAATTGTTGTTGTACATATTTTTCTTAGGTTCACAGGGAAGACTTTATTTGAAACAAATTAATACATACAAAGTAGCAAAGGTTACGGGGAAGATTATTACAAATCATGGGAAAATCATGAGGATACATAATTTAAAATGCAAAATGCTGCTGAGACCTTTGCGTAAAATATCACCTGTTGAATCAATCAGGTTATAATTTAGTATATTACCCATCTGAAAATATAACATCGTGTAGTATCAATCAATACAGAAAATTGACGGGGATGAATATTTTAACAACTTTTTAAACGAGTATTGTCAGTTATCGTAACAATAAAAGAAGTTACAGATAGTCGTGAGTGGAATTTTGATAACAACAACTTGCACTCATTACAGAACATCGAATACTTTTTTGGACATCGTAGGGAAGGAAGGAAGCAAGTATTCCCTTCATTCATAATAGATAAATATGTAGTTAATCTATCACCATAATGCTCGTCAACGTGATGGATAGAGGTGTGTAAATTACTCGTGGCAGATTGCAGGGGTATGAACTTTGTAGTAATTAATTAAATATAAAATGTATGTAAAGCGATATGTGCGACTGGGTGGACACATTTTTCAGTGGTAACAATTATTTTACAGGTTTTAGTATGTATTTTTTCGGTCGCAATTTCAAATAGGTCACAAAAATAGGCGGATATATTATCATGAAGAGGAGTTCAAACTTTTATATTAGTCTTGCTTAAGACATTTTATGTCGATCAAAAATGTATCAGAAGTAATTAAGGCGACATAAGAAAACCTGATAAGCAGTCATACACATAATTTTAAAATTGCAAGGAACACTGAGATTTAATTCCTAAAATAATTTCGACTACAAGTTGCATGTTTTGTACCCATTTCCTCTGCACAGAACGTGCAACAATGTGCACAAAATATATATATTTAACATGCCAAATTCCTTGAACGATTAAAATATCAATTTTTATATTTCATGCGCAATTACATTAAATCTTAAAGTGGATAAATCACTAATTTTATTGACAGCAAAAGTCATCAGTATAAATGAGATAATTTTCCTATAAAATTACAACGATCACTTTACAAACAATTCAAATGGGATCATCGCCATGTCATGACATTAGTAAAACTAGTCCAAATATGGGCCAACTCAGTTTTTCTCGACATATTATTATATATTATACAATGCATTCATATTCCCAATCTTGGCAACACACATAAATAATTCACTTCTCTCGGAGGAGGTGTAAAAATCAGAGCGAGTAAAAAACCTGCATATCCCTCATGGAATTCAATTTTTTTTTTTTAAATAACTCGTTTAATGATGATGGGGAAGCAAGTACAAAAATACTAAAAAGAAGCGAAAGCTTATGGTCACACCGTGACACACTAGCTGAATTTTGATGGATACGTACACAGAATATGGCCACACAGTCAGAAAGATAAGCACGCGCTACAGTACGCATATATAGCTCCTTGTTATTTTTACGCGCAAAATTTACCCAAACAAAGGTATGTGTTTGGATTAAAGATAAGCAGAAAACTGCGAGTGACAATTTTTTATTAGGGTAAATTCATCACGTATGTAGAGCTCTGTATGTCCTTATCAATATCAGATGATAATCGAAATGGCGAAAGCTGTGAATGAGACAGATTTGATTATGGAATTTTATAGTTCATGGTTCACCTCAAATGCATGCAGTAAACTGAAAAACCTAGAAGCTAAACGTTTAACAGAATGGAATTTTAATTTTGTCGGAGATCCATAAAATGTACATATGAATCTTACCTGTTAACACCGCATAACGCATTTTATTGGCACATTATCCTAAAAATAGTAAATATTGAAATTATAGTGCAAGGAAGTAGGTAAGTAGCCCGTCTTCTTCCTTGCTTTTTTGGTAGCAATAAACTCTGCGCCAAGTATAATTACACATAATTAATTTATCTTTACTTTTTATTCATGGTTTTGTGCCCCCGCAGAATTATTGATTTTTAATTACATTATTAATTAAAACATGTAACACTATCACGCCGACTTATGGTTACAAAACCTCATAATAATTACGGCGAATAGATACATGCCAATTACATCAAGATCTCGTAGTGATTACTTCAAATCAGGAGTTGTGGTCTTAAGTCAGAAGTTCATTTTGATCTATTTTTAATTAAGTCAAACATACATAAATACATGAAGGCTTACATACTTACATCGTTCGTATTCACATGGTGGTAAGTTCAGTTCAGTTCTGTGTTGAGGTCCATGTAACTCGTTTCCTTTTCTCAACAATTAAAGCGGAATTGATATGGTAGCATCCATTTTGCAAAAAAATGAATTCAGCATTTCAAGTGCAAATAAATTTACTGTGAAGGGATTCGTTGTTCTATCAAGAAATCGTTAAGTTATATAATGTGTAACGATATACAGAGTAGCTTGCAGAATTATGTTACATACGTCAATATGCATTGAAAGAGAGTGAAATTTATTTCTAGTGTTGGTGGTTAGTCAATTAAACTAATTTATAAGATTCATGTCTGATTTTGTGTTTGAGGATAACATGGTAATCAATATATGTATGTATTTACTTTCCCATTACAATTAGGCAGGCATTAATTAGTGCGATCTCGGCTTGTTATCTTCGGACCAGATTTTTGCACTATAAATGTGCAAATGTGTATGTATTCGCATTGTTTTTTATTTTATTTTGAAAATTATAAAATGCATGTTAGAATTTTGCAAAAAATTGCACTTCTACATAATGTAACTTCAGTTTGGGATCAAATCTGAAGTATCTACGTATCCAAACTCAATGCAAAGTTTAATTAGGCATTTAATTAGGCGTACCAATTTAAAATTACTTAATTTAACGTGTCACGTAAAAATCAGGCTCAGCTAATCGCACAATGGAATTGCAGGAGATAAAAAAAATGTCCAAAATTGATTGTCCATGCTGTAACTTTATATGAATAAATCAAATCGAATTGATTGCCGACATGTCCACACCGAAATTATTCGAATATGAAAATCATGAAGAAATTATCCCTTTACAAATAGTATTTTTTACATGATTATTACTGAATTTCAATAATAAACGCAAACGCATCACAATACTTGATTAGTTGAGCGATGAGTTGCTCATTTCAATTATTGATGACATGAAAATGGCAACAATTGCATTAAAAAGTTTCGCAGTTTACTTTTTTAGCACATTTTTATCCCCGGATTGAGTACAAAGGTTTCATTACAAAGGAAAAAAACTGTGGATATCGGAATTGCTGATTACCTCCATTGTCGTAAAAATCATTACAGCCTACAGAAAATATCCTTTATCAAGTTTGATAGATATTGATTTTCAATGTTTTAAAAAAAAATAACTGATCAATTCAGCTTCACCCAGGAGTGCAGTGCAGTGTCACTTTTTAAGTCATACAAACGTAGTAAGTCAGACAGGCCAACTTTTCGTTTTCATCAACATCAACAAAAAGTGGTTTTCCAAACCAATCCAACAATTACCTTCGTTATGTGATGAATTCGATTTTCATGAAAATATTCAATTTTATAAAGTTTGATAATCTGCTGCTGACGAGAGAAGTGGTTCATAGTACACATTATTTTAGAAAGGCATAATAATTCCCCATTTTTTCTAGAATATTTTGATAATTGTTAATTTGCATAATGCAACTTGTACACGGCAGATTCGATCTGCCTACTTGGTGGCTGACATGTATGTATAAAGATATGAATATATGAATCGGCACAGTATGCATTTTTTCCTTTAGAATTTGTTTACCGTAGGCATTACTACGTAAATACGTATAACATTTTCGATGCAATATTCTAGTAAAAAAAGCTTCATACAAAATATTTTCAACTCGAAAACTTGCAATTATTTTCAAATTTCGCTAAAAAGATTGATCAGTGGACAAAATCTATATTTAATTTTTCCAATTATCTACTCCACGACATTATTGTTCAATTTTTCTTGGTTCGGTTACAAAATCGCGTTCTTCTGTTTAAAAATGCATCGTCTAATAACCAGAAATCATTAGCTAAGTACCTACGTGCATAGTTATTATTCGATGTGTGGTAAATAAAAATTACGAGAAAAATGCATGAAAACAGCAGGCACAAAAAGAAGAGGTACCACCACTACAAAGTGACATTATTACTATTATATTTTTACACTTATTAAGTCATTTGCCCTGTCGTGGCATCGCTCGTTCGTGAGGTTGATCATTATTACATGTGTCGCCGTCGTCGTCGTCCATCGCCTTGCATGGCTGGCGACTTGGTTAATGTTGCAGAATTTTTGGCATGTGTGTGACTACTTGATCGGTGGTTTTCGTTACAATATTCACTCGAAAGATGTTGAATGAACTTTTACAAACCCACAATTACGCTGCCGACTTTTATAATTATTTCATCCTAATCAAGGATAATTCAACCCTAATACATCTGTCATTACGGCATATTACATAGTCACTTGAGACGCTTATTTTCTGAACGCAGCACAGTAGCACACACGAGGATAAGTATGGGAAACGTGCATACGTGTGCATGGCGTGGCTACCTGGTGTCATCTCATAATATAATATTACTCAATTTACAAATTACTCGGCTTGCAACCCTATAATTACCAAAGTCAACATGAATGATCCAAATCACAAAATGTTTCTGCAATCCGCGTCAACAAATCAATAAAATGTGGAGATGTTAGGGAGAAATTACATCGAAAAGGTAAATCCATACAGTTATTATTTGTTATTATGCAAGGGAACCAACAAAATCCTTGAGATCTGTCTCAATTTCGTGGAAAATAAGTTCTAGAAGAAGAACAAATAAATAAATGGTTCGTACTCGTATCACATTTCACAAAACGTCTAATTCCAATCAGTCAAAGCAACTAACACGCCGTCGTCGTCGTCGTCATCGCCGTCGTCAATGTCTCAACATCATTTTCTCCAATGTCATCTCCAATGGAAAGCTTAGATTAAAGCGAACGAATTAGATAATTTGTTGAGAATCCCAGGATAAATTGGTGAATTGATTAAGAAGCGATACCAACCACTATATGGAAATGCACACACTTTGCGTTTAGGTAGATGCAGCAGCATTCATTCGTATTGTTTCATTCAATATGCACAGAAGAAGGCTTCTCGTTCCTTAATTCCCCTGACCTGATAATCTATTTAACAAGCAGAACCATATTATCCAAGGCACCTGTTCTCCAATGTTTTTTGTCAACAAGATACGTGGTGAAGAACAACGTCTGTTCTTGACTAGTATCAATCACACATTGATGATGTTTGTACTCCAATACGACAAATTTCATCAATTCATAAGAGTCATACACACTTCAATCTTTGCACTGCAATTAATGATTAAAGAAGAAAAGAAGCCTCGATTAATTGCCATGCAGCTCGTTTCTTGGCTGGTTGGTTAGTAGCCATTGTACTTTTGTTGACTTTTTTGTTGGCTTTTCTTGTATTTGTTTAGTGGGCTGAGGGAGGGGATACGACTTACTCGTTTAGTAAACGGAAGCTCTCATTAAGAACAGAATGGAACAATTAATGATCAGGGATGGATGATGGCTTTCCGATTTTGTAGAATATAAAAAAGCACTATTTTATTTCTATGAGGAATGGTTTGATTGAGGCGTTGCATAGAAGTTGCTTATGTACATATAAGCTGTATATTTGCTTAGTTAGTGTCTCATGTACTGCATTGTATTTTACAATTATTATCTCAAATTGGATTTGGAAATGTCCGTGAATTACCTGTGTGAGAAGAAACAAAAGTACAAATTGCCGTTCAGCCAAGTCACATAATGCGAATATTATGTACATACTTTTACGAGCATGTAATACATACGATCTTGTCTTCCTTCACGCATTCAGAAATGCAATGGCGTGGCCCTGCTTTATAACAGTCGTCGCTGTTCGAATTCTTCTCATATTACGTGTAAATATTTTTATGTAGTAACAATGGAAAAATGGAGCATGTAGGTAGCAAAGATGAAGGTGAATCACAAAGTAAAATTTACTACTGGGTAAAAATTTTGAAATCAATGTATCAAATTAAGTGATGAGCTTTTCTTTAAATTATCTTTTCCAAAAAAATATTTTTTTGGAAATATTAAATGTCAATATTTTTTATGAGTGTGTATGACAAGCGTGATTCCGAGGCAGATGCAGCCCAACTCTAAAGTTTTACAACTTTTACTTCATCTCATCAACGATTCATCATTGTGTGAATCAAGTTGATATCGATATCTAGTATTTTTCAGCATTTGACAATCGATGGCATTAGTACTTCAAAATAATTCAGGTTTAATGATAATTTTGCGATGGTCAAACTTATCTTGTAAAATTTCTGTGTTGCATTGACATACAATCTTCTCAATTTAAAAACATATCAAGTCATGTTCCAACATGTTGCATCAGTCACACCTCAATCGAACTTCATGATCTGCTCAATTACTCACACAAACGCTTAACGGGCGCATTTGGATGTAAGACAAACAAGTGAAGTAATAACAATAACAAAACAATGTATTTCTAAAATTCATAAAAAAGGGTTCTTGTTAAACGTGAACATGAGGAGATGGACTATGGACTACTGACTGCGTAACAAAATGGGCAACATGTGTATGTATATCTCCTGCTAAGAGTGTACTTATACTTACTCAACCAAGAAGCGTCGGCCTTTGATGAAAGTCAATTGTTGACTTTTTTGCGACTAATCTGGATTTTTTTCAAATATTCTTGACCTTAAGGTCTAAGGTTTCTCAAAAATCGGTCAAGTAAATAAGAGTGTCATGTGAAATCATCACTCCATCACCATCACCCATCTTATTCGCTATGCAATCAAATTGCTATAACAAGTACGTGCTCATCTGCAATATAATGAATTCACTTATGAGAACAATGGAAATATATTGTTGATGACTTTATAAATTTAGGAATGGGCAGGGTGTGGAACCACTAAGTAGGGATGCATATTGTGTAATTGGAAGGTCAGCTAACCTCCTATTCACAAATGAAATAATTCTGTAATCTTCGGCTTTCGTCAAGTGTAAAATTTAATCAAATATCAAGTAAACATTTGAAAAATAAAATACAAAATTGAAATATAGTAGTTAGCACAGTTCTGCTTCTTGAGAAAATGCTTTCTCCATGGACAACACTTCTGCATCGGATAATCCTTTGTTCTGGTGAGCCTCTCGTTTTGCTTTCTTATTCTGTTTCTTTGTCCTCTTGTCCTTGGCTATTGACCATGAAGATTCGGTGGTGATACTTTTCTTCAACTTTCTATTCCGATCAGGCCATGTTCCAGTGGATTGATAAACCTCCAATTTTCTTTTTCTACTCAACTCTTTCTGTTTATCCCTGTGAAACATACATAGAAATTCGTCATCATTAGTAATCAATTGTTTACATAATGCTAAAAGTTCTACTGTAGTCAACTTGTAACGTACTTGTATTCGATTAAATTTACGTCAATGTCCACTTCTGAAAAGTTGTCGGGTTTTTGGGCTTTGAGTTCTGACATTTTGGGAAATTTTAGCAGACCATAACATGTGGCAATTGAACCTAAATCTAAATCTGACAAGATAAAACAAATTAAGTTGAAACTTCCATTTACTTTACTATGCTGTGTTAAACCACGAAATTATAAGACAAAACATGTACCTTTCAGTCGAAGTATCAAGTTACAGTCATATCTGGAATATGCTTTGTAGTACGAAACAAATGAACGGACGGCCTTTTCATAGATCGCCTTGTCCTCTATCTGTAATTTATGAATACTCTTCAAATCTTCGGGAAGCTTCTCTGTGTTGATGAATTCAGTCATGTCCATCTCGTTAATTTTGACCTGAAGACCACAAAATGCGCTAATTAAAAGAGGGAAAATATGGATTGGTTTAATAAAAAGAGACTATTTTACCTTTTGACTGACTTCCATAAATGCCACATAGTCTTGTTCATGAGGTTGAAGCATAATCAAAGCCCAACCTTCTTCTCCATTCCGGGCGGTACGCCCAGAACGATGAATAAATGCTGCAGGATTAGACGGAGGATCAAATTGTACCACCCAATGAATCTTCTTCGTGATATCAATTCCTCTCGCCATAACATCAGTGCAACATAAAATGCCTGGAAAATAAGACAATATGCATACGAATTAGCTCACATGACATAAAAATGATAAAGATGTTATGTAATAATGTGCATAAATAAAACTAGCTTACCGGCTTCAGATTCCCTAAATTTGTCGAATATTGCAACTCTTCCCTTTTCTTTCATCTTTCCATGAATAGAAGAAACCGCAACATTCTTTACTAATCTGAAACACAAATTGTAATGCTTACAAAAATATCGAATGTATAAATGAAATTGCAGAACAAATTCAATTAACTAAAATGATTACTTTTTCAGAACGTAGGCAAAATAATCTACGCAAGCACACGTTGCGAAAAAGAGTAGAATCTTCTTTTTTTTGTGCTTCTTAATGAAGTTTAGAAGAACATGAAACTTCAGTTTCGGTTCAAGGATACAATAATTGTTATCCAAAGATCCAGGAACTCGCCCCTTTTGCGATTTGTCCACGACTACGACAGACACTGGGTTTCTCAAACCAGCTCGAATCAATTTAGTAACTTCGGTAGTTTGAGTGGCGGAAAACAAACCGGTACGTCGTTGTTTTGGCAGCATTTGTAAAATAGCGTTTAGAACCTTTTCAAATCCCATGCTAAGAAGGCAATCTGCTTCATCGAGAATTAAAACTTCCTGAAATATTAATAAAACCAAACATTTGTAAATCTATATCGACGATTTTAAAATAATAATCCAATTATAATAATGACGGACGGACGACCTACCATGTGCTTAAGAGCAGCTTTCAAAAGGGATCCTTCATGTCGTAGCAGAAGATCGTGGAACCTCCCTGGTGTAACAATGATAATGTTTCCGCCCTTCTTTTCGAAATTGTCCAAGTCTTCGTCCACCGAGGTGCCACCAATGAAGAGGAGTCTAGATAGTTTGGGCACATGGAGTAAAAACTTTTCCAAAACTTTACTGATCTGATTAGCCAACTCCCTCGTTGGTGCAATGACAACTCCTCCGACCTGATGTTTATTCCAGGTTCCTTCTCTCCTCTAGGACGAGGAACAAATAGTCATATTTAATAAAAACTTAAATACACTCATCAGTCATTCAGTCATGCAAGACTCCGTTCGCCGGGACAGACGGGGGGGCAGGACCTTTTTTTTTTTTTTTTAGGGACCTTTTCCCATAAGGCCCATGTTAAAATTTCCGGGATTTTGTCCCCCCCGTTTGTCGGGATGAAACCGGAAATCGCACCCACGCAAGACTCATCATAAATAACCTGAACATACCAACATTATTTGCAACATGGGGACAAGAAATGCAACCGTTTTTCCACTCCCGGTAACCGCTTCGGCAACGACGTCTTTATAATTTAGCATTTGAGGAATACACGCGGCCTGCACAGAGTCAGAATTTACAGATTTATCAAGTCGGAACCTTCAACCTTACTTATCATGAACAACCGATAACCAGCTACAACACTTACCTGAACCGGTGTCATTTCCGTGAAACCAAACTCCTCAATTGCATCGAGAAGGGCTGACGATACAGAATTTTTCAAAGCTGACCAATTCGTGTTCATCGTGTCTATCTTTTGCTAACTTCGCAATAACAAAATATATAAAACTATAACTTTCTTCCAATCGCCAACCTTACGAGGATGCAGGTAACTTATCGAATTAGATAAGTTGTTAATCTTATCCAAGGACAAACTATCAAAATATGAATTACTCCTCAAAAAAGTAGTAGCAGCAACAAAAGCAGATTGTCGTGCACATGGGATAAGAAGACCGCTTTCATCTATCTCAACGCGAAGCTCGTTGCCCCATCCGGACAAAAAATTAAATTGCATGGAACAATCTCATGAAAAAATGTTACATAATAGTCCATGAAAACAATTACATAATTTTAATGATGCATAATAACAAATGAGTCTCTGGGTAGATTGCAAAAATTAATTTTGAGCACAAATTGGCAAGCATTTCGAATTTCATCATTCCATTTCTCACATCTGATGACCTACTCTACTAATCGAGTAATTGTGTGCTTTTGCTATAAGAATCTCCGAATTCGGTGTGCACTTTGACTTGGGAGTGGGTAACACAGATGTAGAAATAATATATGGCAAAAGAAGAGAGCATAGGCGTTGCGCAAATGTACACGGCCTGGGAACATGGACCAGAGTTCGTCACCTGACGTCCTTCACCATAATCCACCACCACCACTTTATTGCTGGCAGTAGAGCAACGAGCCGAACCCAGTTCTCTGATTTTCTTCCTTCAACAACTCCAGCAGACCACATTTTTCCTCTCTCTCTTTCTTCTTGTCCCTTTTAGGAAACTTTTAGGACACTTTTTTGGGAAATATGTTCTCCAGACTCGCCAAGTCGACCACACCCGTCGCCGCCCAGTTCATCGCCAATGGGGGCAGGAACATTTCCACCTCAAATCCGGTAAGTATTTCCAATATTTTCTGATCTCTTCTCCGACTAAAATTTACTTTTGTTATTTCAGAGGAATGTGAAGGTGGCCGTGATGGGAGCGAGTGGGGGGATTGGTCAGCCTCTCTCCCTCCTCCTTAAGCACTCCCAACTGATCAGTGAGCTCAACCTCTTCGACATTGTCCACACTCCGGGGGTAGCCGCTGACTTGAGCCATATCGAGACGAGGTGCAAGGTGAAGGGGTTCGTGGGTAACGATCAGCTCAAGGACTCACTCAAGGGCGTCGACATTGTTATCATCCCTGCCGGCGTGCCACGTAAACCAGGAATGACCCGGGACGACTTGTTCAACACCAACGCTTCTATTGTGAGAGATTTGGCCGCCGCGACGGCTGCCGTTGCTCCAAAGGCGCTGATTGGTATCATTTCAAACCCTGTAAGCAAACTATATTAATGTTAACTTTAGTAAACTAACTTTAACCTAGTTTTTTTAAAGCGACTTTTGTATTGTAATGAGGGAATTATTTGATTAATGGCATTTTTCCTTGGGCAGGTGAATAGCACGGTCCCCATTGCATCTGAAGTGTTCAAGAAAGCTGGGGTTTACGATCCCAAGAGGATATTTGGAGTCTCAACATTAGACGTTGTTCGAGCCAACACCTTCATTGCAGATGCTAAGGTAGGTACTAATAATCCTGCAATTAATTAGTAAACAACTGTTCACTAATTACATACTTAGTTACATGGTTAGTTAAGCATTTTGTAACATTACTTATTCATTCAATGTGTAGGGCCTTGACCCTGCTCAAGTGAACTGTCCCGTCATCGGTGGTCATTCTGGGGTCACCATAATTCCCCTCATTTCGCAGTGCAAACCGCAAGTTCAGTTTCCACAAGACAAGCTTACAGCTTTAACGGAGCGAATTCAGGTATGTTCTCACCGACGATCTGCTAATTGATGTAATGTAAATATACAACAACATGAGAATCAAGTAGATTTGAAGTTTAATTATTTAGTACGAACGAGCAGTGTGCTAATTAACCTTTATTTACTCATAATTAACAATTGCAGGAGGCTGGAACTGAAGTTGTAAAGGCAAAGGCTGGAGCAGGCTCCGCAACGCTGTCGATGGCGTACGCTGGTGCACGATTCACTTTCTCCCTCCTCAGGGCACTCAAGGGGGAGCAAGGCGTTATCGAATGTGCGTATGTCAAGAGTGACATTACCGAAGCTACCTATTTCGCCACTCCAATCCTTCTCGGGGTGAGTCCCATTCCCGTATTTCACAATTTTGATGTACTCCTTAGGCTCGTATCAACATTAGTAATGGAACTAATGTTTCTTAATTTATGATTGCTTTGCAGCCCAACGGTGTGGAGAAGAACATGGGACTTGGAAAGCTGTCCACATTTGAGCAAGAACTCCTTGCGAAGGCCCTACCCGAACTTAAGAAAAATATTGAAACCGGAGAAAAATTTATAAACAAGTAGGATAATTCTGCAATAACAACTTTTAACAAAGTAGTGAAACATGTGTCTAAATAAACAATCAATCCAAAACAAATATTAAGAAACGTCGTCTCTCGTACTTTATTCCTTGTTGCAAGCTGACAATGCGTATTATTATACTTATTAGGAATAATTAGGATAAAAATCTTTTCAAGAAATTCTGACTAAAATTCTTCACATCAACGTGACTTAAACTTGAATGAGCAAATGTTTTTGCATGAGCATTTAAAAAACAGTAGCATAGTGACTTCTTATTTTAGTCTTAATATCCTATCATCAGTATTACTAGCGAATTATTAATTATATCATATTAAAGACTGATTATTTATGTACTATGTATGCATGCATGCATGTAATTATGAACTGATTATTTGTCAGTTTGCATAATATTATATATAACTATCGAATCATGAGACCATGCTTTAAGGAAATATTTGTGACTCGAAGACCATCGTTATAAGTACTCACGAGGACAAATAAAAAACAACAATCAATTAAAACTAGGATGAGAATACACATAATTATGTTTTTGCGCACTTTAACTGCATATGTGCAATTGTGTTAAACTATAAAAAAAACTATATATGTAGAGAAAAAAGGGTAAGAAATAGTAAGAATTACTCAGATCGTTTATCGTGATGTTGAAATTACAGTCGACTCTTATACATTGCATAACACACATATACCACAGTGAATTTAAAATCTATCAGTAAACCTAATTTGTTTCCGTAAAAATTTTCATCGAACGAAGTGTTTAATTATTCAATCACAGTGTTCTCCAACGTGGAGTAAATGTCCTTGACATAGTTCATAACTTTCTCCCAAGACGGGCGATCTTCAGACAACATATCTTCAATAGTCTAGAGTTAGCAAACAAAGTGGACCAATTAGTAAATTACTGTGTAGGTAAACCTGTTTATACATACATATACGTATATTGTTACCAGAGAATGAGGTATTGATGCTGCCTCTGCAACTTGAAACGCAAGCTGGAAATTATCTACACAGTTTTCCGGTCTCAATGTGTCGTATGGGATTTGGTCTGGGAGGTAGGAATGAAGCAACGCATTGAGTGCCATCCCATCCCTCCAGGAGGTACTGAAATTTGTAATCTCCACAAAGTTGTAATCGCTTGTTCGATTTTGACACCATCGGAGCAGCGCATTTCTCTTGGAACCTCCAGACAATCTCATAAAATTTTGGAACGGATCCCGCTCTGGAAGAGTTTAGTCTTTAATTAATGTCCCATTACAGTTAGAATAAATAGATTGATATTAGATACCTTGTGGAGTTTCTTTCTCCACCGATTGGAAACTAGAAAAGAAAGCCGCCCCTTTGCTTCGGCGTTTCAAGGGACCTTTATTTTGAGAAATGATAGACAAGGTCTCTGTACTACTCTCTTTAGGAACTCGAAAACTACCCCGTTCAAAATTTTCTTTGTTGTTTTCAAATTTCGTTGTTGGGATTAACGGTGTCGTGGATGGAAGAGTAGGAGAAAGACAAGGGGGCATTAGAAACTCAAGACCGTCAGCACAATCCACAAACGAGTTTTCATCAGAGGTAGTGGGGTCCATTTCCATTGTATTTGCTGTATCATATTCTGAGATTGGCAAACTGTCTTCCTCCATCACTTCTGTCACTTGTGCATCTTCTAGCTCACGAAAATCGTCCGTGAAGTGGGGACAGCTGGACGAACGTGGGAGCTTGGGGTTGGACTCAGTTAACTGTTCGTGAAGCACGTCGATTCTTTCCCATAATTCAGAGTTAAGAGCTTTGTACTGTTTGACTTTCATTTTATGCTTTTCGACGATGGCCATCGCTTCATTGTGGTAGCTGTCGGCAGCTCGCACCACCAGCAAAAGATCATCTTTGTATCTGTTCCTATAAAATAAATAATAGCTCAAGTTCCATCTCCTAGGATACCAACAAGCCAATAATTTTTAATAAATAAACTCACCAATCTTTCTTCTCTTTTTCGAAAGACTCTTTGTTCTTGCCCAACCTGTGATGTAAGGTATGACATAGTGTCTGTAACCTTTTAATTTCAGTATCCTTCCTACAAATTATTTCATAGAGACGATCCGATTCCTCCAATTGTTCTGCATATTTTTCTTCAAAATTGATAGGCCCTATGCTGCTGCTACTACTGGTATTACTGTTGTTACTATTGTCTGTACCATCGTTAATCGGCCCGGAATGAGTTGTCTGCAAGAAATGATTTTAAAAATTTTCAGTTCACTCACATTATTATTTTCCATAAATAAAGTAAATTCTTATTTATCATTCATACCATTATTCCAGACATCATTTATCTCTAGTTGATTTCACTGTGACTAAAATTTACTTCTTAAAAAATTTTGTTCTACCCCCTTTCCTGAGATAGTACAGTATTACGCCAATTCAAAACTGAGGCTCACTGGCTCACTTCGTATGACCTTCTCCTTCAAGTTCAATTCTGTAAAATTACACTTCTGCAACAACAAAGGAACAAAACAAAATTAAAAATATAATTTTCCATACACAATTATTATACAACAATACTCAAATTACACTCGCCATAATCGCACAAAAAATTCCGTATCAAATTCACCATTTTTTTTACATTATTGTTTCGTACCATGCCAAACAAACATTATTTACACACGCTTCTCTATTCTATTCACCTATCAAGTTGGTTAGTTAACGTTAATTAATTCCTACATCTCCCGTAACACAGTTCATTCCAGTCGAACCGTGCTAACTCGATCAAATTCCTGAATATGTAATACTCACGGCAAACAAATTTATTCCGAGCTGTACCACGAATGACGAAAACAAGACTAAATCGAAACCAAAATAAAGTCTATAATATTTTTAGACTTTTCCTCAACTATGAACCTTCAATTTTTCCTTCCTCAAACTCAAAAAGTTATGAAATATGTGCAAAGTTTATGAAATTATGTTAGGTACCATTTGGGCATTGGAGAACAGGATGGGAAAGGAAAGATTATCAGATTTTAGCTTATCAAAAACTTGGGAAACTTACCTTACTAAAAATTTTGAATCGGAGAGTGAGTCGAGTCCAGGAAGGGCCGAAAATGAGAGGTCATGCCTCAACTCGTTGGAAACACGGACTGAAAATTTTGACTGACAGTTGCAGTCAGTGCAGAGTTCTGCTGGTGGGTATGGTGGTGGTTTTTCTCATGTTGACTTCCAGCTGCAGTAGCAACGTAAAAAAATTAGTTTTCAACGGTCTCCTCACTCATGAAATATTTATATCTGGCTGCTCTTCTGTTGACCTGACGACATCAAAAGTCCGACGAGGAAATGCAAAATTGAACTGACCACAACAACTAACAAGTAGTAGGAATTACTTTTTGCAAGTAATTCGCAAAACTCGGTGAGTAATATTTACTGATTAATCTGGTTTTATTTAATAGATATGGATGAAATGTTGGGATATTAGCATCGTATCGGAGGGCGTTTAAAGGGGATTTAAATGTGCTTATTTGATTACAAGTTTTATTTAATGGACAATTGATATCAAATGAGATTAGGAAGTTCAGGAAGTGTAAAATGGGGATTAAAAATTGATTTGATTACGAATGTTTACAAGTTAAAAATAAATGTACGAGTGGGCTGGCTGGACAAGGTTGTGTTTTTTTTCTTGTACAAGTATTTTGTAGTCTTTTAGTCTGAGTCAGGTTTTCTTGGACAGGGTTAACTTAGGATTAGTTTAAATATGTAGATTCATGAAGCATGATTTATTCGATTACTGCACATATTAAGCTTGACTCATTCAGTCGATGGAGTTAATCTTATAATCAAATGCAATCCAAACAGTACGAGTTATTTAATTAGTAGACGTACATTTCATGGAATTTTAATTTTAGTGAATACATAAATTATTGGCAACTCTGACAGCCTGTGTGAAATGTATAGTCTGTACCAGACTGTCTGTTGTATACTAATACGAAAGTATAAAATTACATTTACATTCGGATTCTAACCGCATTTGTTAACTAACTAACTTGCCATTTTAACTGAGGGGAAGCTTTACAGTACAAATTTAAAAGTTTCATCACTTTAATGATTCCACGGTCAAAGTGTACTGAATTTTCTCTTAAATTTATATGTACCGGAGGTGTATCAGATTTAATCTTAACTCAACATATGGTGTATGGCGAGATCATCATTAGTTCCGACGATTGGTTGATAAGTAGTTTACCCATTGCATTTCATCAATCATTGAGGAGGTGCAGATGTAGAAACAGAGTTACTTACTTACAGATTTAAATTTAATGGTGATGACATACTTTGTTTACGGAATTGAACATATGCATTTCCAGACTACGACCTCTCTCAACCAGAATATCTATAGCTATATAATTTCAGTTTGTACTCTTTTTCTTGATTTCCAACGAATAATAATTTGTAACCAGGTCATAATATAAAGTATTTATCTGTGAAAAGAGAGACATGTTTTCTGGCTTGGTGTGGAGTTGAGTTTCTGGAATGAGAGAACCGATGAGATGAGATGAGACTGAATGAATGAGAGAGATAGTGCATTCGGATAAGTTATTAACCAATACATCCATCGCATAGATTTTTGTATATAACTTGGTAACAGATTAGATATAGCATAAACAATCTGGATCCATTTCCGAGTTCCATAATATATAGCTTTTGAACTACAACAGTGGCTGGCTTTTAGGAGCTGCAAATGCAACTTGCAATTAAATTAAATTGTTATCTGTGCAAAATAAACAATTAAGTCGATTAATTAAAGTAGGAGAAGAGTGAATGAATACATGAATTGATAGTAATCAGCTCTGCAGCGATAACAATATTTACATTTGCATATGAATGAGGCAAACCAATGTAAAATAAAATCTCTGAATTTCTGATCACGATGAGACTCGACTCTGGAAAACGTTTCATCTCTATGAACATGTTCTATCTTGTTATAAACACATTTTTGTTTAAAATTTTTACATGAAACCACATCCATTCTTCCAGTAGTGAAAGCATAAAAAGAGATTGAGCTTTTTGTGTTCAATGATTATTAAAATTTGCGATAATAATAAAAAATAACCTATTTCGTATTTTTAAACTTGAACAGGTTGATTGACCTACAGGTTAGGTCAATCAACGTAAAGTTAACATAATAATTTTTCCCAAAATGCAAGTTATAAATCTGATGTGATAAAAGCTAATTTGGGACTTTGGGAATTTGCCCTTCTTCTCGGAAAAGATTTAGTAGTAAATAAATAAGTGACCCTTCATAAATAGGTATGCACTAGTTAGACGTTCTTCCTTTAAGGATACCACGTTAAACGGATGACAGACGTGAAAGAATTCACAAAATGCATTAATATTTGCATTCAGAAAATGCAGCATAATTAATATGTACGTTTAGTGGATAGGCTTATGGCTGAACTACTCGAGTGCACATACTCGCTCGCTCTATCTCACTTCATTCTTCCAGAAACGCTCGACGAGACGAGTCGAGTCAGCTCTCTCTCTCGCCTATTAAATTTTGGCACGACCAATTTTCAATCATCTTTTCTCATTCCAATCAATAAACTTAATAAAACACCTTAATTAAATTAAGCATCGTTTAATTAATCTCCGTCTTTACCTCAGTATAAACAATGAAGTTTACAAAATAAGTAAGTTTTAAATCAAACAGGCCACGAATTAAAGTCTAAGGGCACATCAATCAATTCATCTAGTTCGAGAGCCAGTCATAGTTTGGATTCGTGGTAATAAAACAAGTTACATTATATTAACTAATTATCATATTAATTGTGTACCATATTAATTTATGTTGTTGGGCGGATGAAAATTTGGAGGGAAAGGTGGCTATTTTATCGAAAGGGTGGTGGTTAGTTACTCCGTGTCCCGCCGTGGGCAAAAGTTCGCCAAAAGTTGAACATGGCGGGTTGACTCACGTGATCATCTTTTGGGTTGAATCGCTTCTTGCATAGTAACGACGACAGACTTGACTTGCAGTTCTCCCCACAGCGACCGTTTTTCAACTTGGTTGCTCCTGCTGTGTGTGTACTTACGTAGCACGATCATCATGTTTTGTTTGCCTCACATTCAAAACATTTAATTATCTGAACACTTAAATGATAAACGGCTTGTTTGAAACAGCTCTTGCTAAAGTACAGTCGACAATAACAATTTGTGATCATAAAAAGAGTTTGAAAGCTTATTCTTTAGAGAATCTCGAGAATCCTTACTTTCCGTCCCACCAGTTATTGAGTAGATGAACATTGGACAGTTTAGTCACATTTTATTCGTGGAGACACGAATTTATGACAGTTCACAGTTTGCTTGTTGAAAAAAGTCCGAACTCCACACTCTGCTTTGAATAAATTACCTGCCAAGTACGGAGGGACTTAGGAGGACTTAGTTAGGGGATAAATTGCTGAACTTTAATTAGTGCGAGATGATATTCTCGGTTGGTTAGTAAAAAATAGTTGCCCCGGAATTGAGAAAAAGTGTTTGTTTCAGATAAAAAGAATCAATGAAGAAGAACATGGATACCAGTATCGGTGTGAATTTGAGGGTGACAGCTCACTCAAATCAAGGTGGGCGTAAGTACATGGAGGATATGTTTTGCGTGGCGTACCAGCCCACGGCGGATGATCGTGACCTGCTCTACGCCTATTTTGGCATCTTCGACGGTCATGGAGGGAGAGAAGCCGCGCTATATGCAAAACATCACTTAATGGATGAAATTGTTCAGCAAAAGAATTTCTGGTCGGATGACGATGAACTCGTATTGAAGGCAATTCACGACGGTTTCTTGAGCACTCATCAGGGAATGTGGAAAGAACAGGGTGAGCTTAAATTATAATATGATTATTATATATTGTTTGACCCAATTGTAAACAATAATTTTCCATTATTAAGCGAGATTAAATAATGTGTATTTGTACATTTCGTAAAATTTGATGAAACTAATTGGCTTAAAGAAAAGAAGGGTCAATAAAGTCCGAATGCTATTAATAAATTGTTTTTTAATATCTCCCCAAACCGTGCAAAATAGGATGTCGTATAATATAATTAATATGTATTTATTAACTAGAATTATATAGACTTGAATATGCATTAATTATCATATATTTTTGATGAACACAGAAAAATGGCCCAAAACTACTTCTGGACTCCCATCAACTTCAGGAACGACAGCAAGTATAGCTTTCGTGAGGAGGGGAAAATTATACATTGGTCATGTTGGCGATTCTGGAATTGTGATGGGCTATGAAGACCCAGAGACTGGTTTTTGGCGTGCAAAGCCTTTGACGAAAGATCATAAGCCCGAAAGTCCGGCTGAGATGAGCAGAATAAATGAGTAATTAAATCTTGTCCTACCATCTAGATACAAGTTTCGACACTTGAAATTAGGAAATAAATGGATGAATTGGCAATTACAGAGCTGGCGGCAAAGTTATAGTCAAGTCTGGAGTTCCGAGGGTCGTCTGGAATCGCCCACGATTAGGTCACAAAGGCCCAGTTCGTAGATCTACTCACATTGACGAAATCCCATTCCTGGCTGTGGCCAGATCTCTTGGTAATACTACAAAAATATTATTATGTTTCTTGTTATCAATATGTTTTTCAGGAAGATATAATTAAATTTGTATTGTTTTTATGTTACAGGTGACTTGTGGAGTTATAACTCAGAGACGGACGAGTTCGTCGTGTCACCTGAACCAGATGTTTCCGTTGTTGATATTGATATCCATAGCCACCGTTGCTTAATTCTTGGGACTGATGGTTTATGGAACATGCTATCCCCACAGGACGCGGTGAATAGCGTATACTTTGCCGAGAAGAACAATGAACGACAGCCACAACCAGTCCACGGGTCAACAGATCTCTCAAAAAGTTGGATTAACCCTTCTAAGCGACTTGTGGACCGGTCTCTCGATCGATGGCTGCAAAACAATCTTCGTGCAGACAATACCTCTGTAGTAACTGTGGTGGTAGATCCTCCTGGACCGCCAAAGGTGTGTAACAAAATAACATTAGTATTTCAATTTTGAAATAGTAAAGAAGAAAAACAGCGATAGAAGTAATTTGAATAGACACGGAAATAACATTACTATTATTATTTACGTTTGCAGGTCCCAGTGACATCGCCGGTTGGAATTTCGCGATACGTCCCACAGAAACTAATGGTGCCCGTATCAACCCCAAAAGAAAAAGTTAGTACTCCTGGTGCTGTTGATCAACCATGCTCTTCATCAGCGTCTGTAGTTCAGCCATCGGCTCGAATACCGTCGATTTCTCACCCCCGTGTGATTGCTAAAACAACGACCGGTAATAGCACTGCTAAAGCTTCCCGTACCAAGGGCAAAGTGCAAAAGAGCCCATCATCCACGTTGCCAGCAGAGGCTACTAGCAACGAGCTGAGCTCAGCTACTGTGATGTCAAGTCCCGAAGTGGCTCCTAATTCCCCACCTCTAGCGCCTTCGCGATGGAAACATATTCCCAGAACGTCTCCGGTAAACAGTCTCGCAAGTAATACAAGCCACCTGATTAGTCGTCAAGATTCTGGCACTACGGATGATGTTCAAATCCATGAAATCTCGTCATCAAGTGAATCTACGAAATCCATTGAACAAGCCAAGAATAAAAAGAAACGTAAAGCTAGTAAGCGCAGTCGCAGCAGCCGGGGTGAGGATGTTCCAAAGGAAAAGGAGGCTCGTACTGAAGAATCTGTTGATAGGAGACCAACAACTCGAAATTCCACTTTGCCAGTACTCTCACTTCCCATCCCAAAGAGACTCCGGGTGGCACCACCCTCTCCAAATCGATCATCATCATCATCTGTTACCTCAGACAGCTTGTATACTCGAAGCACTAGAAATTCCCGTCCCGCAAGACCTCTTCTCGGAATCACACCAAGTCCTGTACTCGATGGACCACGTCTTGTTCATCGTGTGATTGAAAGACCTCTCCACTCTCATGGGCTTGGGGAAAATTGGGTATCACCTAATGGTACTAGGTACCCCACGAGTCGCTTTGATTGGGAAACTTTGACAGAAGTAACACCAGCTCCAGTGCGTTGCTCCAGAAATTTGGCAGTATCACCTACGCGGTCCGCCGTGAGTTGCTCTGGAAAGAAAAAGTTGGCAGTATCACCTACTCGGTCTACCCGGAGTTGCTCCAGAAAGAGAAATTTGGCAGTATCGCCTACTCGGTCCGCCGTGAGTTCCTCCAGAAAGAGAAAGTTGGCAGTATCACCTACTCGGTCCGCCGTGGGTTGCTCCAGAAACAAAAAGTTGGCAGTATCACCTACTCGGTCTACCCGGAGTTCTGGAAAGAAAAAGTTGGCAGTATCACCTACTCGGTCCGCCGTGAGTTACTCTGGAATGAAAAAGTTGGCAGTATCACCTACTCGGTCCGCCGTGAGTTACTCTGGAACGAAAAAGTTGGCAGTATCACCTACTCGGTCTGCCGTGAGTTACTCTGGAAAGAGAAAGTTGGCAGTATCACCTACTCGGTCTACCCGGAGTTGTTCTGCAAGGACGAAGTTGGCAGTATCACCTACCCGGTCCGTCGTGAGTTCGACGAGAAAATCAAAATCGACCAAAAAAGCTGCAATTCCTCCTGCTGTCCCAACAATTGTTCCAGTGGTCTCAACTTCAACAGCTGCTGCACAATCAAAGCCAATGCAGGTTAAAGACAAGACGACGGCGAGTAAATCACCTCAACGAGGGCAAGTCTTTAAGGTATACTTGCCACGAGAGAAAGCATGTAAAAAATCTTTCAGTTTTTTAACTCTCAATTGTATTGTTTTCATTATAGGGACAAGCCACAAAGAAAAGAGCATCGGCCGCTTCGATGTCACCAAGGAAGGTAGCTGATGATTTTCTCCCTTCCCAATGCACTCGTTCCATGACCCGTTGTCTGAGAAAGAAATAAAAAGGGTGTTGAGTTATACATGTTGCAAAAAATCTTAAATGAACAAGCCTAGCGTACCCGTTGTTAGTACAGGTATTATTATTGACTTGTATATTGTACAACAATCTAGTGAAAATGAGCAGAAATGCTCATATCTTCTTGTAGCTATTTTAGCGTAAATTAATATTAACCTATGATAATATATAATTCAATAAAATACTATTATTGTCCATACTTGTTGTCGCAAAAAAAATCCAATATGAAATAATATATTATACCCTTGTTGACAGTTTTGTTTAAATGCAGTTTCCTGGTAATTTCATTTGGGCATACACATACAATGTGCATATATTTATGAACGGGTGCCTCTTATCTTTCACCGTTCACATAATTAGAAGCATAACAATTTGATAAATGGACAGGATTTATTATTATTGAACTGGTCACTACAAAGCAATAAGGTTTGTACAATTAATTCAAGTTTAAAATTTCATTTTCCAAATTTATTCACTACAAGTTATTCGATACGACCGACATGAATGAATGGCTATAATTTATGAATTTTTTCTTGAGCTAAAGACTAACGAAATATAATAATAATCATGAAATTAAAAGCGAATAAAAAGTGTTTATTAATTTTCATCATGAAGCGGTGTTTCATCGCCCAGCGAGCTTTCGACCATTGATCGGGGGCTAAAGTTTGTACGCGGAGTGGATTTCAAACTATCACGTCCAGATCGGGGGGAAGGATTTGGAAGAAAATTCAGTGCGGATGATCCATGTGCCTGGAACAATAATAAGAAATAATGAAGGATACCTTATTGGACATTCTGTTTATATTCATATTTGGATTCAAATGCTTACATGCTGATCTCCTCGAAGTCCTTCTACTGTTTGACGGAATTGTAGCATACTGCTTCGTAAAGCCTGGTCCGATATATGCTGCCTTGAGCCGAGTGGTTGTAAGTTGGGGTTGTCAGTATATCTCTGAGAATCTGGTGGTCGTTGTGGGCGATGCTGTTGTGACTTTGCCCACGCATCTGCAGCTTTACGCCAATCACTGCCATCATCATTAGGTTGTGCGTCTCTGGATACTCTGTAGGTGAAAGTAGTCGACAGGAGTTATTTATGCCATTCGGATAATAGGATAAACCAATAACAAGTCTCACCGTATCGTATTTGCTTGCGGCTTCTGTCCCGGGTTTTTGAAACCATCAGAAGAATGTAAAAATAGAGCCCTGGTTTGTGGATCGGACTGCCACGGAGTTCCTTGATAAGGGGTTTGGTACGGAGTAATATGTGGAGTCTGGGCTGTTGGTGTGTATGGCTGTAAAACGATAAATAAAACATGTTTTCCTCTTAGAGTATGATGACAATTAAAAGACTTTGAATAAAGCATAAAATTGTACCGTATTAGTAGTGAATGCAGAATATGGAGTCAACCCTTGTGTTGGAGTGGTGTAATGTGGAGTAGTACGTAATGTTGCGGCAAAGTGGCTGGATGGTGGTGGTGGTGGAACAAGAGTGCCTAAATCGTCAAAGTAATGTAAAAACGTTAAAGTAATCATTAAAGTAATGTAAAACGAGAACATTTTTGTTAATCGCATTGCATAAAATAGTTGGCAACATTGATTTAGCTAATTTATGGATTATTACCATGTTGGGCAGAGGCGCCAGATGCCCGAGCAATGTTGGTCGTCGGGGTGGCCATGGGTGTGCTGGGTGGAGCTTCCCTGTAATGCTCCTTGAACCATTTCAATAGCGCATTTAAACTTGCGAATGATTGCTGACGATATCTGAAGCCAGATGGATTGACGGTTATGTATTCATGCTGAACTTTGTTTCCAGGAAGATACGACAGGACGAATTTTCCGGGAAATTCCTTGCTGGCATGCAGAACATAGTGAATTTTATTTGAGTTTTTCTTCTTCTCCTCTTTTAGATATTCATCTGCCATGGCTAGACTTCCACCCAGATGCTTCACATAATACTTGGAAGAAATTAATTCTCGTGAGAGGGAAGCCATAGGATTTATGCAACGAGCAAAAATTTCGTCCAAGTCTTCATATTCTTCTGATCCAATGTGTAACGACCGACCGAGACTGAACATGTTTTCCTTCTTTGTTTCTAGCACATCAATATGTTGACAAATGGAGTCTGTAACTTTCCAAGTCACAGTCAAGTGGTCCGAGCCCTTACTGGAGGGTCGTATGATCAAATCGCCCTGATCCATCGTCTCCATTATAGGAATAAGCTCCTTGAATGAAATATTCTTGAACGCTGGATGTACAATGACCCTGCGGACATATGTTTGATAGTGCTTCTTCTTCTTGACTTCCTCCTCCTGTTTCTTATCCTTATCCTCAGCCTCGGCGTCATAGTATGGATCCTTTGGCAGTCTATAACAGAAGATAGAACTTGCTACTATTAATTACTGCTCCTAGATAAACTGGGTGTACAAATAAACCAAAAGGGTACAGCTTAATATAATCACCTCCATTTTTGGTCACCGTCGACCAGATCAGTCGTTCGTGATGTGCACTCTACGCTGAATCGGTCCACTTCTATTTTCACAATTCTACAGTGTATAGTTTGACCACGTTTGACTCTGTCGTCCGGATTAGTTACAGGTTTGTCGGACAATTTCCCAATTGGGATAAAGCCACTGACCCCGTTATCAAGTCGGATTCTTATCCCAGTAGCTTGACCAGGACAAGCCCCAGCATCAAAATGATTCCAAACCTATTTTAGTGGCATATAGAAAATCATATTTGTCAATCAGTTTAAGTTTATATTATTCTCACCTCAGATAAATCAGGAAAGTCATTTTTCATGCAGAATGCACACTGCCACATTCCCGTCTCTTCATTTCTAACTGGGATTGCATTGTCGAGTTGCTCTCCTTGTGGCTTCTTGTGCGATACACCGACAACGGTGGCAGTCGTAAGTTTTCCATTGTACAACGTCTCTGGTGTCTCTTTCGTGAGCATGTTGAAAAGCTGCTCAGCATTCGGAGTCGTGTAGTGTTCTCTGTGATCCTTGTAACGGTCATTGAGTTCAGCACGGATGTCGTAAAGAGTAATGCTCTTGTTCCCGAAACCCTAAACATTATTTATACAGATAGAATATTACAATACTATACAACTAACTCCGAATTTTTAAAGGGATATCGTTCGGTACTCATGCAAAAGCGACAATTTGTAATATTACGAACCTGACGTTCCAATTCTTCAGCAAAAGCATCCAAGTTCAGCTCTTCCAACCGATCTGGGGTTTCCAGAATTTCTTCTAGTGCACTGGCAGGGTTTGCATCTTCGTCGTCGTACTCTAAAGCATCCACGGCCATTTTACGGGCCCATTCATAAGTTTCAGGGTGCACTCTGGAGCCATCCAATACTTCAACGTAGGCTTCCGTACTGTAAATAGCAACAAATTAGATAATAACTTATTACTTAAATCACGAAGCACTCATAATTATGTGCACATACCTGTCCCCAAGAGAATTGGTGTCAATTTTGATAAAGCCGGAGCAATTAATGAATATTTTAGGTCCCATGTGACACACTGTGATAAGCTGGGTTCGATTTTCAAGCCGCTGGTTGTTTTGTTTCAGGGTCTAAACATAATGTTACATTAGTAAAAAAAAAAACACTAGTTAGCCTAGTAAATAAATTGAAGATTATTACCTTAACGAGTGCTGTAGCTTTCCTGGGTCCCAGTCCACAAATAAACTGTGCCACGTTCATGGTAAAGGGACTAGAAATGCAGCGATTTATGTCAACCCCTACCTCGTTCGTTCGATTCACAAACTGTGTTGATAAACTTTCCAACAATTCTTCTTTTGCAACTTGATCCTAAAAACATTATTAAAATCTTATATTTTTTATCAATAAATTTATTAATTATTAATCTGTAAAAAAATATGCACCTGCATAGGATGAAATCTTAGGCACATAATTTCATCGTCATGATTCACAAGTTGCGAAAATTCAATCAGTGGGTCCTGTATCCTTCGACCGAGAGAAATTGCTTGTCTCAAGATGAGAGGAAATTCACGAAAATCAGTCTGCAATGAATTAAAGAATACTTAATATATTTTTAAATATAAAGCTTAAAAGCTTTATACAATAATTTATTACCGCTTACCTGAGCCTTAATAGAGCTAGCATAGACTTTCGCCAACTCATTATCCACAATCTCTACATTGATTGCTGGGAAACCATCCTCAGTGCCAAGGTCGGCAATCAAATTTCGAATGTCTTCCTTAATCATTATTGCGTCACGGGATTCTCCACCAATCACAACCACATGTGGCTTTTTTGCGACGATCAATTCCTTAATTGACCTTAAATCTTCTGATTTATCCTTCCGGTCAGATTCATTAAAGGCTTTGAGACTCTTCATGATGTTTTGAAGGCGAATGAACTCGGATGGCTCTCCATCAGGAGAAATCACTGTGGCGAAGGAAGCTTGGCTAAAATCGGGGACGTAGGCAATTGCCAAAACACGAATTCCTTTACTAGTATCCCAGTCTTCTTCATCTTCGTCGGCAAAATTGACCGAGTAAGGTGCAACCTGTTCATAAAAACATACATAAAAAATTAAACAAAGTAAAATAAGAAATATAATGAGAAAGAAATTGAATTTTACTTTGAGCCATTCGTTCAGTTTATGAGTAGCAGTGTCAATGACATATTCTTTGGCTTCATCCAACAACTTTGCTCTCAATTCTTTTCGAAAAATCGGATACAAGAGTTTCTCCAGTGCAAATTGGCAACATTCTGCTCGGACGTCGTTCCACTCTTGAACAAGCTTGCTGTACTCATCCTAAAAGCACATAAGCAAAAACCGGCAAATGAATAATGTAAAGTTACATGAATGAATTCGTGCATATATTTCGTACTCTGCTGAATAGTTGAACAACTTCCTCCACATAAGTATCTCCGGTGATCCCTTTGATTTGGTCACCAATCACCAAATTGATCAGCTTATCTTCTTCTGCCATCGTCAGTTTCAAAAATTGGTCCTGCTTTAAATCTCGGACTGGTTTACCTTTGATATACTTCATTCTATAGAACGAAAGGGATACAAGTCAACGTAAGTAGTTAAAAGTAATAATGACGTGTTTTTATAATTACGCATAACAAGGATGTGCTTCATCAATTTCACGGAGCCCTTTCTTTGTTGGAGTCACTGTAATGGTGGCACGTTCAAAGAACACTTCCCTCACGCTCAACCTGACCAATGGTTCTCTAGATATTTGCGTCGCCAACATGAACTTTGCCGCTTTCAATGCCTCCTCCTGAGTTTTCAGTCTTCTGCTCAAATCAAAGTAAAGAATAAATTAGTTTGACCAAAAACGACTTTTAATTGGTTATTTCATGTGAATACTTTAAGATCTTGTCTTACTCGTTCATATATTCTTTTGCCGTGTCCAGCGGGTCCATGGGGTACTGTTCCACTTCATATCGTTGATACGAGTCGCGCAAATTTTCAGCAAACCTGTCTGGAGTCAATCCAAATTTCTTGACAAGGCTGTCAATTCCCAACTTTTTGCATAGAGCGTAAGATCCGCCCCCAATTTTTCGTTTGGTTGATGGAAACTCAATAGGATCCGAGTCAGAGTCGTCTGGATCTTCGACTGGTTCGCCTTCTGCAGCAGCCGCGGCAGCCACTTCTCTTGCTCGTTGTTTATCTTCCAACCGTTTCTTTACCATCGCTTCCTTCATTAACTGCACGTCGTCCGCGTAGTAGAGACTGAAGAGGAGATACATGTCCTTTAACTCTTCTGACGTTTTTAAGTTTCGAATACGATCGACGTCGTCTTCGGTAATTATTCGAATAGCATCTGAAATTGGCTCATCTGGATTCTCCATTATCAAATCAGTCTGATACATTTGCATATTTTTGAACAGGATGCTTAGCCTTGTTTTTCTTAACTTCAATTGGCAATAGCGCCCGTCTAGCTTGTAAATTTTCCACAAATCGTTGATTTTCAGTTCTGGTTGGATGTACTCTTTGCGATAGAAGACGATGAACGGAACTTCCAAGTGCTGATTTCTCATGAACTCGAGGGCTTTTCTAATTTTTGCCACCACTTTTGGTTTAGCTTCCTCCATAATTTGAATAATAGATTTTTCAGGGACACCACTCGCCGCCGTGCTGATATGAGACTTTGCTCCGGGAAGAATCCCGTCGGAATCGCCAACCCTCGACTTCGGCCCTCCGATGACGGACTGTTTCTCGAAATTAGATTCTCTCTCCCAATTGTCATCTTCGTCTAGGACGCCTCCTCCTTGTTTAGCACTAAGGGTGGATTTTGGAGCAGCGGAGACAATTGAGGAAGCCTTCTCCCAATTCTCCTCCCAGTCCTCTTCCCCAGAAGTTGCACCTGGTTTGCTCACCGTGCTGGCAACGACACTGGCAGCTGGACCAGGAACCGCAATTCCAGACTGTTTGTCCCAATCATCTCCCCAATCAGATTGTGGGGCAGGAGTAATCTCTCCTACTTTGGGTTTGTCTACGATGGCTGCAAAGTTGTGCTTGCTGAAACCCATCTTAAATATCCACTCTGCCTCCTCCTCAAGTTCGTCTTCGTCGGCAGGAGTGATGGGGACGACGCGGAGTTGCATACGTTCTGGGATATCCGTGTTTCTTATTCGATTGTCTTCTTCCGTAATCCCAGCTCTTTCCAATTCATGAGGTTCGTACAATTCGTACAAGGATTTAAGCTTCTTCTTCCGCCTTAACGCTTTCTTTGTTCTCCTGTAAAAACATTAACAAATTCAATAAAAAACAGGCTCGAAAGTCATTCCCACATCCCTGTCAAATCTAAAAAAAGAGCTTACCTTGCGCTGTGTTGCTCTTCATTTTCATACTCATCCTCGTCCTCCTCATCTGCACAAGATAAAATCAATCGTACAAAAAGGCCGAATATAATTATTACAATAAAAGTAATAGTCTTATAAACTGAAATCCTTTAAATTCATTAAGTGAAGTATGTATAACCTTCTTCATCATACTCTTCCTCCTCTTCCTTGTCCAAATCCTCATAATCAAAGTCAACTCCAAATATGTCCTGGGCTTCTTGGAGGGCAGCATCAGTAAAAATTGGCTTTCTTTTCTTTCGCTTTTCTGCAATAGGCTGACCGTCATCATCTACGATGAAATCATCCGTTTCCGACTCCACCTCAGACTCGTCAGAAGCGTATTGTTCTGGTGCTTCATCTCGTCGTGACGGGCGCTCATTCTCCTAAAAAAATATATTAAAATTATAAATCAAGGCACAGATTAAAATGTGTGCTGCTTACATTATCAGATCCTTCAAAGAGTTGGTTCGCAATAGCTTCCCGATCATCGCCCTGTTCCTGTGTGTCTTCAACGTCCGATTCTTCATCTTGTCGAATTCTCTTAAAGCCTTTTTTCTATTCAATTAAGATTTCAAAGAGTGAATTAACATTTGTTATTTTTAAAGTAAAAGACAAACAAAATAACATTTTCAATCACAGTTTATTTTACGTTAAACTAAACTCACCCTTTTAACTTTCATTCCCAAATTCTCCTCGAGAAGATCGTAGTCATCTTCTTCCAAACGATCGTCAAAGTCATCCTCCTCGTCGCTTTTCTTTCTCTTTCGCGACCCAGCAGACTCATTGTCGCTGTCCTCCTCTATAGGATTATCATCGATAAGATCTTTCACTACTTCTTCATCATCTGAAAATAAAATAAGTACAAATTATATAAATAATTATACACACATACATACATATTAATGAGATCAATAATCATTCAATTTACCATCCTCCTCCTCCTCGTCACTGTCAATTTGCTTTTTGCGTTTGTCTTTACTCTTGTACTTCCTGACGTGTCCAATCTCTTCCTCCTCCTCCTCCTCTCCTTCGTGCTAAAATTTTATAGAATAATACCTTTAAGGAAACGTTTCTCAAGTACAAAACTTTGAAACCAACAAACCTCCAACAAATATACTTTTCACACAAGCACCAAACTTTCAAAATTTTACCAACCTCTGACTCTTCAGCCTCGGAATCGATGAAATTGGACATTTTGACGACTCTTGTGATGTTCCTCCTCCGATAAAAGTGGAACTGCGACTGGCGACGATTAAACTATACGTGGCCGGGTAATGGTGGTCGGTCGGACTCTTGTCGCGAGAGAACCTTCACCCTTCCTTGTCGTCCGTTTGTCGACAGATTGGAGGCACAAATTACACAGATTATTTATTTGAAGGGACGTATAACTAAATAAAACTCTGTCTCGTACGTACGTTGAATTAACGACAGACTTTACCCGACAGCTCACTCACACAATTGAAAGGAAGGAAAGAGAGAAACCTGAAGCAGCGGAGGAATCTTACGCATTTGTTGCACACTTTGATTTGAGTGCGTCTTTGGGGCAATGTGACTCGCATTTTCATGTAAAAGTTACACGCACGCGGAATAATGACCTGCACGCTGACCTGGATAAGACGATGTAAACAAACAGCGATGATAAGGCAGAACCTGGGTTAGCTAATCGTTAGCGAATTGATGATAATACATGAAACTCGACAGATCCCATTCTGCATAAAACGTGCAAAATTTATAGAGTTATGTAAGCTGAATTTTTCTGAATATTTATCATGCTTTCTCTGATAATGAACGATTGTTTACTATGTTTGGAAAGTTACTCGTGTTTAAATGGGGAAAGCATGCATTATTCGGGAGAGATTTAGTAAAATTGTAGGCATGAAAAGGAGCTGGAGAATGGTGGGTGATGGTAAAGTCATACATTTGAAGTTGATATTCAGTACAATTGTTTGTTTCACAGGTTTCAATGCTTTATTTATTCATTTTCATTTTTCACAACGGATGTACAATATATCTGTAATACATGTGTGAGAAGCTGAGACACGACAGAGCGAGGGCTGCTGCTGCTGCTTTATATTTTAGCTATACAATAATTTGCATGCGAGAGCTGTAGTAATTATTTTTAAACCCCTTTAATATGAATGCCCCAGTTATTCTAGTTTTTCTGCTGTATGTGTAATATATTTAACTAAAACAGCAATATAATAATACAAGTGGAAACAATAAATAATAAACAATGGATGGGACCTCCTTAGGTATGACCCAATTAATGGTAAAGTTTTAGTACAAATAATTCTAATTTGTTAAAGCTTTTCCTATGAAAACCAACCAAAACCAGGAAGAAGGAACAAGTAGCAGTAGACGTCTTCTCGCCCTCCTTTCTTTTTTGAGGAAGTATGAATTAAAATGCTAGGTCTGGAAAGAGGTCAGATTCGACGCTTCCAGGAGAATCCCATGAATCGTATGGGTAAGATTCAAACAAAGCGTTGAACTCATTATCCTTCTTTGGCTGATGCTTTAGGCTGATGATGTTTTCTTCTTCTGGAATGTATTTGATGTGAACGGTGGGTGGTTGTGGTGAAGTAGATGAGTTTTCAGCATTAAAGTCATCGAATATGTCAGAGAGAATTTGAAATACGGGTTCACTCAGGGGGAGAGTGTCGTGATTGTTCTGTTCAGCGATGTCATTGTTAGCAGCAACAGCAGTCTCTGCGTTGCTTATCATGATAACTGGTTGGATTTGTGCGTTTAACTTGTCAATGGCTGCTTCGATCGCTTCTTCCTGTTTGAATTCTACCCTGCTTCCTTCAACCTCACCGATTTCAGCGTCTGCATCAACCTCATCTGAAGTGCAGCTCGAGTCTGAAGAGAAGGCTGCTTCGAGTCGACTTGAGAGCATATTTCCTGGACTGAAAAATGAAAATAAAAGATAGGTAAGTGTCTTGTAATTTATGACGAAATTTTTTGATGCTATTTAAATGCTTTGATGGTATTTTGATCATTGTTGCATCATAATATTCTATAATTCGTCTTACCTAAGGATTTGCTTAGTGAATTCATCGAGTGCTTGGATAAGTTCGGGTTCGTCAAGATCCATTGAAAACATGTCCACAGAAGAAGAAGGAAGGAGAAGTCTTTCGCCAGTTCTGGTCCCTTCGGCTGAGGGACAGTGCGGGGCACTGCAGGCTCCAAAGAACTGTTGACGTCATTACTCCTTCCGTTCCCACATTCTGAGGGTGTGTCCTCCATGGGTTCAATCTTGATTTGGGTCTTAATTTCACCGCTGAACGACTCCAGCAACTTGATCTTAGCTTCGTACTCTTTCACCAAGTCTGACATCCTCTGGTTTTCTGAGGTGAGGCTGTTGCACTTGTTACTCAGGGATTCATTCTCCTTTTTCAGGGCTCCATTCTATAATACAAGAAAAACATTAGTATCAATCAACCTGTTCATTTTACTTAATTTTTACTAGGATATTTATTTGATCATATTCTTACCGTAGTCATTAAATTCTTAATCTGAACCTCCTGCAACTGCATTTGCGCCTTCTGTCTGTCGCGAGCACTCTGGGCTGAAATCCTGTTCATCATTTTTCTGTGCTGTGCTTTCTCATCCGAACTTAGATGATCCAACTTGGCCCTTTTTCTAGGTCTGACCTCGGACGAGTCTGGGGACATGGTGTCTGATGATGAGGATGATGTCGTCACCTCCACGAAACGCTCTGCATCAATGGTCATCACGTTCGTGATGTCCCCGACGACACTGAGAACCTCGATCATCTCGTCCGTCGTCGATTTAGGAACTAGGGTTTCTTTTCGATTTCTGCTCGGTTGTACGCAAATCATGATGGAAAATTACCTATAAATTACCACAACAAAAAATAACCAATTAATTTCAAAATCTAGAAACTATTTCCACTTCCTCCACTCTTTACTCTTTGCAAATAAACAAATAGAAATATTATCCAACTCACCAATTGTTGTTATTGAACCTAACGAACGTTCCCTTCGACACTTTTCTCATTAATGATTCTCATTTTTTGAGAAGTGGTCGTTTTAATGCGTCCAAATTTTGCCCAAGTGCTTCAACTTTGGTTGTGAGTTGGCAAAAAGACTGATGCAAGAATACAAGTGGGTTTCTCTCATCTCTTTTGCACACTTGGACTTCGCTCATTGGACGAAGCGGTTGACGTCATGGCACAAATGACGCCTTCTTCATGAGCCATCCTCCCAAGTTTTTTGCTATGTCCGTCATCCACTACTGACGGTCAGCCTTATCAAGAGGAGGTCAGCAAGATTGGCTTCATTTATCTCCATTGTAGTTTAAATTGACGAGTTGACAAGTTATCGAAATGTGTGAATGTCCCCTATTTAAAAGCTTCGACGTGTGGTGTGATGGTGACTCATTCCAAGAACGTAAATATTATCGAGTCGAGATATGACCATCGACTAAATAGCGATCAATATGCTCTTCTATTATTTATTTAGCTACTACTGGAAATGCTGTTATCTTTTGTTTATTTGCTTTCTCGACGCGATGATATCGGCAAATTTATTGCGTGAAATGTTTCAGTTGGGGTTGATGAAATCTCGTGATGATTGAGTCATGGTATTTCATGTTCAAGGATTCTTAATTTCTACGGAGTAGGAATGGAGATTAAAGCTTCTTTCAGAGAAATTCTAAGCTATTTATATAACCAGTTTATGGGTATTGATAGTAATATTATGAATGAATAGAAATGAGAAATATGCAGACAGATTCTATTTAGCAGTCATTCAGATACAGGGAATTTATTATTGATTATATACATGTAATTAGTAATTATACTTGTGTGTCCCATACAGCAAGATATACTACATTTCCTCTTATTCCAATTTTATTATCATGTACGTGGTATCACGAAGAAATTAAATTTTGAGATGATGATGGATTATTATTCAGGTCTCGAAGGACGTGTTGAAGAGATTAAGATGAAATGAAGCAATCCAATCCAGTTCCCCTGAGGTTTCAGGTTTAGAAATAAATTTTCATAAATGGTTTATCATCGTAATTAATGACTCCATCTTCAAGACATCTTAATTAAGTTTGTTGGTAAATTGGCGCTTAAAGTTTTAACAACTTTTAGCACATAAATTATCCTCAACAACCCGTCTTTTGAGCGTTCAAGCCGGACGATTTCGTGATTCCCATCGTAGTGAAGGTCTAAATACAATGAAGAGATTGTTCATCATTAATAAAAAGAGAGCAATTATCAATTAAGTAAAAATAATAATGACATTAGTTATTAATACCTCGGCTGTCGTGGGATGGATTCCAATCAAAGAATCAAAATCATTTTTCGTAGCACCGAGCTTAATTCCTAGTCCAAATCCTTGAGTGACTTCTCCAGCGTGGGGTCCCAAATAATGAAAGCCAACTACGCGTTCCTGGTAAATGGAAACAGACAAAGTATAACATTATTATTAGTTATAATTATCTAGAGTATTATCTTGAGACGTATTAATTAATTAATTAAAATATCTTGTACAAGTCTTACGTTTTCAGACTTAACACAAACAAGCTTCGTATAGCACTTGTTTTCATCTCGTTTGGGCAAAGTGCATTCCAGAGGTTGAAAGTTTGTGTGGTACACTTCAATGTCATCGCCTCCATATTTGTTAATGGCGTCCTCTTCAGAAATGCCGATACAGCCATACTCCAAGGGGGTAAATACAGTGGTTGGAACGTTGATGTAGTCAGTGAGAACTTGAGATCCCCCAAAAAGACGCTATTGTTGAGATTAGATTGTTAAATAAAATTAGTCATTGCATGCAGCTCAAGCTGCGTAAACAAATATTATACAACTATCTTACTCTGGCTAATAGGACACCAGATTGAATCGCTACAGGGGTAAGTTCCGGCCGGCTCTCGGCAACATCACCAATTGCGTAAATATGGTTGACATTACTCTGATCGCTATCATTTGTGTAAATTTTTCCACTTCTAGGAAAATGCAATTGATTATTTGTTCATTGATTAAATTATTGGAAATACGAATTAATATATTACTTGGAACTGAGCTTCACTCCTGCTGCGTCAAGATGCAAATCTTTGGTGCAAGGGTCACGGCCAATTGCAAAGACGACAGTGTTTACTTCTAGTTCCATCGTGCCTTGTCCATCACTTTCTTTTGCTGTAACCAAGAGACGCGGAGGGGTCCCTTCTTCTAATTTCACAATGGAAGTTGGCACCCATCCATTCAAAAACTTAACACCGTGCTCTGACATGTGCTCTCCAATCATCCCAGAAATTTGTTGATCAAATCCTCTCAGTAAAATTGAGCGTACCTGGAACACAACGATTTCATGAGTCTTCTGCAGTCTTCAATTCACGAAATATTATATTACTTGCACTAAACAGTTTACGCATACCATAACGGTTGATTCAATGCCAACACCGGCTAAGAACCCAGCACACTCCAAAGCAATATAAGATGCTCCAATGCACAAAGTTTTTCCTGGGTTATGTGGAAGAGAGAACAAATCATCTGACGTAATTCCAAATTCCAAAGCACCGGGGATATCAGGATAGCGGGGCCGCCCACCGACAGCGACTATAAAATTCTGTGCCGTGACTTGTTGAGTCTTTCCTTTCTTATTGGTCGTCTGTAATCATAATTATACACAGTTGGTAACATTATCATCAGCAGTAAGCAATTAACACTGTACATTTATGGTACGGTCGTTGACGAATTCGGCAAATTCGTTGAGATAAGTCACTTTCGCATCCTTTAAGGCAACTCGGTATCCCCAGTTAAGTGAAGCGATGTAATTCTGAATGGCTTCAACCATAGCTGGCCAATCATGAGCTTCTAAAAAAAATAAAGAACAAACAGGATAGTCAGCGTATATATTTTAATTTAGAAACAGTAGAGATTTGCATACAAGTATGCAATTAGTTACTTACTCCCATCCTCGGGAATATTCCAGCCAAAAGCACGAGAATCGTCCAAAGCAGTCCCAAGAAGAGCAGATTGATGCATCAATTTTTTTGGAATACATCCAACATTGACACAAGTACCCCCAAGACCCCAAGTTGTTCCGACGGGGGTTGGTTTCACAAAATCACAAACTGCTACTTTCTTTCCGAGCTTTGCTGCTTCCTATAAATTTGAACAGGTTCGTTAGTTAGGAATGGATTTATTCAATCAATGCTATAAAAACATAGTATAAACAACTACAGTGCAAAATGCATACCTTCGATGCAGCAAGACCTCCAGAACCACCTCCAATGACAATTAAATCATAATCATAGCTTGAACTTTCCCCAGCAGTGGAATCCATATCATTCGATCCCTTGAGCACGTTCAGTAAGCCGACTTGCTGGTGTTTCTTGAACGTATCGTCGCAGCCCCCAATGTGATTTCCTTTTATGAATACATTCGGAACCGTGGACATGCCAGACTTTTCCTTTAGAGCTGCTTGCAGCAGTGCAGCTTCATCTATGCCAAAAACAAATCATAAATTATTATAGACTAATATACTTAAATGAGATTATTAGATTATCAGATCTTAATCTTTATTGTTTATGAAAGTTAATTTCCAGACTGAGTAAATGCATATATGTATACCCGAACCCGACGGGCTTGTTGTTTGTAGTAGTATGGATTCTGTATCGCAGCAGGTATGGAAAAGCACACTGCCGGATGAACCCATATTAATTTATTGTATCTATTTATTCCTCAATAGAATTTTATTATAAAATAAATGCACGAAACAAAACGTTAATTTTACTTTTCTGAGATACATGATCATCGACGAGCTCTTACTACTAATCTATAGAATCAAAATTCGATTAGAATCTTAGAATTGGTAAAAGCTCATAAAGGGCATCACAAAAATACGACTTATTGATTTTGGCTGGTTGGTTTGTTTGTATGGCGTCTTGCCCATTCATCATCATTCTTTCTTTTGTGTCACCTCGTGCTTTCTTGGATTTATTCAGCCCAAAATTGACAAAACCCGACGAAAACCCTACCACTTATGCTACTTATGCTAACTGTTATGCAGTTTAGATATGTCTACCTAGTAAAGTATATGACTATATGGAATTTAATTATATCTCCTCATTAGTCCGACTTTCTTTTACTTTCCATCATTTATCATTAACTTTTGACACAACTTACCTGGATCAATTAAGTCCAACTCGTAAGCATGGTAGTTAATACCCAGATCGGTAAATAGAGCTTTCACCTACAAAATCAAATCATTGTAGTAAATTAATTAATTCAACAATTAAATATCCTGCACGCAGAAAATTTTTCTTCTCAACTTAAAAACAATGGTAAAATAAATTGATGATGTCCTATAACATAATAGGACAAGATCAACGAACAAGATATGGACACTGAGCGATGGAATCATTTTACATGGAAAAAAATTGCATGCCATAATGCTATAACATAATCATGGATGGAAAAGAGCAGCAGCCAAATCATTACACGCAAAAACAGGTAAAAACACCGAGTAAATATATACGACTGACATTATTGATAAGGAAATGTCGTATGCTATACATATTCGATGCACAATTCAATTACTCCATTATACTGAATTACGCTACGCTGTCTGCTACAAAAGCCCGACATGTAAAACTAAGGATAAGTACTGTACGTGGTCACATCATGCATCCTGTCTGTCATAAGTTGAAAATGTCACACGTACAACGAAATATGTGCAATTATTTTCTGTCCCATTTACTATGTGCATATAGTTATTATAATTTGGGACAAAATAAATACTAAGGATTCACCACCCAAGTACAATGTGGATAAATGACTTGATTCACGTATAACATTTTACTTGGGTTCAAGGTCAAAATTAAGTTGCAATGAGGGAATAATAAATAAATGACCATGTGACAAAAGCTTATCAAATGACTACGCTATAATTATAAACAACATGCTGATAATGATGCAATCTTAATGTCGTCAGCTGCATGCCATTCATTCATATACATAAAATCAATCCAAATTTTAAAAACGTTTCCAAAAATTGTCACATCTTCCTCACCTTTTTGCAGAATGGGCAATAACTTTTGCTAAAGACCATGACCTCGTTCGCCTTGATGAACTCCTCCATCTTCTCAACCGCAAGGTTTTGGCTGATTGGAGGCATCGCTGCGAAATTCAGCAACTCGCCCGTGTGGAAATTATGTTTCTGATGGTAAAGTGGAAATATCGGTCCTCCCCCCGATAATTGGAATGACTGCGGAAAATAATTATATTGATGTTGAGTCCTGGGAGGAACTTTTGGTAGGAAAAAATGACGACTTTGAGGAAATGTTTGCAGATAACAGGAACGACGACTTAAGTTCTGGTGAATACTGCGTGTAATTATTGAACTACTGCTGAATAGCTGTTTCCACAAGAATGGCATCAAGTGTTGTCTTCTGACGATTAGGATGACTTTCAGTTTTTTAAGGTGACTATTAATAGCACCCTTTTCGCAGCTTCTCTCCCGTACCGACCGGTCACCGGGGAGTACTTTTTGCCACTGAAGTCACCAGTTGCACTGGGTCTGGGGTATACTCAGCCAAGTACCTTATCACAACCAATACCCTTATCTTGATCTGGATAACAACAAACACGACGAGTTTAAGAAGAACAGCCAGCCAGTCAGCCACACTGGTGGATTGGATGTGGACAAGGTCAAGCGTGAGCTGAAAGTGAAGTGGAAAACCAAAAACCACGAGAATAAAAAACCATCTACTACGCGGCTAGTGTGTGGAGATACAGTATCCCACTAAATTGTAGATGCAGTGCATGCATGCCTTACACAAGTCACTAATACTCCAAAACGAGTTAGTATTTCAAATTGATTTTAGCACCAATTACCAACAATATTTCATGCTACAATCGTGCAAAATTTCAAATAAATTCGTCTAAAACTGATAAAGTTATAGATATTTAAATGTCAAAAAGTTGCAAATTGCACGCCACAAAATTGTAGATGCAGGTAAATAGCCTATTTAATATTATGTGTGCCTACTTTTAGCGGCAATACCGGCTTAAATTCGTCTGAACATCGACTCCACCAATAATTTAGTTACACTTTGGTGGATCTTCTCCCACTCTTCTATGATTATGGTTCTCAGATAAGCTGGATTTGTGGGTTTCCATTATGCCGCCCAACGCTTTCACGGCATCCATGAATGCTCGATCGGGTTGACGTCATAAAATTGGGAAACCCAGTCCAAAATCTTCATTTTATTTTCCTTGGGACATTTTGAGATGATTTATGTAATATTTATTTAATACTCGCTATGTTGGAAGATAAATATCTGACCAACATCCGCCTTTGCTGCAAATCGACAAAGATTTATTTTTAGCAAATCAAGAAAAGCCTTGTTTGTAATGATGTCAACGACACATTTCAATGTTCCAACCCTGTCCTAACGGAAGCTGCCTCAAGCCATTACATTCCGGGAAGAATTCGTAATTTTCATACCACACACTAAATGTACCCCCAGCCAAGGTTTAATTGAAACGTCTATTTTTAACAATTGGCCCCACAAATCAATTGTTCGCACTTTTGCTTTACCTCTGCCACATTCTGGCAACTCCATTTGAACCAGGTAGTTGAATTTTGATCTCATCCAGGAAGCAAAAATTTTTCCTGTCACAAGCAGACCTTCTGTGTTCTGCCTTATTAACGCTAAGGATTTCTTTTGGTGTCCCACTGAGATCTTAGGTGTTCATTTTGCCAAATCTCTCGATAATTCAGCGAATACCAGCCTGTTTCTAATCTTTTATAAGTAGACATCTGTAAAAAGGTCGCTTTGAACACCTCTCGCAAGTTTTGGTGTGACCATTCTAACAATTCTCATATGTCTCGTGTCATGACATGGCGATGTACGGCTTTTCCGACGCCGGTCTTGATGGCAAAAATGAGTTGACATTTAATCCAATTTTTTGGGCAATATATTGTACACGTTGTCTTGAAATTTCGCCAAAGTTTTTCGCCAATTTTTCCATAACTTCACCCATTTTCATCACCCGCAATATTTTCTGCCCGTGTTTCTAGATTGAACTCGTTGTTATATACTATTTTAAAATAAAACCACAAAATATTTTTATTGGCAACTCAAACAACTGTTCTTATCCATAATAAGCAATCCCGAACGAAATTTGCCTCTATACTGAAAGACTGGGTCGTTATCATAATTAAATTCAGCTGCATCTACAATTTTGTGGCGTGCAATTTGCAACTTTTTGACATTTAAATATCCATAACTTCATCAGTTGTAAACGAATTCGTTTGAAATTTTGCACGATTGTAGCATGAAATATTGTTGATAATTGGTGTCAAAATCAATTTGAAATACTAACTCGTTTTGGAGTACTTGCGATTTGTATAAGGCATGCATGCACTGCATCTACAATTTAGTGGGATACTGTATTTAGCGCTTTATGCTTCGGAATTTCTGTCATTGGTTGTTGAAAATTTTGTAATGTTTCCAAAATTGGTAACCCAATTTGAGTTCAGTCTTTAAAGGTAGATATCATTCATTCATATGACCATAGAGAAACTTATAGGATAAAATGGAAGCAGGGGTTCAGATTAGACCTTTTTGATGATAAGCCTAATAAATCGGTAGGGCGTCAAATTGACCCCGTCAGATTTCCCCGCGACAGATTTCCCCGGTCATATTGACCCCGCGACAGATTGACCCCACGTCATATTGACCCCGCGACAGATTGACCCCACGTCATATTGACCCCGCGACAGATTGACCCCACGTCATATTGACCCCGCGACAGATTGACCCCACGTCATATTGACCCCGCGACAGATTGTTCCCGCGACAGATTGACCCCGCGACAGATTGACCCCACGCCATATTGACCCCGCGACAGATTGACCCCAGGCCATAGATACAGGCACTACTTAATGTATTTACACATAAATAGTTAATTTTATTTCCTATTTAAAATTTAAGTCTAAAATATGTATTCCACTCAAAAGTATACATACATAATGTAATATTTTAATTGTTAATATGCAAATTTCTTAATCTATTTTTATCCTCATTTTAAGCTAAAAAACCTACAATGCAGACTTCATATAGACCGAGTCATATTTGTTAGATTTTCTATTATTTGCCATCAAATCCCTTAACATCTTGAACTTTCAAAGCTGTGTGTGCTATTCAGAAGTGGTTTTTATCACCCATACCATATTTCAGATGGAAATAACAACTTTTAAAAACGGTATGGGTCAGCCTTCAGGGTCACTCTGGTTACATTTTGCTCACTTTTAACTTCATATTCTATAATGAGAAGCCATTAAGTATTACCTTGCCGATTTCATCTTTTTAAAGCAATTTCTAAAAATCGGTATGAGTCACCCCATAGGGTCGCTCCAGATAAAAATTTTACCAATTTCTTTTTATATTCTTCCAATGGTACCTATAAGCAACATCTCTACCAAATTTCAGTTTGATATGATGATTTTTGAAAAATCAGTATGGGTCACCTCATAGGGTCTCTCAAGATAACAATTTTTCCAACTTGAATTTTTCCAACTTGAGTTTTTGTGCATTATAAGCCATTAGCAACCTCTGTACTAAATTTCAGCTCTCTACGATAATTTTGAAATTTTGGTGCATTATACCCCACCCACTCCGATGACCCCCGATGATTATTTGTGTATTAACTAATAGTTGCCGGGGGTCAATCTGTCGCGGGGTCAATATGACTTGGGGTCAATCAGTCGCGGGGTCAATATGACGTGGGGTCAATCTGTCGCGGGGTCAATATGACGTGGGGTCAATCTGTCGCGGGGTCAATATGACGTGGGGTCAATCTGTCGCGGGGTCAATATGACCGGGGAAATCTGACGGGGTCAATTTGACATGGATTCTAATAAATCTGAACCTTTACAAATACTACAAAGTGTGTCTCCTTCTATTTTATCCTAGCTGCACAATTTTTCATATCATACATAACGAAACTTCTAGTCTGTTTCAGAACGAAACGCTTGTATTATAAAACCTGCATGAAAGCTCTAACATCAATCTTACTATTCCCACATCGATAACGCTGATCACATATCAGTGCATATCTTAATAAATACAAGTGCATGTAAATTGTCATTTTCATGGAGGACAATCAAATTTGCATATATTTATGACATTGGGTATACGTTTTAATGTTTTGAACAACAATGCATTTCTTCAAACAACGCCACATCGGTTTTATTATTGCAAAGTAAACCATCTTTCCCAAACATTCATGAGTCACCTCCAAAGAATAACCAGTACGACTGGCATGTTTTTTTAGACGAGGCCTCTCGAAGGTGTGGTGTGGTGTGGTCACAATTAACTCACATTTAACTCCATTTTAAATTTACCTTGTTTTTAATTAGTGTTGAAATAACGACAAACTTTATCCTTTTGTTGGGAGGCATTGTTTATGTACGGAATTGATGAATGGTCCACCTCTAGATTTTAGGCAGGTGAGCTTTTGTTGGATTTGTCATCGTATAAATCTACCTGTATTCTGGAGCCGCTAGAATGGTTCTAGTTCCGTAAGTGTAGAAGGGTTTTTTAGCTGGCTGGGTTGGAAGTTGGGTGTTTTTGTTGCGGAAAAGTTGGATTTTTTAACGGATTGCGATTTTGCAATTTGCAAAAAAGTATGCGTCCTGTTTTTTAATTGGTATATAGTGACAGCGTTTGTTAGTTTGTGCATGCATTTTAGTTTATGGTTAATTTGTAACAATTTTATACCTGACACAGCATAAGCTGGAACAGTTACACTTTTAGTTTTAACTAACTTGATACTCAAATTAATGTGAAAGCTGGATTTAATTAATTTTCATAAGTTTGAATGAAATGGAGAGTGGTGTCCATTGTCCTAAGGCTGGCGACGTTCAATAGCTTTGTAGCTTATATACAAAGAAATTAGTTGATAGATAAATAGTTGGAAAGTGTAAGTTGTCATTATACTTTTTATGTTGTAAAAACAATGCTATTTTTTATTGACATTCTTCTCCATATTTGTTATATTTAATTTAATGTGTAACTTTTGTGTTTTTCAGCTGTGAAAATACAGGATGATTGCTTGGGCGAGATTAATTGTCTTGGCGTCTCTCTGTTTGGGAACAACCCATGGACAATTTCCACCACCACAATCTAATAATAATAATAATAATAATGGCAATTTCAACCCCTTCAACCAGAACAACAACTTGGACAATACAAATCAGCAATCAACGTTCAGAGAAAGAGATAGGGACCCGTTTGGGAATCCGTTTTTGAACAATAATGCAAATAATGCTCCTCTAACACCCCCACCTTCTATTTCGCCACGGGACCGGGATCGGGATCGAGAACGAGATTTTAACCCATTTGATGGATCCTTTAACTCGTTTCCGCCTCAAGGTCTTCCTCCAAGACAAGACCCCTTCAATCCATTTTCAACCAGGAGAGATTTTGGAAATCCATTTGCCAGCCCTCCGAGATTTGATACGTCGGATTCAAGCTATTATTCTGGGATTGAAAATGAAAAAGAATGTCCTCAAGGGTGGCACTTGTTCCCTCCAAATCAGTCACCGCAACAGGCTTGTTACAAATTTGTCCTGTCCCCAACTCACACGCGTAATGAGGCACAGAGGAATTGCCAGGTATTTAATGATGCACTTATTATTAAAAAAAGTTATGGGTTTCGGTCTTGGAATTTTGGTGTTATAAATTTTGATGCAATTTTTCTAGGCATATGGAAATGGAGCTGATTTACTAAGTCTGAATAATTTGGAAGAACACAGTTGGATTGTGCGAAAATTGCTTGCTTCTGACCCGCATCATCGAACGTGGTATACGTCAACGCGACAGTCCGCTCCTGGATTGTGGACAAATGGCGATGGGACTCAAATGATTAACATGGACCAAGCCTTCTTACAAGATCAACTTCCGGTTTATAATTTTGGAGAAGTTTACAACTATGTGGCTTACAAGTATGATAAAAATGATTTGACAACTTAATTGCACTGTAGTTGCGCTATTTTTTTTACTATTCATTAATTATGTTTTTGCAGTTTTTCAGAGATGAGGAGCATGTGGGGCCTTCTTAAAGTGTCAGGTCAGGAAGCTCACCAATACATTTGTGAAGTTCCGTTAGCCCAAGTGCCTTACATTCAAGTGGACAATCGAGATTTTGAATATGGATTTGACGTAATTGACCCAAAGAAGATTCCTAGAGGCCCATTCTTTATCAAGGAACCAAAGAATGAAGTTTTCGACATATCAAGAGGTTCGAGAATTTTGATTTATATAATAATTCTTCCGATTTTGATGCATCAGTTTCATAGCCTATGGAGTTCCATAGGAGTTCCATCAGTTTCATAAACCACTCCCATGTTTGCATTTTTTTTTAATGAAGTATTTTTGATTACAGGAGTTCCTCTCAGCTATGTTACTTTAACGTATGGAATGATTCATATATATGGATTCACTGAATAAGTAACCGATTACCATGTTGTTAATCAGTCTTATTTTCAATTTAGATGCGTTGCTGGTGGATGGCCTGCCCCCACATACATGTGGTTTAAGGAGGAATATCGGAACAATACCCTAGTTTCGTATCGTATCGACCCATTAAAGGAACAAAAGTACACCGTCAGTGGTGGATCTCTCGTGATTCATGAACCAAGTCAAAAAGTGGACAGAGGAAACTATCATTGTATTGCATCCAATGAATTCGGCTCCATAATTTCGGAAACTGTTTCTCTTTCATTCGGTTATATTGCGGAATTTATACTTGTTCGAACTACAGAATATGCTAACCAGTTTTGGGGAAAAGCAATCTATTGCGACCCACCCCAACATTTTCCAGGTATTAATAAGATGTCAACAAATCTGCTTTAATATTTGTAAGTTATTCAGCAAATCCTAAAAATTCTTGTATTGTTTTATAAAGCTGTTCACTACTACTGGTCTCGCACTTACTTTCCCAACTTCCTGGAGGAAGACCAAAGAGTGTTTGTGTCTTACGATGGAAATTTGTATATCTCAGCAGTAGATATGAGTGATTCTGGCAAATACAGTTGCAACGTTCAAAGTACAGTTTCAGACTCTGGAAGAAATGGGCCATTCTTCAACTTACAAGTCGTACCTCATGGTGTGTCTAGTTGATTTACATACCGTTAAAAAATTAAATTATTTTACCCTCATACTTAATTACTTCTTGTAATTGTTTTATTTAGGAAATCCCCAACAACTCAAGTTTCCTAATAATTTCCCCAAAGTCTTTCCTGAAGCTCCGAAAGCTGGGGACATGATTCGATTAGAATGTGTAGCTTTTGGATAGTGAGTGAATCTCGAGTCAATTTTACGTCTACAGATGCTTGAAATGATATGCCTAACTTTATCTGTTCCACTTCCAGTCCCGTCCCTTCTTATAACTGGACGAGGAAGGGTTCTGGTCTTCCAAGAACGGCAATCTTATCAAACTACAATAGAGTGATCTTACTAAAAAACGTGACAGTCGAAGACCAAGGAGAATATGTCTGTCGAGCATCCAATAGCCGACTGTACATTGAGGCTTCTGTAACTTTAAGCATTCAAGGTACGAGCTAACAATATGTATTAATAATAAACTTTAACCCAAGTAAAACGAAATTTTCCAACCATTTCTTATTTCTAGCTGCTCCACATTATACCATCCCCCTTGAAAACAAACATCTCGACAAGGACTCAGATCTTACATGGACATGTGAAGCCTTTGGAATTCCTGACGTTTCCTATCAATGGTACAAGAACGGTATTATGATAGAAGGGGAAACATTACATCCGCAGGATATCGGAAGATATTTTGTTCAAGACAATGTGCTGACGATAAGAAAGTTGGACGAAGAAAGGGATGCAGGAATGTATCAATGTAGGGCAAATAACTCCTTGGCTGTTAAATTCTCATCTGCCCAACTTAGGGTCCTTCGTAAGTAGTCTATAATTAATTGCATTTTATATTGTTTATATAAAACTATTCACATTGATTGTTCAACTTGTAGTGCTAAGACCCAGTTTCAAAAAGCGACCCGTTGACGCTGAAATATTGGCAATGGAAAATGGAAACGTTACGATTCGCTGTGATCCGGAAGCCGCTCCAAGGCCACGAGTTCAATGGAGAAAGGACGGCAATCTTATTGGATCCGGAGGTCGAAGACAAATCTTGCCTAGTGGAAGTTTGCAGATCATGCCCGTTTCTCGAGATGATGCTGGAATATACACCTGCATTGCAACCAATATACGAGGAACGGAAGACAGTACTGGACGACTGACCGTGCTAAGGGGTCCAATCCTTGTGGAACAACTTCCCGATCGAATTCAGTATGCAGTCGGATCACAACTTTCACTTCGGTGTCGTGCAGATGCGGATCCTTCCCTTGACATTTCTTACATTTGGAGACACAATGGACTCAGGATTGATGACACGTTACCTAGAGTTCGTCTAGATCCGAGATTTGGCTATTTAGAAATTTTCAACTTGACATTGGCCGACAAGGGAGACTACGAATGTGAGGTTATAAGCTGGGTTGGAAAATTATTTTCCGGAAGCCGTGTCGAAATTCGTGGCCCACCTGGTCCTCCTGGGGGTGTCGAAGCGTTTGACCTTTCTGCCACTAACGCCACCGTCCGATGGACCGATGGAGCGACCAACGGCGCCATTGCATATCTGTATACCATTGAAGGCAGAACACAATGGGACTCCACATGGGATTTGTTGGCTATAAGTAAGTGCATATGACTACACCATTATTTTCATAGATATACAGATTTACTGCATGACTAGTAAAACTAATTGATCAATCAATCATTTCAGATGTCACGGCGTTTGATGCAGATCGAACATTGGGTCCTCGAGTTGGCGAGAATTTAAGAAAGGAGGTCAGAATCTTGGGGACGCTTTCTCCTTGGTGTGCCTACGAGTTCCGAGTTATTGCATCCAATGAGTTTGGATCTGGGGAGCCCTCGAACCCTTCCCCTCAATACAACACCCTCACAGCACCACCATTCATTGCACCAAGAAAGGTTTCTGGTGGTGGAGGCAAAACCAATTCGTTGAGTCTCGCCTGGGATGTGAGTTATTGGTTTCTTACGATAATTAGATAGTTGTTACCATTTAATGTCAATCTTTCAAATTAATTTGATTTATATTGCAGCCACTTCCACCCAAAGACCAGAATGCTCCTGGAATTCACTACAAGATATTTTGGCGTCGCTACCGTGAAGACATTATCGAAGAGTATCAGACTCAGGTTTTGGACAAATGGGGAAACATTGGAATGTACGCCGTCTCAATTCCATCAAACTACTACTACACTTTATACGAAGTGAAAGTTCAGGTGTGGTGACAATATATTTATGTTTTAAAAACGAAGTATTATTACGTTAGACCAATTATGCTAATCATTATTTTAATTTATAGGCTTGGAACTCTCGTGGGTATGGTCCAATTTCTCTAGCATCTCGAATCTACAGTGCGGAGGATATGCCTCAAACAACACCTACAGTGGTTATGCCAATTCCTTACAACTCCACTGCTATCAATGTTACTTGGACTGCGGTGGAAGAAACTAGAGAAAAGATTCGTGGAGAATTGTTGGGCTACCGGGTATGCAAAACAATAAAAGGATTAAGCGAGCATTTATTAGTTATTCCGTTAGTGAAAAACTAATACTCAATTTTCTTATTCCTTTTTTAGATCCGATACTGGCAGAAGAAGGACAATAATTTGTATGATGCGGAAGCATTAAATTATTTAAGTCGGTCAAAGAATCCGTACGCTCTTATTCTTGGTTTGATCCCAAACACGTATTATTACGTACAAGTTATGGCATACAACTCTGCCGGGCCTGGACCTGCCAGTGAACCTATATACGGTGAGATTTAGGACTGAATGAATTTCAATAATTGATTCGAATATAAGTTTAAACATTGGGTACTGTTTTTTAGAGAGAACATTGAAAAAGGCCCCACAGAAACCTCCAACTTCTGTCATTGTCAACGCGCTTGATCCCTCAACTATTACAGTCACTTGGAGATACGTGGCACCATCAACTGATGAAGAAGCTCTCAGCGGTTACAAGGTACGTCAATTCGCCTACTTTCTCTTAATCAACAGGAAGTATGTATGCAAACTCGATAAATAAACAAGTAAGTGCTAACTATATCCATATTGTTGAACTTGTTAGGTGAGAATTTGGGAAGCAGATCAAGACATCGCTACTGCCAACGATACATACATTCCAATCGGTTCGAGAAAATTGGAAACCACGATTGGAGGACTACAGCCTGGAAAGATGTATGTTCTCCGAGTGCTTGCATACTCGAATGGAGGAGATGGCAAGATGTCTTCACCTGCCAAGGAATTCATTTTGGGTTCGTACTTTTATAAATATTTAGACTGTTCATCATTATTTTACGTTAAACATACAACTCTTATTGTTTACTTTTGTGCAGGTGACCCAGAAGCTCTCAGGAGTAGTGCGACCCCAAGAATACATTCAATCCTGCAGTGTGTACTTAGCGTGGTGGGCTTATTCTTTTTTAATATCATTTCAGATTTTAACCGCAATCATGTGCAACTCTAGTTTTAGTTTAGATTATTTCTTCGTATTAACATTGTGGTTTTAGTGACTTTTATAGTTTTTTTACTGTTAACATTCCCCGTGAACACAAACCAAAACATGCCTCCGCAAAATTATGTACATGACAGTCTTGAATATTGCATTCCTTTGGACGAATGCTAAAATTATGGACCGGTGACTTATCTATAAGTATAGAAGACTGAACAAATATGTAGACTTATTACATCCAGTTCTCTCTAGCAGCTACATACCCTGCGAGTCTCTCTGCCTGCTTATTATTTGTAATGTAGCTGTGTATACTTAACTTAGCATGACATTATCATCACTGTATGCCATTCCAAAACGCAAAATGCTTTAATGTTGGTGTTCATATCCTGTTCGTCCATATTTATGATAAACGACAATCTCTGTGAATCTCAGCCTTGTGAGTATTTAACGCATCTAGGAAGAAAAACTATATATTGGTATAAGCACAGACATTTACTAGGAAATAGAATTAGTACATTTTTATATATTTTATATGTGAGCAAATTATTATTAGTATTTAGTGTATCATACAAAACCAACAGTGAACTTACAAAAAAATATGCTTAAGAACCGTCCAGAATAAATAGATTTTCACATGTGTTATACCCTTCGCATTTGTACAATTTTATTTATTAATCAATATTTAGTTGTCTTCCCACAGAAAAGAAGAATGCGCAAAGCGCACTTCAAATTGAGAAAGAAAACACAAGATTTCATTTACTAAGTGATGACTAGAGTATTGATATTGATACATTATTTCACAGATCATCATATATAACTAAACTATCGCACTAAAACAATCACCTAAGATTATACATACAAATCGTAGTCGACTCGCCGTCATACATTTTTTGTTACATTTTAGAAACGAAAAATGCAAAATAGTCCGATGACATAATGATATCGCAGAAAATGGAATGTTTGGGAAGGGAAATCTTTTCAATAAGTAATGCACACAGAAGTGGGGGTCGTTCTCTCATTCGTTTTTTAACTATATAACACTACTACTCAGGAAATATTGACACGCTCTTTCTCAAAAACAAACGTATAATACATTCCGTGTCTCAGATTTGGCTTTACTCTGTTCCACCAAACGTCATAGGTTTTCCTTTAGGGTCATCAAATCTGTCCATTGTTTTGACATCCATAATCATAGCCAGTCCCCACGCTATCACTGCCATTAGAATGAGTGTGATGAAAATACCAGACAAGATTCCGATGGAAAAGAACCCGACACATTCGTAGGCTTCGGAGAAACTTTTTGTGTTATTGGAAAAGGGTTGGACCTATTCAGGAGAAAGAATTTATAATGTTTATTGTCTATTAGGTTTCATTCGCTAAATCGTTAAATTATATACCGAAAAATATTCAGCCTCTTACCTGGAAGTGATTCAAGTCAATCGCAAATGAGTGATTGCCACCCCCTTCGGCCGGATAAAGCGAACCAAATCGCGAACAATGGAAAGAATGCGAGTCTGGCGCATACAAGCCAATGTCTGATATGAGCACGCTGTTTGCGAAATCGAAAGGTTTTCCAGTCTCTGTCCCCTTCAGATTTGCCGTAGCGTTCGACATGACCCAATAAGTGCCCTCTTTTGCAAACTTCAACCTGTACAAATATGACAATAAACACTCTGCATAACCATTTTGTAGAAACACCACAGCTTAAAATCCTTACGTAATTGCGAAATTTGAAATTGTAAGGTCTTTGGAAATCGTGTCTGGTGCACCGAACGTCATAGTTACTGTCGACGTCTTTGTATCTTCCTGAACCGGAGCGAATGTAGCTTTGCTAAAGGAAGCCTTGAAGAGCCTGCAATAAGAAAAGTTGCCTTCAAAACCCTGTTCACTATTAAAAACAAAAAACGCCCTCCCCCCAAGCAAATCTATACTTACTTGTCCTTAGCCTCATTCATCCGAAGAGTGACATCAGACGAGTTCATGACCATGATGAGACCATGTTCCTGAACAATGATGGGAGGTAATGGCTTAGGTTTTGGCTTAGGTCCCTGCGCCAAGGCGAAATTGTTGAGGCACAACCCCACCAACGCAGCAAACACGGGGAGACGCATCTTTAAATCCCACTCCAATTACGACTTCACGACTACTTTTAACTACTCCTTCCAATCTTAAAAAGTGGGTGTGGTAATAACTTTCATAAATTAATTCAGTCACAAATTGGCGAGAGATGAGAGATGACGAATTGCAAAATTAACATCAGGAGCAGAATAGAGGTTGGGAGACTACACCCAAAGACCAAGATTTGACTTTCGCACCGCACTCGATGTCTCGTCTCTACTAAAACGGACGGAGAAAGTCCTTCAGCAAATCAAATCACAACTTTCTAATTTAAATTTGCAATTTATAAAGATGATAAGCAAGAAAACTTAATTTCAGAAATGCTAAAATGTATGTCCATATCGTATTCTAGCCCGTTATCATTTAAAAATCCATATTTTGTGACGTGGTTGACCCGAAATTGATAAGTTTCTCCCCCTGCCCCCAAAACGTTCCTTATATACAACGTCTCAATTCATAGGTCGGAGAAAGTTAAACTTAATTTCAGAAATGTTCAACTATATGTCCATATCATATTCCAGGCCGTCATCATTTAAAAATCCGCATTTTGTGATCCGGTTAACCCGAAATTGAGAACTTTCTCCCCCTGCCCCCAAACCTTTCCTTGTAACATCTCCATTCATAGGTCGGAGAAAGTGACAAGTTTTCTCTCCTCTTTCTGCTTAAAACTAACATGTTGTGTGGTGCCATCGGAATTAGGATCATGTACACAAATGCCAAATGTCACATGAAACTGTGGTGGCGGACTTTCATAATATAATGCATTCAGTCAAGTTGAGAGTGAAAACCTGAAAAGTGGTTCGTTCCGTCCGGAGTTAGAGCAAACCGAGGATGAGAAGGATGTGGAAAAGGACTTATTCAAAACGACAATACGACGGAAGGAAGGCAGTGTTGGTTGGTGGATCTGGCGTGGTGAAAGTTATTGCCAGTCCCAGAAGACTCGCATCATCGTCGGCCCATGCTTTCTCCTCATCTTTCCATTGTATGAATAATGCATGCATTCCGTTTATGCGGACGAGAGAGTTGACTTGACTTCTTCATCTTCTTCTTCCTTTTCTACAAGAGAGACCTATCCAGACGAGAGAAAGCTGTACGAAAAATGGTGAATTTCGCCCTTTTATATGAAGAAAAACAGTCTTTTATGCATGAAAAAAATTCAATTTGCATTACAACCATAAATGAATGGTGGGATTTTTCTGGGTAATTTTCAATAGATTTTTTTTCCCGGAAAAAAATGTTTTCCTCTCAATTTTTTTTGTTACGGGTGAAAAGAGCAAGATTAAAGTAAACATGCAAGTTTTCCTGTATAAAAAATAATTTGATATTCATTCGGGTGAAGGTTACAAAAAGGTTAGAGGTTACACTTTACGGGCTGTAACTGACTGAGCTGGCTGGAGGTGGTGGTGTGCATTTGTCAGAAAAGCAGCAGGACTACAGACAGACTAGATCATATTCATGCCGATTGCCGTGTTTCATACTTATTTAGTGTTCATGTCCATAATTTACCAGACATTTTTCAGGCTGGGTGGTGCTGGTGGTGACCATGACGGAAATTATTTAATGTCTCCGTTCCATGTCAGCTCTGCTCAGTGGGAAGTCAAATTTTAAAACCAATTATGAAATTGGGCATGATAATTAACATTTTATGAACTTTCTGCCTGACTGAGTGACTGACTTATGCTTTCCAAATAGGCAAATAAGTATGTACATATATATAGATACCAACACAGATATGGAATTGGTTGTCGGTCGGTAGTTTATATTTATTGGACTCCTTTGAAAAGCACGACGTACTACGTTTCGCTACTATTATTATTGGACCAGAAGAGCAGAGAAGGACATTTAATGGCATGTTTGAAAACGTGAAAGGAAATGATTGGGAAATTGGAATCAATCCATCAGAGGGAAATCAGTCAGGCGTACATGAGAGTAAAACGCAAGCTATTTACTGAGGAATTGTGCCATCGTTTATTTCGTCCTTTTGTGTCTCACAACTTATTTTCATGTCCTCCTCCTATCCCAACCAGTCAACCAACCAACTAACAAGAACAAGAGAAGGACAATAACTACGAGAGGATAGGAAAGAAAACCATTTACGAGGATGTGCAACTGGTTCTTTGCTTTTACCCGTTAAATTATTAAGGCATGAAAAAGTTTAGACTGCTTTCACAAAGCGAAGTTTTTTTCCCTCAAGAACTTTTACGTACAAAGTACGCAAATGTGGAGAGAAAGAAATCATTATTTTTCTCTCTGTATGTTTTTTTCTCCGAATGTTCATGTCCAAAATAAACGAGGACACGACTATTATTTTTTTGCCCAAAAATATTGCCCAATATCATCACATGGATATGAGATTATGGCCTGATAGCAAGTATATATTCACATAGAATGAATGTCCCATGACTCGCATCCTTCCTTCCATCACTCATTCCGCCAACTGCCTGGTATCATCCTCCGCTGCACAATGTGATAAGTGCATAAGAGCATGAAGAAGAGTAATGAATAAAAAATACCAGCCTCATGCGACATGCACATCGTCAACCATAATAATATTTAATAGACGAGGAGGAGGAGGTGGACAAGGAGAAAGTAAGAAAAATATGTTCCTGTCGTCCTGTTGCATAATAAAGTAAACTCTGTCTGCTTGCCCGAGGAAAAAGCATGACGCCGGAAAAAGGACCATGGATAAACGGATTTTCATGTAAAAGTCTGTTCCCGACTGGCTGCTGTCCTTCTGCCAACAAACATGTCGAGATGGAGAGCTCACTCTCTCAAGGTTTCTTTTTTTAAGTTGTAAACTGTCAAAGAGTTGAAACAAGGACATTACATTTATGTATAATGGAGTGGTCGTTCCACTGGAGAGATAATGGAAACGAGAGGACCAACAAACAAACCAAGTTTGCTTGACATTTTCCTCCTCCTCTTCTGACCGACCCAGTGGCTGGCTGGCGACATGGGATATGTTGTTTGCATGTGTAATGGAGAAAGCAAAACATTGTCAGACCAAAGTCAACCTGAACAAATTGTTGTATCCACTACTTTCCCTCGTGGCAATTAAGAGAAATCTGGGCCGTCACGACGTCCATGGTGTTGTTGTTCACTGAGCTGGATGGATGTAGAGAATAGCATTAGCAGGATTTTCCTCCTCCTCCTCCTCGATCCGACTTCTAACATCAGAGGACAATGGGAGAACGAGTGAGAAGAGCGAACAAACAGATGTTGTGACCAAAGCTGCTGCTGGTGGAGAAAGTAGATTTCTTTCCCTTGAGCTCAAACTCTCTGAGAGCGAGGAGTTGGTGATGGTGCTGGAATGTAATCATGTTGGATTGCCGGAGTATGTATGTATCTCTATAGAATAGTGACTAATACTGAGTAGTCCTGCTACATATCCTGAAAGGAAACCTATACAATTTTCCCAAAAGAAAGTTAACAAGTGGAAGGATGAGACAACTGGGAGAGAGAATCGTGGGAAATCCCGTATGAAATAGAGCATTACTATTCCCACTGCTAATCCATACGAACCACTCTGGCACCAGCAGAAGCAGCAGAAGCAGCAGCACATAACCCTTTAACTCGGTCGGTGGGATGATATCTCAAATATTTGCAGTGTATATGGCGATGGAGTGCAGTACGTACTTATCCCTCCTGCGTCGGAAATGCTTTCACTTATAAAACACATACATACATAGTCGTAGTTCGCGTATAGTGCAAAAGCTCAGCCCAGATCAGGCATCACTACTTGAGTGTGAAAGCGAGAGAGAGCAATTCAGGGCTTTTGTCAAGCATTTGCGATGTCATGACTTTCTCTCGTAGTGAAAACTACTAGAACTTGGCTCTTGGTGAGAACACATAGTCGTCTCACTACTAGCAGAAGAAGAGTGTGTAGTAGTAGTCCTGCTGCTGCTGAATTATTACGACGGAGAGAGAAAGAGTGGGAGAAAGCCAGGACTGAGGGTTTGCTTGCAGGAAGTGGAGAATAGTTGTATAGAGAGTGGTTGGTGTGAAGTATTGCGAATTTCGATAAATTCTTGGCATATATAGGACCGATCCCTCAATAAAGTTCGCTCCATTACCGCACTTGAAGGCAGCAAAGATCGAGAGATAAATCTTGATGCATTACTTATCCCTTATTGCTTCTCGAGAGGAGTACATACAACAATGTATAATCAAATTACTTATCGCACCACAATTCCTCTCCATTATACCACCCATTAGTACCAGAACGAAGCAAAGTAGTGCTCTCATCTAATACGTACCACCGACGAGCTTTCGAGTTCAACTGCGACGAGAAGGAGGTCGAGTTTGTCCTCTGCATTTTAAAAGCCAGCCACCACGTCTTGTTTAGTTTGAGATTTTTGCGAGTCTCGTCCTCAGTACCGTTCTTGGTTTATGTCGAGAAGGAAGGAAGAGAGAAAGTCAGCCGACCAACCAACACGCAGTTTAATTCAACTAGTCTTTCTCTCTCCCACTTTCCCCACCACTACCAACCACCAGTCCAGGCCATCATCAATCACAACAGAGTCAGCAGCATGTGTGTATCTCACTTAAATAAAGGAATCATGTGAGAGAACCAGTAAGGAAAATGCATCGCGGTTAATAATAAGTCGTCGTCGTCCGTATTTATATTTTGTGGTGTGCTTCTTCTTCTCTTCTCTACTGCCCCACTGCTTACTTTACTATCTCTCTCATCCATAATAAAAGTGAACAAGTTGTTCATTTTTTTCATGCCAAATAAGTAGACAGACATAACATAACATAGTTAGTTTTAGTTAGTTAGTTAGCCAACCAACCTCATGTTACAAAGTGATTGTGACCTTCGCATTTTACATTTATTATACAATCATCACTCACTCACGGCTCATCTTCTCTACACACTCGTGTTGGTTGGTATGTACATTTACACGTCTTTAACTGCGAGAAGGATTGAAAGGATTTAAAGGACTCTATAATGATGACCTTATCATCGAGAAGATAAGTCGACCCTTAACACGGCTGGACAAAGTGGTTAAAGCTGGTCATGTGGAAAGAGCAGGATACATATAATTCCATTCTCAAGGTAACTAACTGCCACTCAAATATGTATTTCAACATCCTCGTAAAATTCAGTCCAAACCGAGTAGTTTAACGAATTGGTATCATACATAAATAAGTAAAACTACAGGATATTTGAGAAACTTGTTTTCTTTGAGATAAATTATATTCGACCTTAAAACATAATTTCTTAAACAAAGTTTAATAATGTTTTTTTCTGGTATTTTTTTCCTTTAAAGAAATTAAATTACTTTTAAAATTGGGAAAGTTTGAAACTACGGTAGATTAAGAATCTCATTAGGCAATTAAATGTATCCACCTACTTGAGAGTGGTTCTCCCTTTGTCGAACTATCCAGTGTGTAGGATTGACGTTATTTTGTCACGAAGATATAAAACGTGAAATGTGGGTGCAGAGGTAATAAAAGCTAGGCAATGCCATTTACATGTATTTTGTCTTTGTCACTCTGTCTACCGAGAGCACAATACAGGGACATAAATTTTATGGGTGTTATTCTTCTCCTTCTTGATTTCATTGCATTCATTTAACAACAGGGATTCGAAGAGGAATTCATTAATGAGGTGCTAAAGTAGAGGAGTCCTCTCAAGTGCGTGATATGTCTTCGTCTTGGGGGATAGACAGCATGGGGTCATCGGGCGGCGGACGGGGCGTGTTCGGGAAATCTTGCCCCACAACAACCACCACTAATCCCCCCATGCCCCCTGTCTCGTCCTCAATAGGCAATCAATTGCCTCCCCAGCCTGTTTCGGACATGAGAAAGGAGGGGGTCCGGCTGGAAACTCTAGTTTTGGGACAAGACCGCGTCATTGTTCCCACAGTTGCTCCACGCCCCACCTTAGTTTCAGAACAATCTGTGACCACGATGATGACCTCGTCCGCAGCAGTCCCCGTCCAACAGCCTCCGAAAGAGAAGAGTTCTCCCATCAAGATGAGCTCTTTTTCGAGTGTTCCTGCCAAGGGGGCCAGTGAAGCCATTAGTCGAAGACCCATCTACCCAAACTTTCCTTTCTCCCCCTTCACGTCCCCTGGAAGTTCACCATTCGCTAGGCGACGACAATTCAAGGAATCGCAGAGAGTAAGCGTGGAGCGGATTGGGGATAATGTGCAACTAAATCAGTACCGACTCAAGGAGCCGATTGGTCGAGGGGCGTATGGAATTGTCAAGCTGGCGTACAATGAGGAGGATGATAACCATTATGTAAGCGGGATATAGGCCAATAATAATTTTATAGTAAGCTGGCATAACAATTACAAGATTTGACACGTATTTGGTTCGATAACATATTAGGCGATGAAGATACTCTCAAAGAAAAAGTTGTTCCAGAAAGCTGGGATTTTTGGTCGAGTTGCTCCTAGTCGAAAGCCTCAGGGGAAAGGTGTAATCGAAAATCCACTGGATCCACTTCAAAGGTATAATTTATTTCTCTTTGGTGAAAGTATTTTAAATAAAAAGGGTGCCTAAGTATGTTACATATGTGGATGAATTTCTATCTAGGGTGTATCGTGAAGTCGCCATTTTGAAGAAATTAGATCATACTAATGTTGTCAAATTGGTCGAAGTTCTAGATGACCCTGCCGAGGATAGTTTATATCTAGGTACATACATACACTAATGAAGTATTAAATCATGCAATTCGAACCATTTAGTACTAATTAACACTAATTATTACCCTAGTTTTTGAGCTTTTGGAGCGAGGAGAAGTGTTGGAAGTGCCCACGGATAGTCCACTCCCGGAGGAGAAAGCGTGGAAATACTTTCGAGATGTCGTCCTCGGTTTAGAGTACCTGCACTATCAAAAGATATGCCATCGGGATTTGAAACCCTCAAATCTCTTGCTAAGTGATGATGACCACATCAAAATTGCGGATTTTGGCGTGTGCAATGAGTTCAATGGTGAAGACGATGCCATTCTTTCGAGCACTTTGGGAACGCCAGCTTTCATTGCACCAGGTAAATGAGTACATTCTGTGATACGCACAAGTACGAATTGTGTCATCAGTCTCATCTAATTAATATTCCATTCCAATTTCCAGAGGCTCTGGCTGCTTCAAGGGAAAGTTACAGTGGGAAGATGGCCGACATTTGGCAGTTGGGGGTCACCTTGTATGCCCTCGTGTATGGGAAAGTCCCATTCCACGAGGAGAGCATTATTAAACTCTACGAAAAAATTCAGTCAGAAGAGCTATGCTTTAAAACTACTCCAGAAATTTCTTTTTTGCTCAAGAATCTTTTAGAAAGGTACCTAACGTTTATCATATTATACAAAATATGCATTCTCAATTACGCAATACATTGCTACAAAAAACTAGAAACCTAAACCAGTTTTTTGTTAAATTTCTGTGCAGTATGTTGCAAAAGGATCCCAAACAAAGAATCACTCTACCTCAGATCAAGGTAAGATTATTATTTTGACAAATGTACATAAAATATCAATTTGCATCACAAATCCGAAACACAGCTATATACTAATTTCCATTGCAAATTGATTCATTCTCCACAGATTCACAACTGGGTAACAAAAGACGGCCAATTTCAACTCCCCTCAGAGGAGGAAAACTGCACGAGCTACGTGGAAGTAACGGAGGACGATGTTATGAATTGTGTTCGCTCTATACCAAAAATAGACACAATTATTCTGGTCAGAACCATGCTGAAAAATCATTCTTTCCAACATCCTTTCAAGCGGAATTATGGGAGCAGAAATCTACTCCATGTCAACGGTCGTTCCCACTCTGCGCCCAGCTCGTATGACCTTCTCTTCGAAAGGTGAGCTATCTCTTAGCATCTCCGCCTTTTAAACATTTTTCTTCATCTTTTTCTTCTAAAACTTGACAGGAAAATGTCCCTCGACTCTGGCCTACTTCCAATGGTGACCGAGTCCAAGTGGGAGCAACCCTGTGTCAGATCTGGTTTTCCGAGGTCTCCCATTACAAAGCTGAGTGATACGACCCCTGCCCCCGCCCCCACAGCCGCACAAGTCTTGACAAGGAAAAACTGATGGAAATCAAAAATACTCATCGTTTCGTTCTCATTGCCAGTCTTGCTACTATTCATACATATTTGCAACAGATATAATTTTATTTTTGAGTCTTATAAACCATGACCATATCATCATCATGCACACACATATATAAATATACATAGGAGTACCAAGGTCCTCTCATCTCATTCATAAAGTGTCTTCTTATTCCTTCTTATACAAAAAATATCCCTATAATTTTACTTACTTATCAATACTTAATATGTACACTCTTAGAAAAAATTTTACTTTTTTGAAAAGTAAGTGCACTTTTTACTCCATATGAAGTAAGATTTACTCTGTATCAAGTAAGCGTTACTCTGGATTTAGTAAACTTTGCTTCATATGGAGTAAAAAGTGCACTTACTTTTCAAAAAAGTAAAATTATTTCTAAGAGTGTACCAATGTGTCCCTATCTCTCTCTCTCATTATAACATTCCTCTCTAATATCTCTCCTAAACTTGGTCTCAGATACTTACTAAATAACATAAGGTGCTCTTAACGCTGAAATATTACTTTAATAATACTGTGACACAACAAATTTTTAAAATCTAGATATCGCAACTCTATGTAACGTAACGTAGTCAGTCAAACTTACATATTCCTTCGTACGCACTTTTTATTATTCCTTAATAGCCATTCCAGTCGGAACAATATACGTTTTAATTTCTTGTACGTGCTATAAATATAATTTTAATAACAATTTAATGTTGTCACACACTACAAACAAACAAACAAACAAATTATTAAGGAGAAAAGAAGTATATCTAAATATTGTGTATGTCAAAAATTATGTGTATGCAAAGTCTAAAAAAATAGGTACATACGTACATACAGATGTAAGTATGAGGAATTTATCATCCTGACCCAGCAATAACCTGACTTTTGCGTATACTCTCTTATTCCTCTTACCTGATACTTGTCAGCAACTCACGTATTTCAAATATATTATTCTACATATATTATTATACTTACTTAAATTTTTGCGAAATCATCAACAAAACTCAACATCAAATGTCTTCTCGTCAACGCTACAAACAAACACAAATAATACGTGTGGGTTGTTGTTGCTTTTAAATAATTTGTCTTTCTACGGATTTATATTCCATTATGTCTACAAGTACTCGGTCGGATGGGTGATGATGACATGCTTTATTATATCCTTCGGTCTGCATGTAGCAGTCAAGTCATGCAGTCATCATCACACCACTTTTAGCGTTTTTAACTTTTTGAAATTAATTCTGTCTGAATTGAACAATTTTTAATAAACAGTCAGAGATACGTCTACATTTTGAAGCTCTACATTAAAATTACACGGGGAACGAATTTGTCATTTATTTGTCTTTCATCACCAAAAAGTAATGCATACATACAACCCTTTTCCCATGTCGAGATGATCATCGCTCGTACTGCCCGACGCTTCACTTCACTGCCTCCATCCGGAACGATTATCTAAACTAATCTAAACTACGCTCTCTCGTTCACAAAAATAAATAAATATATCGAAAATCATACAACAAAAGTCGTCCCCAGTGAGCACAATACCTTTCAAAGATTCCTTTATCTGACGGTAAATTCAAATTCAATCTCATTCATGTCATCATATCACCTCATCAGAAAAAATACAAGATTCGCTTTTTTCCAATACCCACAACACAATAAGGGGGAAGTAGATCATGAAGAAGAAAAAAAAACCATGTGTTTCGTATTTATTGGTTTGATTCAGAATTTCATGACTAAACTATTCAGACTTGACTAGACCAACGCTACATGCTCCGCTTGCAAAGCCATACCTGAAAAATTGAGAGCATATCTAATAAAACAAGTAACTGTGGTGGAATGAAAGCCGTAATTGCCAACGTAATGAAGCATGAAGCGTCGACGACACCACCACCATTATTATTGAACTACTACTACTAGCAAATAACACCTCAGCGAGTAGTATGCATGCAATAATGCGATGAAAAGTTCAACAATTACCCATTGTTGGGTAAATTAAAGACTTAAGTACGGAGCCTGTCCTGTCTCCTCTCGTGCTGTTGCCTACTTGCAATTGTTGCAATGCCAATAATAAATATCTGAGAAAAGTGTAAGCTTCAGAGATGAAGATCTTTTTTTAAAAGTCTGAAACTGCAGGAGAGGAGAGGAAGCAAGGCTTAGAAATCTCAACCATGTCGCTCAACGCGACCAGACCAGACCACTGACTAAATTATTGTGTTTAGATATGTATTGAAGATTGTAACAACAAAATTTATTTTGTACCATCAATTCTGTTTTGTGCACTTGCAAACAAGAGCAATTTATGTATGTACGTATCCCTCCCTCATTCTTTCCTCCTCGGTATTCCGGGGGGTTGTGATTCTTTTCAAATCATACGCAACGGGAGTTGTCTCAATTTCTATTCAATTTCCGAGTTGAATAAATTTCAGGAAATTATTTACGATGAGTGGTTGGATAATACTTTTCATTTCTTTGCTCAGCAGACGGCATACAGTTCTTTATTTATTGTGTGCTAACTATCCAACTAACTAACTATACACATTTACATACATACTTATACACGTCATGCTGTTGGCTTGGCTTGTATTTATGTACAAGAGGGGAAGAAAGAAAGCACAAACCAAACCAGTAGAGAAACAGAATAAGCATTATATTCTTCTCGTTGCATTATTATCTTGCAATAATATGTCGAATTGACTCGAGTTGAAGATGAGTATTTGCTGTTATGTGATGATGATTGCCCGTATAAAATATACTGCTTGGTTTGCATAGCATTTCTCTGTTGTTGCAATATTTGCATTTGTTTGCTCCTCCTCAACAATCGGCGACCAACGACAATCTGATTTGCAATTGGTGTAAACACTGCACTGCATGAGAAACAAGGTAATGCGCGAGTGCAGAAAAGTGCATTCAGTAGGTGATTAGCATATCCTCTATCGCTGTGCTGAACCATTATGGCATCAGTGTGGTGGTCATTTATTTGTATGCAACATACTTAAGATTTAACAGAATAGTGCAATAAGTAAGTCCGACATCATTTATGCATTATTGTGGTTGGTCTAGTTCAATGTCAAATTTGAAAGGACGTTCAAGGGACTAAAATTTTCAGAATTGGCACAACTTATCAAAATTGTGTTATGCACCGTAAATGCACATGATTCTGAGATCATTCACTTCTGCAATGGCCCTTCCCTAGGACTCAACCAACATATGTTGTTTCAAGGCAGCAGCAATTTTGTACTTATATGTACTAATGACGGACTAAATTGAAAATGAGATATCCTGAAGCAATGTACGTGATGAGATAATTGTCGTAAATTTGATTACTCATTTTCTTCTTGGTCAACCTATTTCTCGATATTGCCCAGTAAAAATTAACTGAACTGCTTACCAATAAAAAATCAATCTGGTAACGTTACAAATTTTACGATATATTAAAAATGCATTCATTTAAAATAATCCGCATGTGGATCATCCCACTGGAGATAAACATGAAATAAAGCATTTATTTATACCAATAGTTGATAATATGTACATTCATGTCATGTTTATACGCATTCACACACTATTAACATAATGCATGTCGATATATTTATATACGAGTGCATGGAACTTCTTAATACCTTACCTGAAAAGGTAGCATTCATGAAAAGCAATCATGCATGGACGGGTCTAGGACTTTTCGCATTCCCAAAAATTGTATACCAGAGTCCGTTTTTTTGAAGGCCTATTTCAATGTCGCAGTTTGTGTGCCCGATATGATCATAAACATAATAATTATCATAATAAATAATTGGGTACGTTGCGCAAGTTAAAAAATATTATGCAGCGATCTTCATCAAATTATGTACTCAAGTGCAGTTATATTTCAAAAATGTGGAATCGTCACCAGCACTCAAAAGTGCACTAATAAATAACATACTGATAAAAGTCGAACCATATGCAACTTTAATACTGAGACGTGCATTATTGTTACCATTTGCAATTGTGTGTCCTTTATCATTTCCAACGAGGACTTGGCACACAATGGTATCATATTACAGTAGTACATACACAGCTTGGTTGGTGGTGGTCTCTGGTCACAGGTAAAAATCATCGCACGCATCTATAAAGTTGAACCCTTTTGTTGGCTATTGGGTTCTTGGTGGCCTGATTTCAAGTCGAGAGTAGTCTTATGTCCCCCATCGTCATTTTATTAATGTAAAATGGTTTTCAACTTTCCAACACCTTGTTGTGGTTTGGTTTGCAGCAGCCTCACAATTACTGAACGACTATTCAACTCGACAGCAGCTTTATATTTAAGAGAGTTAGTACAGTGTCAATGGATGCATGAGGCCGGAAATGAAATGAGAGCTTCATCCCCAGCATGAAGAAGATGATGACGATCATCATCATCATCACCTTTTCGATCTATGTATGTGCATGCCTATTATCAGCCATCATTTAAAGGATTTCTCTTGTTTTCAGTCTTGTTCAAATGTGTTAATTTTATCCTCATGAATGAATCCTATCATTTTCGAGGTGAATTTATCTACTTATAAACGATTTGGCTCCGTGTCACGCATGGCCTGACATATTCAAAGCGATAATTGTGTTCTTCTTCTCAAATGTGTAGGTTATTACTTATGTATAACTGACATTATGACACGTATCATGCCTATTTCAGCAGTTATTTGAAAAGTGACAGACTCAAAGGTCTAGGATACGACCGAGGAGGAAGCGTCCTTCTGTCAGCTTACTTACTTACTTATTCATAATAATTATTCTTACAGGATTTTTGTTGTGCTTTTCGCATTAACATCTTGTCATAAGAAAAGAAGCCCATATTTCTTGCCTTTTACGTGGATTTGAGATGATGCCGCTATGACAGGGTAGCTTTCACAGTTTATTTTTTACCAAGCATTCTTCTCCCCTCAGCAGCAGCCCTACGATACGATTCGTACGTAAGTAAAGTATGTGACTCTTGTACGATTCTTCTTCTTCTTCTTCCTTTGTGTAACAACTCTGAGAACTGTATAAGAGAAGAGAGAGACTCTGAGTTCGTATAGGAATAATATCATCAGAGAGAGCTACATATACTCTGCCTTTGCATTACTATATGTATGTCTCCACTACTACTTTTGCCCTGCTCAGACTGTGCAACATTACATACATATTTCCCTTCGACTTAATACACGAGAGAAGAGAGAAACTATACAGGATACGACTTTAAGCTCTATCCCATCGTCAGGTTGCACCAAAGCAATTGCATTGTGTTTTATGTTGTGGTGGTTGATAGGAGAGAGGAGTAGTGAGTGGATCAATCTTCTTTTACCAAGTTAACTCACTCAATTTCCCATCAGCCTCAACCAACTTAACAAAACTGTAACAAACTGAACAGAGTAAACTAAATATCTTTAAGACTAATAAAAAAGTAAATCGACTCTTTAATATCTTGAGTGGTTTGGTTGGTTCCATCCGAGTGATAAGTACGAAAGACTGTTATTAGTAGAAGACCACACCACCAAAATAATTTATCCGACATGCCGATAACTCACCAACAACCATCCAAAGGAAAGATTAAGGGGGAGGAGGAGGACTAATAAAAATATTGGATAAATATTGTTTTTTTTACGGGGAAAAGTACCAACGGGAAAATGGAGTCCAATCAGAGGAGGACGGAGTAATAAATCGACGACCAGGAATAAATTGGAGAGGAGAAAGGACGACATTACACTCACTCACCGATTTGACCACTTATGAACTTACACCTTTAACTGGTCTGGTGGTGATTGATTCTCGAGTGTGTTGTTGTTGGCTGCTTTATCTGCACATGAGAAAGCGTTGGCTCGTGATTACACTAGATAAGCCAAAGTTATAAGTTGTGTGCTATTATTGTTACGAGTAAAAAAAATACATTGCAGATCCCAGTGAATGAATGGAACATTAGTTTGGGCAGAAAACTCATCACGTTTGAGAGTGAGTTTCCGTAATCAGTCAAACAAACCAAAGGCCAAGCTAATGTCACAAAATTGTAGGAACATAATCTCCTCAAATATTATATTTTGTATGGGAAAAATAAGATAACAAGAACTCTTTGTGGTGGTTCCGTGTTAATAATTATTTCCCACTCGGCGTATAGAGTCATTTTTTAGTGTAGTAGTTGTCTTTGTGATATATACATACATAAAATTATACATAATGTTGCATTTATTATAACCAAAAGTGCGTTTATTTATTGTGCTCGAAAGTAGTAATTCTCCAATATTAGGAGATTGTGGTTAAGGAGAAATATTCGAGAAAAAGTGGTTGTGAAAGTCATCCAAAGTTAGCATTTGTAAGATTGCGTTATACTTATTAAATAAGAAGAGCAGCTCATCTCTCTAATTGCAAAACCTAATTTCTACTCAGAAACTTAGCATTTCTTAAAATTATACATATACAAGAACGAAATGCATTATTTTGATGACAAGGATCCAATTTTGGTAGGATTGTCAAAGAGAAAGTAGCGAGAGAAGAGCAACACGCCGAAAACTGTGAGTTTAATTTTAACCAGAATCATAAAACTGATTACGGTCAAGTTTAAGATTGAAATTTTTTGGGTTTTTAGATATCTCTGATTTTCAGTGATATTGAAATATGAGTACCAGCAGCACCCAGGACTATCAATGGTGAGTCGGCCTGACTTTCTCCTGGTACCAGTAGCTAAAGCAATATCTTAAACTTGTTCTGGACGTGGTTTTGCAGGGCCTACGCCATCATGGACTCATCCCGAGTGTCCACATTTCTTATATCCATCCTTCTCATAGTTTATGGAAGTTTCAGGTAAGCCTCACAATAATAAAATTTCCCTGAAAGTGACCAATGTTGCATTGTTTCCCACAAGGCGTAGAAACTCGTAAAAATGTCCTAATGTTTGATTGGCCCCACAGATCGTTAAACATGGAGCAGGAGGCTCGTGAAAGGGAGAAAGAGAAGGAATTGGCCAAGCTGACTGGAATTGCGAACAACAACGAAAGCAGTAGGTTTCTTTTTTTAGGTGATAATTACCAGGCTTTTATGAACCTGAACTTTCCGTCGTTTTTTGCACACATTTATTGAAACTATGTCCATTATATGACCTAAAATGACGTTAAAATCAGCTACATTTGGTCTAGATGTACAAACCTTGGATACTATGCAAGCGCTGTGTCTACCACTGGGGGCTTCCATTTCACTCCTCGTCATGTTCTTCTTCTTCGACTCTATGCAAATGCTTTTCGCAATATGCACGGCAGGTGAGTACATAAAATACAGAGGTAAAAGTAAACCAATTATCAGTCAAAATTTATATATTCATTGTTAATTATTTTTTCAGTTATCGCAACAATAGCTTTAGCATTTCTCCTCCTTCCCATGTGTCAATACATAATTCGACCCTGTTCTTCCGGGAATAAGTAAGTATTATCATTTCTCCTTGATTATTATTATTCGTGTCAAATTATGCAGAAATGGAATAAATAAAGACGTAACTAACCCTGATGTGTCTCTCGTTTAGAATATCATTCGGATTTTGTGGGAGGTTTACTGGAGCAGAACTGATGTCATTTTCCCTTTCAATAACAATAGTATGCGTTTGGGTTCTCACAGGGCACTGGCTCCTCATGGATGGTAACGTTATAAACTCACATGTTCAAATTTGTGCAATTAAGAACGCATAATATTGTCCTACTTTCTCCTTGTTATTAGCCATGGGTATGGGACTTTGCGTTGCATTTATCGCATTTGTGCGTCTACCAAGTTTAAAAGTGTCTACACTACTACTTACTGGTCTACTTCTGTACGATGTGTTTTGGGTCTTTTTCTCATCGTACCTCTTCAACGCCAACGTCATGGTGAAAGTAAGAGAAAGCTGCAATAAATTGTTTGATTAAGGATGTGGTTGTGATTTTAAATACGTTTCTGTGTTTTCTTAGGTTGCCACAAGACCGGCTGAGAATCCTATGGGGGTAAGTTCTTCTAATTTCACACTATAATACTTACCCAATTTATTAAAAATATATAATATGCATCAAAAGGTGAAGTGAAAGTAGAATTTAAACCAGATTTTTAATATATGCACATTTTAAATCTTAATAGTTGGTCGCCCGTAAACTACACGTAGGAGGAATGTTCAGAGTAAGTTGGTGCTTTTTTTTGATACGCTTTGATATTCTGAATTGATCTTTAACATTGTGTAATTGAACGTATTTACAGAATTATGTACCTCCAAAGCTATCTCTGCCCGGAAAATTGGTCTTTCCAAGTATGTACACTACGGGTCATTTTTCCATGTTGGGTTTAGGAGATATCGTAAGTCGGCTATTTATCTTCACCAGTTTCTTGTCTCTTATAAATTGACTAACGTTTCGTGCACTTTCTCCAAACTTGCAGGTGATGCCAGGACTTTTATTATGTTTCGTGTTAAGGTTACTGACACACTCATCTACTGATTACGCTTAGGTTTCTCAAAAGTATTACTATACACGGGTTCTTACGTGCATTTGTTATATTTCCAGATACGACGCTTATAAGAAATCCCAAGCAATTCATTTGGGAGAATTGGGGGTTCCTACTCCAAATCATTTAAGTAGAATTAGGTATCGTCATCATCAATTTCAATTAGTGATGACTTTGAACTAATATCGTGACGTGTTTGTTTTTTATGACTTTCAGTTATTTCCACTGCTCTCTCATCGGTTATTTTTTAGGATTATTAACCGCTACCGTTTCCAGCGAGGTTTTCAAAGCAGCACAACCAGCTCTTCTATACCTTGTCCCCTTCACGTTGCTACCACTGTTGACTATGGCATACTTAAAGGTATCACTTCCAACTTATCAATGTGCCCGACTTCCCAGTGGGAATCCTCTTCCTATCTGTGACTGAGATAGCGTATGACGTTGATTGAATGGAAAAGTCTCTCAATGAAAATCAAAAGCAAATTACAAATTATTTATTCACTTTGATTTCAGGGGGATTTGCGGACCATGTGGAGTGAACCATTTATAAATCATGTCCCATCAAAGCATCAAGACGTGTGATTCCTAATTTCCTGCTGCTGCTGCTGCTGCTCCAACAACCAACACATTACATAAAGCCGACTCTTGAACATGACTCAATTCTGTTCAATTCTTGAACTTGTAGTTTCTGGCAGCTTTTGATCAACTTCCTATCCAATATCTCTACTTACTACGTACCTACCTGCAAGCCAATCTACTACCTATATATCGACATCAAAGAAGAACAAATCCCTAAGCTAAGTGTGTAAAGGAAGAAGAAGAAGAAAAAGAAAGCAATTTAGAGTCGACCGACCCATCAGTATTGCAATATTCAACTCTACTCTCCACTCCGACGACTACTGCCCAATTCGTGAAGTGAAGGATTTTATATTATTAAAAAACCGCAAGAAGAAGCAAAACACAAGAAGAATCTCGGCATGTAAAGCGCTCGACAGATGTGATAATTTCGAAAACCCTGCTCGTTTTCGACCAACAAATATTTTTAAGTTACCAAAACATGACATGATCATAAGTTTGTCTCTCCTCCTCCTCCTCGTGTGTATATTTAACCTACGCGTCCCTCATCATTCATCATCATCATCTCCTCACACCACTTAATCGAAGACCACTTAACCAGAAAGAGAAAGTCTTAAACCCTACTTGATTTCGACGAGTTGAAAAGAAAGGAAACTGTTATTATCCAGACATCACCACCACATAGCATATTACGCCCGTTTATATAAATATATATTCAAACCTACCCGTGGATCATGTCTTTTTTGTTTTTTAGGTTTTGGGTAAAATTTGTTTGTTTAAGAAGACATGATTAATTTGTGACAAGTAATTTAATACTCGTTTGTTTGTACTCGTACCTTGCTCTGAGTGCTGACTTGATTGGAGTTGTTGTACTACACATATCTCATACCGTTGTGTTTTTATTTGTAGTAGTAACAATTTGCTTAAAACTCGTTTGACCTATTTACCCAAGTACGTACATTCGTACATACGTACATCCAAAAGTGGTGTGTGTGCAAGCAAGCAGAGGCGGATGTTTGGAGCATGGAGAGTTAGCTAAGCAACGCAAATTATTGCGACTCTCTCTCTCCTCTCTCTCTCTCTCTTTCAACCCACAAAAAAAACAACGACCGACCGATGATGCATCACGTTTCTATTCGGTGTGCCTATTCGACGACGACCACGGCGACGTCAACAGTTGTCCTTCGGCCATCGTGATCGTCATGTGTTTATGAGTGAAGGGAAGAAGAAAGAAAGGAGGAAAGGCGATATCTCAAGTTGGATGATGATGCATGAGGCGACAAAAACCTCCACAATTTCGCAATACTACTATCTTTCTTACCATTATATATATAAGTATACATACATACACAACATGTAAATAAGTCTGCAAATTAAAGTCATCTCCGCCGCCGCCGACGGCATCATCGCCTCTGTACAGGAATTGATTCGATTTAACTCTATAACTGATAGATAGAGAGAAGCGATACTGCGTCGTAGTATATAATATTTTAAATCTTAAAAAATGTGTTGTTGTTATATAGTGCATTCTCATAAGAAGGTCCTCCTCCTCCTACTTAAGTTTCTTTCTTAATTTCCACATTGTTCAGATTTTACGATACACAAATGTATGTAAAAGTAAGATGACATTTTTGTTACAATTTGTAGTCCTTGAAAAAGAAAGATTAAAAAATGGACGTAAAAATAAGTGCACAATAATACATGTCATGCATGAAGGAGAAACCGACTCATTTTTAGAATTCCTCACACTAACACTAACACAAGGAAATAACGGATTTTCGGGTTTTCTATCCCTCTCTCTCTCTCCCGTGATGATAAATGAGATCTCATCTCCAGAGTGGCCCATACTTAATACGAACGGCACGGAGAGAGAGAGAATGCCGTCATCTCATCATCATCCTCCATCCATCCACCCCTTCCATAACAACTGCTTGGCATGACATTTCCTTGCATGGGGGGACGAGGACGAGAGGGGGGAAAGTGATTTTGTTTAAAGAGAGGAGAGACCGAACACAGGGGAATACTTGTGGTTTGGTACCATCCAGGTGGAGGATGGTACCAAACCACAAGTCATAATAATAATCACTCATAATTTGAGAAGGAGCTGTCTCGATCTGCCTCAAGACGAGGAGGAAATGAGATTACCTCCTCGTTCTCGAGACAAGCAATGTCTTGAGATAAGATTGTGTGTGGTTTGTTTGTGTAAGGCGAGAACAGCAGAAGAAGAGTGGACAGAGAGAAAGGCATCCGGTGTACTTTGCAGGACGTGCGCCAGTGATTGGAGAAAGTGGAGAAAGTCGAGAACAGTGTGGCCGTCCACGTCCACGTCCACACGGTATGTCGGAAAGAGATGCGGTCTATCTATCTCCCTGCTATAGACGTATAGTTAGTGATTAGTATGGGCAGGTAGATGATAGAACACAGAGAGAGAGAAGAGAAGAGAGAGACTTGGTAAAAGAAGAGACGACCAAGATGCGAATTCTGTTCTGTGTCTCTGCTCTCTCTGTAGTGGGATGATGTTGTGGTAGATAGTTTCTGCATGGCGGTGGTGGTTTTAGTACTTGTTCGTTCGTTCGTTCGTATATACTAAAAAGAGAAAGGAGAATGAATTGAGTATGCTTATGCTAAAGTATTCTGCTGGCCGTGGTGGTGGTGGTAGATGGAAAAGGGGTTAAACGCAGTGAGTATACCTGGGAACCAGAGAGTCGTCCTACCATTCTACACAGGGCGGGGTGGTAAAGTAAATTTTCTTCTCTCTCTGTATGTATGACCACCAGATAATAAATAAGCACAGACCAGCGAGTTGTTCAGACTCATTCGCACCACCACCTCACTCGATGAGGAAGGAAGAAGTGCTCCTTGCCCCACTGTTCTGCTGCCCCCACCACCACACCCACTCGGTGCCTCCAAGAAGGGACATAAAGTTAGGGGCGTAAAGGGCAAACTTGAGGAAATTTGGGTCTTCTTTAAAAAAGGAGGAGGAGGTGGAGGAGAGAAAAACCTTTCTTTTTTATCTGGCCCTCGTCCCGTCTAAATCTCATCCGACTACTCACTTTCTCCACCATCATCATCTCCTCTCATCAATAAATCACATGTAATAATAAATTGCCAATTCTTGAGATTCTCTCCTCCCTCGAGAGAGATCATGAGAGGAGGGGTAGTCGAGAAGAAGTGCTGTCGGGGTGAAAGTGCTGTTATTATTGTTGTTGTTGTTGATACTAAGTTTAAATTTAACCAGTCCTCCTTTTAAAAAAAGTAGGGTAATATCTAATTGTTCTGTAATCATGAATAGTTGTTACGAGGAGAAATGAATCTTTGTTTGTGAAAAGTTTGTGATTTTCTCCATTCAATCACTCACCATTGTTACAAAGTAAGGAAGCCGAGTTCGTAAACAGTGACCAGGATGGCGGACCTGGAAGCCGTCCTCGCGGACGTGAGCTACTTAATGGCCATGGAGAAAAGCAAGTGCACACCTGCGGCGAGGGCGAGCAAGAAAATTATTCTTCCTGATCCGAGGTAAATTGTGCTTAAAGTCATATTTGGAGAAAGTTGAGCATAAAAAGTTTTTGCAAATTTGGCATCGCATATTGAATAAAGACAGAGTTTTCAGAACATCATCTTACTTAATCATGGGAGGATTGCATGTTTGACATTGTGTATTTATTTGCGTGTCGCCGTCATCATGGGCCGCATCAATTTTTTTTGTGACGGCTCAATCACACCACAAATACTAATACACATATAGATAGAGAGATTTATATAGATATTTAGATAGCTACTAGATCTATAAACATAATCCGATGTTTGAGAACTTGATCATCATCATCATCTTCCTATTATTATGGGCATCCGTTGTCTATCACCCATCCATACTTGTGTCATTACGTAATTTAAACGCCCAAGTAGATTGAAGAAGGAACATATACATAGAATGGCATGGGTTGCTTAATTAGCCTCGTTTACTTCAATTTTTAACGTCCATCAGTATGTACCAGCACCAGCAACTCGTCTTCTTTGTCGTCGTCGTCGTTGTTCATGGATTTCAAGTCTGACGAGTTACGACAAATACATATCATCATTACCAACATCATGATGATGTTGTCACCAAGTAAAATCTGGTCTGGTCACCAGCACACAAACAAAATTAAATGAGACAAAAACGTCGCCTTTCAACATTTTCTCTATCTCTCTGCCTATCCATCCATCCATCCTGGTTTGTACATGTGTACTCCATTTTAGAGTACATTTGATATCAACTCTCTGTGGTTAATTTATACATGAGAGCAAATAGTTGCATTGCATATCAAATCCACCGACCACAGAGAGAGAGACGACTTGTTTGGCTATTGTTTTGCTGGACTCGCAAACACTTTAAGTTTAATTTGAAATGACAATAACATCACTATGTCCACAATTGAGAGAGTCTCACAACTGAAAAAAGTATATTTTTAATGTCAGATTTCAAAGTGGAGAAAACAAAATCCCAAAATACCAAGAGGATACACGTACATATAATATCCTCATCGCTTGATTTGATTTGCTTTTTAAAGAAGGCCACCAAAAAAAAGCTTGAGTAGAAACTGTAATTAAGTCAATATGGAAAACGTAGGTTTTTTTTAAGGTTTATGAGGAATTAGTCGTCCTATAACACATCGTTCTGCTTTGGTTTGGAGAGTATGCTGCTGCTGGTGCAGCTAGTCGTAATTAGTTTACTTTATTATTTGGCAAGGCAAGGCGCATACATTATGTATTGTTATATAAGACCAATATTGGTTTAGACAATTTGATCATAAGTGGTGGGCAACTACCGCACACATATCTCCTCGCTAATTAAGTCCCTTTTGACGACTCCTCACACGAAACATTTTTACTGTTGCACACACACAAACTAATTATTCTCACGTCTTAAATTTCAGTGTGCGGAGCGTGATGCACAAATATTTAGAGAAGAAAGGAGAAGTTAATTTTGATAAAATTTTCAACCAACGACTGGGTAAGTTGTCATTGATTCCATTGATTGATTTATGTGATGCTGTAAACGATGAGAAATGAAAACAAAGCGATGATTGCTTATTACTCAACCTCCATTCATGTTCCAATTTTAGGATATCTACTTTTCAAAGATTTTTGCGAAAATGTCGCAGAAGAACCTATTCCACAAATAAAATTCTACGAAGAGGTTAGAAAAACAATAATAATCATGAAGGAAACGCATGAACATGCAATGTTCTAGCCGTCATCACTTGTCTCTCAATTATAGTGTTACGATGGGCTATTATTAAATATTATTATTATTAGAAGATGATATGAATCAGTCTTCTTCAACAAATACGTACGAAGCGGTTCTGCATGTGTGACGTACTTCTTGTCTTTTTTAATCCAGAAGTTCGTTCGCCCACTTATGTACTATTATTTTTTGAAGAGAAAATAGCTTATCAAAGAAGAAAAGTCTTATTCAGTCGGCCCTCCGATTTTTATACTCATTTGCCTATAGGAAAAATACTCGAGGTATAGGAAATCTGTTCCATCCATCCAGAGTGCGGCGTAATACAATGGGACGTAGGAAATGCTGCTAGATAAAGAAAAAATACCTACGTGCCTTTGTCAGTAAGTAGTACGGACGGTCGGTATATGTCATCCAAAGAGGAAGACAAAGGGAAACCTTTCTGCAAATTATTGACCGTTCGGTGAGTCCAAAAAAAGACAAAAAAGGAGACCTTCTGTCCCCAAAATCATAATGTGCGCATTGATAAACATTACATTTTCTTATATAAGTATTTTTCCACGAAAAAATACGATTTACAGAAGAAAAACACACAAAATACTTGGCTTCTTAGCTTTGTCGTACGTACATATTTCATATTTTAGGAATTAATGAGGACCACAATTATTACCGTCTGGAGCAATTACTTCGATTAGTATGGTTAATGGTAAATCTGCTAGATCGGGTTACAACAATTGCCTTAATTTCATTTCCTATCAGAGCACAGCACACAGGTCAGTTGAGATTGTGTTTCATGTATCGGATTTCTAAATTAATTAGACTTGTACAATATCGATGCGGCTATACGTACGTACCCTCATCGCTTTTTCTCTAAATTCGAGTTTAAGAGTCAGCCAACAACAGTTTTATTATTTGTTTTGGATCCTATATGCAATTTGTTGATTCGTTCGTCGTATCAATGCGTAGTTTTCAAGTATTTTCAACATCAGAGAGGGAGGAGACGGTTTCCTTCGTCGGCCTTCTAAATTATGAGGCAACTGGTATTACTACTATCCAACACAATTAATGAGGCTACACCAGCCGTCTGTTTAACAACCGATGTAATTGCACCGTGTATATATATTTTGCATCAGGAATTAGGCAGCAGAAAATGATTACCGACATGCATGCAAAGATATATGTGTACAGAGATGTTAATTGTGACATTATTTATTACTTCTCGTCCTTCTGTGTAACACAACATCTGCAACAAACCGCTTCGTAACAACAAAAAATTTCGAGTGATCTTGCCAATATTGCGCAAAAAAATTCGGATGATTTTCTCACTGACGGATGACATTGCCTGTTTATGCACACTTAAATAGTACTTTTACTACCACTATTAAATTACTGTTGTGATGTTATTGAATGTATTTATGTACAAAAGCGTAACTCGAGTATTTATTATGTCAGATTAAAAAGTTTGAAAAATTGGAAACTATCGACGAGAGACGGAAAGCAGCCAAAGAAATTTATGACAATTTTATAATGAAGGAATTGCTGTCTCATACCCATGTAAGGCTATTTTTCTACTAGTAAATAATCGAGAGAAAATCAAAATCTAGAGAAAAAGTAAAGTAAAAAAAATGTTGTTACTTTTACTCTGATAGAATTTTACCAAAGAAGCGGTCGATCATGTACAAAAGCATCTTTTTAAGAGTGACGTTCCCCCTAACTTATTTGAGGTATGTTCCAATTTAAGACATCATTCTGTTACGTCGTCTGTAGAACAATAATGTTTTGAAAAACTAATGGAACGATGGATCCATTTTGCAGCCATATATCGAAGAAATATTTAACTATCTCAGAGGCGAACCATTTAGACAATTTCTTGAAAGTGACAAATATACTCGTTTTTGTCAATGGAAAAACTTGGAATTGAACATTCAGGTAATACTCCAACAACAACTTTGACACAATAGGCATTCGAGTAATGAAATGAGGCGTGTATTCTGAAAAAAGAAAGAGAAAGTTTGTAATATTTTCTTCTACTTTCTCTTTTGTTGCCTCCTCCATTCTCATCCATCCATCCATCCATCCATCCAGTTGACAATGAACGACTTCAGCGTTCACCGGATAATTGGGAGGGGAGGCTTCGGGGAGGTGTACGGCTGCCGGAAGGCCGACACGGGTATGTTTTTGTTCTTATTATTTAAAAAAGTTTATTTATAACAATAATCTAAAATTGCGCCATGACACTCACGCTGTATCCAAACTTACTCTGCATAAAATTGTTGATTCTGTCCCAGCTTTCATTGATGACAGAGAAGGGTTAAGCTGTAGATTGAGGCAGTAGGGTGGGCGAATTAGGGATCAAATTGATTATAAATCCAAGCAAGTAGGCCAGATTGTTACAGAAGATCAATCCTTGTTCCATTTGTCCGAGTAGTTTGAGAGGAACAATAGAAAGTGGGATTTTTAGCATTTGATGTTGAATGTTGTTCTCATTCCGATATTTCACCACTGTGTCATCAGAGTGGCGAGCCTTCTTCTTTGACTTCGTTTGTCCCACGTAACTTACCTGGGGATCACAACAGGCATACAAAACACCATGAGTAACAGAAACCAGATCCGACATTTGACTTCCGGGTGGAGCAATTGTTCCGAATGGAAAGTTAGGGGGGTTGTGTCCAGCAGGATTGCTTGAATTTTTTCAACAGTTCCTCCTTCATCTCCAGTTCCAATCCATTTTTTCGCCATCTTAAACAATCAATTGTTTACTACTAGGTAAAATGTATGCAATGAAATGCCTGGACAAGAAGCGGATAAAGATGAAACAGGGGGAAACACTTGCTCTCAACGAAAGAATTATGCTCTCTCTTGTCAGCACTGGGGTAAGTTTTTCTCAACATGCTGCAAATAGATAAATACTTTTACATGTAAATTCACCTCCCCCATATCACCACCACCACCAGGAACATTCATGTGCCATTCTCCCTCCCCCTCTCTAATTTTGGCCGTGTGATTTTATGTCTTGTTATTCTCTGATTTTGTGAATTGTGCCAAAATCATAAGGTCCTTGTTAAAAAGACAGCACGCGCTGTAGTGACAACGCCTTTTGTTTCTGTAAATTTGAGCAGGCCGACTGCCCCTTTATAGTCTGCATGACGTATGCCTTTCACACGACGGATAAACTATGCTTTATTTTGGACCTTATGAACGGAGGGGATCTTCACTACCATTTATCTCAACACGGGGTTTTTAACGAACAAGAAATGAAATTCTATGCAGCCGAAGTAATATTAGGTGAGTGAGCAAGAATTTGAGTGAAATAGTAAAAATAAAAATAAAATCCGCCACAAATTACCCATTACTCCACATTTTGGCAATAAATCATTAATCTTATCGCTACCACGAGACTCTTTCTTGTTAGTGCTCCTTTTTTTAATGCACTCCACGCCCGCATTCTTTCTTGTTCTCTTTCCAGGTCTAGAACACATGCACAAGCGTTACATAGTGTATCGGGATTTGAAACCAGCAAATATTCTGCTTGACGAACATGGTCACGTTAGAATATCCGATCTGGGCTTGGCGTGCGACTTTTCTAAGAAAAAACCACATGCTAGTGTGTAAGTGTACAAAAAATCTTTTATTTCCCTCCCAATCACTACCATCCATACACACATATGTATGACGTCGACCAAGACGACGACGACGACGACTGGGGAGGACGCCTTGTCCTTGTCCTCCTCATTATTCACATGTGTGCACAACATGACAGGATTATTTTTCCCCTCGCTGCATAATACCGTTAACCACTTATTCTCTGTATTATTACCGCTATTGCTATTATGATGATGATTATTGTCGTTTTTGAACACCAACCAATCAACCCACCCACCCACCAATCCATCCATCCATCACCACAAAGAGCATGGCTTGCAGCAACAGCAGCAATTTGAGAGATTTTACAAGTGTGATGATATCTTGCATTGCAGAGGGACATGTATTAAACTGAGACATTTTTTACGGATTATAAACTGTTATGTTATATTTTCAGAGGGACACACGGCTACATGTAAGTACAAACAACTTTTAATGTTTATTTTATTCGAAGGTATATAAAACGGAAATTGAGAAAACACCTATTGCATGCGTTCCAATAACTGCAAATCAAATTTATGACAAAATTATGAAATGTAAAAATTTTTTAATTGTTGCATTGTTCAGGGCACCCGAAGTTTTGTCCAAAGGCACTGCCTACGACTCAAGTGCGGATTGGTTCTCCTTCGGTTGCATGTTGTACAAGTTACTCAAGGGTCACAGTCCCTTTAGGCAACACAAAACAAAGGACAAGCATGAAATCGACCGCATGACATTAACAATGGTATGAAGATTTTTTTATCGATGTGATGATGAAGTGAAATGAAATTGATGATGCGGAATGTCCTTGGATGATGAAAAGGGAAAAGAGCTCTTCGACTGACTCGTTTTTTTTCAAACTGCACAGAATGTAGAGTTACCTGAGTCCTTTTCAAATGAGCTAAGATCTCTGCTGGAGGGTCTTTTGCAACGTGACGTTGACAAAAGGCTGGGATGTCGTGGCAGAGGGTATGCAAACACTATCTGATTTGATGTGATGTGACGATAAGCACACACACACACAAAGAGACACTTTTTCAACATGCCACTAATGGAAATTTTCCCTCCTGCATGTGTCCTTCACAAAAAATAGGTCCGAGGAGGTGAAAGAACATCCATTTTTTAAAGGAATAGACTGGCAACAAGTTTATCTGCAAAAGTATCCTCCTCCCTTGATTCCACCAAGGGGAGAGGTTAATGCTGCGGATGCCTTTGACATTGGATCTTTCGATGAGGAAGACACCAAGGGGATTAAAGTGAGTGAAAGTCGATCTAACCATATACAGGGTGTTAATAAAGTCCGATCCCATTTTTCCTGTAAAAAAGTGAAGGCTAGTATAAAAAAAAACTACCCGTGATACTTACAAAAAATGTTCGACATATTTACCTTAGTATTTGGTCTTGTTACCATTTACTTTAACCATGCCCTCAACTCTTTGTTTAAGGCTCTGTGCTAATTTTTCGAATGTGCCTCTGGAAATCGAATTCCATACATCTTGAACTTTTTTTTACTAGCTCTTCCCTCGTCCGGGGTTGTGGCTCTTTGTATACATTTTCCTTAAGTATGGACCACTGGTTCTTCAGGGGATTCAAATCTGGGCCGTTAGCGGCCCACACCCCCTTGCTCCAGACCGTTGAAACTTGCGTCTTGATGAGACTCAAACTCGCTTTTGCTGTATGGGCTATAGCACCATCCTGCATGAAAACTATTTTTCTTTCATTCGGAAATATTTCCTTGTTCCCCATGCTATCGAAATAGATAGGTAATATTTTTTCCATATAATGCTTTGCATTGACTGATTGGCCTTTTGGTATGATATGTAGAGGGGTCACGCAACGTGCACAAAATCCACCCGCTACCATAACTTTAAGCCCGAATTTTGGGATCGCTCTTGATGGTACATCCGATTTGTTTTCTGTCCTGTAACGAACATTTTGTTGGTTCAATTTTGGATATAGTTCAATAATAGATTCGTCAGTCCAAAGGATGTGACTGCGCAATTCTTCACCAAGTCTTTTTTCACTCAAATGGGCACTTTTCTGAAGGAGTTCTTCAAATTTCAGACGGTCATCGATATATTTTTGTGACATGAGAGGTTTTTTTGGTTAGTTTGTAAGCTGTGTGACCCCACTTCGTAGTTTTCACAAATTTTTGCACGGTCACACAGTTAATTTGCTTCTTCTTCTCTTTATAGCGTTTTGAGTCATTTAACTCCCTTGCTCAATTACGTAATGAACTACCGGTTTTCTTGCAAAGTCTGTTTTTAATCATTCTTTTTGTGGTAGGTGACACCTTTCTGGGTCGCCCTGGTCGCTTTTTGTCGTGGACAAAATTTTTATTCTTCCATTTCCAAACAGTTCTGCGGCTGCAGCCCAATTTTTGCACAATTTCTGTAGGTTTAAGCCCCTGCTGATGCAATGTTTGTATCTCAACGCTAAGATGCTCATGACTTACACGTTTAGTTGTTCCTCCCATGGTAAAAATTTGAAATAAATAACTTCACTGGTTCAAAAGTTCCAGCTGAATTTGTAACAACCACGCTCCAAAAAATGCATGGGATCGGACTTTATTAACACCCTTTACTACACCACATATATCTATGTGTGTTTCACCTATAACTTCAAATTAATTTTGTTACATGACAGCTATTGGATACGGATCAAGAACTTTACAAAAATTTTCCTCTGGTCATATCTGAACGGTGGCAAGCGGAGGTGGCGGAAACCGTGTTTGACACCATCAATGCCGAGGCGGACAAGGCGGAACAAAAGAGACGGGCAAAGCACAAGTATCGCTACAATGAAGACGAGAAAGAATCTGACTGCATTTTGCACGGCTACGTTAAAAAGCTCGGAGGTCCTTTCGCGTCCGCTTGGCAGACTAGATATGCAAAATTATATCCTAACCGGTGAGCACAAAAAAAAGAAGTACAAAAATGCATCTCACTGCACTGCACCTCTCGCAAAGAAATGAGCGCTAAGAAAATATCAATTGTTATTATATTACACATTGTCTTGTCCCCTAATAGGTTGGAATTGCATGCGGACTCTGGGAATACGAAGCCTGAGTTGCTCTTCATGGATAGCATTGAAGAAGTAGTCCCGGACCTGGTTCCCGTCAAGAATGAACAATGCATCTTAATAAAATCCAAGGATAATAAAATCATCATCACCAACTCGGTACGTAACGTACGTATTGTATTGCTTGGTATATGCATACATATATTCATTAATCCTGCCCGAGTTTCTCCCTCTGGCTGCCCCTTATTGGTCACAGAGCAGACGAGACGACGCTACATGCAAAAAAAGGGAACTTCTACGTCTCTAATTTAATGTGTGTTTATTTTTCTTCTTGCAGGATGAAATTGGTCTGAACGAGTGGTCAATTTCCCTGCGTACTGCACATAAACATACGTTAGAGCTTTTAAGTAGTATGGCTCGAAAAGCTGGGAAAATTTATGGCGCAGATATCGAATCCAATAGCAAAAATTCACCAGTTGTTAATCGTTCTGCAAATGGTGGTAATCAAATATGAAAAGGGATGACGAATCAAAAGACAACCTTCTTCACACTAGTGTTAACAACAAACAATATATATCAATTTAATATATATACATACATACAGAACAATAATGTTCTCCTCCTCCTCCAGTGTTTCATACATAGATAAATATTATGTAAAACTCGTTAAACTTGTTGGACGTAATATTATTAGTTGTTGTTCAAGAATAACTATATATAACTTGTTCTTCTGGTGCATAATTACTTCTACTGGTACATATACGATGCTGCGCACTCCGTCTTCGTATTTCCTGACTTTATTCCTGTTAATAACACTCTGACTCCTCATGCCCACCCACGCAATTTCTGCAATGTTGCATCAACCAGCTGGGTTTATATTTCTCAGAACATTATTCAATATTATTGTTATTATTAGATGTGCTTGATATAGACCGAGAGAGGCGGAGAGAGAAAGCAATATCGTCTTTCTATCATCTAAATGAATGAATATGATCATGATCCCATCCAGTGTCAATTGTGAAGTGCCAATTTTACACCCGAGTAGCCATTTATTAATTATATACAACGAGATACTAGTGCTCCTTCTTCCAACACACGTTTTCTTCTTCTAAAATAATTATGCTACACTAACCAACTCCTACAACGACTACTTAAAACTAGTAAAACTGAATGAATCAACAGGACAAATGTTACCAACATGATGTCCACCTACCTACTTGTTTTTGTTTTAAGGAAAGAAGAATACCACAATCAATCACGATCAAAAATTAATGCAAGTTTAAAAAATAGAAACAGAGGAGAATATATAACATCACGACGATGAGAACATAAGGATCGGATGGGAAAAGGAAGAAGCCTAATAAAAAAATAAACATTTCCTGTGTAGAATCTCTCATTGATTGCTAGTCATTTATGCCAGTCAACCCTTTTTATGTCGATACTGCAGCAGTGGAAATACAGAAAGTTTACAGCTCGACGCAATCTCCAAGAATGCAAGTTGGCCGAGAATGCAGAGAAAGAAGATCAAATAGCAAGACCAGTCCTCAACAAAATTATACCTCATCCTCGCCTAAAAGCCGTTTGGATTTCTGGATAATTTATTATAATTCCTTGCATTATTATTAGTGTGGAATGTGCATGGACAACTCAACCATAGTGAGACAAAAAGTTTATAAAACAATTAAAATCTTTTCCTTTAAAATAAACGGAATGCAATCCATCATCAAGAACTAGATTATACATACTCTGCTTCATTTTATACAGATATTTCAATCCTACGCAGTTTTTAAATATCTGTACTACAAGTAATATATGTCTTTGTGATTTTAATTTTTCGTAAAAAAACATGTGCCAATGGGGAAGAGATGATGGAATACATACATTTTGTAATGCCTATTACACCTTTTAATACATACCTGTTAACCTTATTATTGTAGTTAATTAATACCAATTGATACACACAAAAACACCACCACCACCACAACTTGCCCTGTTATTGTTATATTTAATTAAAAAATAAGTTTTAATACTAACGACACAGAATTTTAAAAAATTGCATAATATGAATGTGGTTGACCATTGTCTCATACAAACCCACCTCAAAATTAATTATTAATTAATTACTCAACTGTTACTAGTTCTCATTACCACCACTATTTTAATGCTTATTATTATTATTATCATCATGAAAATGAAAAAGTGTTTAGTTCATTATTCCTCTAAAACATTAAGAACAGGAGAAAGTACATAAATCCTATGCCTAAAAAACCTACCTAAATACCTAGTTCATTTTATAATAAAAATCAACTCACTTTTTCAACAAAAATTGAAATTGCTAGATACAATCATGTTTATCAAATAAAATAACTTGATATAATGATGTTAAAAATCAGATTCATACCACGTATTAAAACTAATGACGATTAAACAAACCACACTGATGTACTACATAAACACTCTTTTTATGAATTTTTGTTATGGCACGAATGATGATAAATAAGACGAGGATGCAAAGAAATTGATAATTCCGTGATGTTCCCTTTATAAATTGTATTATTGATTACTACTCCTATGTACTACTTATAAACTAGTAAAGATGATGATACATACATGTTAAATAATAATAACAATATAAAATTACTTGTAATAATACCATCTAGTTTTTAAGGGATCGGATAAGGATACGAAGAAGAAAATCACAACACAGCCAATGTTTCTTAATGTTTTTTACGAAGAGAGATTTTCCAACTCTTCAAACTATAAGAGAATCAAGGAAGAAAGAATGCATCGTCGTCGTCGGTCATCGTCTTCTTTTAAGAAATATATTATCTACGTATATAAATAAAATTTTAAAAAACTATTTTAAATCCTTGTATCATTTCGCAACAAAAAAGAGGTTAATTCTAACTCAAAAAATGATATGGTGATGATAATGATGATGCCATGCCAGCTTTGTTTGCCATAATATTCACACAAGTCCAAAAAAGTGAAGTTGTCATTGTCGCCGTCATTCATCTACCATTTAGTACGTGGTACTTCTCTATGCAAGGAAAGATGTCTTACACACATTGACTTGGAAATTGTGTTATAATTATTTGCCAATACGCGTACATAATAATATAATGCTACTAAACTACTACTACTGTTTACTACTAAATGATAGGCCATTTAATAGACCATACGTAATCTTACATGTTTCGCATTTGTATTTCTTTTTTCATATCTTGTACGTAAAACAAGCTTCATAAATAGCCGTGTCGTTGCTGCATGTAGTTATTATTATTTAATTTCTCCTGTAAAACGTGGTCCTTTTATTGTTTTTCTCAGCAGTTTCTTCAATTAATGTCCATAATCGAAATGAGGAAGGAAGAAAGAGGTAGTTTTATTTTTAGTTTGTCTGGTTGGTTGGGAACGAATTAAAATGCTATTCATTTTTATTATGTAAAAGAAAAAAATATTGTTTAATTTTAAGTTTGTTGACTGAGCCCGCATTTGGTGCATGTAGGTAATCAATTGTTGATCTTGTTTATAATTTTAGTTAAATAAATAATCATAATGCTGTTACATTTCGTTGAGATTTCTTTAAGTGAAGAAGATGATGATGATAATACATGCGACCTCTATTCAGTATTTACATTTACTAATTATGATTATTATTATTATTGTTATATAAAAAAGATTATAGCATAAATTAAAACCTCTGTATTGTTATTAACTTGTTGTACTAAAGACAGACCTACCATCCCCACGCATATGTATTTGCTACGATAAGTTTGAGATGTTGTTATCGCTTAAAAGAATTCGATATAAATTTTTGAGTAATTTTTTCTCAAAGTTGAAACCAAAAATAAACGAGGAGCCAACACATTTCAAAAAATTAATACGTAGCCGACCTCCTCCTCTCCTCGTTTAATTGTTGCTAACTGCACCAAAAAACAATACGTCGTCGTCACAATTATATCGTTGTCGTTGTCCCTGTTGAGTTGCGTTGTTTGTCAAAATATTGACGAAATTGTTTAAAAATTGCTTACCTAGGTATTTACATACTACATACTTACGTATCTAAATATACTATACTCTCCACTACGTATATACTGTTGAGTGAGGCGATGATAATGATGTTGATAAGAGTGAAAAAAAATCCCATCAGCAGTCGAAAACTGAAAGCACAATCTTCCCAATTCTTATTATGTAAGAAATATCCTTAAGAAATAATCTATGCGTTGATGACAAAGCAAACAAACAAAAAGAATCATTCAAAAATGAAAAATTCGGTAAATAACAAGGAAAATAAAGAGCAAAGAGAAAAAGAATAAAATAATAATTAAAAAATGAATTTCTTTCTTGCATATTTTTTAATTATTGATAAGCACTTATGGATCATTGTTAAAAGGGGAAAAATTGTCAACTCGGTTTCATGACATAAAAACACGCCGAATTTGATGGGAGACAAAGTGGTGGTGGTGGTGGTGGCGATGGTGGTGGTGATCAAATCGATGGAAAGAGCAGGTAGCAGAGGGGAGAAGACACAAGATATTTTTCGCTGGTGTGACCTCCTTCTTCGCCCAGCTGCTATTTTTAATTCGGAAATTTTAATTTTAATTTTACCCCAAGGGGTTTTCAGGGGTCACACCCACTCTAAATCTTAGGTAAGGTGCAAAATTCAATATCTGATAGATAAGTTTTGGTCGGGATTTATTGATTTTTTTGAGGCTATCGTCCTCGTAATCGATAAGAAAGGTGAGAGAAGAAAAATAAGGGTTCCGTCTCTGTTTAGCTTCTCTCATAATGCATAATTTGACATGTCTTGATTAAATTTACATAAATTAAGAAATTGTTACACTACATAATTTTACTTGTGTTTATGATTAATTGTTTGATTTTAGTGAGGAAGGAAAGGGAGATTTTTTTTCTGTGGTGGTGAAATTCGGTGGATGGCGAGAAAGATGAGTTTAAGCAAAAGCAATGCAAATTCCCATAAGGACAATCAAATGGAGGTAAGGATTTGTATATATTTTTACCAATTTATTTTGGATAGCGCGTGTACATATGTATCTATATATTATGTGTATGTGTGTGAGGGGGGGGGAGGTTTGTCAATAATCGATAGTATTAGTTTTCTACCAATATTTGGTCTAAAAAAGAGTTGACTGATAAGTTTGATAACGCAAAAATTTTCATGTCTAGACAAGCTGAAATAACTGGATATGAAAAGGATATACATTAATGTTGTACTTATTTTTATTTTTCAGAGTATTCAGGAGATCTTCCGTTGTTTCATCTGTATGGAAAATTTACGAGATGCCAGAATGTGTCCTAGGTGCTCAAAGCTATGTTGCAAGCAGTGCATTCAACGCTGGCTTTCCGAGACTCGACCTCAGTGTCCACATTGTCGAGCTGCACTGCACATCCATGACTTGGTAAATTGTCGGTGGGCTGAAGAGGTCACTCAGCAGTTGGACAATCTGCAAAGCAACCCGGCCAAAGGAAAGTGTACTCCATCCGATGATGAGCCAGAGACTGAAAAGTATGAATTGTTGTACTGGTTTATTGTCATGCGCGTGAATAATGAAAATAAGTGACTTTTAATAGTTTTGCATGTATTACTTTTTGGGATAGATGCGAAACTCATGTCAAGGAAGAGTTATCTGTATATTGTGAAACGTGCAAGTGTTGCATTTGTCATGAATGTGCCCTTTGGAGCACCAAACACAGCAACCATGTTTTCAAACCATTAGAAGAAATTTATCTTCAACACTGCCACCAGATTCGGGAACATGTTGGACGCCTCAGAAAAAGATTCATGGAGCTTATAGGCGCTGTTCAAGAAATAGAAAAGAATATCGAAACCGTTCGGGGTGCTAAGGATCAGAAGGTTCGAGAAATTCGTCAAGCAGTTGAGCTAATGATTGCGAGGTGACATAATTATTCTCAAAATAAGTAGCATCAGTTTGACGGGGCATTAAAGCCTATTTATGTTTATTGCACAGGATAATTAATTAATTTTTGCAACTAGATTGGACAACCAGCTAAAGATGAAGTTGACTATATTGGTTGGGCAAAAGGGGCAATTTTCGAGACAAGCTGAGGAATTAGAGGGAATTTTGCACAGCGTGAGTAATACGATTATTTATATATATAATTAAACCCAACGATAATAATAGTTTTAGTTATACGATTGTTAGTTATAAAAATATTAATTAATTACAGATTGAGAGTACTATAACTAGCGGACCTAAAAGTGAACTCATTTTACACAGCTCTAAACTGGTCAAGTTGATTCAAGACGGCATAAATCGTTCTACTTTTATCGTTCCAGGCGTTTCCGGGGAATTCCAAAGGTTTGACAATTCTCTTGTTTTTAATTCTACCTATGAATAGACGTAAATCCTGTACAAATGCATATTAATTTTTTCCTATTTCTCATTTAACAGTGAGCTCGTTCCGCCGTATGACGGTGCTACCTTCGTCGTCAATAATTACAGTCATTTGCGAGAGCTGGCAGACCCTTTCTACTCTGACCCGTTGCACGCCAATGGCTTGACCTGGCGTTTAAAAATTTATCCGGATGGAAATGGAGCTGTCCGTGGGACATTTTTGTCAGTCTTTTTGGAATTAACCAGCGGTCCGGCTGATTCGGCCAAGTATGCAGATGCTTTGTTTTTAAATAGTACAGGTTAAAATGCAACACCACTAATAACTATTCTCCTACGACTTGCTGGTCTTCTTCCTATAGATATGAGTACCGAATTGAAATGGTTTACCAGCACGCCAATGAACCATCGAAGAACATGATTCGAGAATTTGCTTCTGATTTTGAAATTAACGAATGCTGGGGTTACAACAGATTCTTTCGTATTGATCTCTTGGAAAGTGAGGGCTATCTCGATCCAATCACAGACACTATTCGACTGAAGTATGGCTTATCTGTTTGATCCTTGCTAATCATTTATTCAATCTCAAAACCTATACTATTCTGTATTCTCTCCTGTTTAGATTTGATGCTCGAAGTCCTACATATTTTCTCAAATGTAAGGACCAACAGTGGTACATTAGCGAGTTGGAAAGGAAGACCACTCAGCAAGCTCAAGCCATTTTGGACCTCAGTCAACGAGTGGAGAAAATGGAGGCAGAGATGCCATTGGGAGATGGAAACTTGGCAAATAATGCAGATCTCAACATTACAGCAGGGAGTGAAGAGTCAACAGGGAAGCAGTCACATAATCGATCTCGCCTCCAGATGATCGAATTGTTAGATCTGAATGATAACAATGATACCGAAGAAACTGCCTCCGAAGAAAACTCTGATGAGGCGAGTAGTAATGATTATTTTCTTATATATTTTTGTAATGAGAGATGTATTGTTCGTAAATGTAAAAGAAACTAACTGACTTCCTTTTTGTTATGATATACAGAGTGAAATGGAGGACCAAGAAAACGAAGCTGGCGGAGATACCAGTGAGGTCGAGGTTGTCGAATTTACTGGAGACGACATCAACTTGAACGATGCATATGAGTCAGTTTTGAACTATTTTAATTTACAAATTATATTGATGCTTACATACCTGACGCATTGTTACTAAGGTTGAGTTTCTAATTATATTACAGGGGTTATGTAAATTACTTTGCCTTGATGGATGAGTTAACCACCACGACTCCACCGCCACGTCCTCCTACTCGTCAGTCCACTCCGCAGCCACCGTCAGGTTCTCAATAGTATTATCTCTTTCCTTCATCTCACACACCAATATTCCTTCAAAGTATGTTTATATTAAAATTTGTAATTTGATCCATTCTGTTTATATAATCATTTTTTTTGCAAATAAATTGAACGTAATGAAATGTTTTTAAAGGCAATTCGTTTCTTTATTAATCCTCATTTTCAGCAATGATTGAATTTTTGAACACCATAAGATTTCAAATAGCACTTGGAATTTTTGTTAGTTGCGTGATTACAAAAAAAAGTACAAAAAAGCAAACCCCAGACATACAATACAAACCGGTAATTAATTATTAAGTTGTTTTAGTTTAGAAATATCAATCAATTAGAATAATTGGTAACTTTGACTCCGAAGAAATCCGAAGCATCATTTCCTGGTTCCTCCAGGGGTTCAGTACGAGGATCTTCGGCATTGGTTAGGACTCCTGATTTTTCGTTCTCGAATTCTACAGGCAATACAGGCTGTCCGTTGTTTAGTATTTCGGTTTGGACAAATTCTGTAGAAAGGTTATCGTTTGCAATGGTGGACGACAATACTTCAGATGCATTAAGTTGAGGAGCATGCGAATCTTCCACGACTCCGAAGAAATCCGAAAAAACGTTAAACTTTTGAGCTGCTGCTGGTTCCTCCAAGGGTTCAGTATTAAAATCTTCAGCATTGGTAAGGTCTCCTGATTTTTCGTTCTCGAATTCTATAGGCCATAGGGACTGTCCGTCGTCTAGTATTTCGGCTTCGACCAATTCTGTAGAAAGGTTATCGATTGCAATGGTGGGCGATAATACTTCAGATGCCTTCAGTTGAGGAGCATGCGAATCTTCCACGACTCCAAAGAAATCCGAAAAAACGTTAGCATTTGGAACTGCTGCGGGTTCCCCAAGGGGTTCAGCATGAGGATCTTCGGCATTGGTTAGGTCTCCTGATTTTTCGTTCTCGAATTCTACAGGCAATACAGCCTGTCCGTTATTTAATATTTCGGATTGGACAAGTTCGCCCAATTCTAAGTTCACGCCTTCAATTGTTTGTGGTAATACTTCCGGCTCCTTCAATTGAGGATTTTCATGAGGATTTTCCGCGTAACTTAGTGATCCTGTTATTTTATAGTCGCGTTCTTCAGGAAATTCGGGCTCTGAGTTGCTAAAGATGACCACCATGTCATCCACGACTTCAGTTGCAGACGAGCTATCTTTTGGAACGGGTGATGGTATAGCTCCGGATTCAACATGATCTTCCTCGCAGTTTTGTGATCCTGGTACTTCTTGATCGACTTCTACAAGCAATACGGACTGCCCGTTGTCTAGTATTTCGGCTTTGACCAGTTCTGTAGAAAGGTTATCGTTTGCAACGGTGGACGATAATACTTCAGATGCCTTCAGTTGAGGAGCATGCGAATCTTCCACGATTGAAAGTGGTGGCTGAGTGGTCGGTTTTTTAGATTCAGTCTTTCCTGTTGCCTGAATAGTAGTAGTAGTCTGAGTAGTAGACTTTGCCAGAGTGCTGGTAGCCGATTTTTTAATGACGAGAGCAGACTTGGTAGTAGTAGTGGCAACAGGTTTAGGACGTGCTGCAATCGAGGTGGTCTTAGTAATCGTAGTAGTTCGAGTTGCAGTGGTCGAGACCGTTGGGCGTGTCGACCCTTTGGGTACAGTTGATGTGGGGGGACGAGGAGCAACAGTTGATGTGGGTGGACGAGGAGCCAGCTTGGGAGGATGTGGAACTTTACCAAGTCCTGTTGTTGCTGTTGTGGCTCTTATTTTACTTGTCACCGTGGTTGTTGTGGGTTTGTCAGTACTTGGACTTGCAGGTGCCCGTGTGGCACTCACTTTTGAAGCCAATCCAGTTTTCAATGTCGTAGAAGAGGCGACTGTGGTAGGCCGTGCTGCTGTGGATGCATTCCATCTTGGTTGTGCAGAATTCAGCGTAGGTTTCGTCGGAGACTTTATTTCTGCCCTAGGTTTTGCAGCAGTTGCTCCCGACGTTGTTCCAATAGGTTTTGGTTTAGGGGCCGCATGCATAGGACGAGTTTCAACTACCTTTTTCGTGGTCCCCACTCCTTGTTCCAGTTGCTTTTTAGCCTCCTTTAAATTTAAAAATATAAAATGAATAAAAAAACTACGTATTCATGAATTGAGTTTGCATACCTTTGGTAATGTTGCAAGTAGAGGGTGGACTGGTGCCTTTGGCTTTGGTGCAGCAACTGCTGGTCTTGATAAAGTCGTCTTACTTATTGCCGGTGGTTTAGAGGATTGGGGCGCCAACAACGGTCTCTTTGGGGACAAAGTCTTTGAGGGGACGGTGGTTGGTAGGATCTTTTTCGCCGGAGGATGATTTACAGGTTTTACTTTCTGAGAATTTCCAACAGACTTTGGTTCCTTATTATTGGTAATATCATCTTTAATCTTTATGTCTTCAGTCTTGAGAGCATCAGAATGGCTATCGTTTTGATTATTCGCCACAGCTATCCCATTTCCATTCATGGTAACATGCACCTCTTGAATTGCTTCCGCCTCCACCAAGTCTCCTCCATTTACGTCAGGCGAGTCCAACACCTCCGCTTCTTCCGCAGGAAGAGACATTTCAATTGATTATCTGTAATCAATTACAACAATAAGGCTATTAATCAAGAAATTATACAAGAAACATTATAAAAACACATCATTCTAGCCGCCTAGAAACAAATTACTACAATACTCAAGAATTTTTAAAACAGGTGCAAAGTTACACTATGTGCAATCAATGTCAATAACATACGATAACACGTAATATATAAATAATTTAATACCTTTTTTAGTCTATAAGTTTTTTCTACAAAGTGCACTGTACCACTACCACAAACTACGACGGAAATATAATAATACTACAACTGCATTCTACAATGATAATATAATAATACTACAACTGCATCCTACGACGAAGATTGTATGTATGGAGAGAAGGAGATGCCGACGATGAGAGGAAGGAAGCAACAAGTACGAAGAAAAGGTGCATCATCATCTTCGCGTGAGTCTCTTCGAGAAAGATGACTGCGGGACACTCATCAATGAATTTAAAAAAATACATCTCATCTGCCCATCCTCTGATTTCCAATAACCAATCGAAAATATCTAGACTCTAGATTACACAATCATTTCTAGATTTTTAATCATCACCCCTTACAAATAATGACCTTTTTATTTACCTACTCCACACGGCCAGACAAACTCGTCATGGTCAAGTAACCAACATGGTTGTTGAACGCCTCTTGTTCTAAAAGGTCCATGACTCAAGCTCTTCCTCTTCGCCTTTCTTTACTACTTTTTCAGCCAAACATCTTCAGCAATGGCAGTGAGTGGGAACACACCCATCATCATCATTATCTCTCTCTCTCTCTCTTCGTCAGCCATCAGACTACAACCATTCCAATCGGTAACGTAACTTCCTCTCATTTATTTCTGCTCGCTCGGTTATTTTATGTCATGCAAAATTTTACAGATAAATGCAGCGAAATACATCATTCGTTCGCTAGTCAAGTGAGGAGAGAGACTCGAGTTAAGTATGCAAATAAAGCATCATATTGATCCAACCAAAGTAGTTAGTGCATAGTTTATACTGGATTGAGAGAGGATGCATGCATGCAATGGATGGCTAATAAATGACAACAAACCAAATAAACATGCCTCGCCACCCCTCATTACACAACAACAAACTGCAGTGTTTTTACCAAACCAGATTAAACGATGATATCACTTTATGTCATGTAATCTAAAACCTAACGACGACGTAACCCTACTCAATAAAGTAACTACAGCCAAGACCATTTGGTTGGTTGGAGAGTTGAGAAATAAGTAGTAGGTTCCTCCTCCTCACCCCATAAATAAATCTAAAAATTTGCAAGCCACAGCGTTTCCAGGAGCAACACATTTGCCACATATTTCCTTCCTCCTAATTCATCATCGAGGTTGGCATGGTGAGTCAAAGTCACAAATTACGACGAACGAGAAAACCAAGTGTCACCCCAACTGCGTTCTCGTGTGTCATTGGGGCATACTTATTATTATCTTGTTGCATCCATTAATGACCTGCTATAAATTTTCGTCCCTATCTGCCTCGGAGATTTATTTGCCAGCTCAGTCCAGTCCAACTAAAATTTTCTCTCTCCCAATTCAACCCATATTCCATGCCTACCCCAATATGTAATACCAGTAGTAGGGTCAAAACATGCATGCACATCCGTCAGCTCAGCAGTAATTCCGATTAGTCATACTTATTTATGCCCCTCTGAGACCAGGCTAGGAAAGCCCATTGAAAAAATCAACCAACAAACTAGTCCATCAATGAAAACTACTACCACAATTCAACTTATTTTTTATTGCTAAAAAATCAAAACAAGACTGACTAATGGGTAAAGAATGTCATCCATCCACTATCCAATCCACTCAATCTAATGAAATGAATGAATGAGATCAAAAAGAAGCAACAGGCCGGGCCGGGTCGGGCTTCTTCTACTCAACCAAAAAAACAGATCCCTTTTTCCCTACTTTTTACCCCAATAAAGTGCCAAATTTGTGCAAACCCAGTCCCCCCATGATCCAGAGTGACAGTATGATAAGAGGTGATGGCCAAGATAAGGTAAAATACATACCGAGAAGTTGGATGAAAAATCCGAGATGAAAATTTGCAGAGCGAAAAATTAGTCCTTCTTGCTTACTTGGACTCGACTACTGAACTGAGCTCGCTCCTCGCTCCGTCTTTTCTCTTCATGTCCCACTCACGGGCTGTTCAGACGGAACTGGGCACTTCCCTTTTTTGCGCAGAAACTTGCATGCAAAAGCAAAATTATGTGCATATTTTGTTTCTCGCTAATATGATGACCAGACTATTCGCCATTAGCATAATTAGTTCAGGATCAATGCTTCTATTTGCTGAATAAATGTATCTAGAAAAAAATCATGTCGACATGAAATTATTTCGAGTCGTTATTGATTTCTGTTTGGTTGGAGGCTGGAGGGTTAGATTTCACGATAACAATAATATTTATTAAGAAACCACTAGAATTTGTACACTATTGTTTCTGAACAGAGGGTAAAATTTGATGTTAGTGTCAATCTCAAAAATTTGTAAATAAATTATAGCTGTATTTTTCATGTTTTGAAGTGTGGCTAGTTTTGTATATTATTTAGACAAGGATTTCTAAAATCGTAATAATTTTCAAATCCACTCCCCTCGCTATGTATGGGGGTAGTCAAATGTTCTACACATGACGGGTTAAAATTAGTTAAAAATCATGTAGATTCATGAATCTGTTATCTTTGTTGAGGTTCATTATCGATCAGCTCGATATGCATCGAGTCAATCGTTTACATAACAATATGCAAACTATTAGTGCACTCGGCATGAACCAGTTGAACTTATCTGCACTGGTGACATACCCGGTTTTATCAGTGGTTATCATATTCATTAATGATGATCAGGGTTTTTCATAGCGCCAGGTTTTGTGAACAACCCTCACGACTCGGCACCAATGGATCGCTTTATCCAGAGCTTTTCGAAACCACGAGACCCAACCCGGCTCATTTTGACCAGCGAGGAGCCGCTTCTTTCCGTCCTTCCAAAAAAAGCGACAGATCGGCCAGAACTTAAGTTGGACATTGGACATTACTTTTAATTATACTGCATGAAATCAATTTGTTGTGCATTATTGCCAATATCTAATGATTATGTGGTTAGGTTGGCAATAATAATAAATCGAGAATGGGCATCAGCCAGACCGTTGAATTGCCAGAACCAGTTGTGACCCATCTACATTTCTCTGCACAATAAAAAAAACTAAATGTAAATATAACAACAATTAAGCGTAATTTATTTAATAAACAATTATTTGCACAGTTGTGGGTGTCATGCATAGGTTTGATGATGGTTATTTTATTTCATATTTGACAGATTTGGTGAATTTGCATAGAACTAAAAGCTTACACTTGTCAACTGTCAACCGATCGGTGGGTGGTGTGGAGTTTTTGTGACAAGGTAAATATATTTTTTTGACGGTTGGATAACTAGAATTTTTGTCGTATGGTGATAATTGTTGTTTACATATTTTCCAGCTTGCCATTTGATCTGCGAATAGTTTCCGAGAAAATGATGGGCGGTGGTGTGACTCCAGCAGTGGTGGTGCTTATCAACGTCATAATTTGCATCTTCGTCGTGGGGAAGGCAGATGGTGGTGGGAAGGTCGTCTTCGCCGTTAATGCGGGGGGAGAGGGACACGTCGACGTTAATGGAATTCATTATGAAAAGGACACTTCGAAAGTTGGGATTTCTTCGGATTATGGGAAACATTTGATGGCAATCGGACGTGTTCATCCTAATGACCAAATTTTATATCAAACGGAGAGATATCATCGTAAGAAATATATAACAATGTATTTATGTATCTATCTACTCATGCATGAAATATGTATGTTTGAAATACAAATTTTATAGATAGCACATTTGGCTATGAAATCCCGATCGAGGAGGATGGAAATTATGTAATGGTTATTAAATTTTGTGAGGTTTACTTCAATGCTCCGAATATGAAGGTTTGTGCATTAACTTTCTTTAAGTCGACAATCTGAATTAATTAATCCCCAATATAATGTCTTATTTTATTTAATCTAGGTGTTTGATGTTGTTCTCAACATGAACTCAATCATATCGGACTTGGACATTTATGAGAAAGTTGGTCATGGCGTAGCTTACGACGAAATTGTCCCATTCCAAATATCTTCCGGGATGAAAACTTTGACATTTAACGGTGTGGAGTCCGAAGTTAGGGGTGGAAAAATTCGAGTAGAATTTATTAAAGTATGCTTATCAATTTATTTGCCACTCAATTTTGCACAACATTTTAAATTGAACAATATTATAACTTAGGGGTATCGGGACAACCCAAAAGTCAATGCAATTTATGTCATAAGAGGAACTGAAGATGGTAAGCATATCTGACTGACTCATTACCATCGTTAATCCTTCTATATAATCAATTAATTGTAAATTCCTAGACATTCATGGACTACCACCACTCCCCCCAAGTAGGGAGGAAGAAGAAGACATTGCAACCGAACCTGACGATGTCAAGGTTGTTAAAAATCGGCGCCCAAGTGGTCCGAAAGTGACTGATCCTTATGAAGACGTGACACTAACCTCAGCCGTGTTCCCCGTATTTGTTGCAATAGGATCCTTTATACCCTTGTTGTTCTGTTTATGTAAACTCTAGATGCCCCCTTACTCCTTCTAAATCTCCGAATTATTATTATTGCCGAATGTGAAAATTATTTTAATCAGTAACTGAAATCTTTCTGACATGTACTTATCCCAAGCTCGTCATCCCATAAACTCGAAGTACTTGCATTGAAAAATTTGTGTTGGGTAGCTGCTTCCTCAAACCCTTATTACAAAACCAATAATATTTATTATCATGGATTAAATTATTTTTATATTTGTTTTTAATTCTGTAAATAATACTCCTTCGACTTACTATACAGCAGTACTTAACCAAAGCGGGTTGGGTTGTAATTGTAATTTATAAAAAAGAGGTATCTAATTGCGTGCAAGAACTGAGTCAATGCATTCAAGTCATCATCATAGAATAATGAATTCGCTTAAATAGAGATATGAGCTAAAATGTTTTAAGTAGTTATCCCTTGTGATTTGTTTTGTTAATTTTAATGCCAAATTGACTACTGAATAAATTTGTTTTAACTCTGAAGCCATTCAATGATCTTGTTTTAACGGTGACAAAATGAGACGAGTTTTATGAAGCGAAGTCGGCAAGCCGGCTCACAAACAGAGCTGTGACGAGGCCGCCTCGAAGACTCGAGAACTTCAGTCGAGTTCCTGCTCTTGTGAGCTTCGCATCGTTTTTTCTCCTCTCTACAGCTCAAGAAAAAGTATTACAAATTTTTTGGAAATAATTCTCCCAAGATATTCAGCAGTACTTATCAATTAGCTTGATAAGTACGTGAGGTAAGTATCAAGCACGGAAAATATGTCTTAGGGCAAAAAGTAGCCCTTCGTTTTTTTCTGGTGGCAATACTCTAGTCCTTAGTTAAGCTTTGCATGAATTTATATGGTGGTCGTGGGTGTGGTTCATGCCCGTTTTATTAATTAGTTGTTCACTTATAATCTCGCATCTCAATTAGTTAGAAACTGAAGAGAAAAATCTGGGCTTATCCTTTGATTTTATTTTAAATTGTCAATTAAATTATCCATATTTGGAATTGGATTGAAAATATTTTTAGCGATGCGTGATGTTGTATCTCAATATGTACTTTACAAGGTGGAACTTTCACCTTGAGTTGATGCGGTTATGTATAAATGTATGGAATCGTGGTCGGTGTGGGTGCGTGTACTGTGTACGAAACGAATGAGAGTCTTGTTACAATTATTTTGGTTTGATAAATTAGTTTGTTAATTGGAAATAGTTTGTATTTATGCCATAGAATCATTTAAGCATCAAATAAAACACGTGAGGCCAGTAATTTGTTATATTATAATATATTACTTTGAATTATCCACTGATTTTCTGTTATTTTCTAGTCGCTGTAAACATGATCCTGAATCTTGGACCGGGCTATACGCCTCCGTCGTCTGAAGTGAGTTTGATACGTTTTCATGGTCACATTACGTATACAATTAATATATTAAACGAGTGTAATATTTTGTCAATTTTTATTACAGATTGTATCGTTCATTCGAGACTTCAAGATCCTGGATTGTACCTGTTGTAACCAGCTAATGGGATTTCAACACCGAATTACTGGAATGCTTTTTTGTACTACGGATTGTATCGATTTAAAACGGCATAAGCAATGCCAGCAAGGGGGAGTTTTCATAACACCACCGTCGTAAGAATTAATTAATACGAACAATAACCGAAGACTTTTTCTCATCTTACTGGCTTATTTACACTAAAAATATTATTGCAACACCAGATATAGCGCGGCTCTTCTCGAGGCAGCGGATTTGTACAAGGAAGTAAATGACAAATCATTAGACAGCTCTGCGACAGAAATACGGTAACAAACTCAAAGCATTTAGTTTGAACGCTATGCAACCAATTTGCTCGGCTGTAGTTAATAAACCTGCTCGGAATTCTAGTTGTCAGTCGTCCGGCGTTAAGAAGATGGACGTAGTAAATCATTTCTTTAAGGATATACCCGACAAAGTTGATCCTCTGTTGGAATTGGAAAAGCCTAAGATAACAACAACGGCAGAAGAAACACTCAAGCTTGATGAGCAAAAAAGCGTTGATGTCGTAGATGCTACTGCTGCTCAAAAGCATGATCTCCCAGTAGCTAAAAAATACAACAAAGAAGTAGATGAGAAGCCGTTTGCCGGCTCTACGACAAAAATACGGTAAAAAACTTGCTGCGTTTAGTTTGAACATGATGCGACCAATTCGTCCGATATAGTTAATAAACCTTCTGCTTGAAATTATAGAAGTTCTCAGGCATCTGGCACTAAGAAGATGGACGTAGCAAATCCTTTCTTTAAGAATTTACCCGACCAAATTGATCCTCTGTCGAAGCCCAAAGATAACTCAAAGATAACTGCAACTGAAGAAGAAGCACTTCAAATTGATGGGCAAAAAAGTTTTCCCCCACTACCTCCCAGGAATGTCGAAAAAGTAGCTTCTGTTTCTCGAAAGAGTGCTCCACCCGTGGGGGGAGTAACTCAGAATACGACCCAATCTGAACCGCAATATCAGGCTGATTCCAGTACCGCTACCGCTTCTTATACTGTTCGAAAGAGTGCTCCACCCGTTGGTGGAGTAACTCAGAAGAAGACCCAACTTGAACCGCTATATGAGGATGATTCCAGTACCGCTCCTGCTGCTAATACTGTTCGAAAAATTGCTCCACCTGTGGGTGGAGTAGCTCAGAATAAGACCCAATCGGAACCACAAAGTCAGGCTGAGTCCAGTACCGCTACCACTGTTGCAGAGGTCAAGAAGGTTGTTAAAGAACCTGAAATTAAAAGATTTATGTGGCAGAACTGCAAATTCTCCAAGAATTTGGTCGACGGTGCAATAGTGAAGTCCACTCATATTTGGAACATTAATAAGCTCCAGCTTGCAACTGCATTGGACGAGCAGGACCTTTTTGGTATTCAGGACAAGGTGAATATCCACTTGCAACAAGGTACATGCATTTGTAAACTATGATACGGGCTGAGTTATTTACCGACTGGTTTACTGTAATCTATCTTAATCCATTGCAGTCAAAAAGATGACACACCCACCCATCATTGATGAGATGGTAATTGGGGAGTATAATGGAGATTACTATCGGGGTCGTGTAACTAAAATTAAAGGAGATGTCTACCGAGTCGTCTTTGTGGATTTTGGAGATGCACGAGAAATGGCCTACACTGAAATGTACCCGGTCTCCGAGTACATCATGAAGGTGATTACTTTGGTTGACGCTATATAATTGAATTATAGCAGTAACAATGGTGTCCGCCAATGCCTCACTTAACATGATTTGATTTATTTCATTACAGGATCCAATCTTCAGCGTATGTGTGGTGCTTGATGGAGTCCCACGATTGGCGAAGAAAGTTAAACCAGGGAGAAAATTGAGAGACTTGGTGTATGGTAAAATGCAACTGCAAATGGTTAGTTATCAATCTAATTATGCATACCTAGACAATTCCCATCCTAATGTTTTTGGTAATCATACCAATTTATTTTCCAGATTGATCCACTTGTCGTGAGTCAAGCTGAGCATTATCGTGCCGTTCTCTGGGTGTCCGATGACCGTGATTTGAACAAAATTGTTCACGAGGTTGTTTCGAAATTGGAGGCTGATGTGTTGACACCAGCAAATTGACTTTGATTCATAATTCAAATATACAGCCATTCAATCAACTAGATTGGCAGTACTTGAATGCATAAATGCATTCATTCGCTCATTTTGTTATTATACTTTTTATAATTCTTTTGAGATATTTTTTTACTTCTGTACTTGACTTATGGGGTACCGATAAGTTACATTTTATGATAGAGTTAACTTGTGCTAAACATGTGATTAATGAGCTGGATTCTAGTTAATAGACTTATTACTCGAAATGTTTGTAGCCATGCTAGTATTTAGTTTTTATTTTTGGCTTTTGACAATAAACATTGAATATTAAATAAAACTTTAAACATAGATTTGGCTATGCATTAGTTCACACGCTTTCATAAGTATGAAACGCCAGTTTATGCATACACACATTTTAAATTGTAATTCACATTTCCTCACTGCATAAAACCATGATCTCGCATTATAATTCACTAAAAATTAAATGCATGGAATGTATTGTATATTATCATCAGATTAACTTTTTGGAAATTGCATTTCCAATCGATTTTATTCATTTCTCATTTACTCAACATAAAACAAAAGCTATTTTAAGTTTGATATCCTCAAACTCGTCTAAATAACAATAAACATCTCTTTTCTTTTAATATTAACCCATAAACAAAACAAAATGCAATGTAGTTTACTATCTCTCTAGAGGACTGAACTAAATGTTTTGAATTTATCAGCATGTCTCTTCAGTGAAGAAAAATGCTGCATGCAGGTTTTGTAATATTACAAAAACTGATAAGTGTGTACGGCTCAGCGGGCGAGTTGTGTAATGAGGGCGGCACACATTTCGAAAAACTCCATCGTGTGGTGGCTCAGTCCTGCGGCGACGGTCGGTAACATTTCCATGCCTAAGGAAATAATAGTAAATTAAATATCAAGGTATAATAATATAGCATAAATGATTATGGTTTGTGCTGAAGATTTTTGGCAACTACCGAGTTTAGAAAGGTACAAAAACGAACGTGAATTGATTATTGTCACTTGAATAATTGTTTGTTAAACTTCAAAACATACAGAAATTATTAAGATAGTTCTGCTTATATCAATTTTGCGCATATCAATCAACCTATCACTCGTGATTTTAAAACTATTGGTTGAAAAACTGATCTGGCAATACACGGTTAAGAAAATTATCCGATGACTTAAATAGTGTCATGATGATAAATTCAAATGGAGACTCACTGGAATGCGTGTTCTCTTTGTCTTGCTCTTCGCAAGAGAGACTCTTAAAGTCCAGCAGGTAGCTTTTGTAGTCGACTTGGTACAACTGGAGGGACATTTTGGCATGCTTGGTATTGTTGGCGCTCTTGCGTCGTACACGGACGTGGTAAGGATTCACGATTTTCCATTCCTAAGCACATCACGAAATTAATCAATTAACCCGCTAGTTATAATAAGGTTAAATAAGCGACTCACAAAATCCAAGGTCTTCATTGCCCTGTACACCTCGTTCATAATGTCGTGTGGTTTACTTTGCGATCTAATTCCGAGATGCCACTTTGCCCTCTTGACCCCACTGTTTTTATGTCGATCTGCATTGTTTCCGACTGGCACTGAGGTGATGACACGTTCACGAAGGGCTATAGAAAACCGGAAATTAGATATAATTTCACGTTTTTTCTAGTGATAGCTACTTATCGTATCATGTCTTACGCGCTATTCGTTCCGGATGCGGCCTTATCGGGCTATGGATGCCGTCTGATGGAAAGGCCGTCGGTGGTGGCGAGCTGGCTACATAGAAATCCTTTATTTCCGCTTTAGCCGCTTCGTCAGCAATTCTGCGATTATCGATGATTAAGTGATAGGCGATGGAGAGCTGATCGTGTGGATCACCGCTCATTAAAGCGTTGTGGACTTCGTTCTCACTCACGCCAAATTTCTGAAACAATGTAAATAACATCAGTGATTTTTACAATTCATTTAAACTTTAACAAAAAATTGTTCCGGAAAAGTTAAAAAAAAATTACAAAATCTCACCTCGCAAACTTCGTGTACAGCGTCGGGATCGACGACTGAAGTGTCTTGATCCACCGGAGATGGGAAGAGATATACGGGCAAGTCTTTCTGAAACCAGTCGTGCTTCCTATGATGCAAATATAAACAAGATTTTTTACCAACAATCACGGACAACCATATTGGATTTGGTAGATACAATGAAGTATAGATAGAAATATAAATAGGATGTGGAACTTACTTGATATCTTCTATCGTCGCCCTCTTCATGGGATCCACTTGCAACATGTGACACAACAAGGCTACCACGGATTTGTTCAAGTATTCAGGTAGTGGGAAAACTCCGGCTAATAAAACCATTTCTCATTAAATTCGCAATTTATTTCTTTAAAAAAGACCTACTCACACTTAATCTTGCGGAACAACGTTGGAACATGTTCATCATCAAAGGGAAGCGTTCCACACAGCAAGGCATACAAAATGACTCCACATGACCAGATATCCACTTCCGGGCCGGCATACAACTTGCCAGAAATTACTTCAGGTGCCGCATAGTTGGGAGAGCCACAGCTTGTCCGGAGGAAGTCTCCATCGGTCATCATGTTCGAAAGGCCTGATTATATTTTGTAATAGTATGTAAGCTTATCTCACAAAATTTATATGGTTTACGAAAGTACAAATCAACAAAATTTGTACTCACCAAAATCGGCAATCTTCACATGCAGATTGCTATCAACGAGCAAATTCTCAGGTTTCAGGTCCCGATGGACAATCATGTGTCGATGGCAGTAGTCAACGCCGGAGATTATTTGCTGAAAAAATCTACGTGCTTCGTGCTCCTTTAACTGGAATGCAAAGACAATTAGAATTATTAGTCAACTACTGACCTTAACTTATAAACAACAAGCTTACATATTATCGTTACAAGTGATATTATTTGCTGACTACACAAGCAGTTGTTAAGTTATCCATTACATTGCTACATAAATATGTTGATAGGATTTTGAACTCTGAACTATCCCATTAAAAAAATAACAAATTTATGTACCTTGCCCTGCTTCACGATATATTCAAACAACTCCCCTCCCGAAACATACTCCATGATCATGAATATGTCCGATGGCGTACTGATTACTTGATACCTAATGGTAAACAAATATTTATTATTTAACTTTATCTTCGTAATTAGTATCGTACGTCTTTGTAACTTTAAACTTAAAGAAAAGGTTGAAATCTTTTTTTGCAATTTTGTGGCTTATCACAAAATTTTAACACTAAAATTGTTTACAAAATTTACTTGATTTATGCGACTACTTACAATTTGATAATGTGTGGATGCCGGAAAAGTTTTAAATTTTGAATCTCTCTCCGAATTTTACTCACGACGTCCAAACTCTTCAATTTATTTCTATTCAGAATTTTAACCGCAACTTTATGTCCGGTTAATTGATGTTCACCGACTAAGAAAACAAATCACATTTTTTTTAAATCCACAATTCTAATGTTGCCTAATCCAATAACTCACTTTTAACTTTTCCAAACGTCCCCGTCCCCAAAGTCTGGCCGAGGACGTAATGTCCAATTTTGACGATGGGTTGTTGATTCGTCGTCGCGGGTGGTACCGGACTCGGTCCCCCGCTCGTCGGCGTCATCCCCATCACGATCGGGCTGGAACAAAATAGATCCGCCGAACCGACGTTAATCGCACCCCCGCCAGAAACGCTCCTTTGCCGTTCAACCGGCTGGGGGATGCTCCGCAGTGGCTGTGGTTCCGCCATGGGTGGGGCTGAGTTGTGGCGATTTGAGGCCCTAGGGGGTCGAAAACAGTTAAAATAATCCATTATTACGTATGTCGAATATTATAAAATGAGAAATTTTAACGTATTGAACAAGTAAATGATTCAAGGTTGAGATAAATAAAACTTGGGTTATTCACCTAAATTAGAATTACCAGAATTTGCCTAATTAAACAAATTTGTAACTAAATAAAAGTATGGGAGACGATGACCACCGGAAATTTGTACTTTGGAGTAGGTAAAATGAGCACCGATGTGAAATAAGAGTGAACTATTTAAACTAGTAATTCGATATCAAGTTAATTTGTTTATTTAGGTTTTGCCTTGTTGTTCTCTGTTCTGTCCTACGTTAGATGTATTTGCCAATCAAATATTGAAGATGCAAATAAAATTTGAGATTCTCTTTAATGTTTTGATGTAAATTTTTTACGTCTTCACTTTCAACCCCGGATAACAACCAAGGAATCGTTATTATTATCGAGGTTCTTGTTGTTATTATTGTTCTGTTAAGAACATTACAGGGTTATTGTTGTCCTTCACCATGCAAAAAAGATCCCATACTAAAAACTTTCACTCTTTGAAACTGGATACGGGATCAGGATCAGATTATTTATACGCAGCACAAATCCTGCTGTGAACTTGCAACTACCACCACCACCACCACCAGAATATGCCATTTGTCTCAACATAATGCATAAGCAATCATTTTTTTCTTTGATATCATCATCTCATCTTGTTCTTCTCGATTTGATGATTGGAATTGATACTTACTTCATGACCAGGCCGCCATTCTTGTCGTCGTCGTCATCCTCCTCCAAGTAGCGCATGATGTCGCCCAGGATGAAGGCTAGGATGCGTTTTCCCCCAACCGGTCCCCACTCCCGGACACGCCCCACCACATGGCTTATCTTGGTCGAGACAGGGCTCTTTGGCGGAGGGGGAGGAGTTCTAGGCAGTGGAGGTGGAGGAGGTGGTGGTGGTGATGGTGACAAAACTTCTTTCTTGCCCCTGGGGGAATTAAATTACACATTTGTGAGGGGGCAAAACTCACGTATATGTAAAAAGCTTCTTATTTTTGTGTAAAGGTTCAATTTTATAATCAATGAATTGTGACCTCCTAGATAAGATAATCTCTAACGTGGAAAATATGACCTTCCTCACTCTGTCCCATTTATAACTCGCTATAGGATATTCTCACTTTCTTAATTCTTAGACTATTTTTCTATAATTATCATTTCATAGGGGACAACTTGCGACTTACCAGACTGGTACCGGAGAAGGAGTATCCTTCCGTTGTTGGATATCCACTACTTGTTCAAAGACCACCGGTGGTTCTGGTGACGACGGTAATGATGCTGAATTATCATCTTCGTTCCCCTCGACCTCGTCAACCTCGTCCTCCTCTTCTTCTTCCTCTTGAATAGGAAACAACTCCCACGAACTGAGACGCTTTTTTACTGGAACGGTGCTGACTTCCAGTTGAACGTGAAAACCAAAGGGTGGCAATCCCGACGACTTTAAGACCTCCCAAGCCGCATTATTGGAGAAGTCATTCCTATTGAGGGGTGAGGACGCCCAGCCACCCACGGGGGACGTGGGACGGGAAGAAACTGGGTAGTTGTTGATGAACGCATGGTTTTTTGGGTGGACGACATGGATCGCTTTACACAAGCCGACAAGAGCCGTCATAGTGGAGATATGCAGTGGGACAAACTAGCTGTTAGAAGATATGCAATTATTCAACGGGTGAAATTTTTCAGATGAAAATTATTTAAAAATTATCTCTCACCAATGTAAACTATAGAGTTCAATAATATATTATTTTAGAAAAAGTGATTTTCAAAATTTTGAGAAACCCATTAAACCCCACGGATTAAAAAAGTATCTTAAATTCTCTCACCAAAAATAAACCGGATCTCCTCGACCGTGTCGATGGCTTTACTATTCGATGACCTTAACTGACCTTGTGGGTAGCCACACTTTCTGACTCGAGACAAGTCACTTATAAAAATATAGAAAAACTTCTCCCTTCTCCACCACCTGGCTAACAGTTTGGAGGAAGGTCCTCTCTGTCGCCAACTGGGGAAGAGCCAGTCTCATCTGAACTTCTCAACCTTTTCCGGAACGTCCACACTCGTTAGAACACCCAGCACAATAACATCCTCCAACATTAGCACTGCCATATCGAGCACAAGAAGGTCACAGGTCAGCAAAAAAAGTGAAAAAAATGGTCCCAATTAGACTTGAGGGATCGATTAGTAGCGTTGAAATTGTGGAATTTGGAATCTGGAATTTGAGACTGAGTCCGAATGTTGTCGATAACTTTGCACTTTCATAAAGTTGTGGAAACTTAAAAAATATAAGATTCTTCAGGTTCTACCGCTTTTAGTGGACTTGTCTTGAAAGAAATTCACTCCCCGACTGAGGCTCTGCTCGGAAGGGTGAAGCTTTTTATCATATCTGGAGATTTTTAGGTCCTACTGGATTCAGATAGTTAGTTAACTGTGCATATATAGTTAATTACTTATATATGTGTACAGCTCTAGATTTAGATTACATTTGTTTCGTTGGACTCGATAAACTGGCTTCGAAGAAGAAAAAGACATTATTTTGCTGGGGCAATAATAAGTCTCAAGTTGCATGCTTGTTGGCTGGCTTCTCGTCTTTGTCCTTATATTATTTATGTCTGATTTGCGAGTCCGCATTAGTTTTGAATGACTAATTCAACTTTGTCATTTAGACAATAACAGTAAATAAGGATACATACATTGAAAAATACAGGCCATGAAGCGTGCATGTGGGTAGAAAATTGTCTCAAATGCCCCTCCAGCTCCACGAACACGTATTTTTTTAATTCTTCAAAATTACATAACTCTACACGACACCCCCATCAACCCAGATATTTGATAACAACTTATTTATTACGCTTACATTAATTTCTTGCATATTAGGCGAAATACAAGCCAAGCTTTAGTATAAATACGTATGTACAAATGAGTCTCATTTTACTTTCTTCTACAGGCAATGATCTTGACTCTGGCTATATTTTGTTCTAGAAATTCAGATAGGTTCGCACATTTAGAAAGGCGATTCTTAAAAAAATTGCGTGTTTACACAATTATTCAATAATTGTCAAATCCGGATCAAATGTCAGTCTCAAAACGGGACCTCTGAATAATGAATAATGGGATTACAAATAGGCCCTAATTATTTAAGCCTTGTTCTCCCCAAGCAATGTGTGCATTTGTCAAATATTTCTTCCTAAAGATAAAAGTATAAAATCCAGTAGTGCAATCTGATCTATTGCAGAGATGCAAATTAAATTTGGCAATAAAATGAAACTGGAATGGCGTCAACACAATGACCAAAAATGATCTCTCAACTTTCACATTCCAAAAATCTATCGAACCTGTGCAATTTTAAGAGTGAAATCGTTTTCTTTATTTATCTTTTTCACATCCTCTCTTTCTTTTGTGTTCTTTGTACAAGCAGAAACAACAAATTATGTAATGGAATATGTAAAATCATCACGATTATTATCTACTTTTGTGCCATTTTTATCGTTGATTTCCTGTTTTGTACAAAATCAAATTTAAACTATTATTTGTGTACTAAATGTTGTTGTTGTTATTAAGCTGTACTTGACGGAGTTTTTTAATACACACATTTATTATGACATAAAGGAAGAATTTTAGCGATAACAAACCAAGAATCTGATTTTATTATTTATCTTTAGTACAAGACCAGAAAGAAGACACTAAAACTTCGTAGTACGAACATATTTATTGTCCCACGCCCTTCAAAATTGCACGATGACGGTGATAAGATAATGGTGATCGCAACGTGGATATCGTGTTAATGTGATTTACTTTCTTGATAAGACGGATGATGTCATTTCTTCGTCTTAAAATTAGGTTGATAATTGTTCTTGTTTGAAAAACAAGTTAAACATGAGACATATGAGTCGCAATTAGTTAACATTCTTCGTTGAGATTGATTTCTGGACAAGATCGTTTCGTTTAATGGCTGCTTTCTCACGCTCAGCAAAAATGAGTGAACATCAGTCTTATCATACGATATCCATATATACATTTCTAGGCTTGATGCGCAAATATGTGTTAAAGAAAAGGGAAAACAAGCTCAATTTACTAATTTAAACGATCATACCATCAACGTTTATATACTTTTTTGGTCATGAATAATAGAAACTGGACATGTAGTCCATTAGTTCATTGTCAATTCAAATTTCAGCCTCGCAAGTTCAATCGTCGTAAATCATAATTATCGACAGCATCATGTTTCTTATAATGATAAACTGCTTAGTTTAGAATTCGGAGAATTTCACATACAAAGTAAGAAAAAACTAGGAAATAAATAGAATGTGAACTTTGTTCCTTAATGTTGTGGTCTTTGACTCTTTTTATGGCGGATGTTTATTATTATTGATAAGTTGATTTCTTGTTACACGGCTTGTGTGGATGTCGGCAAGTCTTGGAATCCGGGCGGCTTCGGGATCTGTAAACAAGAACAATGTGTTAGGTTTCATTGTTACAAAATGGCAATGACCTTAAATTTGTATGGAGGTCCCCACCTTTCATGTCGCTAGAACCTCCAAAGAATATGATACCATCGAGGTAATAAATGATCGTATAATGAATGATATGCCAATATTACATACGGTGACCCATTTCCGTACAGAATTTTAACTGATGAACAAATTAAGTGATAAGCTGGAAAATAATGGAAACAACTCATCACGATTGCATTTCAATGAAAGAAAAAGCTCAAAATTCGAAAAATGCATGATATTTTTTATTGAACACGAGAACAATCTTTATTATAAAATTAGGGTCTTTATTTTAACCAAAAGATTTTGTAGGATACAAATAGTAATATATCCACAGGTCCACTATATTTAAGATTTTTTAGCTCACAACAACAACGCATATTTTTTACACAGTTATATCCTCGCACAATATTCTTGTCACCTCACAATAATTTGATTAAAGCTTCATTCAATCTCAGATCTGTTATATAGCTGGTTCGGCTAAAAATATTAAATAAAACACAAAAAATGATTATTCCTGGCTCAATTACACGTATTACGTACTACTTACAAATACATATCAGAATTGCAATATTAAGTATGCACCTCTTGAAATGTGCAGCATTAAAATTACAACTATTACAAATTCCAAAACTAAAAAGGTGGACGAAATTTAAATTATTGTGTATTAAAACGACGCTACATTACATGAATTTGCATATTCAGCATGCACACATGCGCGTGAACAAATTTACTAAAAGTTTTTCAATTGCATGCACCAACATTTATAGATAATTTTGTTAGAATGAACAATTTAGATTACGTGAGGACACATCAAATAGCAGTAACTAATTATGAATAATAATTACAAATGGTCAAGTCATCATCTCATAAAAATCGTTGCAAACGTAATCGGAATAATGCAAACTGAGGGCAAGATCCATTGAGTGAATTTCACAAAAGAGTGAAATCCATCGCCATCCGAACCAATAAACCACGCAATTATTATTATTTGCATAAAAGCATATTATGTACAATTTATGTATAGTAATAATAGTAATAACTGACCGTTCCGCTATAAATGATTCACTGTACGGTATTTAAAATCTAGGTTGAAATTTACAAAATTATAGAAAGAGAGCTGCTTCGTATTTTCAAAATGTTGTATTTTTCTCACTCCAACACTTTGAGATTGCATTATTAAAATCTTGTGTTTTGAGTATATTATGATTCATCATTTCATGTTTTGAATAATTTCAGAGGTTATATAATCACAACTCCCATAAATAAAGCTTTTTTGTGCACCATCATGATTAATTATTTTACAGTGCAGTTTTTACACCTTATAAACACTCGTATATTTCTTGATTTTATGTTTCCTTATTTTTTAAATTGGTGTTGTATGGCACTCGACGTCTTCAGAAGTTGCCGTGTTTTTACGCTTCCCAGCACCCAAGCCGAGCTCATTTGTTGCCGGCATGCTATCCAGCTCAGCTTTACTGAGAACGTCGACGAGACCCGCACCAAGAGAGTCTCCAAGTACATTGATCGTTGTCCGGAAACGGTCCCTGAAAAAAAAATCCATGTAAAAATCCGACAAGATTTACATTAAATCAAAAAATTTCACTTACAGTAGCCAATCCACGGGAATAATGTACGCTACGTAGTCCGCATTTAGTCCCACCGTGTTCAAAACCATGACCATCGTAACCAATCCGGCCTGAGGTATGCCGGCTGCTCCAATACTTGCCGCAGTTGCCGTTATACTGAGCACAGATTTTAAGAGGTCACATATTATGATGTACATACAACCAGAATAATCGTCGTCTCCACCAAAATCTGTTACCTGATGGCAATAATGTTTCCCAAACTAAGGGGTACGTTGGCCATTTGTGAAATGAAAATAGCAGCCACTGCCTCGTACAATGCCGTACCGTCCATATTGATGGTGGCTCCGATGGGAAGAACAAATCTCGAAACTCTGGGGTCCACTCCGTTCTTGTCTTCCAGACAACCAATCGTGATTGGAAGTGTGGCTGAGCTGAGGGGGAAATTAAGGGTTAATTCGAGTTAAGATTAGGCACAGCAGTTTAAGAACTCACCTTGACGCCGTTCCAAATGCCGTGGCAAGAGCCTGTGTCATGTTCATGATGAACTGGAATGGCATCTTGCGGGTGACCAGGCCGTAGAGGAAGGGCAGAACGACGAAACCGTGGATGAACAATCCCAACAGCACGGTCATGAAGTACATTCCCAGTTTTTCCAATATGTGCCCTATGTCGTCGGCTTCCAGTAATTGGGCCGCAATCAAGAAACAGACTCCGACCGGTGACAACCTTTGAATACAAATTGTGTCTTAGTCACGATTTGTGAGGGACAGAGAGGTGATTATGTAATTGACCTACCATACGACCCAGTTTGTAATGATCATCATGGCGCCGGAGAGACTGGTGAAGAAATCAAGCAGTGGCTTCCCAGCTGCACCCATTTTTCCCAAAGTGATTCCAAGAACGGTGGAAAATACGACCAGACCCATGATGTTAGTTCCTTCCGTGTACTTGGACTTCATAAGGTAATCCGTAACGGTGATGTCTGCATGACACGAAATTAAATAAAATTATATTATTATCGTCGCATAATTGTCCTTCGAGACGGACAAATTTTGTTTCCAATTTTTCTCTCACTTTTTCCAATTGCCTCTGCTGCCGCAAGTTGAGCTGGAGTTGGAGGTTCCAGAACGGTTTGATACTGGTCAGAGAAAAATATGGTATTAATATTAGTGGAAATTTCCACGATGCATTTTACTTAGGCATGTAAATATATGACCTACTTGATATGACGCAGCTTGGACCAAGTTTGGCGGAAACATGTTCCTAAAAGTTAACGTGGCCATTTATTTCCCAGAAATTAACATATTTCGCGTCATGTAACGCCATTATACAAGCGTTTGAGCAAATAATAAAAAAACGCATTCACTCGGCCGTCGTGCCACCACGAAAGAGTTATTACTGAAAACCAATAACCGAAAGTGTTTGAATTACATATACAACAACGAAAAGATTTCTTCATACAGCTTCAGTTACATAAACGCTTTCAGAGAGTCCATCTAACCAAACGACCAAACCTACAATAGCCATCCATTTAAGCCATAACTTAGTAGTTGCTACCACGCCTTTGACAACTGGTTTCCAACTCTAATAACTAGTCTCTCAAAAAGCCCAGCACATGGGGCTGCTTCAACTCCGCAAACCACACACACCAATCAACCATGATCAGCAAAGCGTGAGGAGTGCAAATTATTATAAAATCAAGCTGAAACGCAAAGAAAGCAGCATAACTTTTAAGCCAATTTCTTCCAAACCCATTTATGCAAAGCAAGCATCTCCACAAGCCAAAAAAAATAATACTGTTAAAGCTACAAAAAAAATCCTGCCAACTTTTGACATCAGTTTATTTGAGGTTGTGAGCAATGAACGATGTAGATGTTCAAGTACCGTATCAAATCCATCAGAGTATCCGCTGTGGTGACCTCGCGCGCCTTGCTTTCGGAGGCGAGCGGATCTGCGCTCACTTTTCCAGGATGGATCGCCACGACGAGGATGATTCCCAGTACGACGGCGCAAAGCGTGGTGAACATGTAGTATGCTAACGCCCGGACACCAATTTTCCCAGACAGGGTCAAGTCCAGTGATCCGATGGCGGAGATTAGTGAGGACACGATGAGGGGAAGAATCAAGGCCTTCAACATCCGGAGAAAAATATCACCAGCAAACTTTACGTAAACTTGCTCTCTTTGGGACCACTTCTCATCCCGAGATCCTGAAAAAAATAACAGCAAATGAGATTGTTTGGAGATGAACTTTGATAACCTCACAGATTGGACAAGAAACCGAATATTTATTGCTTCTTTTCTTGACGATCCTATTATTTTCAAATTAATTTAATCTTCACTCGTTAAAACATGGAAATCTCATTTACTCCCAGGGATAAATTTCTCTAATTTCTTCTAACCGTCAAGCGAGAAACTTGGGGCACGTCTAGTTCCAGTTAGAAAACTGTGGGTTCCGAGATTCAGAAATATTTCCAATGACTTTATAAAATAGTATTCAAATTCATAATTCTGAATAACTCGTGTTTTTGTGCATTACTTAAGATTTAATATCGTAAACCACGAAAGAACCATTAAAACGCTTGATTCAACTGCAGTTGGGAGAAAGCAAACGTAAAGTATTCGAAAATCAATCGTATAAAAAAGTTTAGCTATTTTATAATCATCTTTATCATCAAAATGAACTGGAATTAGACCGTATTATTATCTTTGTCCCTTACCTCGGAGGATGAAGCCCAGGGCGACCCCCGACAACACGCCCGCCACCGTCAACAAGGTCAGCAAGTTGGTTCGGAGACATTTTGCACAGCCCTCGGCCGTGGGGGCTTTAAACTTCTTGCCCATCCTCGTCCCGTCTGTCGCCTGTCGAAACGCTTTTATGGGGGAGGAGGCTCTGAAATCATCAACACAATTCAAGTCACATCCACTTCTCATCTTTCCAGATGCATAAATAAAAATCCTCGTGGTGGTGGTGCTGGTGAGCCAAACACTCAAACTCATTAAGCATATCAACAAGTTTTCTCATGTCGATATTAATTAATTAAGGAACCGGTTTCCATTCCACCATTTCCGCCAGCATTCAGTACCAGAAACTGGATAATTTCGGCATAAATTATCCATTACAAGTATTCATAAATTTTACGAGAAAAACGGTTCAAAATCATGCCTAACCCTCGTGACACTTTAGAGAAATGGTCAAAGTATCATATTTTTATTTATGATCACGCTTGTGGTGGGATGAGTAAACCCTAGTTTTTTTTAGTTTGTGGGTGCCGCAGAGTACATAATTTTGTAGACAAACTCTACTTCCTTTAGTCAAGAGCTTAATAATCACTCTATTAAAATTTGTAAATGGTCGTGTACAACTCTTCAGTCTGGCAAAAATCAGTAGTCGCAACGACGACCACTCATTCATCAAAAAGGCTTTCAACTCCCTACATAATACATCATAATTCACATATTTACTGGTAGTGTGAGTAGTAAATAAGTGGGGAAGGAACGTCATCACCATTATTTGTCAAAGTCTAAATAAAAGATGATAAATATGTAAAAGTATTTAACCAAACCAGACCACAAGCCTGTTCGTCGTCGTGCTTCATTCAAACCGTGACCACACGATGGCAAGTTCAGTGAGCACACGACGACGACGGCGACGAATAAAGATCATCTTTGATATGACCACCAGCCCAATGACAAACTATTGTAAATAAGCACATTCTTCGGACTACTGCACTTACGCAATTTCCCTTACCTGTTCCTTACTTACACAGTGTAAAAAGTACGTGATTTTGATGTTTCTTTCTCCTCTTTTTTCGTTATTTGCACAAAATTCACTCTAAACTAATCGCAAAAAGATACGTATTCCACCCGCACTCAGCTCGAAAGTATAACTGCGAATATTCTTCCACCAGCAAATATCTCAATTTCGTTAAAACTGTACCAAGAGATAACCTTATTAACTTAATCTTGTTCTTACTCGTGCTAAATTCCGTGACATAAAATCAACTTTTAATCACCCATAGAGTGACATTGACATGAATTAGGTTAATATTTTGTTGCAATTTCGTCTCCTTATCATCTCGGTATTTATTTTCCTGCAAGTAAATTAAATATCACACAAGAGGACAAAGGTCGTGTGGTGTGCAGGGGTGATGGTAGCGTACGTAAACAAAAACAGGATCGGTATGAACCACACAAACAAAATTGTCTGACATGACAAAATTGTGAAGATGTCATAAAAGCAAAATATTGATAAGGTAGAATGATATATAGCAAAAGAAGACGAGACGAGAAGTGACGCAGGTTCAATGAGGAGGAAACTGGAAAGCTCATAATCTCAACTGGAGGCAGAATGAGACGAGGAAAAACACAGTTCTGGCTGCCTCTTCGTCGCAGTTCTTATTTGGTCCAGATTATCAGTCTCAATTAAAAATTATCAAGTTTTCACACCCTTGAGATTTACAGTATTAGTGAGCAATGTGATTCTGTCCAATTGTCATATTGTGTCAATAATTTGATGCAATTCTTTGTCCATATAAATAAATTTGTTTATTTGTAAATCTCATTCCTGACAGAATTATGGGCTCCTTTTTAAATGCAAAAAATATGACTCGGTTCTAACTCTCAATCTGTGCAAGATTTTAGCCTCTGCTTTTTCTCACCCTGGCTAATTTAAGACAACTTAAATCCCTGCCCATTTTTTGCATTGAACGAATTCTTTGACAGTTAACAGAAAAACTACACGCCCAATAAGACGGGCTGGTTGCAAACAAATAATAATCACGTGTCGTCAATTGTGTGACTTTTTGTGTGCACTCTTTCAAAATAAAACCAGGAAACAAAAGTTTATGAAAAATGTTCTTTGGACAAAAAGGGATGTCAATCACCCAAAACAATGATGTCTCTTTGGACGTAATTTAAACCCTCGGTTCGAAAAATGTTTTCATCTTCCCAGCCAAAACCAACACCTGCAAGAGGTTTTGCGCGCACGAATGTAATAACTCTGGTAGAATTTATGTATGTATGTGGGAATGTAAAAAAATAATAATGCTTAATGGATCTACATGACTGTGCTGTATGGAAAATTGTGCAGAAGATATCTCTGAATTTTACCGAATCCTCGTCATCTCTCACTTATGTACTTCTCCAACGCTCCTGAGGAACCATGCAAGGCCAAAAAGATTTACGGGACAGACGCGGCTCTCTCATTTAAACTTTGATCTGATAGACAGATAAATGGATAGATTCACAGAAATAAAATGTGCTCGGCGTGCTCACTCCTAAAATGGTCGACCTCGAACTGCAGAAACATGTGCTCAGACACAATTTTTACAAATCGGCTCATAGTCCCCGTAGTAAGTCCGTAATAATCTCGTTTTTACATACCTATCTCCCCTCCCGTAACATGTTTAAATATTATGCAAGTTTCCATTTTTCCAATTTCCACCAAAATTACAAACCTGTATCAACAGTCCGGATCAACCACTAATTGCACCTCAAGTATGTATCTAGTTCCAACAAAACTGCCCACTTGAACCGGCCAAATTGCAATATATTCTTCTCCTCTTTGGTCGAAATTTCCATCAGAATTTTAAACCTTACACATTACCAACAAGAAGAAATGCTCTTGGCACAAGCACAAGAAGAACTGAACACTTCAAAACCGGGTAACCAAGCATTTAGCAGAATTGTCGTTTTTTTTTCTCGATAAACAGTGGAAGAATGCTCCGCGAAAATCTTACCACTTTTCTCTCTTGGCATCCGATATGACAAAAATAAAACTGTAGTTATCTAGTAACCTTTCTTTCCTGGATCGTTATCTCCACCAAATTATTACTCTCTCTCTCACCTCTCTCACGCCACGCACACGTTGTCGATTACTCACTCCACCACGCCAAATCAATTCATGGCATCGCAACGCTGCGTGTAATCAGCAAATTATAGGAATAAACTTGTCTTCAAGTCTTCAAATGAATTAGAAATATGTATATTCGTTCGCAATCTTTTCAACATCTCATAAATCAGGTTGGTTCCATCCACGGCATGATGATTTTCATGCCTTGTTAGAAATTCGAGCTAGCTTTGTTTTCGTATTGAATTTCGTGACAAGAGATCAATTGATGAAAGGCACCAGCACGGCAGGAATATAATGCGGTGCGGGGCATGCTTTTGTGGGTGATGATGTGCTCATTGTTTCATTGTATCACTTTTTTACTCCAGTTTGTAATGTTAAAATCCTCATTGAATCATGAAATCCGTGAACTTTATGCATAATAAAATGGAACGAATTTATTTTCCCATAATTGCTTTCTCTCCGCCGTATTATTACCTAATTGACACTATTGTGTTAAGTCGCCAAATTTAAAAATCTCCCCTCCTCCTCATAACTAAAAGTAAGACAGAAATTTAACTAAATTATATCGTCGCCCAGCTAAACCCACTTTAATTTTCCAATTAGTTCTCTCTCCGTCTGTATGAATAAAAAACAGTTTGATGTCCTAATTTGGCCTTAAATTTTAAAATGGTCATGTCATTTATAACACTGGATTAGTGTCTTGTCTCGTCCTTGCTGGAGGAAATTGTGAGACACAGAGCACACACCAATTAGCACCCTGTCATTAAACAGCATCTTAAAAAATTAGAGATGAAACCCATGTGACATTTTTATTAGAGGATGATTTCATCCATCTTCCCCATGGTTTGCCGGCCTAATAATAGAACCCTAAAACAACACGTAGTTTATCCCATAAATGGTAGAGGACAAGAAGGACGAAATACTTAATTTTACAATTCTACACCATAATGAAGAGCGAATGCTCTCGCTTTTCATCAAATATGGTTTAGTTCTTTCTCACAAGAAGAAAAAGCGGAATCTCATCCCATCATCATTACGACACAAGTCTCAAGTTCTTTCATCCTCCACAAATTCAAAACCTGTCACCCTTTTATGAAACAACTCTTCTTCTTCTCTCAATGGACAGAGCGAGATGTACTTAATTGCGAGTCGTCTGTCTACTCCCTGCTGCAGGGTGGTTGGTCGTCGTTCTTCTTCTCGTGGAGAAAAAAAATACTCAAAGTAAATAGAATTCAGCGCCATTTAAAATGGAAATAAATACATACATTAAGATACAGTGGATTGCCAACTGTTGCATGAACAAAATTCATGTTCCCAGGTCAAAATATTATGTCATTTCCAAACTTAGCGAGTGTATGTACATGCATAAGTTATGCGATTATTCTTATGTATTTATGCACCTTACTAGCTAAGAGAACGATGTAAAATCATAAAAAAGTGGAGAGCAAGAGCATGCATAACAAAAAAAGTTCTCATTCGCACTAACTCAGTCACCCTGTTTTCCTGTAATAATAAACAACAACCGCTTGTTTCCTCTTGTCTCGATTTGTAATCAAAAACATTTCATACCCAGAAAGTAGAAATGCTAGGAGGAGGGCGAGAACGAAGCATTGTTCTCGTTAAGTGATATGTACAACTATTAAAGTGCTGGGATCGTTAAGAAGTGGTTTTTATACATTCTTGCCAGTTACTTATCTTTAAGAGTAGAATATATTCTCATTTTGTGGTGGGGATGAACGGATATTCTTAAAACTAAACTAAACCCCGATAACACCGTGCAAAATAAAATGCTTAAGATGAATGTGGAATGAATTGTATGAATTATAGAGATACGTTTAGATAGTAATCATCATTTTTCTCCGCTACATACATGAGTTATCTGCTCGGCATCCTCCTCCTCTAAAAAGTCGCACCTTGCCTCCTCCTCCTCCTTTTGAATCCCTATACGCAATTTATGTACCAAATCACACGTTACTGTGAACACTTTTTTCTCTCCTACCTACGGATGAGATTTGATTTGAGAAAATATGAATAAATTTTCCAGTCCTTGGGTTGAAAGCAATCAAGTCAAATGCCATCATCGAGAGCTCTAATTTTGCAATGGAAATTAGCCTCGTCGACTCTTCTTCTTGTCATTTCACTCTCCATGAGCTGCATTTATTCGCTATACATTCATCCAATTACCATTCCGTCTGCATTCTTTTCTTTTAACGGACTGCACACACAAAACTTCATGTTTTTATTGCCACTGCACCACCGTCTGTAAAGTTACAATGAATGCATAATTTCATCTCTCCATCATCCTGCTGAGACGGAGACAAGGGAGGGAGCAATATTGACGCCGGTCCTTCCAAACCCATTTAATTTTTTGAATCATGATGCTGCATGATACTAAATAAATCTGTTTACAAAGGTAAAACCAAACCACGACAGCTCTTGTTTTTTTCAATTGAACGAGCACCACGTATTTATTTATGGTAATGAATAGTTTGAAAATTGTCCACTCCTTTCGCGTCCCACCGGGATCTCAAGAAAGACAATGTGGAGATTGAATAAGCAAATGTGTCCCCCACCCTGATGGCTGCAAATAACTCGGAATTACATATTCTGGAGAAGTTGAATGATAAAAAATATAATACTTAACTCGTTCAATGCTCCCTCCAAAACAACTCCTCCTCAAATTATAAATATGCATCTCTACGAAGTACGAGGAGCAGTTTCATTCTTCTTGCATATTACGTGTACTGGAATGTGACAAGTTTTCAGTTAATGTTTACCACAAGAGATTTGACTTATTCATCCTTTAAGAGGGACACAATAAGCATGGTTTGGTTGGTGGACTTTTGTCTTTTTGTGACCCGACTCTGCTGCCACTGAGCTAATTGAGAGTTCTTTTTTGAAAGAGAGAGATGTGTGAAAGATAGTGAAACATGATCCGAAGAGCAATTAAAGCGACACTCTTTTCAAGTGAGGCCATGTCATGATATATGACTTGAAACTATCCAGCCATCGTGATGAAGGGCTGACTTGTACTTACTTTTTGTATGTGTCTCATCTCATCTCTCTCTCTCTCTCAGACAGGAAGAGCCGATTGAAACGACATTGAAACTGTTACGGAATCACAGAGAGAGAGAGAGAGCTATGTATGTATCTAGATCCATTCTCGTACAGTACAACACACTTTATTGTAAATTGCCAACTTATTCACCACCACTTCGGGGGATCATGAGGATGGTGAGCTTTGCCTACTTTACTGCACTGCTTACATACTTGTGCTCTTTAAAGGAGCCAACAAAGTAAAAAACGAAACCCATTAAAACAATATTTTTGTAGCCCTAAAGGATGATGTTCCGTCGTCCGTCTCTCTCCTCTGATTCTGGATTTAATATATGTTCCCCACTGCATGGGCTCGAAAAAAGCACTCCCACTCGTATAATGTGGCTATTGCAACACCACATATTTACGTATAACCCTTCCCTTCTTCACAACTTGTCGGCCTTGTTATTTTGCTGTTATACTCGTCGCTTTTACCAACATTATTTGCTTGCCCACCAAATTACCTCCGTTTTTTGCACCGACATCCTTAATGAGATGCTCAGGTAAGCTGGGTATGAAGTATGGATGTGTACAATATTATGCTTTTTCTGCGTGAAGGGTTTTGCTCGTGTTTGCCAAGCAGAGAGTTGTTGCTCTTTTTGTTGTCCGTACAAATGCTCATGAAAAGCACGAGGTAAACTACTACTGTCTGCGAGTCTCATCATAATCCTGTGATGGATAATGTGCATGAACGTTCAATTCAATCAAACCACGGTAAGCAGAAACACCACTGAGTTTGCATGATGATGAATGAATCCTTTCAATCAACAAGTGGAAAATGCTGCTTTCGTCTCAATCCACCAAAACCGAAGTCAATTTGACCAATTTCACCGTGAGACTCGTCTCAATTATGTGTCCCCCATGCACCACTCGAGGAGGAAAAGCAACAAGGAATAGTGTGCTTACAGCAATCGGTGGAAAGGTTTGGCTTCCTCGGCATCCTCCACTTTGTTGCCCGTCTGATCCATGTCCACTTCCATGGTGGAGGAAGTCTATTTCTGGGATCCCTTAATCTCACGGAGTGCAGAACAATAAGAAGAACTAGGAGAGAGAGAGAGTGAGGACACTAAAAAAGTGATCCTATAAAGGTGTCGGTGGTACTACGGTGTTGTTGATAAAATATGTATCACAAAAGCAAAATACTGGGCTAAAAAATGTGGCGAACAGACTCCGCCAGGGACAGGATGAAACGGACTGAGATCTGCAACACAACTAAATTGAAGGCAGAAAGTTGCTATTATAACCTCGAATTCGCCACAAGCTAAAACTACCAAGCACAAGCTACATACATACAAAACCAGCCACAAACAAGCAGGAGACTGCTGCCTGCCACTCCAGAGAAACACACCACTTGACCAATTACATTTCATCATTTTCATTCCCTACGCGATCACGGCTAGCTAAGAGCTACTACCCTCCTATAGCTTTTAGTACTTACTGCTGCTTACTTTTGCAGTACTACGACCAGTACCACTTTCAACGTCCAGATTCACATATAAAATTCTTAATAAAATTACTAACCAACAGCTTTTCTACTACCAGCCTGGCATTGGCTACTCAACCCTTCTTCTTCTAAATAGGTGCCGTTTGTTGCATCATGAGCTCATAAAACTCACAAGTATGGTAATAATAATATGCATATGTATGTATAGGAACCAGCAGCAGAGCTATTTAAATGTACTCCCACTGCTAAATACATATGTCTCAACTTTCCGTCTCTTCATCTCCTGGTGCAATGTACTCACTCTCGATTTTTTGGGTGACATCAGCAGTCCACGCTGGTTGGTGACACAATCAAGACGTTTTAGAACAGTAAGTAGTAATTAATTTGAATAAGTACTCGCTGCAAGATTAAGGAGACAGGATCAATTTTACCAACGTAATCTTTACTCATTGTTTACAAAATTTCTATAAGTGGTCGTCTAACAAGAAGATACAACAATTTGGGAGAATTTTCATCAGTTACATAAATAAAGCATGCATAATAATTTTCATGTAAATGTAATAAATTGAAATCATGGATTAACTGGAAAAACTAAACCTATGTAGTATATGTAATCAACATTTAAATAGCTGAATAATTAATATGTTGGATAATGTGAAACAGTTTTATCAAATGGTTGTGTGTGTGTCCATACATTGAGTTTTTTTTAAATATAGAACTTATCATCCCTTCAAGTTTTTTCTTTTCTTTTTTCCCTCCTCTTCTTATTATTCTTCGTCTTCATATTCTTATCAAATTCGAATTCAAATTCCGTCCAAAAAAGTTATGTTCAGATAATAAAGTCGTCCATCTGAAATAAATAAGAAGAATTGTATTGTTAAGATTGCATTAGTCGAATTAATGGTAAACTTATATAGTCAACACAGAAAACTAAATGAGACAAGCAACTGCATGAGAACTGGACAAACTAGAGGCTGCTGCATATTTATGAATGATTGAACTATGCGGACATAACACGGCAATAATATAAATATATATACGTAAAGAAATGTTATTTAGTTTTTACTTTCACTAGTATTTTTTATGCGGCAGGTCTACCAATAATATTCCATAGATTGTATAACACGAACTTTATGATGATGTGTGTCTTTATCAAAGCCCTTTTTACACAAATATAAATATATATCACATCATCGTCAACTGACACTGAATTAACTGGAGGAAGAGGACTCGGCAACTAGTTTGAGACGAATTGTTATAAAAATGAATGAACTTTTTGTTAATTTAAAGTGTTAGTAGTATTTTTAGTAGAGAGATTTTTTTCTTTCTTCATTGACAAAAGAAGAAGACGACAAATTATAGATACCAAAACAATGTGCACCTAACAAATGATACTGGATGCTTAGTTATATCTGATTATCTCTCTATTTCATTCTCTCTCTCTTTCTCTCTCACTGATAAACATGTACACAGATAGACAGATCTACAACGCATGTACTTCTACTTGGCTGACTAAACTGACGGAAACTGACTGATACTGATCTCTAAGGTTGCATGGAAGTAGTGTGGACTACCCTAAGAAGCGAATGCATTAATTAAAAGAGAAAATGAGACGGGGAGGGACATACCTGCACGAAAAAGTAGCAGTGCAATTCGATGATGTCCAAAGAATCTAGAGATAACCTGACACCTGAAGGCTTAAGTAGAAATTCTTGTCTTGATACACACACATTTATAAAGCTCATGTGCCACGTTTTGTTTAAATATACACACACAGTCACTGGAATTACTAAACTATGGCTAAATTCTACGGTAAATCATCATCATCAGCAGCACTTGGACACACCTACACATACACTAAAACTGTTGTAAATACGGAATGATTTCAAAAAGTGTCAGGCCTTTCAGCAATCAATTGACTTGACCGTCTTATTAGAAAACAAGAGACCAGCAGTATTATTGTATAACGACGAAGAGGAGGAGAAGAAATATATAATATGTATGTATGTAGTATAGTAAATAGTAGTATGTAGTTCACCACACCCACAACAATACAACGAACGACAACAACTTTTTGTAAAAAAATGTACACTCCCGTACACTGCAATATCATATTGACTCGTCATCCACAAACTATACATATATATATATTTATCTATATTTATGTAAATCTATACTCGGAACAAATTTTCGAGTGGGTGGTGGTGATGTGGTGGTGGTGTGTGTGTAAGTCGTTTTCTGAAACAACCACTTTTTCGAATGCTCTCTTACTCTTCTATAATTGCTTCTCCCTTGTTCTGATTGATTTGTTTCTTTCACAGCTTATTGTTGCCAGTAATAACATTCTCTGATTCTCTATATATACAGCTAGCAAAATATCTACGTAGTGTCTCGTATGTATATGGTAATATTTAGTAGTTACGTTGGGTAAAACTTCTCACAAATATACACACAGAGAACTATTGGTTTTCATCATTGTATTCCATTTTTTTCTTCCTAATATATTATTTCTTATATCTGAAGTCTGCTTTGTGAAGGTTCCTTCTTTCTTTCTTTCTCTTACTTTTTACACTATGAAAATGATCGATTAGAGGATACTTAGGATCGTTCAGAACCTGTTTGGTAACAAGGTACGCCACTTCCTGGATTCTGAGAGATTGTGTTTTGTGTGTGTGTGTGTGTAATCTAAAACAACATAATATCGTCTTCCATCCGCCTTTTGATAGAAAGAGTTAGTGGAAAGAAGCTATAATGGATATTGTATTATGATATCTTCTGTGTGTGCCGCTTTTTGTTACTGCATGAAATAATCTGAGTGTTCAGTGTCTTTCTCAAACCGTTTTGCCTCTTCCTGCATGCTCTCTTTGATTTTCAAAATCGCTGCAGACTCAGATGGTTCCTCCTAAATAAATAAATATAAAGCATATTAATATGAAAATACTTCTTGCTGCAGAAATAATTAATTGCTGGGGCCAGAGCCAGAACAAAGTGTGTAGTAATAAATACTTGAAAATTTTATCCCATCATTGCACTAGCTACTATCTGCTGAATTACGGAATAAAAAGCATTCCAGTTCACTCTACTGTACATCACTTTTGTTAAACTAATCAGTTATAGTAATTATACTCAAACCTATTTGATAGTCTAAACTAAATCATAAGAAACTGATCAAGATGGACATTGCTAAGAAAGATGGATCGGATTTTATGAAGGCCTAGTGATTGAGATTTTGTATCCCAAATGAACTTCGCCCTAATAATTGATTTTAGCTTTATCAGATAGTGACAAATCACTATCTGATAAAGCTCATTACTAGGCTGCAACTTCAGTAAGAATTTGAGTCAGTGTAAAAAGTCAAAAGAAAGTTGCAAAGAAATCTAAACCATTGCGAGATTAAGATTTATGTTCGTTATATTTATGCATTCTCCTGAGTAATTGGTGCACCACAATTGATTAGTAATTTAACCCTTCTTCCCCGAACAGACTAAAACGAGATGAGCAGAAGACTGACGATTCTTCACATTGATTGACCCATGAAAATGCTACTGATGATGATGAGGTATTAAAAAAGGGACGTTTATAAAAAAATGTTAAGAACTTAATCCTTGCCGTTTCTTGTCAGAATTTTTACTCGTCTTGCTGCTATAATTTTCTTTACCGTATAACTCAATAAAGTAAGTATGATCTGATACCGCTTACTAATAACTCTGTTGTCTACAAAAGAAAACACACTTTTATAATAATACTTGGCTTATGAGAATAGCCCAAAGTTCACTAGGGGAAAAGAAAAATATAAACTATGGATAATGCCAACTAGTTCTACAATATGACAGCCTGTTTTTATGATAAAGATAAGAACAAGAAAATAATGCAATAAGAATAATTTGCCAGCGTTAGAAAAGAATATTGAAGCCTTTGTGAAATAAAGAAAGTAATGAAAGTCAACCCGGATCAAACGTTGCGACGCCGGTGAATTGGAAGCCAAGGTGTTCATCGTGGCAGGTAGATTTATTATATGAATGAACTATAAATACATGTACTTGATATGCGTTTAGTTTTGAAGTAATGTTCTCTTCTCTAGTTTGTCAGACTCATGAAAATGCTACGAAATGACTACTACGGGAATTAATTCGTCAATTTTCCCAACGGAATATAACGACAAGGAGTTGGTTAAAAAGTAAATGAAGTTAAATTAAACTCTGTGTGACAAAACTTAATCAATAAGGTGTATAAAAGTAAGCAGTACACTGAGATATCTTACGTCCCTTTCAATACTCTTTGTGAAACAGGCGAGACTGATTGTTTGTCCGGAATATAAAATATAGAGATAGTTCACGAAGGACAAACCAACTAAATTGAACGGTCGCCCAGTGTCGAATGGGGAAGAAACTTGCGACGTCATCCCTATCGCTCGTACTTATCTCGCTCATACATGCTTGTCTACTGCTACGATTAGTGTTCAATTCCACGCTATTGAAGGGAATCTATGGTGTTGTAATTTGCTTGGGGTCTCTGAGATTTGAATAATAGCCCTGTTTGCTTGCCTAATCATTTAATTGTCCATTAGCTTTACTCATCCTAATTACTATAAAGTTTAATAAGTTGTTAATACTCTAACCTGAAACTCAATCACTGCTACTATTTAATCATTAAATCTATCCATAAATGATGGTTCCTATATGGGTTAGTTCAAACTTCGGTGAGTTTGCATATCAGATACTCAATCACCCTCCACTCAAAACTCTGCACTTACGTTTTCAGGGGGCCCAAATCCGCCTAAATTGTACTCGGCGATTGATGAACCTTCGTCTCGAGGTGTCCCGGGTCCATTTGCTGGCGAATTTTTCATGTCCATTCCATCATTACCGTTCATTACAGGGGTCATTCCGGGGCCGAGAGGAGCCAAGGGTCCACCCTCTGGTCCCCCACCCATCGGGAAATCCTGTCAATCATCATTTTCAGAATATTTTCAATATATATACACTTAACATTTATAATAAAAATGTATTTAAAACCCACAAATTTCTTTCTGTTACGAATTTTCTTTATAAAACTTATTTAAAAAATAATTACTCCTTAATTCTCTTTCAAATTAACTACTCAATCCGCTACTCAATTTACATAAAAGTCTTATAATCCTGTTTGTTATTCCTGTATATCGTCTCATTTAGAATGGAAGTAATAAAAAAATTGGACGAAATAAGAGAAATGCTAACTTACGGCATTTAATGAGCCTCCGGAAACAGGTTTCATCATCCCATACATGTTTTCTCCCCCGGAACTCGACGAATCTATAACAAGACAACCAAGTTAGCAACTCACCAAAGGTTTCGCAATCCTAAACATGTGGAAATACAAGAGTCATGATTAAAATACCTTGAGGACTTGGCATTATTGGAGTACCTGGGCCTGGTGGTCCCGAGGATCCTGGAGGTCCACCATAGTTCCCAGGGGACGACGAGTTGTAATTCATAGGCTACAAATTCAGTTTGTAAATTTATGAACAACAATCTCGGAAAATTTTAAACAATAAAAATGAGGAATAATATATATCTCTATACTCACAGCAGAGGAACTTGGCGGCCACTGCGGCCTTCCTGGTCCAGCCATTGACATTGGAGGCATACCCGGTGGACCTGGCCTCATACCAGGACCAGGTCCAGGTCCATACGATGAAGGACCAAGGGGACCCATTCCTGGTCGGGGTGGCGTCATCCTAGGCCCCATGGGAGCCATTCCTCCAGGTCCTTCAGAGACACATTATTTGCATAAGTACATACGGGTAAGATATAATACCTCTCTGATTGTCATACGTATTGGGCAACAACACAAACTATTGCGAATATCGAGACACGAAAACAAAACAACAAATATTGGTAATAGCAGCAATAATAATAATAACAATAACGCAAATTAAATCGTCTTCTTAACGAAGCATAATATTTTTCTCTCCCCTCTTTCTCTCTCTCTCTTTCTGATTATCATAGCACAGAGTTATTAAAAAACTAATACCTAAACTACGTATTGGCCACGTGCACAACAACACATAAGCAAGCACCACAAAACATAACAACGTTAATTTGTAATTATAGTACTATGTAGAATCTTATTGTTTTAGCATACCTTGCCATCCTACAAAGTCTCCACCTTCTCCTATGATTCATCACGGACACGGCAGCATTCAAAAATTTATACATTAGCAGGGATAGAAATTTGGTGCATGAAAATGTATCTACAGCTTCTACAGCTTTAACAACATGTTTTTTGTCTTTTTTTCTTTGTGGAATATGTAATTATTCGTGTCTCTCGCTCTCTCTGTCTATTAAATTTGTATCTAACATTTCTGTGATTGTATTTAACAAGCCTCTTTTGAGTGTTTTCTATTTTTGTATTTTTAATTAAAAATGAAAATTCTATTAAGGCTAGATACATACATATTATGCAATACAGTAGTAAAACTTGCCTTGTCTGCTGGGGTCCATTGGTCCAGGCATCATTGGTTGTCCTTGGGGCTGCATTCACGAAACATTTAATGATTATTATACGATCTGTTAAAATCAGTAATGTTATCTTGTACGACTTTATGAATTTGATACTTACCCCGTTGAAGTCATTGCCCATTTGTGGCAATCTTACGCCTGGTCTGGGCCCACCCGGGGGATACCTGGGTCCCATGAACGGCTGAAATGCAAAGGAGACATTAAGGGATTTGGCAAAAATCTGTAAAGCCAATTTTTTCCAGCTCTATATTAAGAAGCGAAAAAGCTCTCTCGCATGCTCCCCTAATAACAATAACAATAACAATTAAATGAATACGGTTCACCATATTTTGTTGGTTTCTAATTACCAGAATCTCATCATTAGCAATATGTCAAGAATTGCCATTAATAAGGTAATAATAATAATAATGCAAAATAATTTTGCAGAATATTTTTCGCTGAGGAGGATACAACAGCAGCAGTTTAGTAGTTATTTATCAGACCCGTGCACAAAAGGAGGAGGAGGAGGTAGAAAGAGCATATTTACAACAAAGAAATTTACATGATGCAAGAGGGAACCGTTGTTATACGACATACAAATTTGACACGCACGTTATTTAGATACATACAAATTTAGACACACAGTAAGATTAGAGAAAGAAGGAAGCACATTTTTTACAACTACATAAGTAAAGTACTACTAAATACTACTCCAATCAATCAATCTACTATATGATCGAGATGGGACGAAACATCAGTAATTCTTACTTGGTTTGTCAACATTTGCGGTGGAGGGGGTTGGGAGTGTGGGGACGGTTGGGAAGATGGATGCGTAGGTGGTGATGGTCTCATAGAGTTCTACAAATTTCAAACAACTCGAATATAGACTAAATACGAATACACACGAACCACCAGTGTCGAATGGACGTTTAAACACCCCCCGGACACACATATATATATAGACACATATAAACCAGATCCAAATATCACAGATAACAGCATATATAAATATAGAAATAAATAGGAAATCACGACACAATGAAGCGCACAAGCTTACAGGAAAAAATCCAGGTGGCATAGGGCCACCAGGACCCATTCCGTCGTTAGGACCCATCGGACTGGGGGTAGGACCGGAATTCTGAAAATTAAGTAAAGAAATTGGTTCTCATCAAATGCACCCACAAAAACATGCATATTTACAAAATCTTTCATGTCAATCTATAGCCTTTCAATAATAGAAAGCCTTTGCTAATAAACAAGAGTTTCACCTAAAATCTCAACTGTCTCAACACTAATACTCTTATTTTTGCACACATGGTAAACCTTAAAAATAAGAAAAACAAGTAAAACTCACATGTGCGATTCCATTTACGCCGTAGCCAGAGTTGACAAAGCCCTATAAATATAATCACCATGCATGTAAAAATAATTTTTCAACCTGGAAGCCGTAATTTGGGAAGATATTTCCAAATTTATTCTCCTCTTACGTAATCATGAAAGGCTTTAGCTTCACTAGAATGTTCGCAGGTATCTCGTCGCTCGGGTGCAGCGCAGTACAGGTCCCAGAAAACGCTGCAATGATAAATCAGTACCAATAAATAACCAATAAACTTGACAGATATTTCCTGCATACATATCGACACATTTTTTTGCAAGTTTCGATATAATGCACTATTTCTGTTCACTTACCACCACCATGAATGGAGAAAACCAGGGGGTTCACCCAACGTGATATTTTTCTCCCATCGGATCTATTACGAAATACAAAATCATTAGCATACATTTTACATGCAGCATTTCAAATTTCAGTAAAAATTTGATTTTTAATACCTCAGAAAGGAATGTTTGGGCGGCTTTTTGTGCTCCAACGTGTAATAAGTACTCATAAACGTATAGTGCCAGCCTGAAAAAATAAATAAATCAGAACATAAAAATAAAATCGCGTCCCCCAATTGTAAATAGATTTTGAAAAATAAAACTAGTCTCACTTTTCTCTAGCTTGAGCATCTGACGGAACCGCAGAACCTTTGCCTTTAGCATACATTTTTATACTGATGGGTTTAATAGGTATTAACAACTTTATATAACAAATTACTCTGTAGCAATTAATACGTTCTTAACGTTAATAGTAATTGCTACTAATTAATTGTACTGAAAATATGATTTATATTCACAACAACTTTTCATTCCACGAAAGCATTTTCGTCAATATCAGAACTTTCACTCAATCACAGGAACAATTTCTCTTAAAGATGATGACGATGGTGATGTGAGACCTTTTTCGAAATCCACAAATAAGGTCGTTCTCCTCGTCGTTCTTTCCAGTTTCACCGTCATCATCAGTAGTAGGCATCAATTTTATAATACTTATCAAGTTGATGTCCTAAAATGTCCCTACTTTTTCTCACATGATCTCCTCCCCTTTCGTAATCACATCAACCAGTCATAAATCCAATTCAATCCTCTCCCGTCTCATCTCACATTTAAACTCCAAGGTTATTAACACAAGTCCCCACAATTTAACTAACGTTCCCCCTTTAACTCGGGTCCAATAATTACCAACACTTTGTCAACTTCAACTTCTCCTTCCAATCTTTCTTTAAGTCCCCGACGCCAAACTTGTGCCCGTCTCAGGAAAATAAACCGGGCTACACTTTTCCTCCTCCAAAGGTCATGCTTCTTCTGCGGATATCGTCCTCCGTCCGGCCTTTTTTCAATCTTGCACAAATTTGCGGGTCTCTTCTTTTCGCACTCCTCGCGAGTGAGTGGTACTTATTGAACAGTTAGTTGTTAAACAACAATCAGAGCAGTATTAGTTTAGTTTAGCCTTAGTCGGTGGGTCGGTGGTGGTGGCAAGAAGAGGATCCCTCTCTCAAGAGTTTATTAAGAAGAAGCAGTGTTGTTATATATATATCGACGACGACGACGACGACGAGGGATGCTGCAACTTGGTTCGTCTCTCCTTCTTTACCAATTCTTCAAAAAATTTCCTACAGAATCTCGTTAATTGTTGGTACTAGAAGAAGCAGTAGTGGCGGTGGTGGTGGTGGTGGACTATGTAAGAGACGAAGAGAAAGCATTATTCGTTCGATGCTTGCTCTCGATCCTGTGCTGCTGAATTGTGCTTTGCTTCGTTTCGTGAGTATGTAACTCTGACGGATAAAAGTATTCACCAAGCAAACGGGGTAGAAGTAAGAGAGGAGCGCGTTTAAAGAGGAGAGGATGGCACGGCAAAAGCAGTGTCTATTGCTCTGCTCTTACTACTGCTTTAGTTGGCCGTAGAGCTTTTATCTAGGAGCAGCCGTAGTAGGTGTAGGATACGTATTCTGTTCTGTCTGTAGAGTAGACCTCTATTATTATTATTATTGTTATGCTATGCTCATGGGAAGAAGAAGAGTCGGTCCTCGCATAGCACGGAGTAAACTCAAACCCCCTTTACAAGAACCACTCTCAGTCAGTCAGAGTCGTGCATTCTGCTATGTTTTATACGGTTGGGCAATACTCATGGTTTTTCTCATGGCTTCATACATTCAGACATCATGTGAATGAACCACCCCCGGGGTGAAGTAGGACCACACCCACAAGGACCAAAAGTCAAGGGGCGACTGCGATTAGTCGCACGTTCCCCACTTTCTCCAGGCAGAACACATCGCCCTGGAGAAAGTGGGCGACTTTCATCCTCCTCTAAGGCACCTTTTACAGTACATCGGGCAGCGTGATACCCGACTCGGGATCTTTTTCGTTCTCGGTCACCACGTCGTCGTTGGAGGTAACTCGGCGAGAGACGCAACTGCACTGGGTTTTAGTATACCGTCCATTGCTTGCTTGCATACCACATTCAGTTCAGTTCAGCGTGGCTTGCTTGCTTTAACCCTTTCCTCACCATCGAATCGACAGAGAGCAACAACGCAACTAAAGGAAACCAGCAACGGTGGCCCAACAACCAACCAAGCAACCAGCAACCAGCAACTCATCATCAACTCCTGTAAAAAGGTTGGTTGCTGCTTTTTGGAGTAAAAACGTATGTACGGCGAGGCAGCCGAGAAGTAACCATGATAGGAAAAACCTTGTTATTATTCTCCGTATTAAACAGTATTGCATATTATGTAGTACATGGTCCGTGTCCGTATCTATGCTTATGTGCTGTTCAATTCTTTGGACTTTTTATGGATGAAATCCCCAAAGTCGAGAGAGAGAGAGAGAGAGAATGATGCAAAGTCTTGCATTTCCTTCCACACTTTTAGGAGAGAAATATAGCACGACGACGACAAGAAGAAGATCGGGGAGGCTGAGAAAGAAGCGTCTTTCCAGAACATGTACATAATAATATCAAGAAAGAGCTCTGGCTTTTTCTCTCCAACTTGGTCTTTTTCTGATCCGATGCGATCTGTGTGTAGGTCGAAAAGCGAATGTAAAAAGAGCAAAAGGAGGAGTCGTCGTCGTCGTCTCGTAAGCAACGGCAACTGAATCTCTCTCTCTCACTCTCCTGGAGACGCCACCATCATCGTCATCATCATCATCCCCCATGCAAAAATCAATGTAAAAGAGTTTGCTGCCTGCCAGCCAGCCTCGTCGAGACGGAATACGAGATACAAATGAATTGCATAATAGGTTCACATTCTCTCAACTTTTAGACGAATGCTGAGACTAGTAGATCAGAGGTTTTAGAAGATAATTTTGCATGCAAAATAAATTCCGCAACGGTTTTATCATCCATTTAATATCTTGGTTACTTGTATGAAAATGGTTTGATCAACTACTTTCACAGGAACGATAAGACACGGCGTACTAATACAGCGCCGGGTAGTTTGAGACAAAACCACTAAGCTTTCTCTCTCCAGTAGGACAATCCGTACATGTGCATAATGTCTCATCACGTATCGACTTTTGTTGTTGGTTGGTGCATGCGACCGAGAATATTAGAGACCGGTTCAAAGAGATATTTTCTAGTTGGTTAGTTTTAGAGTTAGTTGCTGTACGAAAAGGAAGGACGGAAGGAAGTCAAGGCCGGTGGAAGTATGGAAATATTCAGGTCGAGTAAAATCGTTTGTCCAGTTTACCCATGGGGAGGAATGAAATGAATGAGTATAAAATGTACTTAAAATATCAAACTAAACTAGATTCATCATCGCTGCGATAGACATGTGCAGTTCGTCACACGTACAAAGTTCACATCGTCTGAATTTCAAGGGTGACTTGGAGAGAGATGCAACAACATAATGGCATCATTGGAATGTGAGACGACTACTGGACAGTGAGCACTTGTGTGATTGTGAGACTTGTTCTTGAGGCATCTAAAAATCCTGACTGTCTAAAAGACTCCTCATGCAGCTCCTCGTCTGCTGATGCTGTCTGGATGGACAGAACTTTCTCAGATTTCGATACCATTTAAATGGATAGACTTCGCGTCGCATCTTTTCAGCAATGCTGCCGATACTATTTGACTTGGATGATGATAAGTACTAAAATGTTGGGCGAATAAGGGAGAGAAATATATTTAATAGTTGGTTGCATATATGAATGTATGCCCTCAATTACTGGATTGGTTCTCCTGTGCCGTATTATTTTACATCTACCTGTCTTTCTCACTACTACCTCTGGCAATTGTATTCTACATACATAACAGACCCCTCATAGCTCACTGCTCATTCCAGTTGTTCCTTCCATCTACTCCTTGTAATTTAAAAAGTATTGATTTATTGAGTGAGTGAGCGGGTGGGCATAGATAGAGATAGCAGCACTACGAGAGCATAGGCAGTTGTCGACGTCGTCGTTTGTCGTCGTCGTCGCAATAGTTGCTAGATTGGATTTAAGGTTGCTCAGCTCAGCCGACCAAACCAGGCAACTCTTTTACTTCCTCGTATTATTCATACCTTATTCTTCCTCTTCTTTCTTGCCTTTTACACGCTGCTGAGCATATGCACGAAAAATATCAGGAAATCAATCAATACGGCTGCAGTCACCCCGTGTGTAAAGAAAGATGTTCTTTAGTCGGCCCGGGTCAGGTTTTCTACATTTTTCTGACATTTTCATCATCACGCCACACACCAAGTCATGCCTGGCTTCGTCCCGGGCGTCGGATACCATGCAAGTAGCTAGCTGGTAGTAGGCCGATGTTGATGATCACGAGTTCCATGATTTTTCTTGTGGCTTATGCATAAATTATGGAATTGTGTTAAAAGGATGCAAATTCATAGCTTCGGAAGAATCGGGTGAAAAGCTGAGACTTCTTTTTTAGGGAAGGTTATCATGTCATACTTCAAGGAGAGGAAATATATCATGCAAATTATGATTATTAGTCACAAGCATAGGTCACAAGTTAGAAAATGCGTATGACACGAGGATTAAGCGGTGTATGATATGTGCACCGTTCACCGTCATTAAGCACATAAAAATAAGTGATAGTTTTCGGTTTACTTTGGTTAAAAGGCTTGTATTTACGCCATCGTCAGTCTACGTTGTTCCATAATAATATAATAACAAAAGACTCGTCAATCCTAATATATACTTACTTTTAGTTAGTTAAATTATGTTGTACATGCATGTAATTTATATTAAGTTAATACCGAAAATGCAAATTGTGACGTATAAAACTAGCCTATATCACTTAACGTTGCGAATTATGCAATGACATTTTAGTGTAGTTTTTGGTATTTGATTCTATATTCAGGAGAGACAGGAAATAGATTTTTGTACAGTGTGTACATACACCACAGCCATCCACCCACTCACCCTCCCACTCATCACAAATGGATTTCACAACATTATTCCACGTGCTGAATGGTGTGTGCAAATTTTTTTCCAAATCGGCAATCATATATTTGTATATACCAGAGGAGGAGTGCATTGCATTTTCTTTGTTACTTATGGACGACGCGATTGTGCAGTAGTCTTACAGTTTTAGGGAATATTTTATATGTTGCACTGTTTTTTCGATGCATTTTTCAGCATCTCTCTGGGTAAGAAACTTGCTGAAACATATATCGCCGGTTGTCGTCTTTGGAGAGAAAGATCTATTTCCAAAGATCTAAATGTTATGTAAATGGAATTTTGTTTGTTTTCCGTACAATTCTATTTGTTGTATAGAAACGTAAGATTTAGTAGGACTATATCTTGTCATTTGTTTGAGCTATCCATAATAAATGTTACATAACATAAATACATGTGCCTACTATATACTATGATTAATTATAGTATTTTTCCTTTAAAATTGTAAAATATCCAGTATGAAATCTTATCAAGTTATAAAACAGTTTTTGTTGTAAAGTTGGGAGTCAAGAAGCTGTATATAATAGTAATCACTCCAGGGAGAAAGTTTGTCAGAGTTATTAAATAGAAATAGGCTATAAAACTACGCATTTCTCGTTCTCTGTTCCTAGTCATCTAACAATAGTAGTAATAATAATAATCATAAGAACAATGATAAATATATAACGATGAACAGTACAATTTAGTAACGGAATGACCAGTTGAGATGACAGTTTTGTAAAAGACATAAAACTCTGAACCTGCCTAAATCTATTAGTATGAAAATTATAAATATTCAAACACTATTTGATGAATAGACAACAACAGCGACAACGGCAAGAAGCAGATCATCATCATCATCATATTTCCAGTCAGTGTCCAGCGTTCCCATTTGCTACATGAAGTTCAGCATATGTGTGCAATCCACGGTAAATAAATTCGTATTGAGGCTGCAATCACGAAAATAACACGATTATTTTTTTTACATGGCAGAAACAGGGGGCATAACATTATGCAATTACACAATTAGTTTGGGAGTAAGAATTAATTAATTTAAGTGCACTTACAAAATTACGGAACAACCCTTGTCGTTGAGACCTTAATTTTCTTACAACACTAAAAACATCGATTCGAGATTCGTTCATCATTTGCTGAACTAGAATGGCGAGTGCCACAAAAATGCAGCTTCTATCAGCCCCGTCGCTAGAAAATAAATATAAATTTTTAAATATTATCCTTCGTATTGTTTTCGGCTTCACAAAAATGTTCTCACCTGCAATGCACAACTATAGGTCCAACATTGCCCTCCAATGTATCTTTGTATTTAAAGGTAGTATCAATTAATTCAACGATGCCCCGATCAATCTGAGGTACTTCGCCCTCTCCGACGGGCCATCCATTGTACTGGAACTGAGTGACAAGACAAGAGTGATCTGTTTTCGTGTCGGTGACAGTAAACTCCCGACGGTAGTAAAATGGAAAACTTTGACTCTGCATGTATTTGACTTTAATGTAATCGTGACTGGTTTCCTGGTCCTTTTCAGGCCAATATCTTGTACATTTTTCTTCACCAGTCTCTGACAACATCACAATACTCCGAATGTTTTGCTCAACTATCATTCTCCAAAAGTCCCCAATAGTTACTTCCAAGGGATCTTGAGCAATGATGAATTGCTCAGTACTGTCATATCCCTGAGTAAATGCAACACATTACATTTTAAAAACACCACTTTAGTTATAACTTTATTATTCCAGTTAGAATTGGTTGAAACGTACCTCGATAAATGTAGCATTAATATACGTGTTAATCTCTTTGCTGAGTGATGGCATGGGAGATAGATGCACGCGGTTCCTGTCATAAGGAATGATATTTTCGTGATGATTGCGATGCCTGTTGTCTTCCGACGCACCCACAGTGAATGGCTTTCTATCCTCTATTACTTGCACTAGTCTCTGTTAATTAATTAATTGGATGCATTACAATTTGAAAATAATGGTTACTTTATAGTGCTTAATATTTAAATAATTAACAGTACCTCAAACTCCTCTTGCATACGAGATGTTGTACTCCCAACAGCACAACCTTTAATTTTCTCGATATGCGACTTGAGCTCGGAAGACGACACATCAGTGTCTCCAAATTGAGCCATTTCCATCAAAGCACGGTAGATGAAGATATATTGCTTCTGCAATTTTCAAAAATCAAATTTGTAGTTAATACGAATCCGAATTTTATTCGTTACAATTTTCCAGCTCTATATATTCCTTGTTTGACTAACCAATGATTGCACGAGATAATTTCGTTGGTGTCTGAGATCGCAAATTGTATTAAATATTGACACACAACCCTCTTCATTCAGTTGTTGAAGCATCGAGTCCAATCCCACTAAAGTTCCGGTACGACCTACTCCCGCACTGCAATGCACGAGGATGGGACCCTTATCAGGAGCATACGCCTCGTTAAATCTTTTAATAAATCTGAGGATTCCCACGGGGTGTTCCGGAGCCATAAAGTCCTTCCAGACGAGGTAGTGATACTGGAATATTTCTCGCTCTTCCCGATTCCCATCCTCAACATTAGATCCGGAGCGTGCCTTACTGATTTTCAGGTTCCTTACGAGATAGTCTGCAAATTTGTGATACAAAAGATTAATATGAAAATCAATTCAAGACTTGGTAATTGAGGTTTAAATCGGATTGTACCAGAGTAGCGTTTTTCCGAACAATGTGTGACCATGAATTCCGCGTAGTTGGTTGAACCTTCATTTGGCCAGTATTTTGCACACTTCGTTTTGTTGTATTCTTCCACATTTGTTAACATGAGGATAAAGTGGGCATGTTGCTGTTGAAATTTAAACCATTCTTATGATTGTATTTTTCACCGTTACAAAAAAAAACACTACAAAAAACTTCAAATTACCTCCCAAATCATTCTCCACCAGTCCACAACGGTTGTTTCCATTGGTCCTTGTGCACAAATAAACTTCTTCCTCTCTTTGTAGCCAACGACAAAGTTGGCGTTGATGTAATCAGATCCGTTCTCAGATGTTGAGAGTTTCACTCTCGTTTGATCGTACGCTTTGATGTCGGGGTACCTATTTTTGCCAACATTGCTCGAGTTGTCGGATGCTTGCGCGGTACGATCACAAAACCGATCAGGTAATTTCTACAGTAAAAAAAAATATCAAAGGCATATTATATCAAAGTCGGCCCAAGTAACTCGAGCAAGTAAACATCTATCTAGTCCAAGTAATTACCTCAAACTCTTGTTGAAATCCTAAATCAGAGTCCTTATGCCGCTCTAAATAGGCATTGACAAGTTCGTCCTTTGACAAGGGTGGCAAGTTTGGTGGCTCCTCGCTCGGAATTGGTTGTTGGCCTCGCAATCGGCGGCACCATTGTTGGATAGAGTGCGAAAGACCATACTCTTGATCTCCGGGCTCTTCCTTCCTCCACCTCATGACGCACATGAGAGCAATTAGCACGACGACTAATGTCACAATCAAGCTAGAAATGATGGCAACGCCAGGAATTATTGACTCTTGAGAATCAGCTCCAACGGGTCTCAAGGGGAGAAAATATTTGCTCTGGGCTCGCATCCTTTGATGTTTGTCATTTACCACTGAAACAGTGAACCAACAGTTACAACATTGCATATAGCACGTACTACGTGGAAAAGTAATAATGGGTCATATGCATAAAAATAAGTAAATGCTTTTACTCCAAAATTTCCTTGGTAAATTATTTTTTTACGCCGGAAATTTTGAAGTAAAAGCATTTGCTTATTTTTATGCATGTGACCCAATGTCATACCGATAGCATCTAAATATGCAGTGTATGTGCTGCCAGTGTCTAAGGGACCGTCTTGGGGAATGTTGGAATGTTGTTGGCCGTTTGAACTGGTGTGCCGTTTGCGGTGATGCTTCAAAGGAATAGCATTCGCGGACGGGTAGTGTCCCGAAGGTCGATAGGAATATGCGCCCATGCTAAAGTCATTCTGTGGCCAACATTTCTCACAAAGCAACCTCTCGCTCATAACTCCATCCCCGATCATTATATGTCGGCTGAAAAAAGTAACATATTTGTAAAATTATCTATAAATCTTCATTATCATCATTAAATACTAGAAAATGTACCTATTGGCATCCAGCATTTCGGCAAGATACGCACCGGAATTAGTCCCGTTGTGTATCGCGTCATAGGTGAAAATCTCCATCTCAGATGGAGGTTTCAAATCATGCACGGATTGATCCTTGCCCAATCTAACAACAATGACGCGTAGACAACAAATTGTCCCGTTTCGTTGAGAAATGTGTGGAACATTGATCATGAAAAATATTTGCTGGCTGTTGCTTCGTTGTACAGCTTTCCAAGAAGCTTGGCTGAGTTCTTGAGTATCTGGAATACTTTCGGGCGTGAGGCAACTGACCTCTGCAGAAGCGCCACATCTTTTGGAACGTGTTTTTGCACAAACGCTGTAAATCATCAAGATAAATCATTATCAAATTATCAGAAATGAAAACAAACTACCAATTAACTTGATTGAACAAACAAACTTTCACTCACTTTACAAATATTTGTGTGTTTGGAGGTTGACCAGGAAAGTCCGTTTTTCGAGGAGCGTTTGCCAATACGTTTTTCGTAATTGGCGGAACTCTATCTTCAGCCTGCTTTCCTTGTTTGTCGTAGAACGACGCATTTCCCGTCAAGGTCACTTCATATTCACCAATGTAACCTTGTGGATCGCTGGGTTCATCCCAACCCACGCTGACAAGAGTCTCGTGAGTCTTTACGTCGTATTGACAATTCAAACTCAAATTTTGTGGAGCGCTAGACATGCCGTCCATCGTAGTTCCATTTACTTCTTGTGAATATGCCTCGCATGTCTTGATGTAACTAGAACATGCTTGTATCTAGAAGTATCCATAAAGATATCAGTTGACTAACGAGTTGATTGAGTGAATTAATAATATGCAATTAGGTGATTAATGCTGGCTCCGCTTTTGTACCTTGAAGACATATGTAGCTCCAGGTTTTAATTTTTCAACCATAAGTGGATGCTCATACGCCGTGTAGTACTGCGGAATACCGGACTGGATTCGTCGGTAGGATACATTGTAATAGTTAAAGTACTCTGAAATATTCGAGTATACATTCCAACCCAGAGTAACTGTGTTTGAGGTAAATCCATTGACTGAAATTTGTGGTACAAAATGCGGATCTGCAAAAAGGAACATAACAAAAGAGGTGGTAGAGATAGTTAAATTTAATGTGTTTTCTATTAATGGAAATACATAAATTTTTTCATCTCAATCACCAACCTTCGAGAAGTGTTACGACATCAATGTCATAAACATCTTCGTGTTGGCCAACTTCATTTATGGCAGAAATTGAGAAATTGAAGTACGTTTCTCCAGGATTTAATTTAGTAATGAGATACGAGTTTGCTTTAGGACTCAGGGATATTTTCACGGGACCGACCTTTTTGCTTTGATAGTACTGTAAGCATTTAGGTTGCACATTATCATTCATACTAATCAAATTAGGTAAAAATGGTAATCGTATGATTTCTATTCTTGTGTTACCTTCATTTCAAGGTTTTTTATTTTCGAGTTTCCATTAAATAATGTCCAGTTGGTAAAAATCTGCGTCCGTCCAACAGCTTTTACTAGTTGAAATCTCAACGTAGGTTTACCTAAAAGCGGTGATAAAACAAAAACGAAAATACAATAAGTACAATAAATTAACCAGTAAGTCAAAGACCAAATAGCTCTGATTATTACTTTTCACAACTAAATGTGTCTCTTTAGTCCCATCCGGCGTGTTGCAGTCATATGTCCCATTCATTTCAGGCGTTGCATTAATCATCACCAAAGTGGAAGATATCTCTGCAGGATTACTCCGCGTTTCAGACGTGCTGTGACTCTCAGAATTTGCAACTGGTCGATGAGAAAATTGCCAGTGGATATTTGTCGGAGAAGGGTAGCCCGTCACGGCACAAGTCATGCTAACATTACTTCCTTCTTTGACTTCATGGACTGCATTGAGCGTAACTTTGGCATTTACTGGAACAAATAATTTAATATTCGGTGTCATAATCAAGAATTATATAGTAATAACGTTAAAAATAACTTTCAATTAGAAAAAATTCCTCACCATTGAACAAAAGTTCATGCGTAACATTATGCACTTCGCCGGTGGATAGATTAGCACTACACAAATACCTCCCAAAGTCGTTAAAGGTCACATTAGGAATGACATGAATCGCTTCATGAAGCGACGAGCTTTTAGATTTCGGTGGAACTGATGGTAAAACGGTGTTTTCAAATATCCACTTTACGGATGCTATCGAAGTATCGTTAGAATGGCAGGTGAGCGTCGCTGGGCGTCCCAAAGACTTTAATCCCTCTCCAGTCATCGATATTTTCAGAATGTCGCACCCTAAAGTTCAAGTAATCATTGAAATTATTGATTAACATTCCCATCACATTAATAATCAGGGGTTTAAAAATTAATTCTTACATGATGGGTGCAAAAATGTCACAAAAATAATAGCAGCTGCGAAGAAAAAGAGCTTCATCCTTGCCATTAAGTAACTTGATCCTACTTGACCAGCCATTTTGCTACTTCCGGTTTATCTTCTTCAGAGCAGAGGTTAAAGGACAAGGAGCAAAATTCTTGAGCTTGATCAGGTGCTATCTCAACCAACTAGCGACAATCTACACCATTACATTACATGCGTTGCTTTCTTGATTGTTGTGTTTGGATCCGTTTTTCATTCCTCCTAGTCTACAGTCGGGATGACCACCCACATAAATTTGTGGGGGTGTGGTGTGGTAAATTGAGCAGAAAATGTGCGTGGTTCGTTCGTTCCCCGTTGTGGTAGAACTACCAAATTTCTCCAGTCACCATTTCCATTTTCATTTTGTTCATAAACAACGTCTCAGCTATGTCCACGACACCATTATTATTATTCTTATTATGTCCATAATTATAGTCCGCATTTAGCTAACTTCCCATCCACCCACGCATTTTATGGGGTATTACTCGTTGGTGTAAATAAATACTCAATAATCCGTGGGTGGCACGATGCTTGTGTTTAAAAGTCTAAAACTTAAACGGTTAAAAAAATGACCAGTTTCTGAGGTAATATCGTCGTGGTCGAAAGGATTCAAATTTTCCAAAAGTATGAATTATATGATGCTGCCAGGTTTGGTTTATTAGTTGGAGAGGAAATTGGCCGCATATATTTAGACGTCGAGACGGAAGTGTGATGCGGTGGGGGTGTACTATGCGGTCATGTCATTTTATTTCAGCTTTATTGATACTTTATATCGCACATTTCCCACAAATCAATCAACCATATATAAAATTCCAGCTTAATCACTATTTATTTACACTTTCACTCTTAATAAAAACAAACTCTTTGTCCAGAAAATCCTTACTCACAAGTCACAACGCAAAAATGTTTACCGGACTCTCACACCCAAGTCACTCTTCACTCTCCTCTTCTACTCTCACCTCGTAATAAAAAGTCACCGGAAGTAGTTTAAACTTGGGTCCCAATTTCTCCCGTTTTTTCTTTAAGCCGACACTCATCATCAGACCAATAATATTCCTCGCTGGCCTGTCCTGTAAATTCTTCTCCAGCCGTAGAAGAAAGTAACTCTCGAGGAAGAAGTCGTGCCCACAACTTTTTTGTGGTTTGGTTCCACTCTCGACGATGATGATGTCAAGTCAATGCACAAATATAATATAATGTTGTGGTTTGATTATTTGTGCAATTAGCCAGACCAGTTATTATTTGGGGGGATGGTGGATAACAACAATAAGAAGCGACGACGACAACCATCCAGTCCAGCAGCAAGTAAATTAAGTGATTAATTTGCTGCTGGGTATAATATTTTGTTCTGTGTGCGGTGTTAGCATGAGTGAGTGGAATAAGTTCACTTTTTGTAGTAGTCGGCTGCTTGCTGGCTGCTGCTGGATATATAAAACCCTTCTTCCGCAGATATTATATTATTCCCTTAACGCAGCCTGCATGAAATGAATGTTGTGTATGTGTGAATGCAATCCAATCGTGTTACAGCATAGCCGTCCGTCCGAAAGTGCAAGACGACCGAGAGGAAAAGAGGGCTGTGAAAGGAATACAAAGTTTGTTGGCTGCTGCTGCTGCTTAAATAACGCTTATATCCTCGCTTGCCTGGTCTCTTAAAGCTCCAGAGAGAGAGAGAGAGTTCCATCCATACTGCTCGGACGACGACTTTCTTTTGTAACTCAACACCATGCTAAAAGAGAGAGAGACAGGGCTCGAGGAGAGGTTCTGAAACTATGGCTCGCTTGGAGTCCCGAATGTGAAAGTTTTCCGGAGACGAGGAAGTCAGAAAGAGGTGGAATGAAATGTTGTTATCCAGAAATTATGTCGCTGATAATCCTCCGGCAAGATGCAAAGGCAGGAAGTACTGGGGGCATAAGGGGAGACGACGTGGGGTTTGTCCGACTTACGAGATGGGTATTCATAAAGAGGTGTATAATTAGCGAGGGATTCATGAGTGGGTGTGGTTTTGGGGTGGAGAAAGTTGGGAGATTGGGTTGGTTTAACTTGTAGTGAAAGCAGGCTGGGTTTAAGGGTTGTTTGGTACTTCAAATTGGGGGGAAGGGGAAAGTATGGGCGACGAAAGTTGTGAGATGCCTCAGTATAGGGAAATATGTGTCGTTATTTCGGTGCTGGAGAAAACCGCTACGAATGCATGACAAGACTTTCTCTCCGCCTCAACAAAGACAAAACCACTTCCGGTATCGCTTTCCCTTTTCATAACGGGAGGTAGTTGTGTTTAGAGAGAGGGTAACAATTAGAGACTTTTTTCAGGTGACGCCTTATATGAGCACATATAAATGTGTAATTGTGGTCTAATAAGGAAGTGTGCATTTCATTTGCATAAGTATCTTTATATGTATACCTTTTATACCGTGTAACCACAGCCCCACCCAATACTTGGCAAAATACGTATGAGACAGAGTAGCTGTTGAACTAAAAAGTTAATTACATGTACGTAATAACTGGTTATCATCCGAGAAAGTATACTTTGTGTAAGCTAATAACTGAAATTACCAAATTTATCTTAAGTTCAAGTTCGTCCACAATTTGTCAAAGGCTTCCATTGTCATAATTTACACAACTCACTTAACAAACACTTGATAAAAGGTTATCCATTTCCCTAAATACATGCATATAAGACCTACCTATGCATACTAATAAGCAAATTGTACGATACACGTATGCCAGTCGCACTAAAGTTTGCAAAGTCAAGAAAAGGTTACCGAGTACATTTGCACATTTGCAAATAAATCTCTTATCTCTCTTAATTAGCACATCAATTTCTTCCTAATTTATTAACTTTTGCAAACTGGAATGAGAAGGGAAACTCACGTTTTACATTTAATTTTATAAAACGTGAGCTTCTCTCCTCAATCATGCCAATTTATGTGTGCATGTACCCAAGTGTTTTTCTCATCCAACACATAACCGACAGAGCAATTTAGTAAGCATTATCTCAATTCCTCCCACAAGGTTAAGCCATCCAGGTTGTGTGTACCACTACCAAGTTGGTAGTACCAACCAACATTACTAGGAATTCATTTTCCGACTTTTTCAGCGAAAACCAACCCAAACCACATAGTATCTAACTACAAGCAGCATTCTTCACATTACACAAATTATCACTTGAGTATTATCATATCATCACGATGTCATCGTTAGATTGCGATTAAATACGTCTGGCTGGATGCAACGAGCACCTATTTACAGATAAAATGAACATTCATGTGGAATCTTCACTCATCAATCTCCATTCTTCTTCGTCTTACTTACATTTACATTACATACTTTGGCTTAATGACATACTTAATCCTCACCAGTATAATACATTCAACTGCTAATTTAACCGTTGTGCATACATATCCAAAACAAACCCCGTGTTTGTCCGTTGCTTGCTGCGAACTTGATGTCGCCTGCATAATGATGAAAATGAATGAAAAATCCATAAATGAATAGGCGATGAGTATCGACTCCTTCATTTCTTTGACTTTCTGGAAGGTTTTGTTTAACGAATTCATTTTCATCGGAATCAAGGCTGGCTACTTGCTCCATCATTCCATTCCTTATGTACATGCATATGTACATATGTACATACATACACTCCATGCATCCTTATATACATACGACCAGCTTCTTCTTCTTCTTCCATAATGAAATGACTACACACAAGGAGAAACAGATTGACTAAAAAAGAAAAGGAGTCAATACGATTTTGGTTGTCTGTAGCCTAGCGTAGAAGAGCATGCCAAGTTCATAACCTGGTCAATTAATTTACTAGAAGTACACATTACTACGAATCGGCAGCAGCAAAAAAAATAGTGTGCAAGTTGTAAAAATAATTGAATCTCAACTGTGTGCCACTCTCATTCATCACCATTTTCCATTCGTTATAATAAAAGCTAATCTTCTTAACTCGATTTTATTCAACAACGAGACTTAACTCTGGTATAGTTATTTGTTAAGCTTTTAGTGTGACCTGCTAAATGGCGAGAACAAATCCTACATAATAATTAATTGAATCCAGCCATCATCATTAAAAAGACTGAGCCACTTATCAACGAACTTCACTGAAATTTGTATACATACGTGCATTCTACGTAAATATGTACATGTTCGTTCTCACTGGGGAAAAATTTCGTCCAGCATGTTATGTGCAGTAATAAATTTACATGTTTACTTATATGGTCAGTGGTTAAATGTTAGTTAAATATTTGCAGTTAGTCATTTTTGGCTACGAACGAAGCTCTCAAGTAAAGCTTTAACACATACATGACTAAGGGTATTTCTTAGTATGTTCAAATCTGGGAGGATAGTGGTGTCATATTTTTGAGTATACATACAAACACTGTCATATCGAACTTATCCATCCGACAAGGACGCCTAAAGCTTGCATAAATAGGTAATATACATACTTGTACCCCTCAAGTGTCAGGGAATAGTGACCCCCCGATTTTTGTAAATTGTACCAACATGAAACTTTATATTTTGTGAATTGTAGACAATTATCGGGACAACATGGCCGAGTCTTTCGACCGACGACGCGACTTGCCCCCACTGCCTCCAGGTGTAGAAATGATGCATCCTCCACCTTCAGCCTCTCCGGTCAGCTCGAGTTACTCGGAACTTCGACGCACAATTGTCCCTCCTTCATCGTACAATAATTACAACGATTACAACTATTCGGTCAGCCAGGCCGACTATCAGCCCTACCTCTACCCCTCCAGCAGTTCTCAGGTATGTACTTTATTTATTTTTTTTACTAGTGACAATTCCTGTGTCTCATGCTTTACTCATTACGCAGGCGAGATCCTCCACTGCGGAATCAATCTATGAACCAATCGTCCCCCGCACCGATTCGAGAATGACTCTCAACTCGACGACATCCAAGAATTCGTTGGACCGTAGAAATTTAGACACTCCGGATAAATACATTCCGACCTCTTCGACAGAATCAGAAATTGATGCGCTTACCGACCTCTTGATGACCTCGTTGAGAAAGAATGAAGTGTTTTTTGGTAATTCCGATTTGCCCCACAAAATTATTACATGTATTTGGTACATAAGCTTGGGAAGTATTTTTTTTACAAATGGAATATTTCGATCTATGTAAATAGGTGTCTGTTGCAAATGTGGGAAGCAAGTTATCGGTGAAGGGACGGGATGCACAGCCATGAATAAAATTTTCCACATTAATTGCTTACGGTGCAGAGTTTGCGATTGTCTTCTTCAAGGCAAATCCTTCTTTTATCATGTGGATGGAAAACCATACTGCGAGAAGGATTACATGGTAAAAATATTTTCTTAGGATGTGTCTTTCAAAAGTCTGTGAAGAAAAACAGATGCACTTTTAAAGATAAATATTTTTTGTGTAGAGTCGACTCGAAAAATGCTGCGTATGTTCGGATCCAATTTTGGACAGGATCTTAAGAGCAAATGGGAAGCCGTATGTTATTTCCTGTATAATTTGTATCCATTTAAATTAATCAGAATATCAAACAAATCCATTTCCAACTGAGTCTCAACTCGTCATCTTCGCACTATTGATACCTAAAACTCTCCATTTTTTCAGATATCATCCCAAATGTTTCACTTGTGTCATTTGTGCAAAAAGCTTGGAAGGAATCCAATTCACTATCGATGCTGCAAATAGGATCTATTGTATCGAGGATTTCCACAAGTATGTAGCATTACCCATCCGCAATTATAAAATTAAATTACAAAGTTTAAAATGGAATATCTATACACACAAAAAATAGGAAATTTGCCCCACGCTGCAGTGTTTGCGAACTTCCCATAATGCCAGAACCTGGAAATGATGAAACTGTACGAGTTGTCGCCCTGGACAGGTCATTCCACGTGAAGTGCTACAAATGCGAGGTTAGTCGAATTTTAATATTTCAACGTAATTGTGTAAGAAAAGGTAAAAAACGTTGAAAGTATTACCTGAAATCTACATATTTACAAACTCGCTTAGGATTGTGGACTACTCCTCCGATCCGAAGCTGAAGGACGAGGCTGTTATCCTTTAGATGGACACATTTTGTGCAAGAGTTGCAACGCCAAACGAGTTCGTGACATGAAAATTTGAAACCATTTGACATTCCTTACACACACTCCGTCAAATTCAACATAGTCATATTAGCGACCTTAATTTAATCAACAGACTTTTTGCAATATGTAAAGATATCAAACACTTTCAATCGCTTGACGATTATTGCTTTAGACTCACAATTTTGTAAAGTAATCTCATATTCAGTCTTCATTCCAGCCTCGCAAAAAATATATAAAAATACGACATACGTCGACAATTTGTATCTAGTAATAATATGCGCTTTGTCGTCTTGTGATTTTAAATTGATAGGTATATTTTGTCGTCCTTTTGATGTTCCTGGCTTGATTTATACATAGCTGATCACATACTGACAAAAAATTACGTCGCAGTCATTCCGTAACTTATTTACTAAAGTGGAACTAAGCAATACGCACACAGAGATAAATGCAATAATGATGATGATAATACCTAATTTTGACATTATAAATCATTTCGGCTAGACATTTGCTTATGCATTATTACAGAGCTCGCCGTTTGGGTATAATATTCAATAGGTGTTTACTACACGTGCGTCTCCTTGAATCTCCAAATTATGGTCTACATAACACACGCCACGACGAAAAAATAGTGATCAATTGCTTGTTTGTTATTCTAAGAAATTTGTTGTGATTCTATAATAAAAATTTGCTTGTTATTCATGTTTTTCTTGACTAATTTTATTTGATGGTAAATCAAACCTTATTAAATTTGATTGATCACATCAAAAGACACAAGTTTGATTGATGCATATAGAGATCTTACATATTTGAGTAAAATAGGAAGCCAATTACTTACTTAACAAGCCTATTTTTCAAATTGAAAGGCTTCCTTTATGTAAAACTCTGTATTACAAATTATGGCGTGTTTTTTGATTGATCAAGACTATTCAATAATTTAGCATCGTTAAATAAATATAAATGACAGACTTTGAAGATGAAGAAGTTGCTGCATAGAAAAATATGACTACACAAATAAAGTATCACAAATAACAAAATAATCCTCAATCAGGTTTGATTTAAGAGGAAATATAATGACTTTTGATTTCATAACGACTCAAGTAATGCGATGTGATTCGTGTTCCGCTTGTGTTACAATTGTCGAAATGACGCAGATCGATTATCCTCCGGCTCGGGGATGCATAACGCTCTCTGAAATTGGGCATTGTATCGAACCCACTTGTTTGTAACTGTGAAATAATTAATGGGCAGGCATCAATTGCGATATTGCTCAATGTCAAATTTCTGTTTTTTGAAAGGAAATTTTGCACATTTTGATTCATTTTTGGTTGACTTACTCCACTTGCTGCCGTAGAGCACGCTACAACCAGCGTGTCTTGTGAGTGGGTCGCCACTTCCGTCCCGTTTTAAATTCCACCAAAATACTGCCGTCCCCTTTTTTGGCTTAACTTGTACCCCGATGTATGGAAACACCGTGGAGCCACCAGCCCCCACATTTTCGAGCTAAAATTTACAAATCGTATTAGTCGTTAAATCCAATGATAATTAATTTTAAGTACGTACATAAACCATAAACGTTGCGATTCGATTTCCACGTCTAATTTCTAGCGGATTTCTTATGTGATCCTCCCCCGTGAGATAATCCGTGTGTGCCGTGTAGCGTCCCGCCATCCCGTAATTCGCAACTTGAAAAATCTCTGCGGCCAAATTTTCTGGAAATATTTCCAATCCCGTGGCATCACTGATTCGTCGGCTTATCGTGTCCACGAAAGATCCGTCTTCTTGAGTCAGCCATGCTCTATTGACGTCACAAATTGGCTCACACATCTATTTATGCAATTTAATGGGAAAGCCATCAACAAGGTCAACTTACTGCTTGCTTGTTCTAATGTCAGTCGCCACGTATTGACCGTCTCGTCCCTGATGAAGACTTCGTTTTAGTCGGGAGCTTGCCGTGTCTCGGAAACTTTTCATTTCATCCTCATTCATGAAATCATTTATTGTGACGATGTAGGGCTCAATTGCATGTTCTTCTATTTGAAAAGGTCCAATAAATGATCGCGTCAGGGGACGTGCGACGTAGCGACATCGGAGTGGCGCGTCTAGTTTTGGACTCTATAGAAATTCCGAGACGTAGAAAGCAAATATAATTACAATTAAAGTAACTACTGCGCCATTGAATTTTGGACGTAAACAATTTAATAAATGACTTACCCGCAGTCTGATTCCGCGACAAAGAGCCTTATAATTTTCATTTTCTTCAGCCCCATTAAGTGGCGTGTATAATTTTGGCTTGTACTTTTTGACAGACAAGTATTTCTTTTGCTTAGCCAGCTTCTGATCGACAGGTTTTAGAAAAGTTTGCCAATTTTCTCCAGTCGGCCCACGCTTGTCCAGCACGTCGTCATGCTACGTCATGTTTCTTACTTAATAAAAGGCTATTCATAATCTAATAATAGCAATAAATACCTACCACACGCTTCGTGGTCTCTAAAAACGGTAGAATTTCTTCCCTGGTGGCTGTGGGCGAAAAGAAGCTGACGCTCTGACTTTCCTCTTCCGAACGAGACAGGGCCATTTCCAACCAACTTATGCTCCGGTCGTACAATCCCTTGTTGAATGCAGCCTTGCCCAGGAATAGTAAATCTCGGGCTGAAAGTTTGCCATTTTTATTTCATTAGAAATTTCAGAACTAACAAAATTACTGGATCTTATTTTTAGGGAGAAACCAGATAATTAATTTACCTGAAAGTTCGTATGGACTTTGTGGCACTGATTCTGACCCCAAGGTGCCATATATCACTTCGGATAAGTTCAAGCCATACGTATCCTGAAGACCAACGAGGGCCATGGAACCTCCAATGAAATCATCAAACGTGGGCATCTTGTCCCCCTTTTGCATCACTTCATCAAGTACGTCTGCTCAAAATCAGTTTTTTCGTCTTTAAGCGTTCATGCATTTTCATAAATGTACAGAAAAATGTGCTTATCATTATTACTAACCGGCAGCTTTGGTATGATTTTTAATCGTATCTGCAACAACCTCCCAGTCGACCACGGTTCGTTTCAGAATGTGGAACGCTGTAAAGGGATTTGCCACCACTTCGGCTGCCGTCTCTTCATCGAACGAGGGAATTTTATTAAAATCTTCAATGTACCTAGATAAACAAATTATTACAACTCTTCTTATCCCCCACAGAAACATACTTAAACTTCACATATTTAAAAAACACTCACTTTTTAATAACATGCAAATTCCTCGCCAGAACTGACGCATACTCATCCAACTGCTTCACCACGGCCGCCTCATTCCTGTACAAACGTTCCAATTCGGCAATAGAGGAGAAAATCTCACTCTCCTTGGCGTACACGACATAATTAGCCGACACGACGACAAACGTCACAAGTAGTGACGGCACGGAAATTACGGAAACTTGCATCTTCCTGACAACACCCCCAATAATCTACTCACTCACTCACCTCGCCCACCTTTCCGAAATAACAATTATTACTTAAACACGTCGTGTCACCAGTACCACCACCAACAACACAGAGAGATGAATGATAACTGGTGATTTTACAAAAAGTGCATTCATTACTACATTCAATTCACCTGAGCTGAATGCATGCCTTCGGTCTCGTCTACCTATTTTATTTTGTGTCAGAAATGGTTTAACTTGTTGAATTTGAGGAGTTTTCCTAGTTAGTTAGCATTATCTCCTACAAAGCAACTATGTAAAAGCAAGCTAGGGTCAAGAAGACGATCAACATCACCGCATCGCATCCTTGCTTTGTTCAGTTACTTTTTCGGTGCATCATCATCCACATCTTGATATCTTTTCATTTAAGAGATCTCTTCTTCTCGGCCCATAAAATCCGGTTGTTGGGTAAATGTAAGTAGTTTAGTTGTAAAATACTTGAAGCAAGTCATCCATCAGGGATTAGATTGCAAATTGTGGCGATGAGATGAGAATGTGAGACGAGAGGAACTTGAGATGAGACTCCTCATCCTCATCCTCAACGTGAGTGCACATTTCCTGCCTTTGCATCACATAAAGTTGATTTGAGACGAAGTAATCTCATTATTTACATTTTGAGTAAGGAACCCAATTAAAAATTTTGCTTATCTTGTGGATATTCTAAAGTTTGAGATTAAAATGAAACTCTTCTATTGTCACGTAGTCACGAGACGTATTTCTTAACCCGAGTATAATAATCTATAAAATCTGATCATTATTATTTAACTCTATCGACACAGCATTTACCCATAACTTTTCGAGATAAAATGAATTATTGAGCCGACCGAGAAAATGCAGAATTGCGCAAAAATTGAGAATTGCAGAATGCGAAAAACCTATCAAAGTAAACCACCATTTACATAGATAATACCAAACCCACGCAACACTATGTATGCAATGCAACTTTGTAAAACTGCACATGCTGTAAAGACACGTTACACGACGAAAACTACAGCTAGAAAATAAATAAAAACAGGACTTGAGATTCTTCTCTAGTGTGCTATTTTCTATTGCAAATTCATAATGCAATGCAATGACTCCTTTCTTTCATTCTTGATCAAGTGCATCCTACCTTCATTCAGTTCATTTTATTACGTAAAATAAACAAAACATGCACCAAAAAACCTTTTATTCTCGTTTCTCTGAAACTGCAACGCAGCTTGAAGCCTGGCTAGAAATTCCTCTTCATTGTTAAGTGTTTAATATCCCTCATGTTTTTAGGTAAAGGTAGTTCAATTGATAATGCGTTGAATGATGCACATCGTGCATGGTCTGGTAGAGATTACGTCAAAAGCTGTATAAAAATTCACCCATTTTACCGCAAACAACAAAAAGATTCTCATTAAATATCCGTCGGGTGTATCAAAATAAATGAAATATTTTTTAGTTTGATACACTCGAACAATCATGTATCGTACTTAAATACTAACCTACTTAACTTACGTAATGTTTTGCCTTGCAGAGTATAGGTAAATCACCAAAAAAGAAGGCCTTCCTTCCAGGAATGCTTATCGCTGAGGGGGAACCTTTGTTTTGCGACGAATCGGCCTACACGACTCTCCACACTTTCACCACCTCTGCGCCATGTCTCTCTTTCGACATTATTCCCCCCGACAGGGGTGCCAACGACATTTCCCTTGACGTCATACCTCGTCTTGGGCACAACGCAGCCACGCCAACAATCTCATCGCCATGAAGTTGTACATGGCAGGACAGTCATGATTTTCAGACTTTAGTCTCCTCTGATTTTATCTTTGGATCCATTTCTAGAAATTTTTACCATAATTTGGACTCGATCTTCGTAAAAATTGTAAGCATACTTTGGTAATGATTGTTAAACTTTTTCTGGTGGGATAAGGAGGAGGCGGCCGTTCCTCCGCAGTTGCTGTTCATCCACCAAGGTCAACAGGTTATCAAAGAGGTTATTGGCACGACCAGATCCCGGAGAGCGTTCTCTTCACCACCTTCGCCACAGGATTCAACGTCCTCATGCCTGGTAATTTATAACTGAGGAAAATTAATCTATTTAGCAAATGTAGCGAAAACATTGTGGGTGATGCTTTTTGTAATACTTCTACGGGGGTCACGACGAACGGTAATTGATAATTTGGATTAATTTTTTAACGTAATTTCTTAAAATTATAATTTGTGCTAGCTTTTCTTCTGAAATTAAAAATTTATCAGATAATAATATTATAATCTTCTACACAATATTATTTAAAATAAAATACAATTGAAGAAAATGTCCTCTGAACGAAGCCGATCACATTTATGCAAAAAATGTAACTAAATAAATAATCTCCATCATGGGACACAATTTTCATTAACATCATAACAAGAGATCACTTTATTTGTACGTTACGAGGAATAAATAAGCGTAATTGGAATGTTTGCTTTATTAATAAAAACATCATATAATGATACTGAGATTACTGAGATTTATCTGTAAATTATTAATCTTCGATTAACAGCTTTAAAAAAATTATTCATTCATTGCACTAGAAATTTGACTGGAATTCATCTTAAATTAACAGCTGAAAAAAAGTAATTAACTAATTGCACTAGAAATTTAACAGGGAAGGTACTCAATAATCTTCAATTATTTAGTAATTTAACCTTTATTAATTCATCGATCATTACCCAATTACTGTATCAGAAAAAATGATTGATAGAACTTCGATCTGAACCATGAAACAATTAAATTAAGTTAAGGCATACATGAATTTCCTTAATTAAATATTTCCATTTGCACCAGTTTTGAAGTAATTTCAATTTGGACGCAGTGCCGCTGCATCAAGCCGTTCAATTACCGTGGCCAACGTTTTGAACAAAAGGGCCAAATTTTCTGCCCCGGGCGGGATCAACGAGCACAAGACGTCAATGGCGTAGAGACGACGGAAAGCCTTCATTTCATCTTCATCAAAACTTTTGGTATGTTCCGCTATAAGATCGTTGATCTCATCCAGTATGGCTTCATGCTTTGCAGCCATGTCGATTCCGGAAGCCCGACCTAAAAATTAGAGGAACGTCTGTTTGGAAAAAAATTAAATTTTCGTCGTCACATCACAAACTTACCGTCGTCCTCCACCTCAACTTCGCCACCTTCTTCCTCACCCAGTCCAACAATACTCTCCGCTTTCAGAGCTGAAATAAAATCAGCACAATTTTTTGAAAACGTTTAGTTTCTTGTGTCACTTCAATATTGTCCAAAACTAGTACGTACCTTCGTCAGCCTCAATCACTTCACCTCTCTGTTTGTTCACGACGTCCTTGACTTTCAGGACTGGAAAATCATGCATAAAAGTTATCAATCAAAGATTTCTACTCGACTAAAACAAGTAAAATTACCACCGCCTTTCTTCGCCTTCCGTGCGTGTGATTTCCTCACGGATTTAGTTACCATTTGAACCTTTCCTTTCTTCGACTCCTTATCCTTGGATTTGCCCATATCAACAACAAATAATAGTAACGAAGACTAAAAGATAGTTGCAGTAGCAAATCAAATTGATAGCAAAAGCTGAGGATTCTGATTTTCTGATCACCCGAGCCGACTAGACTGACACTAAACTGGTAAGCATGTAAAAGATTTCCCGGCTGCTGTCCCGGTTTTTTTGCGTCTCGTCCTTCCGTAGAATCCGGAGAGATGTCGTTAACGCTGGACGAATATACCACAAAGCTCAAGCTACAATATCACTTTCTTATTATTACTTTGTGAGAGATATATATGCCGGACGTGATGTTATATTGATGCCTCATATTACTTTCTGCTGGCTTTCTTCTCTTCTTACTTCCCTGCCTACCAAAATAAACAAACCGAGATCGGATTAAGTAAATAAGTACGACACTCGACCAACTAAAATTACTACCTACCACAAAAAACCAAAAGAAAGTCCATTGTTCGCTCCTCACAATTGTTTGCATTTAATTTCCATTCAACCCCAACTTTTATAAACTAACATTTAGAGCACTTAATTTAGCAGCCTTGGATTGGAGTGAGTTGGTCCGCCTCCATTTCCATTGTTTCCCTACGTACAATACAATACTTTACACAGGTTTGACACTTTAGTTGTCGGTTTTAGTAGCAAGAGAGGAGTGTATCAAAAAGTACAAAAAAGTTGTTCAAAATATAAGAAAAATCGAAATCAATAAGTTGGGATCAATAATAAGTCAAAGAAGGGACAATTAGGGCAAAAAACGGGTAATCCATTGGTTGTTTCTCACTGCTCAGAGAATCTGTTAAGGTTTTAGCGTTATATTTAATCCTTATCTGGGAGGAGAGGAAGTACAGTGTTATTTATTGGAGGAGGTTAACTAACTACTGGTGAGAAAGATATTTTTAATGGGTGTGTATTCATGATTTGGTGTGATTGAGTTTATCAATTGTGTTGTATAGATAAGATCTTCGTGTGTACCGGTAAAACAAAAAAGTTGTCATCATGGGATGTTACGGATGCATGAAGTATGGCGTTATCTACGTTGCGCTCTTGTTTTTGGTGAGTTTATATGAAAATAAAAACATTTTTTGCTTATAAAATTGTACTTAGGACTTAGGGACTCGTTTTAATAGTTGGTTTCATTATGCATATGTAGATCACTGGAGCAGCTATTGTGGGCTTGTCAGCTTATCTTTTAGCTGAACAGGAGCCCTACATGGACCTTGCTCGTCCAACGGATCAGGATGCTTACTACTTGGTGTATGGAAAATGGTTTCTGGTCGTGGCTGGGTCGGTCATGCTCCTCGGAGGCTTGCTCGGATGTTGTGGGGGCTTCAAACAGTCTTCCACCCTCCTCACTTTGGTAAGGCAAAGGGATAGAATGTAAAAAAAAACAAGAGCGTGGGTGGTACAGAATTAAGGGATGAATGAGTCATTTCATAATTGTGAATGGATTGTTAACTTTTTTATAGTTTTTCGCCATTGTCTTGCTTATTTCGTTTGCGGAATTGGCTGGTGGAGTGTATTGCTACCTACATCAGGACGACTTTGTAAACCATTTCCGAAACTTGATGAAAAACTCGGTTCAAAATTACTATGGCGTTGAGGAATATCGCACAAAGGCTTGGGACATGATTCAAATCGAGGTATTGATGAATTATTTATTCCAGTGTTTAAATAATTGACTAATCCATTATTTGATGGGAACAGATGAAATGCTGCGGAGCCACCGGATACAAGGATTACAGTTCTAACATTTTGCTTCGGGGCAACAAACCACAGGAGGCTCAAGGTGCGATCGACATGACTTTGAGTGCTATCGCACCTACTTCTTATGAGGTATAACTATAAAAATACAGTACTTGTCAATCATTTATCATAATATCTTAATCTAACAATCTTAACATAACATCTTAATCCTCTAATTCGTTTCATAGGTCCCAAGAAGTTGCTGCATGGATGTTGCGGATTCTCAGTGTGACAAGGCTCGGACCATCCCATTTACGGCATCACTTCCAGTCGTTGGCGACGTATTTACCAGTTCATTGATTTACAGAGAGGTAGACAGGAAGGAATATTGACTTACTGCTTCTTATTCTAACATGTAGATAACTTACATATATGATCTCTTTGATTGATTCAGGGCTGTGCTGAAAAATTTATTGACTGGATGAAAAGCAAGAGTCCTTACTTTATTGGAACACTCATTGGAATTGGATCTGTTCAACTCATCTGTCTTTTGTTCACGTGCATACTAATTTTTGCATACCGTGGTCGCAGATCATACAAAAACTGAATTATTTCTGAGACTGAATTAGTCATTCGAACGAAACCAAGCATAATATTAATGTACTCAACTCAACTATAATGATCTGACAATTCAACAAACCAACAAACAAACCAGCCATCATTCACTTTCATTTTTGAAACAAAAAGTCTGTAAGTTTTTCTACAATGTTGTTATTATAAATATTAGTTTTACTACAAATTTGTCAATTACGGTAGGAAATCAATTTGTTAAACGCTTCACCACTCAATTCATAATGTACTGAACAAGTAGGAAAACATTAACTCATGAATGTTCCCTGCTACAATGGTTACAAACCCACCTCATCTCAATTATACATCACTCCAAAGCATCATAAATCATCAAATAGTCTGCATAACCCTACTACACTTTTCGTTTGAGCTTTTATATTTCGTTTTTTTATATATATAGAAAGCGATAATGCAATGATACAATACTACATACTATGAGTTTTAAATCCCTAATCTATAAATCTACCACTTGAAATTCAAGTCTTGAATTTTGTACTGCTGTACGTATTCCTTATGCAATTATGAATTAAATATAATAGATTATTAAGTACTAGAAAAAGTCCAACTTACAATATACCCTGATAATAAGAATAATTAGAAATAATGGAGCGAGCTGTATGTGGTTGAATTACAACGCGCACAAAAATCGCTGCATAATAATTAATTCAATCTCAATCCATAATAATAAATTATTATTGTTAATAATATAATATGTAGTAATATGAAAGTCGGGTGTTTACTTAACTGAGATTTAAAGGTCTGGATAAAAACCGTGATGATGATGAAATGTAATGTACTTTGGTAGTCAAACCTGGGTAGAAATTTTAAAATATTAAAAATTCATCTATTATCTATTACATAAATCTATAAATATAAGAAAACAAATCAGCTTTTCCTCAATCGAGAGTTAAATGTGTCAATTTGCCAATCCTTGTTCAATGAGTATAATTGTTTTTCTTTTCTATAAAAAAAAACGTAAAACTTTGTTGGCATAAAAATCGCCAGCAATTTTCTTGAAATTCAATTTATCTATTATTAAGTACACGTTTCCTTGTTTCATGTTTTAATTATTTTGTACGGCGGATTTTATCAATGTTTAAATTAATAATTATTATGATATGGACAATTTAATATACAATATTTGTACTTTTTTCATGCTGTCAATTATGTTGATTTTTTGCAAGAATTGAGTAATAAACAGGAAAGTTTTCTTAAATATGTCTGTTTTTATTAATTATTTCTTCAATGATAATAATCACATCGATAGGAAGTTATTTAACTCGTACATATATTTTGTTATGTAATAGAATTATATAATATGACAAATTTTAGGTTGTCCATCTTCTTCAATATACATTCATTTCATTATGCATAAGTTTGGCATGGCTGTCAAAGCGGAAAATAATGTATAACGCCCAAGAAATTAACATTACATTGCAGTTACTTGTTTACATACACTGCTAAGTTTTAGAACAATTGGTTGTAATCAAAATACGTACAACCTCTCCTCTTCGTCCCTTCTCTCGTTGAGTTGTTGCTGTGTTTTACGGAATGAAAGTTTATAATCTAGACAGTACTCGGCTGCTTCGTCACTTTTATACATATCTAAACTATATAGTTATTTTAGATACAGGTTCTTCTATCCGTAGTAGAAGCGATGATGATGATGATAATAAGTCTGATAAAGTATTTCTCAGTTAGGTTTAGTAGCAGAAGACATTTGAAATTGGATTGGAAAGAAATAGAAAATCTGCGTATTTGAAATGTGATCACGATCAGTCATCTTTACTCTTCTCTCCATCTTCATCATCGGAATAATTACTCGGTTCTTCACCAGGCTTGAGCAGCCGTCCAATGACATCGTATTTCTCTACAGGAGTATAAATATGAACAAGTTATTGCAAAACCTTCGGCAGCGTTGCATTATTCATGAATCATGATTCATTTGTATGTATGTGTATATGTATATACCGGCAAGTTGCGCGTCCCATTCTCGAACAGATTCCATCTAAAATAATCATAAGACATTCATCCATTTATTTTTAATGTTGCCAAGAGTTTGCAGAACTCTTTGCACCCGATTTTCTTTATATAAGATAAAGAAACTCATTATACCATACCTGACTGCTGTCCAAATCGGATAAATCGTCCCACTCGTCCTTTACCATGTCTGTCTGAAACATTGCCAGGGCTCGGGAAGCATCATGTCCAGCAAATGAAGCGTATGGACCACCTATCCAAAAGACGTCATTCAATAAAATTATATTATTAATATTACACTTTTTCACTCTTCGAGTGGTTAAATGGTTGCGAAATCATTACCAGGACCATAAAACCGTTTTCCTTTCGTGACATCAAAAATCCTTCCATTGATGGCACACAGGACGCGCCCATCGGCTTGAGTCCCGTCATATTTTCGAAGCTCTTCCAGCGTCATGTCCTGTTTCTTCATTTTTGGAAGTGGAGGGTCCACCTTGACCGCAGTGTCTCCATCATCGTCCGACCTTCCCTTGAATATTTTGTACACGAGGATGAGGATTGCGACCAACAATGCAATGTTGAGGGTGGATGACGTGATTTCGGTGTATAGGTCTCCGAGGATGCTACTGCCCTCCTCTACCACGGATGCGGCTTGGTCAGCGTCCATGTCTACAAAATACCATTTCAAGAATTCAGTGTCTTGTCAATTTCTTAAGATTGCATGTTTATGCAAACTCAAATTCAATTTATATTTTATGACATTGACATTGCCCTATTTCTCACAAACATCTAATATCACGGCAATGAAGATGTGAATTTCGTGCTGTGGTGCAATAATATAGCAATAACTCATGAATCATTTATAGTTACTTGGGAAAAATATAGTATAACAATAATTAAAATCACTCCAGCTAGGTGGAGACTATTTAAATTTCTTTACGAAAGCTACTGTCACTACAAAAAACGTAACCCTTGGCCTCACTCTCATATACTCATTCTTCCTTCCAATTTCTAAAGTAATTCAAACTCAAACTTACCTATATTTTTTCCGTCTCGATAAAAAACTCAGTTAACAAGAAACAAGAATAACAAGAATATGTCAAGTAAAATAGTCAACTCCACGACAAAAAAAGAGGCCGATCGGATGGATCTCTGGATAATAATTTCAATTGAGGATTTCCGAACTAAACTTTGTCTTTTTTGACACTATTATCGTTCGCTGTTAACTAGTCTTGTCGTTAAGTGCCTTATCTCCTCCTCCTCCTCGAACTTTCTTCCCTCCTGCTGCCGACCAAAACTTTCCCCACGGAAGAAAACAACTCTACAAACTTTTCCCCTCTCGACTTCCAACTTCTTTCTTTTCTTTCTGCGAGTGAGAAGCCTCTCTCTGAGTGAGTGGGAAAATGCGACCAGTCAGGTGATCTTTTCCGAGTATTATTGCGTTGCCATGGATACGGAAGGAGATGGAAATTATGTTGCAATTCAATCCCAAGTTAACTTTACTCCTAACGAAATTGTTAAAGTTAGTTGCTCCGCTTGCACAATTAACACTTAAACTCTGCTCCAATCCAACCGTGCTGACCAATTAATAGCAGCAGCAGCAGCAGCGATGATGACGATGACGAGAAGAAGTACACGTCCTATTATATTTTCTCATGCTATCGTAACTTGGGATGCTAAATACCTTGGTTTTTATGTTATTTTACTAACTTATACTGGAGTGGGTTAGTGGGTGATGATGATGATGATATCGCATAAATAAATACTTGAACGGGGTTGAATTTCACTGACAAGCGTATTTACGATGCAACGGTGAGAGTGGACGAACCTCATGGACTTTTGTTCACATGCGATCATCATGCTTCGCAAGGTTGTAGCTTGCTGGGTGCCATCCAGTGATAGTGTCGTTTGTCGTATTTTTTAGGTGTCATCTCGTCCAACATGCCCTCCTGACCTTATGTGTGATGTGTGACCTTATGATGCTGATGATGAATCAATGAGACGAGGTTTCTTATCATCGAGTCAGGTGGCTTGATTGGGCTGAGGTGTGAAACTGTTTAGAGAACAATCTGGAATGAATATTTAAGAGAATTTGGGATGACATAATATAATGAGAATGATTTTTCTATCCGCATAACACCAACGACAAACATAATTTAGCAGAATAAGTTGGTGAAGGAGGAGATTGTGTAAGTAAAGTAATAAAAATGCTGCTGGACTGGAAATAGTTAGCAAAGCAATGATGTGCAGAATCAGTTTGTGCATATTAAAATAACCATCAATTTTACATGCATACTGTTCATAACAACATTATGGTGGCTATTGTCATATGCAGATGCCAAGCCATCCTTGACTTATGCAAGCTCTTTTCTCTATCGTTAAACTACTCTTGCTAGAGGATAAACACAGCAGCAGCATAACTAAAGTATGCTAAAAGTTATGTAGTCGTTATGCAATCATAAGACGTTCAGTGATGGGCAGCCTCGGCCTCGTTGAGGCCGTTTTTTGGCATCAGGACTCTATTTTTTAGGGTTTTGAGGAGGCAGAAGCCAGTGAGGCCATAGGTCTCAGTTTTTTAAAACTGGAGAGGGCGTAGGTCTCGTTTTTTTAATTGGGGAGGCCAGAGGTCTTGTTTTTTGAAGAGGGTGGAGGTTTTTAATTGGAGAGGCCGACCAAGCTGAGGCCTAAGGTTCCCGACCTAAGGCCGGGGTAAAACGACCTATTTTGGGATGTATGAGGTCGAGGCCATGTGAGGTCGCCCATCACTGAGGACATTTACACATTGGAGAATCTGTGTTACAAAATTAGTTTGAGTAAATAAACAAACTTGTTTGTCCTTTGTCTTGAATGGAGATTAGTTCTGGCATATTTGATATAAATGACTTGATGTCTACAATTTAGTTAACCAGTCAAACTTTAATTTCGTTGATAACACAATTTAGTATATTATTACATACAATGTGCCTTGCACTGAGTCATAAATAAAATCATATAGACATGATAAATTAAATACCACGTGATTTAATGTCAAGTTATAGAAGCAATTTCAAATAAAATATTGGTAAAAACGTTAAATACATAATAACAATGGTGAATGGATCATAATAGTGGATCTTATATTTAATCACTAACAAGAAAATCGGTCAATGTAATATTCTGTCTATTCTAATAATAATTTTCACATGAGATTTCGTACTTGTCTGAACAAGTTATTTACGCATGGCTAAAAACAATGAAACTTCTCGAAAGTCTAGTCAATGTCATACAAAAAGAATTAAGAGCTGTAAGATTTTAGGTCAATTGATAAACAAGAATGATATTTCTACTCCGTCTTCTTCTTCTTTTTTGCAGAGGATTTTTGGTCAGGAGTTGACAACTCACTCTTTCGCTTTCCTTTCGCATCCCCCACTTTACTGGGTTGAGATGGTGTGGGTTTGTTGCTATTCTTCTGCTTTTTCTTGTCCAGTTTCTCTTTCTCTTCTAACTCCTGATTTTCTCGCTCAATTAAGGTGATCAGTGTATTACATCGGCGTTGAAGTTCCATCGCTGTTCTCGATTTGATAAACCAATCAAAACGGAACTGTGGTGCAGCTCTGGAGAGATAATTATTATTAAAATATTTAAAATATTTAAATATGCTTGCAAAGATATGCATAAAGGATACTTACCGAACCGCGATTCGTAACTCATCATACACGTTTTCCTTGTCAAAGCCAAGTTTGTGAAGCATACAAACTAAGAAACGATCTTCTTCCTCAGTGTAATTTTTCCCCTTATTGGTACCGTATGCAATTCGGAGCTGATGGAATGGGGCCCGATATCTAGTCATCTATTAGAAGGAATAATATGACGATTTATAACATTGTTGGCCATGCAAGTAAACGCACTAGCTAGGCATAAACAATAAGCACTGCAAAGGGTCAAAGTACCTTGGCATCCAATGCTTTCTTAATACTTGCTCGTCGTTGAATCTTAGCCTCGCCTCGATCAATTTGTGCCATTATTCGATCAATGTCCTGAAGTTCATGACATCGTTCCCAAAAGACTGCGCTATACTCGATAACTTCTTCAGGACTTTTACCTTCCACTTCCTTGGCAATGTTCTCAATGTCGTCCCTTCCATACTTTTCGTTGGCTTTGATGAATTGATTAAAGTCTCTCTTTGTCCAACTTGTGAATCCCTATAAACAAACAAGAATAATTAATTAATTAATATCACAAAATGCTACCAAGTGCACATTATGTGTCTAGATATAAATATCTAAGGCCCAGTTCTGTTAATGTTACCTTGTTTAAAAGACTATCTCTTTCAGTTTGTTCCTCATCAGATAGTGGAGAAGCTTCATCAATCTTTTTTTGCTCCTCTCGTTGAATTTTTGGAGCATCGGCACCAAGCTCCGGATTTCTTGGAACTTTATAACCCACCGTTTTCCTATAGTAGTAAATTTCTTGATCTAAGAGTTCAAAAAGTCGAGGAGGGAAAAACTGAAAGTCTTGAACAATTGGTAATTTTGGTGGTCTTGGTGCTTTCGGCGCTTTAGGTTCAGAGACTCGAAGTGCTTCACGGAAATATGCATCAACCGCATAGTTTGCTTTACGCTCTCTTTTTGGTGGTTCAATCCAGTGGCCAAGGAATGTTTTTTGTTTTTCACTATAGAAGAAGTCAAATTATACCCTGATTGCGATCATTATGGGCTCTCCGGGTGGAGCCTAATAGGCAGAAACCAGCCACGTTCCTCAGTTTGCTGAAAAGAATGAGGGGAAGAGCGCTGGTTTCTGCCTATTAGGCTCCACCCGGAGAGCCCATAACGATCGTAATCAGGGTATAATAACCAGTTCGGTCATAGGAAGTCATACACAATGACGTAATTATTACCGATAGTCTTCTCCTTCAAATTTGTAAACAGATTCTGTCGGCGCATCCATTGTAAAGTTTCTTAGCGATGATTCACCTAACAAGTACATAATACACACAAATAAGCTAAGAACTTGAATCGAAATTTCAGCAAGAATGGGAACATTGTGTGTATATTATTTGCTAAATTAAATTAATACGTGATCTAAAAGTTCTTCTTCAGTCAAAAATTTGATTCGAATATCGAAATGTTTTTTTATTATTTACAAATTAGTTAAAATTAGGTACTAATAGTTGAAATTACTTACCAAGGGCTCCAAGTTTCTGGTCGAGTTGCTTTGTTTTCACCTCGCTTTTTGACAAAATGGCATCAATATCTTCATCTGTGATTTCTGAATCCTTTGACGCAAAAACGTGGTCTGCCCCAAATCGGATAATATTTAGCATTTCATCCTTGTTCAATTGGTTTGTTTTGCTGTCCACCAATCGTCCTATAGAATAATTAAAAACATGTACTTTGCATTCCTATTTACTTACACGTGGTTGGTAGCGCGTGGTAGGTATTTGTCTAACGATGGAGGTCTACCAGCAAATGCTCTCCTATTTTGACCAAACGTGCCAATCGATAACAAATTTAATTAATATGACATTTGCTAAACAAATTGTCTATCAATGCTCAGGTTTGGCAGAGATATTTGCATCCAAAGAGGAGAAATACCCTTACACTTACCAATAAATTTGGTACGTGATCGTACTATCGACCGCCTTTGAATGGATCCGGGTGATTGTATGGGAAGCGTGAAGATGATGCAGAGCAAATGCACGGTGTGCGGATTATCAAAAACAGCCAACAAATAATTTTGACGCCTCGTGGGTTCGAACCCCAGTCAGGGGATTTATTTTGTATTAATTTTTACTGACTTTTTAAGGGTGGAGGGTTCAGAAACCACCATCCCTTTGACCTACGATGACCCGGTGACCGTGTGGGCGGAATGAAAAGTACGAAAGTTTGATATTTTTCACTTTTCATTCCGCCCACACGGTCACCGGGTCATCGTAGGTCAAATGGATGGTGGTTACTGAACCCTCCACCCTTAAAAAGTCAGTAAAAATGAATAGAAAATAAATGCCCCGACTGGGGTTCGAACCTACGAGGCGTTAAAATAATTTGTTCGCTTTTCTGATGTTCCTGGCACTGTGCACCGGATACGGTGAGCAGTGAGCACATCTGTCACGCTTCCCATATAATCACCCATTCAAAGGCAGTCGATAGTATGTTTTGCAAATATCATCTTAATTAAATTTGAGATTGATTGACCCTAGTTTAATCTAAATCTGACAATGAGAGCATACGCTGGGAGACCTCAATTGTGAGTGTGACATTAGAAAATGTTGAGCGGCGTACGCCAGTACTTTAGGATATTGTCTGAAACCAAGCTTTTCTATTTATATCAAATTCTCACCTTGTTGGATAACTAATTTGTCCAATCTTAACTTAACCTCGGCTCTTTCCACAATTTTCTCTTCAATTGTGTTCTCAGTAATGAAGCGAAACACACGAACTTGTTTGGTTTGTCCAATTCGATGAGCACGGTCCTGAATAAAATAATTACAATTTTTAATATTTAACACAATGTTTAAGCTGCGTCCATACTTCATTTCTAGGTAACTGTAACTTGCGAAATAGATAAACTAAGACTGGTGCAATTTGCTCATGAGTTAAGCATAAACGCACTTAGCATTTAGGAATATAAACCGTCGTTTGAATAACTGGTTCGTATTGCGTAGCAAACCATAAAAATTTCGGACTGGACAATAGAGAAATTACTTTATAAAATGCAAAGTCAAGAGTTTTTAGAACGCTACAATTTTTCTAATTTGAAGGAATAGATCAAGATCAAAACTCGTACAGATTAAGATCAAGACAAAAATATTTATTTACCATTGCTTGCAAGTCGCATTGGGGGTTCCAATCAGAGTCAAGGATGATTCTAAAAGTTCGTAGAAATCATTTAATCATGCTGTTGGCATGTTTTGTGAACACAGCAAAAAAAATTCTACTTACACAACGTCAGCAGTGGCCAAGTTAATCCCCAAACCACCAGCTCTTGTGGACAACATGAACAAGAACTTCTTACTTCCGGGAGAATTGTATTCTGTGATTTGAGTCTGGCGATCTTCATGTGGAGTTTGACCATCCAAGCGACAGTACTGTGCGAATTATCAGATCAAAATTAAACCATGACCTTCTCGCATGATATATATGATATATATATGTATGTATATAGTAACGATGAACCAACTATTTAAAATTACCTGCCAATTCTTCCAAATAGCATAATCCTCAAGGATGTCCAACATTCTTGTCATCTGACTAAAAATCAGGACACGAGAATCTTGATCTTGGAGTTTGGGGAGCAATTTATCCAATATAACCATTTTTCCACAATTTGTGACCAAATGCATGTCAGTTGTGTATGGTGGGCCAGGCTCGGCACCGTCAAATAAGTAGGGGTGGTTGCAACACTTTCGTAGCTGCATAAGAATGTTTTGAAGCCGCATTTTCTCAACTTTTCCAGCCCCATTGACAATGTCAATGTCCTTCATAAGTACTTTTGTATACCTAAAAATTGAGATACATAATTGATTAGTTTGTAAAACATACATATAAAAACATGCTACAATAAGTAAGCCTGCATCTGGACAAGCAGAGAAGTTTTACTTATACTTACCATTCACGTTGCATTTTGCTGAGACCAACATACACTTTCAACTCCTTTTTAGGTGGGAGACGTTTTTCCACTTCTGATTTCAATCGCCTAAGCAAGAACGGACGAAGTACGGAGTGAAGCCGTTCAATAAGGGCATTGTCGCCTAAGCAGACGTTGGTATTGAACCATTCATCAAAATCCTATTTTAAATATTAATTAATTATATATAACAAGTCACACGTCCATCATCACTTTGCACATTATTTTACTTGCTTACCTCGGAAGAGTTGAATACATCAGGGAGGAGAAAGTTAAGTAATGCCCAGAGTTCGTGCAAGTTATTTTGAAGAGGAGTTCCAGTTAGTAGAAGCCGATTTCCAGATTTGAACTCCCTCACATATTCGGAAAGTTTGGATTTTTCATTCTTGATTCGATGGGCTTCGTCAATTATTAAATACTTCCACTGGAACTTTTTGAAAACAGCTTTCTCCTTGATCACCATTTCATAGGATGTCACACACACATCCCATTCGCCTGGCATCAAGATATCTCGAATAAATGTGGCCTATGCATAGAATGAAAAAAAAAACATTGAATTTGTGTAAATTGATTAGTTAATAAAACGCATAATAAATATGTACTAATAACGATTAACGTACTCGACTTTCTTGATCTCCAATTAAACATACTGCTCGTAGAGATGGACACCACTTTTTAAATTCATTCATCCAATTAGCAAGTGTGGACTTTGGTACAATTACCAAATGAGGACCCATTATACTCCGATAATGCTTCATGTATCTGAACAAATGAAAAAATTGTCATCTTGTTAAATTACCATTCATCACCTATGGATTCTACATAGGAAACAAAATATTATGGGGCTTACCCCAGTAATGAGATGGTTTGCAAAGTCTTGCCCAGACCCATTTCGTCTGCTAATATTCCATTGATGCCATTTTCGTACAGTGAAATCATCCAATTTAATCCTCGAACTTGATAATCTCGCATTTCTCCTCCTTTGATGTACGGTGGAGATACATCAAAACTTATAATGGTTTTTAATGCAGCGTTGGCATCAGTCATCAGCTCTTCGTCCTCCTCTTGTTCCGTCATTCGGTGACGATGACTGAAATTAATAAATTGTAAATTAGTCATAAGACTAATAATCATTTATTAATGCAACTGCATGCATGTATGCTTATTCTAAACTCCAGCTTACTCTCCAGCCTCCGACATGCGGCGATTCTCCAACTTTTTCCGATGTCGTTCTTCTTTGGTTGGCTTGATTTTCAACGGACTCGTGGGTGACTTGTCACGAGCCCCTCCGGACATAAAATGTGCAAAGATTTCTGTCTGCTTAAGAAGATACTCAAAACGTTTCGAATTGTCCCGTTCCTAAAAATTAATAGAATTATGATTGTAATATTGCAATAAACAATTCTTCATCCTCAATTTCTTATATTATCGATCCTTCATAAACTAACCAGTTTTGTCTGAAAATCTTCCAACTTTTCTTTCGAGTTTGACGAGCTGGTCCCAGTATCGGATGATGAGCTCTACAAGTTAAAAACATACAAAAATAAATATTACGCATAAATAACGTATAATTCATTACAAATTTCCATCCATGCTTTTTTACCGAATTCTCCCCATTATTTCCCAACTCCTCTCCACCCCCTCCTTCCTCCTCCAACGGCATTTTGGATTTATTTATTCACACTTATCACCGTTAAGCTGTACCCAAACTAAATAATTAGTTCGTAATTCCCCCAAACTTGAATTCTTCCCACCCTTATGATAATACTTATTAACCAACCAGTTAAAACAACAGTTAAAATTAAGTCAGTAAAATTTAATTGATCGTCCAAATTTCTCTCAACTTAAGAAAACAACAACCATCATACTCCAGTAATCCAATTAATCCCTCCTTCTCATCCCCTCTTAACCTAATTGTCCTCAACTTGTCCCGGTATTTTTGGCGTTCTTTGCCCTTATAAACTTTAAAAACATCAACAATGGTGTTAAATTTGTTGCACGGCTGCTGCTGCTCTTCTCGGCGGCGGCAAAGTGAGTCAAGTTTTCGTTAGTGATTCTTTTGCGGACTCGTCCAGATATTACATCAATCAAACCAATATTATAATTACAACATCACCTATCAAAGGTTGGGTCATGTCAGTTAAAAAAAATAATTTAAAAAGTTCATTTAATTAGTGAATGTTCCGCAAGGCTTTGTCTCAAGATGAGGCCGCTTGGTTACTTGTTACGTCGCTTGGCCGATAAGGATTTTGAGACTTTTCTCACCGCCAAGTCTCACCAGGCAGCCAACACGTTTTCCCACTTTGCCTGCCACTGACCTGAGAAGAAGTGTTGAACCCTGCGGAATCCTCAGTGAGGATGAGTTGCAGTTCACAGTTCACAGTTTTAGAATTCTGTTCGAGTTGATTGCAATTTGCAAATTAATCTTTACAATTTATGTAATTTATCTTGAGGAGGTAATAAAAGGTGCCTTTGGTGGAGTGAGTCGTGGTGGAAAAGGTTCTGAAGTTCTGAAGAAGCAAGAAGAAGGTTCTGAAGTGAAGAAGAAGGAATTTCTGAGCAGCAAAAAAGGGTCTCGAATCAACGTAGAGTTGGAGTTTGAATGGAAATTTTTGTAGTTCCTTGGTTTTAAAGACACGCACGTTTTTTGGTTTGAGGAAACGTTTTTAAAAATTTGTGAAGAAACGTTTAATAAACGCTAATTTTAAGGAGACTTCAAAAAACAATATAAAAAGTTGGATTCCTTGTGGTGACCGAGGTGTTCACAATGGAAGGGGAACCAGGACCTGGAAACAACAATGGGAACAACGCCGGGGAGAAGAATGAGGTTGGTTGTGAATCACAACTTGTGATTTTTAAGTTGTTTAATTATTGCATGGTTATATTTTTTGTACTCTGTCACTAATTTGTGTTTTACTACTGCAGAGTACTTCAAAACGAGATGATTTAAGTAGAGCCACAATGATTTTTAAACTGGCCATGAGAAGACTCCAGCAGAGGGAGAATCCACCGTCTTTTACACTGCTTAACCCACAGAATTTGAAGCATCCGTTTATAACTGATGAGGAAATTGACAGGAACGTGGAGATACTCAAGGAAATTATAAGCGAGCGGGAGGAAAGTCCGAACGTCAAAGAAGACGGTGAAGGAAAGGGGAAAATCGTCAACAATAACAATGTGGGGAATGAAGCAGAACCACTACCAGGTGATGGTCAAATACTAAAAAGAGGCAGTTCACAAACAAATCAGGATCCGATTGAAGTTATTGATCTTACTATTGACAACGGCGATGAGTATGAAGAGGACGATGATTATGAATATACTGAAGAGGACTACGAAGCTATGGAGCATGACTTAGACGATATGGCACGTACCTACGAAAATATTAAAGACGAAGATTTAGAAGATGAAGTTATAGAAGATAAGTGTGAAGATACAGATGATATAGAATACCTTGGATGCGTGTTAACGCAGGATTATGATGGTTTGAGAGTCAGAATTGATGACAAAAACGGAGTAACGTTGACACGTGCCTGTGAGGAACTTGGAGGTGCTGAGGTTTTGTAAGTTGCCAATTATAACCACAAATATTGAGACTTCACATGCTAATGTTATACTTAATCTCTGAAAACAGGGCAGTGGACAACGCAATAAATGTCCCAAAAGATAAGGAAGTTCAACAAGGACGGTCTATTCCTGAGCAAAAGGAGATTACCAAATTTCTTCAAGAAAAGTCTGTTCCGGAGGAAAATGAGGTCCGGCTGGAAGGAGGAGCAGGAAGAAATAAAACAAGGAGACACGTCTTTGCGCGTACAGATTTTGATGCTGGAACATTTCACAGCACAGGCCCTTTATCCAGAATAAATCAACCATACGATCGCTTTGACCTAAAAGGAGCTCGTGACAAATTCGACGATGAGGTGTACTCCTTGCTTCGAGATTTCTTCACGTGTGCCTTAACGTCGCTTGTGTACAAGATTGGGCTTCAACCCAAACAGGCTTTTCAAATGCAGGAGCACATATATTTTGGAGATGTACAGGTTAGTCTGGAGGATTATTGACCTCAATTTTAAATCAATGTGGGTTAATTTTTATTTTTTACAAGGTTTTCCGTGACGAAGACTCAAGAAAATATGTCGGAGGGGTTAGTGAAAATATAGTTCACTTCATCCGGAAGGGAGCTCTCGATGGAGCAGTGTTCCATTTTAACATGTTAAATCGAGAGCACTGCCCAATTACGCAACAGCGGTTTGCATTTCAATCCGTTGGAAGCTTTTCTGCTGAAAATTTTGACATTGCCGATACTGCCAGGTTAGAAATTATTTTGATTTTGCAACTGCCTTGTATGCTACACAATACAATACATAATGTAACTATTAAAGTCAGTTTTTAACTGTTATGTATTACATTGTTATTCATGATTTGATAATATTTCAGAATGCTTAAAATAAATGAACTGATGAAAACTAAATTGTCACATTCGCTGAAGACTATTTCGGAACATCCTTTGGAAGAAGCGAAATGCCCATGGTTTTCGCAATGGAATATTTCTATCGGCATAAAGCACCGATTTATGGATCTCTTGAGGTTAAATAAAATTCAAGATTTAGAAGCACCATTCATTGGAAATCCGTCCAATGATTATTTCCCGTTTAAGAAACGTGCCAGATTATCGCAAGCCGCGAAAAATGGATACTATAGGAAAGTTCCAAAGAACCCGGATGGAAGTATTCCAACTTCAGCGGTAAAGAACATTATCGAGAAACTCAGATCTAAAGAATTTGCTAGCCTTAAAGCGCTTAAAGAGAAAGCCATTTTTGAATTTAATGACTTACCTAAATTACCTGAGTGGGAATTTTTTTCTTCATCTGACGAATCAGAAGACCAAGAACGCTCTTCCAATCAAAGTGCAAAGCCTAAGGAAATGCAATTTACTACACCTATCACCAGTGATGAGGTACTACCGAATTTGATCATTAAAGTTTATCGAGTTGACTACGCTGATACCGTCGAGGTGGATGAAGCCATGATGGCCAGAGCTGCTTCAGAACAACACGCACATGAAGAGTTATTCGGATTTTCCTCCGACTCTGATTAAATATCTTAATCTTAAACACTTTATTATTTTTACATTGTCATACTATTACAGATGTATTATATACATTTAAATATTCATTTCCTCCATGATATTGAAATTGTTACATGTGTCGTTAGTTTAAAGATTTTTTTTTTACCCGTCAATGTAATAGCAAAAAAGAATATTTTAATTTTTCAGCGACACGCTAGGCTCGTATTACAAATAAACGACATCTACTATTTTTATACTTATAAAGGGCCCCATCACCTGCTGAAGGTGATGTTATTATGTAACGCTCAAATTTGTGTGTACAATCTTGCATACGGCATGCAATAATAATAATGATGATGCCAGTCAAATCTGGAGTTCAGAAAAATAATTATGTATGTAATGGATTATTATTTAACAACAGCATAATATGCTTCATGCTACCAAACCATTGCCAGTTCATAATTAGCATTAAATTAATTAACTTTAAGTTCGCATGCATCAAAGCAGAAGAACAAAGCATTTTCTTGATACTTTTAAAAAACCATGTCCAACGTTATTAAGCAGCAGCATTGGAGTTGGGGCGGATTGCAACAATAAAACACCCAAATTTGTATCATCACACAGCTTCCATTTGCACAGCAACATTGCTGTTTATCTAGTTAACTAACTACAAATGGCAATCTAGTAGATTTCTCGAACGATAACATTTTAATAACCTTCACAACAATCTCTGTGAAGAAGTAGTTGTTAGTTTCTACTATTTTTAAAAACAACTTTGACTCCATTTCCTCCGAAATTTGCATATTATGACAAAAAAAATATAGTAGAAAACAGGCATATTTATTATATTCTTTATATATTATAGATTTACATTACATAATTTTAGTAAACATTAGTGGAAGGAAACTAGTAGTGTGTAGTGACGAAGTTGGGCGAATTCTGCCTCTTTTTGACGCGACTTTACACTGTCATTTAGCTTTGAAAATATTAACTTTCTGCCAATTTGTTATTTATTTTTAAGAAATATGTCGTCCTATAGTTAAATCGGCAATCGTTTCAAAGTGTTTTTTAGTCCAGCTTGCATCATGACGGTTCGACGGCCAACAGAGCTCAACTCCTCAGGTACAACATTTAATAAATCCAGGTTACATTTCAAATTATGCATTTTCCATAGCAACCGTGCAAAATAATTGCAAAGTTCACACCGGCCATTTTAATTGCTGAATCACTTTTCAAAAACGCTTTTCGAAGTAGGTCATGTGAACTTGTGCTCCTCGAAATAAAATAATTTGGAAACATATTTTGGAGATATATTTTGAAAATATATATTAAATTTATCTTAGTAGATAGTGATTAGGCTAAAATAAATCTAACATGTATTATAATTATGCTTACAAGCAAAGTTATCGACGTACGCAAAATTATAGACGTAGAAGTATGTCTATATGTATTATATTTTGTTGGAATAACCGTGGTTCGAAGATTGGTATTAATTTGGTGATTTATTTTTCCTAGATGGAGAGCATTTGAATGGTCATCACAACATGGCATACCCTCCAGTGCAGTCTGAAGAGCAAACAGGAATCAGGGACGTTTGGGCGCACAATCTTCGCGAGGAATTTAGGTCTATTCGAACATTGGTTAGACAGAATTACAATTATGTGGCAATGGTAAGAAATGCTTTGTAAATTAGACGACCTTGTATTTATGATTCTTAGGTAGTAGTGGACCCAGTGATATATATTGTTTATTATTATTATTACAGGATACCGAATTTCCAGGCGTTGTTGCTCGACCTCTCGGCGTGTTCAGGACGTCGCAGGAATTTCAATACCAAGTTCTTCGAGTAAATTGTGATGCGCTAAGATTGATTCAAGCCGGAATTACGTTGCTAAATGAGCATGGTCAATTGCCCAAAGGAGGAATTACAACCTGGCAGTTTAACTTCAAGTTTAGCTTGTCGTAAGTTATTATAAGTTATGCATTAATTTCATTGATGAGTTGTAATGTGTTAATTCCTATAATATTATCAGGGAGGACATGTATGCTAGCGATAGCATTGAATTACTGCAAAATTGTGGAATTCAGTTTCAAAAACACGAAACTGATGGTATTGATCCAATTGCGTTTTCCGAGTTGCTGATCACATCAGGTTTGGTGTTGAATGAAAATGTGCGATGGATATCATTCCACAGGTAAATAAGTATTGACATTTTAATTGTACTTTTATAATAATAAACAAGTATAAATAAGTATAATGTAAACAATAAATGATCTTCAATGTGAATTTAGTGGGTATGATTTCGGATACCTATACCGCATCCTCACCGATCGTCGCCTCCCAGAAAACGAAGGGGAGTTTTTTGAAATGTTGAAGCTGCATTTTCCATTCGTCTATGACATTAAAGTAAGAGGACAGAGTTTTTATTACTTACTATATACAACTCGTATATTATATACGAGTCGTATATTGTATATAATATATACGGTGTATATTATAATAACTGATGAAATGACATGAACTCTAATCAATCTAAAACTATCTCTTGACTTGCAGTATTTAATGAAGAGCTGTCGAACCCTCAAAGGCGGGCTTCAAGAGGTCGCAGACGAGTTACAAATCGAACGATTGGGCCAACAACATCAAGCCGGAAGTGATTCTTTGGTGACGGGGCTCACCTTTTTCAAAATGAAAGAAGTACTATTACTCTACTATATATGCTGAAAATTAATTAATATAGTAATGATACGTAATTTGTGTATTTATAATTTTGCAGATGTTTTTCGAAGATAACGTTGATGACACAAAGTACAATGGTCATTTGTATGGATTATCAGGAACGTATGCAAACTGCAACGACATCATCGATCAAGGTCCTGGAAACTTTTAACTGCAGCAATCTATCATATAGTTTAACTTATGTTACTACAGTATAATATTTTCATCAAAATTGTATGCATCTATTATTTAGATGATTTGTCTTCGAATAATGGTAATTGGGCTCAAACGATCTCTTAAAAATAAACACAACTTTTCCATGATACTATTACAACGAGCACTTGTACTTCTATATACTGTTTTATTTCTCAACTCAATGAGTTGAACGCAACTTTTACATACGTGACGAGGATAACAACATTTACGCCAACAATAACATATATATAAAAGACAAATACCAGTTAGGCTTACACGCTATATTTTTTCAAAAAATACGAGTAATATTGTACATACAATATAAGGACATGTTTTTAAGCTACTTTAAGACGATACTGAAGGTGGATCAAAGTCGAGTCTCGCATTCAAATTCTCCACATCGCCATCGGAAGCGTTCAACATATTGAGAGTAACTTCAGAGTTTTTCTTCATGGACGTCGGGGTGATTGGTTTCTGTTGAATGGGTGTACTAGCTGCAACCACTTTCCGTAATGGAGACGACGACGCAGTGATGCCCATTACTGAGTTGACCACAATTGCAGATGGTGGGGTTCCCTGTAACGGTAATCCCATCTCTTCATAGGTTTTCTTTTTCAAAGTTGCTCGGCGGCGTGACCTATGAACAACCAGTAACCCCCATCAATTTCACAAAGTACTATGTATACATATATTTCCACACTGGTCTGCAAGAATTTAATTAAGGAAACTTACGCGCTACGAGACTTGACGCGTTCACAAATAACGTCCAATTCTTCTCCAAATTTTGAAATACAAGAGCGCATCATTTCCATTTCTTCGTCCGTCCATATTGATCTATCAAGATGACATATAATTAACTCAGGTTAAAAAATGAAGGAATACACGCAATATTCAATTAAGCCACTCAATTTCAAACTTGTCGTATAGGTTGCAAGACATACGCATAACATACAATTTATTTCACAGTTTTACAGAGAGAGGATCAAATTTAATTAAGTTTTCTACCCAAGATAAACACTCTCATTTACACTACATTACATTAATATCATCTATATTTTCGCTTTCTTAAATCCTTCTAAGCAAAAATAACTTGTACCAACAAATTCAAACAGTTATTAACCACTGGTCAGAACCATTAAGTAACTAACTAACTATCCTTACCCTCCAGATGAATCCAACGGTGCATGAAGTTGCATCGTCAGCTCCCCCAATTTACTGAAAGCCATTCCTGCCGCAGTGAATATTTCGCCGACCTAAAATAAAAAGCAAAATTCAGTACACTACAAACCAAACCATGATAACAACCCTCTCACCTTCGTTGCATGATTATTAACTGAAGACATTTTCACTCCAAGACTTTAAAACTAAACAGAAATGAGTAGCGCGTAGAATTAACTAAATGTGTGCCGTAAGTAAGTTGAGTTGCCTCTGGATCGCGGGTTGCTTTTGTCCTACGCTAACCACCCCAAAGTTACTACCATTCCCGAACTTGGATAACAATAAGTTGGATAACCTCTCTTACTTTGTGTCTCTTATTGGCTTTATTTATCCCGATTTTTTAAGTGACGCCGAACAGTTGACAATAATTCGGTCTATTTAACTGAGCAGGATAACAATACAGCCGCCACTCGAAATGAGCTGGGGCAAATATTTCACTCGTTCCGATGCTCTTTCTGGACGCCGGGGTAATGCAAGAAAAATGAGACAGTTGCAAAGCTGGCCGTCGTCTCATTCGTTACATTTATGATTTTGTAATGTTCATAATTCTCATTATGTGGACATCATTTTTTCATAAGCCAAGTTTTGATGAGCCAAGTTTCATCGTGTAATTTTCATACATCGGATGACGAAAATGTAGTAATAATACAAAGAATTCAATTAATTCATAGACTAATTCGGATCGGGTTGTTCATTTGATTATTATCAAAGAAGTTGGTTATACATCAATGTTTGACAAAATTTTTATGCATTTCATAAATTATCCAAAAATTTGATACATTTTCAATGTGTGTATTTGTGCATGGGAGGATTTACAGCTTACATTTTAAAATTATATTTATATAAAAATTATACTAAAATTGATATTATTTCCGCTGATGCTATAACCAACCACCACTAAAATCTATACTTTACTGTATTTTCATGAAATACGAATTTTTATTAATTTTATAATCCTGTAAGAGTGTAGAAAGTGTTTTTGAAACTTTGTTCAGAAACTAAACTTCCGAAATAAACTAAAACGTAGATGTGGCAAACTTGAATCAGTGCAATGTTCTCTTTTCATAGCATAACAGTTACTTATTAAAACTTTGCTATGTTCACTCGACTACTTAATGAGTGGACCAATAACAATACTCATTTCTTGAAAACTTTCCTACACATCTAGAATTTCTCGATATTCGCTAATTGGAGAAATGTGATGTCTGGGACGTGAGTGAACCATAAACCAATTTGTCTGTGAGACATTTCTCGACCTGATCTAGTTATGATTGGGGTCTTTATTACAAAGTCTCACCACCGAATGTTCCGTATCAGTCAAAGTTCAACAAATCCTCAGAAGTAAAGAGATCAAAGATAATTTGGTAAAGTGGAGTTCTAGTTTTATCAATAATAAACGTGAAATGTAAATTAACTCAAGATGTACATGTGTATATGCATTCAGATATCTAGTAACATTTATATGCAAATAATAATATGTTTCTGTGTATGCTTCGAATCTATTTTTTTTCATGTATTCCAAAACTGAATCTATTTTCGAAACACTTCAAAACTGGCTCGAAAGAGGACGCCGCGTTTATCTTACACAGAGGCGCAGGTTCACTTGATAAACGTAACATGACCAGAGTTTCTCGGTAAGAATGCATTTAAAACCTTTTCTACTGAAAATCACGGTTCCTCTTGTCTTTTTTCTCTTAATATGGATAATGCTTAATGGAGTTACATATATTTGCTGCATAATGATAATGATAAGTATTTTCTGGAATTTCTGAATAATTGAGAATTTTGTTTGTATATAGCACAGTTTCAAAATGATACAACTTTCATATTTAGTAACATCAATTGGTCTGCAGAAGCTATTCCTCAAAGTTTCTTTAGAAGTACCTGCTTATTTTTTAAAATTTAATCTGACTAAATTTAATGTAATGATGTATAAATTAAATTGTCGCATTAGCAGAAACCAGTGAAACTCCCATTATTCGTCACCACGAATAAATCTCAGGCCGATCATGAGAAATGTGGGAAGATAAGCCTGATAATGTAAAAGGGGAAGATTTATTTTATGGACTATTAAAAAATATGACACTTAACGTCACAAACTTTTATTGTAACTAATTAAAACAAAACATTGCATAATAATATGTGAACGGACTCAAATACATATAAAGCAAACATAAATTTAAGGTTCTTTCCTTCATATAAGATCCGATTGCATTTTTAAAATCCATTCTGACCATCTTTATGCAATTTCCGAATAAGACAATACACACACAACTGCACATAATCAGCATCAGGCCACCACAACTAACTGCATATACAGTCACCCATAACTAATCCTTCATTTCTTCAAAGTCGGGGAATTGGAAAGAGCATAAGAAAAGATGTAATAAGATATTTATATACGAGGCAACAGGAAATAATTAGCTTGGAATGCGTTAAAATGTCAATTGAACGACATACGGTTTTCCTAAGGAGGGGAGCTTGCGAGGTTGATAATAACAGATCTTGGTGCCCTTTGGATATGTGGTAGGGTCTCATGAGTGTACTAAAACCCTGAAGTGGTTTGACTCCATGGCCACATTTGCGCCGGCCACACCCACTCAAAAATGCCCAAAAAACGCTTTCACGCCAGTTTTCACTCACTCAAATCCACGTCAAAAATAAAATTTTACTCGGATTTTGAAATTTCTTTCACCATTATACTCCCAGATAGTGTCTTTCTTCAATCCAATATCAAACTCAATTTTTTCGAAATTTTAAGTATTTTTAAAATTTAAAATTCTGAATGAGCATTGTTGTAGTAATCAACAAAACAAATTATGTTTGCGAAATAATCATCAATAAAATTGAGTTTGATATTGGATTGAGGAAAGCAACTATCTGGGAGTATAATGGTGAAAGAAATTTCAAAATCCGAGTAAAATTGGATTTTTGGCGTGGATTTGAGTGAGTGAAAACTGGGGTGAAAGCGTTTTTTGGACATTTTTGAGTGGGTGTGGCCGGCGCAAATGTGGCCATGGAGTCAAACCACTTCAGGGTTTTAATACACTCATAGGACCCTACCACATATCCAAAGGGCACCAAGATCTGTTATTATCAACCTCGCAAGCTCCCCTCCTAAGAGCAACTCATCGTCAGCAGAACAGAATCCAGCCCGTCTCAAATTCCTCGTTGTTGTGATGTGCAGCACACAAACTCATTTGACGGACAAACTCGTTCCTTGTCTCGCATTGCCTCCGAAACTCTTCTTCCTCCTGCTAAAATTCATCTTTATCTTTATCATTAATTGCTGATAAGCCCAAGTGGAAGAATATATACAAAACCCAATTAGATTTGCTTTTTGTCCCGTAATTGCTAAACCAGCAAGGACCTATTACAACTCACAGAGAGAAAAACACTTTGCAAATTCAGACCATCTTAATAGAGTAATTTGTGTAATTCGCAGTTAATGTGGCATAGAATGAGGCATGAACAAGAGAGATGTGTACCCCGTTATTGACTACCAGTGATAATTGTCATTTTAAAGGAACAAGTCAAACTCATTAAATTTAAACCAGATGTCTTCTTCAAGCTCAGTTTGACTTGACAGTAGTAGAAATGGGATGGGATTACATTGCACACACGGAATGGATGTCCACAGGGCGATAAGATTGTTTTTTCCCCACTAATTATTTCAAATCTTATCCCAATCCCCAGCCAAACGAAGGCATGTACATACATATATCTAATATCTTCATGTAATGGGACAACAAGACACCACACCAGCAGAAGTGGAGCAATTTGTCTAATTTGTCTGCCCAATTTGTTAAGGCGAAGAAGAAATATTTAAGTATCCACTTTAAAAGTATCGAATTGGGCACATTTTCCACTAGTTGGGATCTTGTCAAGCCCCCATTATAATCACTCGTCGGTCAATTGTGAAATAAATGAGCAATCTCGTTTGGCGAGGATGACACATGTGGCCCAACTCCTACATATATTCACTCCGCGTGTATATGTATGTAGTTATTTGAATATACACATACGGCTCTGTGGGTTGAACAAGAACAGAATTTATTCGAAATCTCGAAACCAACTACGAAACCAGAGATGACAGCCAGAGACTGAAGGTGACAATAATAATGCCCTCATTTTGTCGTGGTGTGGAAGATGAGTTTGTCAGAGTATGACATATACTAACTTAGATTATATACTTCCTCACTCCGAGTATCATCATACTTTAACCTTAAATTAAACACGAACTTGGGAAAGAGGCGATCCAATTTGCGTAAATCGCATCATTTAAGGACACCACCCTCCCCTTTAAATTTCCTCTCAGCGAGAGACTTGAGTAGTAAAAACGAGATTCGGTACAGACTTGTGAAGGCAAGTTCATCATAATTCCCATTTCAGGAAATTGAGGTGGCCATCTAATCACGAGGGAAAGTCAGCGTCGCACAGCAGCAATAACAAAGTTGTGGTTTAAATGGACGAAAATGGTTCGTGTGATGGTGCATGGCGACGAGGGGTGTTACTTATTATGCTCATCTGCTCCATGGCCTCTCTCCGTCCTGTAATGAGCCCGTGTAGGAAAGATGAACAATCGTAATTACGCTTAATGTAAATTTGTAAAGGGCGTGAAAAAAGTCATCTACACTCCGAAACCTAACGCGTGGGTAGGATACAGAGAGATAGAGAAATTGTTACTTCAGCCATGTAATAAGCTCCCTGTCTCACACCAAATACACCAAATTAACTTTGTGAATTGTGCATATCTAATTTTAGCGGAAAGTTTAGGCATCCTACCAAAACGAGCTAGTTTTTTTTTCTTTGTAAAATAATAGCAATAAAAGGCGAGCTAATCAACTTGCTGCTCCTCCTGCACCACTTATTTCTTGTCTCTGCAGATGAACTGTGGATAGATTCTGTGGGCTGTGTTATTCATTCAGAGAGGAACGATGATACATTTCTCGGAGGAGGAGGAGGAAGAAGACGCGTCCCATTCTCAACCCGCAGAGATAATCACTCTCTCTCCGAGAAGACATTTCATGGGACGGGATACACACGGGCAGAAATTCTTGACAAAACACTCTTCTTCTTCTTCCTCCTCTTGAAAGTACGAGGGTAATAAAACGGAAGTTTAATAAGGAGGGAAGTAAAGCGTCTCTGTGTAGTTATTTGAGTCAACTGTACCATCATCTCGTCATCGTCGTCACTATTTGTCCTACCACCACCCAAGACCATCTTCGCTCTTTCTCGGTAATTAATTTTGGCTCACTAAGTAATTGAACTGGGAATGACAAGCTGACGATAGACGAAAGTTAAACTCTTCTGGCAAAATAAGAGGTGATGAGGAATGTGGAGCAATAATCCAATCCACCAAACCAACCAGCATCCTTCCCACAGTGAAAACATGCCTGACGTTTTAATTAGAAACAAATGCTTTGAGGTCTCCCGTGTGTCAATCACGTTGGCACAACTTCTTTTTTCTTCGGTATATGTACCACTCTTCATCGGATGACGATGATACCTGAACCCTGTAGATACAGACACCGTGTTAATATCAGGAGAAGGAGAAATAGGGGTAATAGTTCATAGGAAAATCTACTGTATTCTAAACCATGCATATCTTTTGGAACGGGAATAGGAGGACAGGATTATTTAGAGGAACAATAACCACCACGATTGTTCGTATTTGGGCGGCTGGATAGGCGACGACGACGACGAGGATGCGAAGAGGGAGGCAAAACTTCCATCCGACACTGGATCGAGGTTCCCTTGTCCAATTCCGACCCTATTTATCCCAAAATGACTTTATTCCACGCTTGAACGCCTCCTCTGCTCCCAACCACTCTAATCCTGTCTCACACCAGAAAAATCGCTATATCCGACTGAAAGGAAATGCCTCCGTTAAATTTCACGCGAATTAGAGGTCAATAACCATAGACTCGCTTATTTGCATCTCAATCTGGACAAATTAATTGGGATTCGATCTGCGATTGTGTTCAGCCACCCAGACGACGAGGAGGACGAGAGGGCTACAAACGCTAAAAACGAATGATGATGAACCCTTTTACCCTCCGTATAAACCAACCACTCCACTTGCACTTCCGATATATTCTCCCATCTTCTCGTCATCATCATCAACCTCCATCCAGTTTGTTATACACTACAAAAGTGGTGCGGTTCGGATCAATTCCTCAAAAGTTTGTCCAGCAGGCAGCAGAGAGTCAGATCGGGCGCAGAGACCGCGGACAAACAGACAACTCTCAAAACCCTGCAAGAGTCGTTGGCTTGGCTTAGCCTCGTATTGTGTAAAGTCTTCTTTACAACCTTGTATAATGGGGCAAAGGTTGTCCCCGGATTCTCATGATCCTGTGGACTTTTCCACTCCCCAGAGTCCATTCTCCACAAACTCTTCCACATGAAATCTTCTTCTCAAACCTTCAATTTAAATGTGTTTGTCCGCTCCAAACCGATTATTATCTCTCTTTCCCGTTGCTTTTCCGAAATAAATTCGCCAAGCTCGCCCCGAAATAAGAGAGAGAGAGAGCAGGACAAGACTTTCTTAATCAGAAAGTGCCCACGCACGGAAACGCAAGACGGCTGGGCACGTGTGTGTAAACCAACCGGCAGCACTATTATGTTATTGTATCGTATCTCTACCAATAAGTGAAAGTATCTTCTTAACTAAACCCCAAATACGATACAAGATACCTACGATACAGATTTTTGTAACGCGACACGACAATTGAGTACGGAATGAGACGTTACAAAATTAAACAATTTATACCAAATTATGTATTTTTATGTATGCATGTATAACCCACGTGACGTATTTATTACTCATATACATATTTCAGTCTTAATTTAGCCCACCTAATAACCAATCCTAACAATAATAATGATCTGCTGACTCTGCCGTGCTTAAGCTTTTTTGACAAGAGAAATTCTCAATGGAATGCAAAATTGACTATTATGCACGAAGTGATCAATTGGCTCATCATTTCCACCACTAATTTTTACCAAGTTATTTCCTCCCAAACGTATCCTAACTACTCTAGCATATCATCATTAGCATCCGGAGCGGTGGTGGTGGTGAGGTAAGGACGTGATGTAAATGGGAGGAATTAGTTAATTAGAGCGTTGTATGGGAAGACAAGAGTCGATTTATCATGAGGTGGAATGATAATGATGGTGTCGTTCGCTATGAGCGAGGACGTTAATAAGCTGCGCAGCCCGACTTTGTCACACCACTCCCGGGTAGTATCGCAGCCAGAGAAGAGATTAGCAGGGCTGGGTGCTGATGATTCCGGATGAAAGGAGAGTTATTAGGAGAGCGAGGAAAGTGGTGGTGAGTTAATGAGTGAAAATTGAGGGGCCAGGTGAGAGGATAGCTTAGAGAGAGAGAGAGAGAGAGAGAGGTCCATTAGTGGAGGGTCTATTGGTGGATCATCCGAGAAGAGGAGAAGCACAGGAAGGGGAGTAGGTCGTCGCAGCGCAGAGGAGGTTGTGCCGTCGAACCGAACGTCGGGTTGGCCGAAGCAGATCAAGAATCTCCTCCTATTCTCCGCAATCATCAATGGGAACAAAAACGAGGCAAACAACTCGAAAAATTATTACGCTCTGGCTTCTTCTTCCTCTCTCTCTCCTGCTATTACACGCTAAACTACTTCCGAACCTAATCTCGCCTCGCGCAATGTAATCCAATTCCAATGCCTCCTCACATTAGCTATGATCCTCTCTTATCAACACGCCACTCGCTCTCTCAACTCTCGCCATAAATGCACGCCTCACACGCTCCTGCTCCCACTGTCACTGCTCGTCATCTCAGCCAAGTACTCACTTTGCCCCCGACGACCCCAGGAGTCTGCATGTCCCCAGGAGTCCGGTCCAGTGAAAACTGAGATAGCAAGAAGCCACAGCGGAAATAGAGTGACTTTTTTGTGTCGACATAGGTTTGGGACAGGATGGAAGTGATTTCATCAGTGCTCAAGTGTTGCACCACGAAAGACGACGAATCAGACAGTCATCACAGACATCAAGCCAGTCTCAATTGTCATCCTCTTCTTCCTCCCACTGGGACGAGTGCCACGAGTGAAAGCAGTACAATTGTTGTTGTCAGTGGTGGTGGTGGTGACAAAGTAATGGACTTCTCACCACCTTTATCCGCCGACCTTGCGAAACCGGTCGATCTCAGCAACAATAATAACAATCACAACAATAACAATAATGTAGAGGAAGAACATAACAATGTGGGGGGTTTGGGGAACAAGAAATTTAACGGGAACAGTGGTGGTGGTGGTGGTAGCTTAAGTGGTGGTGAAAGTGACAACAACGCCATGGACTCATCGCACTGCAATGGAGGTGGTGGTTCCGTGAGAAAGTTGGCCTTTTCCGTGGAAAATATTCTTGATCCCAACAAATTTACTGGAAGAACATTCGGTTTGCACCCAACTTGTAAAGGGGTCCTGTCGCCCTCGGATTTATTGCACAGCCATCAACCGATTCCCAATTTCAGATTTCCTTTTAAAGATATTCACGGTACGTTGCTCTCACCACGGGTACATTCTATTTGTCTTGTACATACATACCTAGTCAGTCCTCAGCCTGGTAATCTTATGGCCCTCACTCTCCGCCTCCTCCTTCCTCCGCTCCTTTTTCCACGACAATAAATTTTCGATTTTCTAAATCGAAACTCAAAAGTCAAAGGGTTTTAGTCGTGCATGTTTGTATGTGTGCACATTTTTTCTCTGCTTTCACTCACTCACTCACTCACTCACCTTGCTTTCAAGTAAATCCCTGCAAATCCACTTCATGTCGTAAATAAAATCTAAGCATCCTTTGTGCACCATGTTTTCACTGCAGCATAATGACACCATTTCCACAATAAGGATTGACACGAGAGAGAACGAGGATAAAAGGCTTGTTGTCAGATTTTGGACACAATTTTCAAACGATTATATCATTACGGGCGTTTTGTGGTTTTCTATGAATATTGTATGCAATTTCTTTAAAGGGAAATTAATCATGTATTGTTGGTCGTTATAAAAACATTGGCAATTTTCGATTTTAAACACTTTTATTGCAAAGTCGACAAATTTCCGTGCAAATTTAGCATTCGATTCCTGGTCTAATTGGACCCATGCAAATCCTGAGGCCAGACCTGGTTTTAGGTAGCATTTGACTTTTTCCGAGCTAAATTTGGCCCTTAAACCGAACCTTGTATGCCTAAACCTGTCACAAAGCTAGTCAGTCAATCTCTCTCGGCTCCATTATGCACCTTGGTAATTGGGGATTGAAAGAAGTGTTCCGACATGAAGGGGAAATGCAGAATGCAATTAAATTGAATAAACACGTTTCCCTCTGCATGAGCGGAGTGCAAGGCAAAATGGGTGGAGAAAATTTAAGAAAAGTGAAAGTACGTGCATACTTTTGCTCGGAAATAAGTTTTCCTCACATGAAGTGTTGCTGCTTTTGCTGTTCAGACACAAGGCTTCATGATGATGGAAAAGGTTGTATGTACGTTTCTCGAGATACAAGAATAAGCAGAAGAAGAAATATCATTGTTGACAGTTAAATGTTGAAGGTTGGCTGGAGGAGGAGGAGAGTCTCTTTACCTTTCTCTTGATTTTTATGTACTTTGTTGGTCTATTCCCAAGAGGGGCAAGGAGTGCAAAAGTGACTCTGCCTCTGCTTTAAATAAAATTAAAAATCCAGGAGAGACAAGGCAAACAGTTTTCCCCTGATTGCTTTTCTGAAAAATGTGTTTAGAAAGCGATTCTGGCTCTTGAATCAACTCCCTGCGGAGGCCCCTTTATCTCATTTACGTGCATTTATATACATTCCACTCCCCCCCGCAGCTCCCCTCCTCCCTCTTTACATCCATAGCTCACGTAAATTGAGTGTGTACACACGCTTAAAGTGTGTATAATATTACACATGACATTCCATGTACGTATTTCCTGTTTATAGATGCGGACCCCGACTCGACGACGACAACTCCGCCGAACTCTGACCTCCAGACGTCCCCCTGTGAAACGAGTCTGGAGGATGATGAAAACTCCTGTGATCTCTTACTCGAGGATGACACTTTCCGTGGTGACTCATCCGAGTCTGTCGGGGATGAGTCCACTTCCTTTGACAAGGACGACTCAAAATCTAGAAAAAAATCATCCAAGAGTTGTAACAGTGATACGAAATCTGGTGAGTACACAGTCATTTCTCATTCCTTCATTTCTTCTTCCTACGTCCTAAACATGTTATGTGTGCAGAACATTCTTCCCCTCCTGCGGTGTTGCGTGGCGTGTGTTTGTTATGCAACTAAATACATATTTATTATGCTGTAACCTAGATGCTTGAGATGTTCAATGAATTATTGATCGGTAAATAAGTGTCCAATTTATTTGCCTCTTTGATACTTACGTTATGACTTTCAAGTCAATAGTCACAAGCAATGTGGTCACGAAGAAATCTTGTCATACATCCGAATTGACCCAGAAATTGTGCATGTCCACATTACTTTTGATTTTAATCGGGACTTTTCTTTGGAGTGGCAGGTAAACCACGTCGAGCCCGGACGGCATTCACCTATGAGCAGTTAGTCGCACTGGAAAACAAGTTCAAGACGACGCGATACCTCTCCGTCTGCGAGCGCCTCAACCTCGCCCTGTCCCTCTCGTTGACGGAAACACAGGTCAAAATCTGGTTTCAAAACCGCAGGACAAAGTGGAAGAAGCAAAATCCCGGCATGGATGTCAACAGTCCACCCGTCCCCACGCCCAACTCGGGAGGACTGGGGTCCTTCGGAGGTCCGGGAGGGTCACCCTACTCCGCCGCCACGCACCACCTCCTGTACCCCCACATGACGGCGTATCTCACCGGGGGCAGCGTTTCCGGGGCGTCGGGATCACTGCTTTCCTACCATCACAACGGTACCCCACCCTCCAACTCGTTCTCCTCCTCGTACTTTTCTCACCTCAGCCACAACTCGTAATTAGGAATTGTTAGTTAAATATACATATATTTAAAAATCCAGCAAGAAGAAGAAGAATCAATCATTATTTGTGTTGGTGACAAGTCAACGTATGCCAAATATATTTATAGGAATACTTTTTTACGCTACGTATACATACATAAAATACATATTAAACTTTACCGTTGTGGGGCTAGAAGGAATTGTGTAAAATAGACATGTTTTTGTTTCACATGGACAAAGTGAAGTTCTTTTTTTTGTGGCAAAAATATCTACATACTTACAATCAACGCTGTGTAATTACAGTTTTGCTACATATTAAACAAGACAAATATTGTGTAGTAATTGGGCTGCCACACGAGGACGACGACTGTAATAAGTAAATAACCTGCTGCAAATAAATAAGTTGCTCCAATTAAGTGAAGGGACGATGTCAACGTGAAACGTGTCGGACAGAATTTGTTCAAATAAAAAAGAAACCAAGGTCTTTTACCAATATATCAATAAGATTATAAGATTGTTCGTTTTATTATTGAAAAAGTTGTCCTTGGATCCTTTGTATCATTCATGAAATAAATCAATACTATTATTCGTTGAAACGTACGTTCTTGTCCTTATCGCATCGAGTCATTCCATTATTTTCTCGAGGAGATGGAGTACTTTTTAATTATAAAACTTGTCTCCTCACCAGAACCATCAAACACTAATTGATTACACGGAAGCATTGTTGGTGGGGAGAGTCAAGTGGTAAAGTAGTCGATTCTCTAGACTTTACCCGCCCAAGGAGACAGAGAGAAAGCAAGCTAACCCTTATTAAGTCTGTTTTTGGCTGACTTGGTCGGTTTGGTTTGTACGATTTGCTTTGTTACAGAGATCCCGAGATGGTACAATCAAGGGGGCGACGACGAGGACGACGACCAGAGCGTATTTATACACGTATAAATAAGGAGTGGGCTGAGGTGCCATATTTTTGCTTGTTAAATTTTCACGGCGACCTGTCATTCCCGGACAACTAAGTTTCCCCACCTCCCTTATTACACACTAACCTGCGGGATAGATGTAGGACTTCCCATGAATTGGAGATGAGGCTCAGCGTTACTAATTTCCAACTAATTAGGAAGCCCTGCTGGCTCAATGTATCATCCCATTTTCCCAATTCTGCACTTTCCCCGCATTCAACCATCCATGCTTGGCACAATTTGGAAACAAAACTTTCTCTCGGAACCAAACCAACTTTCTCATCCAGAGCAAGTCACCCCCCGCACCACTTCACTCAGCCAAGAAGCAAACTAATACTACGTACGAGAATATAGGGACCCTACTTTCTCACCACCAGTACCACCACCACCCACCTGAAGTCAGACGGAGAGGTATAAAATAATCCCTAATTACCTGGAGGTGGGACTCTCTCTGCGTGGTGGAAGGAGGGAGAACTTTCACATTATTACTTGACTCGTGATAATGATGATGAGACTACTCGCTCGTCGACGACGCGGAGACCATGGCCTCCGCGGATTAGAATAAGTTTCTTTCCTAATGAGGAATAATTTCCTTTCATTTAAGCAGCCGACTTGGTCATGCACGAGGAATGAGGCGACTCGCACCATTATATTCGACTCCATCCTGCTGCTTTCTCCTTTGTGAATGCATAACTTATTGCCCGACTAAAAATACCTTCTTAATTTCCCCCTCTTCTTAGGGGCCAGTGGTTACGTGCCGTGTATTTTATCTCTGGCAGGAACAACAATGCAGCCGAAACGCCACGTGAAGATGAGGATAGTATCGTCATGAAAAGAGAAAATTACCCGAAACAAAGAGACTGTAGAGGTAATTTGGCTTGGCGATATTATTACGAAGCTCATCATAACACTGTTAGTCGAGTTGGGAGGCTAAGTGTCGAAATCGCGGAGAAATGGAGGCCGCGATATGATCAGGAGACCGGCCGTGGTGGATAATACGTTGCATAATATGAACATGTGTGATGATAATGAGAATGATGATTGCGTTGTTGCTCGTCCTCGTGTGACTCTTCCACGAGCTGGGTGGAATTGCATATAGCCTATTAATAAATGAGCGTCCCTTGAGAGGGACATAAATTTGTGGAGAGAGAGAGAGCTCCGAGGGTGGTGTTCCTCTGCCTCTCTGCCTTCTCACATGGCCCAATTATGGCTCTCACAAAGTGCGAATGAAACTATAACTGACTCATGACAAAAAACGAAACAAAGTTTACCTCGGGGACTCTTGTGCACAAATTACAACTTATCTACTCCCTGCCAACCATTACACACAGAAGAGAAGAGTCAAACTACTTTTATCATTTCCAGTTAATAATGCCTCCTATCTTCTTCTTCCTGTGCCCTCTCTAATAACTCGGCAACAATTTCCAGCCCCTATTAATCTTTGTTACCAGAAGCTACGTCCGACTCCCACCCAACCAACCAACTATTTCGACAACATTAAAACATAATTGAGATCCGCGTAATGTTCCACTACTTGAGTTTATATATGAATTTATTGAATATGTAGAGAATCAAAGTAAATCATGGATGGATTTATATCCAGGAGTGGAATCATTTCTAGGAAAAAGTCTGAAAATACGGTTAAAATTCCTCACTTTTTAAAAAGTATGGATAATGAAATAATTCGAAATGAAGGGTCCCATTTACAGGAAAATTTCCAGTTAACATTCCACCACCATCATCCTGGAGAAGGAAAGCGAGGAGAAAACACGAGTCCAATGTTCGTAGAGTAAAGTACGTAAAGTAAGTGAAGTAGCAACAATCTGAATATTTAATGGGTACAATTTCATCTTGATACGGAAAAACACATCCCATTCACACAGTCTCACTTTTATATGAACAAATTTACTGTCATTCTCTCTCTCGATATCAAAGTAGATGGGACTCTGGGGGATTGGGCTGCAAGATACAAGATGATGATAATAAAAATGCTCGATCAAACCCATATAACTAAATATCTCGTCGTCTGAATCGTCGTCTTCTTTCTCTCTTTTCCTTCCAAACTCCTACGTATTACACAAGAAGAGATGTAGGTACGACTACTTTCTTTTATGCTCTTTTTAAATTTCCACTATTATTTCAACTTCTATTAAACGTTTAACATTTTCCACAGACTAGAAAGAAATTGGAGGAAATTTAAACGACTTTATTTTGAATTCAACCATATCAAAATTAATGGTTAGAAGCGTTAGTTTCATATTTATAAAGTGAGTGGGGATAACTGCAGCGCGAGACTAGAGTTTTATACGCCATAGAAATATATTTATGTATGTACATACACACATTTCCACGTGAAATGGTGCAATAAATGTGTAATGTGTGGTGAGTTTATTTTCCTCAAATAACCTATAACACTACATCCGCAGGTAGTAGTAGCATAATCGTCCCTTCAGTCCTGGGAAGTACCACATCACATCACGTGGGTGGTGGTTAGTTTGGTGCCTCACTTGTCCCAAGTATGAAATATCTCATTCATAATTTTCTCGGATAAAGACTTAATTGTCCTGCCCGACAACTTGATATTTCGCATACTCGACTTCCTTCCTCTTACCGATAAGAAGGAGCCCTTGTTTCTGCGGTAATGATGTCAAACACAAAGTAGCCGCATTCCAACAATAAAATGGTCAATTCACCAATTTCCTCCCACAAATACAGGGAAAAGCAAAAATAAACTGCACGCTTTGTCTGTAAAAATGCTCTTAAACAATTTAACTCTGATGATCTGGGGTCGGTTCTCTGGAAATAAGTTTCCTTTAAAATGCTTCTTTTAGGCGATGCAGGTTTGAAATCGCGGCGGGTGGGTCAAACTAGTCGAAAAGTTGTGGCGTGCCTTTGTGCGAATGCAGTCACTCGGAAACCACTTCATATGGTGCGCCTTTGCGGCAGGAGAGTACGTAAATGAGGCAAGATTTCTTGTTGACACGGTCTCACTGACACCAAAGAGTCCGACATTTGACAACCCATAATGAGACTAATTGACAAGGAAAGAAGAAGAAGTCGGTAATAATATTGCCTAATTATCATTAACTGAGAACAAGCTTTTGACTCCGCACTCACTCACTCTCATGGTTTCCTGCCTTCCTCCAGGAATCACTTCACTCACTCCGCACCACACCGTTTCATTCAGGCTGAACCGTTTTACAGGAGATATTCCAAAATTCTAATAACCGAAGAAGAGTCGGCATGACATAAATGTCATTCATTCATGTAACTTTCCTGGGACTGCATCCTGTCATAATTTAAAGCGTAAAGCAACTAACCTGCGACACAGACTACAGTTTTCTATCATCACTGCTATGTAGTTTTGCAATCGAATAACGCCTGCAAAAGTTACGTAGACAGGTCATGGGTAAAGTAACGGAGGTTATCATCATTCCACCGTGCTTATCTGCTTATTAGGACGGAATAACGAAACACCAACATCCAACTCGTACCTCACGCACTGAGACCAACGTCCACGAACAGGAAGAAGAAGAAGATGAGCAAACCAAAAGAGAAATTATGTTCCAAACCTCGTCGTACGTACCGATGGTCCAAAACAGTGAACTTCTGTGGTGGTGGTGATGATGGTAAATGTTTTCCAGGAAGTGGAAATCATCAGAGTAATTCATTAAGCAGTCCCCCTCTCAGAATCTTAGCATATCAACAGGCAATAAACAAAAGCAAGCTGACACGCGGAGTAAAGTCAACATTGGAGTTGACTCACTTTACGCATTATGTATGTATGTATTTATTATTACGTGTACTACTTATACTTTCTGGGTTTCGCCAGCCCTGTGCCAAAGGAACCAAAGAATTAAAGAACAAGGAAAGCAGAGGAAACGAGGACGACACGACATTGCAAAAACAAAAAGAACGTTCCTCTCCTCCACATCGACATCTTTTTACTTATTACTCTTTCTCCTATTAACTTAAATAACCCCGTAATCTCGTCATCGCTCACATAATAACGCGAGACTAAAGCAAATTTCCTCACCGGCGTATGTTTTACACTCCTATTTGTCCAATAACAAGAACAGGGGAAGGCAAGGAATCGTCGTCGTAAATCACGAGTCTTTATTTCAACTCTTCTGCTGCTTCTGCTTTCAAAATTTGGTGCTGCTGCTCCGATTTTGAACCGTAAGTAAGTAAGTAACGCAGCCAAGTAGGTGTTGTTAAACAAGCAATATTACATGAATGGTGGGTAGTATCATACGATAACAGATTAATGACAGTAGTTAAACTTATTAGCCCAACCAGCTCGTCGTCTCACTCACTCGGCAGCAGAAAAGTCGTCTCAATTCCAATTTCTTCTCGAGCTCACTCGTCGGATGAATCCTCTCGTCTCAAGTTTCAGCTCGGTGCGTCCTCACCGTGATTCATCTCAGTTTCCCTTTTTCCTCATCATTTACTACCAGCAACGAGGAATAGGAGTAGCAGTAGGATAATAGCCATGTAAGTATTTACCCGTTCCTCAGTCAAAATGAGCCTGATTTTAAAAGTGAAACAAATTTCTTGGCAGTTGGTCAGAAAGGAAACTCATTTTACACATCTTCACAAAATCAACCATGAATGATTACGCTAATTGAAGTGCACTTTCTGAAA